CAATCTTGACTTCATGAATAATTGGAAATGTCACAAGATATTAGTGTCAGTTTTACATCCAACCAAAGTCTGCTATTCTATATCCAAAACAGATGAATCTGTGTGTAAGGGCTCAAAGTATTACTCGATTATTTTCAAATTATTAGAAAAAAAATATAGATTTTACAAGATGTAGTATAACTCAAAATCAATGTGAAGGATATTCTCTGGGTTGAAATGTAAGCCTGTTTTCTTTATAGCTGTTCCTTGCCAATACCAGGGGCTCCTGGGTTATAAGCAGGTACTTATTATTCTGATTATTATTTTGTACAATAAAATCTTTAACATCAAATTATTGTTGCACTCTTATTTGCCCCTCCTAGAACCACAGCAAAAAGAAACTTCAACTGGTCAGCAAGTGTGCATTAATGACCAACTTTTTCAAATATAATGATGATGAAAAACATTAAAAAAAAAAAACATTAGTTGTGAGTTGGAGTTTTCAGCTTTTTTTTTTTAAAGGTAAAGAATGAACCATCAGCACACAAACCCAATTACTAATATAGATTAAGCTATTTTTGTACTGTCTCTTGTTTGTATTTTTTATATGGACCCTGAGTCTATCTATCTATCTATCTATCTATCTATCTATCTATCTATCTATCTATCTATCTATCTATCTATCTATTTCCTTACAGGTTAACAAAACCAAGACTAGATGCTTCTGAAAGAAGCTATTAGCAGAGCAAATGCCCCACATAACTGTACATTGTCAAAAGTGTAAGGTGTGGTTTGCTAAAGGTCAATGAATGAAACAACTTTGTAAAAAACATTTGCATTAAATATTTCCAGTCAGATTTCCATTGATAATAATCAAAAATTATTACCTGAACTGCTGTTTTTATTTAGTAAAGATCATTCAGCATGTGGGCCGTCTGTATTAAGGTTCTATTAAACAGCCTGAAATAATGTATAAAGACAATTTAAACTTCAGTGAGTGTATTACTAACATTCTCCATGGACTATATCAGCCAGTCATCAGCTCAGACAATCCCCTTTGAATCATGACAGGACATTTATTTTTCCTGAAGTATATTAAAATCATTTTAGCCTCCCTGCCCATCCCATCATGTCTGTGTCTCAACTAGGTGACAGAGGCTTAATTGCAGGGTGTGCTTGTAGAAAGGGTTGGCCTAATTAATTGGCCTTCATGCAGCTGGATGTCTGTCATTTTTAAATTCCTAATCCTCTCGATCATTAAGGAAAACTACCCCGCTTTATCTGTCTTTACTGTTTTCCTTTGTGTTAACCTTCCTCCAGTTATACGTTTGCTATTTCAAAACTAGGTCTGTTTTTGTGCACGAGACTGAATTTTATTGAAATGAAAGCCAAGAATAACCAGTTTGAAATGAGAGCCCTTATGTTGGTCCCTATATATTTCTGTAATGTTATAGTTTTAGATACTCATAAAGCTTCAAATTATGAAGCTGATGAAGGCTTGGTTCACAGATGTGTTTTCAGCCGTGTTTTCAGGACACAGGTCGTGCTGTCCTTTTGTGGACAATGGTCAAGCAGCTCTGTCAGAAATACACCCACATGAAGATAGAGTCTATTTGACCCCTTGTTCCCCTTATTTTTGGCCCAGTGTGTCTCAGAAATTTCTCATGACTGTTCTTTTGATTTGGACAAAAAGTTGCATTGTAAAATGGTGGGAAGGCTTTATGTTTTCAGGACAACAGCCATATTGTAGCTGTTTGTTCTCACCACTTCATGACGACTTCTTCTATAGAAGGACTTATATGAGCTGATATGTATCTTGTATAACTCTTACTAAAATATGGGGATGTGTCATCTCTAAAAACCCTCTACAAAGGCTCAGAACCACAAGCATTAAGCTACGTTATGGAAGTAACTTATGCTAACAGTAGCTAACTGCTTCTAGCTACATTAGGGCATTTCTGTGAAGGTATAACGTTTGGATCAACTCCATGCTACAAAACTGTGTGAAAAGCAACACCCATGAGCTGTGTCTATATCATAGGGTGACCATACATCCTTTTTTACCTGGACATGTCCTCTTTTATGGGGGGCTGTGCGGGCTGTCCGGCCTTGTCCGGCTTTGTCCAGGGAGGTTTATAAAATCCTTCAAATGTCCGGGGTTTTGTGTGGAAGTTTTGAGTTTGTGTCGCATGGACTTACTGAGTTAGAAGCGCGTAAAAGACACTCGAACCGACCTGAAAAACTCTCAAAATTAACTGTGCGTGACTCCAGCCCCATGTAGTTGGGTCCTCTTTTTGGGGATTCAGAATACGGTTACCCTATATATCACTGTGCAGCAGCTAAATTACAGCTTTTAAAGGAGAGGGGCCAAGTCCTGAAATGAAGGTTTGTACGCAAGACATTGTTGGATAAACAAGTTTTATGAGCTGCACATCCTGCAAAGCTACTCTAAGGGTGTCCCAGACTGACACAATGAAAAGTGAAAATGGTTTAAAAGATCTCTTATAAAAGAGAAAACGAAATGATCCTTGAGTGTTGATATTCCATGTGCCACATTTTAAGTTGTATAGTTTATGTTCTTCACTTTATGCTTGAAAACAGTGAGATAATGTTTGCAGTCAGTGTTGTAAAGTCATTCAAATTTAGGACTGTCTAGTACACACCTGGTAGACAGGTGCTAGGAGGATTATGTCATTGAGTGTCAATAGTGTTTAATACCTTTACACTGTTGGCTCCAAGTCTAGAGACAGTATAAATCAATCATTGCACCTTATGCCACAAATGCAAATAATAGTAATTTTTTTTATTATTCAAATTAAAATGCTATTAATTCATGCAAATTTTGAGTAAAGTTTTCTCCACTTTGCAAAAATACCGTCAAGAGTAATAAATGTTCATTATTTCAGGTCCTGTTGGTTTTCACATGATCATTTGAGTGTTCCACATCCACAAGCGGAGTATCTTAATCTTACATACTGATGTTTGTTTCAGACCAGCTGTATACCAGATGTGGTGTTTTTACCATCACAGTCTTATTAGTATTTTAATGGAAACATCCTGCAGCGATTTAATATGATTGACGTTATGAAACACTTTAACAGTAGCTTTACATTAAACAGCCTTTACGCAATTTACTGTTAGTGGTGTAGAATTAAAATAAGGAAATGATCTGCACTTTACCGGGGTGGCAATCCTAAAACAGGTACGGCCAAATTCCTATGCAAAACAAAAGTTTTTCCTCTATTCCCATGTTTGACATTTTAATGAATGGTGTCACAAAAGTAACCCTCCAATTGAATGAAATATTAAAGTGGAACAATATTAAAAAATATATATTATTAATTTGAAGTTATGAAACTTGTATGTATAAAAAAACATGGTACTATGTCACCAGTTATCCACAAAATAAGTAGTTTTGCAGGTTTTTTTGTGCTTCAATAGCTTGTAAATTTCTAATCAAGTTCCCATTGTTCTCGTTATTCTTTATCAATGTTTCCTGTTTAATGGTGTGTGATTTATTTTGAATCAGTTGCAGTCACGCTGCTGAGTACCCTGGTCATAACCATGGCCATTTTTGTTTCCCTCCTCTCTGAGTGCGAGTCATTCCTCTCACTGTAGGCTACAGTCTCTCGGGGCATGTCTGTCATGTTAAGACATGTGTGGACCTACCGCTGCACTTGTTGTTTTCTCATAACTTGTTTGCTCACCACACCACATGTTTTCTGGATAACCCGTTCTCCGGCTCTCTCGCTCGTTTTGCTTCAAGATGAAATGATGTCAGCGCTTTTTTCTGTTTTAAGGGTACACAAACTGTGAAGCGGCTCGTAAATTCACAGCTACAGTCACTTTTATTTCCATTGACAGTTAAAACTGTGACACAGAATTTCAGTCGGAGCGCTCCTGATAAGATCGTGAACATTTATTGCTGCAAATAAAAGGCTGAATAGTTTGTCGATGTGGCTTTGATTTTATTACGCGCTACAACGAAAACTTAAGCGAGATTTATGGTCCATTTTCCAGAGTGCACAACAAAATGAGCATAAAGATTCAGACAGTTCAAAGACTCAAAGCTGGATGCTGGATGCTGAAAGCTGTGGATCAGTATTTAAATAAATTTATATAAGTAGAGGAACATGTATGTGCTGCATCCATGAAACAGAACCAAGTCAAGTTGCTTTAATAAAGTAACGCACAGAAGATATTCTTTGTACACTCAGACTGATATTTCTGGGTTTTTTTTTGGTCGGACTGTTTTAAAATCAGTCGTATGGTGTATCAGTTGTATGGTGTCAATAGTCTTGTTTTTGATGACATATAACCACGCTTCTGTGTTGGTTCTCCAGCTAATTTCTCAACAAAAGGGCCAAGCTAATCAGGATCCCATGTGGGTCGTACACTTACCATCCACAAGTACCTCATTGAATTTCCCTTAGGGGATAAAATGAAGTTCAAGTTATTCTTATTCTTATTACAACCCCACAAAAAAAGCCAACATATCCTTTAAAAGATTCTGTAAGGAAATTTTGACTGCTCATGAAAGAGACTGAATTTAACCAGGAAGCCTCTTTATCACCTACAGTAGTCAATAAAACCATTAAGTAAAAAAAATCTGTTTGTATTTATTGTTGTTATAAAGTCTGCAACCACTGCGAGGGGAGGGTGTCAGATTTACAGTGAGGCAAAGACCTTTCACATACATGAGTGAAAGGTAGTGGTAGTGGTAGTTGAAAGGCGTTACTTTGTCCACAGAGAGCCCCAAAAGTGACACTTGCAGAAAGTCCCTCACAGGAGCTTTAAGGTATCGTTGTTCCTCAGTAATGTTTGAGTGTAATCCACAAAAATCTTCAAAATTAAGCTGTCAGTGCAGTGAGGCAGGAGTGCTTAAAGACATCCCTGCTGTAACTTCTTCAAGTCCCATCTTGCTTATTTAAATCAGTTTGGAGTTCTATAACCATGTGGTTTTTCAGCGTCTGTCTCTAATCCCTCTGTGTTGGTTCTGTGTTGCAGTTTTTCCAGCAAGGATGTGTTCCAGTCGGGGTATATGCGGCGAAAACAACCGCTCCAGATCCTCTAGATCAGAGAGTTCCGGATCAGGCGCTCACTATGCTCTGTGCGCTCTGGGGGTGGGGCTCATCGCTCTGGGAATTGTCATGATTGTGTGGACTGTGATCCCAATGGATGGAGAAGCATCGGGAGGTTCCTCCAATTCATCCGGCAACTCCACCAACGTACCTGGTGGTACTGATGATGATGATGAGGATGAGAACGACCGAACAAAGTCTTCATCCGTGGCGATGGTGCTGGTTGGAGTAGGGGTGGCCATGTTGCTTTTATCCATTTGTCTTGGTGTGAGGAACAAGAGAAGAGCGAGAAACAGGAGTAACCAGCCAGCCGCCACAGGAGGCCCCTTCATGGACCATATACCAGGGGAGCAAGAGGAGTACGTACAGGCTTTTTGTCCCTGTTGGCTTTCCCTATTCTTCGTTTTATCACATTCTTCGGGTTTTACTCCCAATTTTAAACTTAAAACTCTTGATATTCTTCACCTTAGTGTTATCTGGTTATCACTGGAGTACTAGATTTTAATACAACCAAAAGACTTTTTTATTTGTGATAATCTTAAACATTTACAGACTGAACCTCGCTGCCCTAAACAGCAGAATTTTTTATTTTTTCTACTTTTATTTAACCGGGTAAAATCCCATTGAAATCATGATCTCATTTACAAGGGCAACCTAACCAAGAGGTCAGCAGCACACGTCATAATAAATGCAATAAATATAAGGGAACAAACATCAAAGTCACGGTTAAAGTGCAACAAACATTTTGGGACAATTACAATTTAAAAACACAGACATTGTTCATGGGATTCTCGTTGACATATAGCAGATAGCATCTCTCCTTTTAGTGGATCAGTTAGCTAGCCAAAAAGGCGGGCACTTCTCTGGGGTGTTGCTGAGACAAAAAATTGAGCTAAATACAAATTTTGTTGCATACACATTTCAAAAGGGAAACAAGAAACTGAACATGCACTGATAAATCAGCAGGCCGATTGATTGGCGCCGATTTCCTCAACTTCGGGGGATCGGTGATCGGCTGATCCTTACATATGAAAATGATTTTATCCACTAATCTAATCTACCTCAGCAAAGGTCTGAAAGTCAGCCGTTGTAGCTTTTTGCTTTGCCAGAATGACAGGCCTGCTCACCAGGTCACGTGTCAACAGTCATCCAGCGCATGATCAACCAAGCATGTTGAACCCACTACTAGGAAACCTAAAACTCAGGACAGTTTATTGGTGGTTTAAGTCGTGTTGTTGGTTTGTCCTGTAGGTTATTGTTTTACTAACTTCTTCAAACCTTCTGATTTCCTTTATTTGTAAAAGCAAAATACTGCTGTGCACTTTATTTTGGTAAGAGGCTCAAAACAGGCCGGCAGTGTGACCTGTTGCGCAAGTATTGTTAATTTTTAAAATGTGGAAAATAAAAGACTAAAAGAACTGATATAATTTGGTAGTTTGGACAGCAATATTATAAACTTTTCATTCATATTTGAGAGAACTAACTTATGTGCAGTTAAAACAAACACAAAAAGGTATTGTTCAATGTTTTTCATTAAAGTAAGATTGGAGCATCAAAGGTGAATGTTGTCAGTTATAAAACAAAAAAAAATTTGTATCAGTAACATTACTCCAGGTGTTTCAGATATAATCACGTTCTTTCATACTGTATTTTCTCACTCTTGCGTCCTTCTGCAGTGTTCCAGACCCATCCACATACAACGTACCAACCTACGAGGAGGCCGTCGGCAGTGGAAACTACCCCGTCCGCCAGAGCAATCTCCGCCAAAGCACCTCCCAGCTGCCATCCTACGAGGACATCATAGCCGCCGTTGAAAACGAGGGAGCAGAGCCCTCTAATAACCCCACCGAGGAGACCCCGCTCAATGATCCCACACCCGCCTCCCCTCAGCCCGCCGCAGAGCCTCAGCCTGACCATCCTGCCCTCGCTCCAAACCCCAGCCTGCCCACCCGCAGCAGCAGCCGAGCCAGCCGTTTGCTGCGACCCCTCCGAGTCAGGAGGATCAAGTCGGACAAACTGCACCTGAAGGACTTCCGCCTCCAAATCCGCAGCCCCACGCAGAATCCAGTGACCATTGAACCCATCACTCCTCCGCCGCAGTATGAAAACAAGATGCCTGAATTAGGGTAGAGCCTCCCACTTATTGCCTGCTCCAGATGATTAAAAATAGCTCTGTGTTAAATGAACTAATGATAACACCATTCTCAAGGTTGGTATTAAGTAGGTTAAATGTTGCTGCAAGCTGCGGCCTGTGATGGAGGCTGTGCAGACACACTGCTGAAATGAGAATATCTCTGCAGTGGATCCCTGAGGCTTGTGACAGGCATATTTATTCTGTTATAACACGTAACAAGTTTGTGTGCCAGAGTTGAGCTTTTAGTTTTTAAACATCGTAGAATAACTTATATCACACAAGACAGCATTTCAGTTTTATTGAAAAGACAATTGTGTGCCATAAAGGACATCTGGTATGTTTTCACTCGACCGAGAATTCTTCTTGTTGCCTTGTGTTGTTTCTTAATTTGTTTGAAACTCCAAAATTTTATCTTGTAATTCAAAGAGGGGGAAAAGGGAAACTAATAACCTGGATTTTAAGATGGTATCAAGCATCGTACAGTTTCATCTGACGGAAATCCATTTCATAATTTATAAACTTTGTTATCAAAAGAGAGTGCACTGCCAGACGTGAGCGTCAGCTGCTTGTTGTTGCAAGTTTTAAAATCATCCATTAAACCTGTTTAAAATACAATGTGAACTTTGAACTTTAGAAAACTGCAAACACTGATCTGATCTGTTTTGGCTCATGATGTAGGACAGAAAAAGGAGGAAAAATGTGTTAAAAATTCTGTGACAAGGTCAGGTGTGGTGTCTCACATGACTTTTAACTTTAAATTGAATTGTAATAATTGTATAAAAGTAGTTAATAAATGTTCTATGTCATTCAGGATTGTCATATTTTTTGTTTTCAAAAATGTCACAAGAAAATGTTTTAATTTGTCAAGTAATCTAACTTTGATACCATAATAAGTTTGAACAAATGTACACACTAAATTTGGAAAGTGATGCTGGCACACATCAACGATGCCACTAAAAATACATTAGGAAGAATTGTTGCTGCATCATCTGCTGATCTTTTTTTTCATAACTGCATGCTTTAAGTTTGCTGGAGCTGTATTTATTTTGGAAAACCATAAATATTGTCTTTTTACTAGTTAATAAAATATAACTCCAGGTTTTTGTTCTGTTTTTCTTTAGCAAACTGTGATTAAACTTTTACTTTTTATCTTCAAATGAATTTAAAACAAACTCTTTATCTCCTTTTGTCTAAATTTCCACGTGGTTGAAGTTTGTTGGTTGATATTTGGCGCCCCCCAGTGGAAGAGGAACACACTGCGAGAACTCAGAGATTGACAGTTGCAGCAGAGTAAATCCATCAGTACAGGATATTTGAAAAAATATATAAAGGCAAACAATTATTCAAAAAGTCTTGTATGCTTGAATAATAGTTGGAGGATTTTAAGTACATTAATTAATCTTATGACTTATTTTTTGACCTAATTTCATTTAATTTGTAGGGTTATTTTTATGTCATATTGTGAAATTATTGGTAAGTAATTGATGTTTAAGTCCTTGAGTGTGACATTTCAGAGTAGATATAAAGTTCGCTGGGCTACACTCACAATAGTTACTCAATGGTTATTACAGCGTTAATATCAATTCAATTCAGAACTAGCTTTGTTGGCATGGAATCAGAACAATATTACCATAGCATTAACAACAGTAAAACATTGTTAATGCTTTAATAGGTTTGCATTTATGCCAAACTTCATTTGCATTTACAAAAAAGGAAATTCAGTCAATGTATAGTCCTAAAAGTGTTATAAGTGATTGAACACAAAGAGAAACAAAAAGGACTAAAGTCAAGCAACATTAGTACATCTGCGTGAATTATAGAGAAATAGTCTGAAGGGGGGATTGTAAAAAATAATATGCTAGTTGATTTAATCTAACACAACTTTAATAGAACTAAAACTGATGTAGGGCTTTTGTTTAAATGATTTTACTTTTTCTAGGTTGGAAATGTAAAAATTATGACAAAACATGTTTTAAGCCTGTTAATAATAACCTACGTTAAATAATAAAAATGTTTGGCTGTTGTGAAATGAGTAAGCTATAAGAAATCCAAATGTTTCTTTATCAATTCAAACATAGAAGTGTGCCTTATTCTATCTTAAATCCATCTTAAAGTATCATTTTGATATGAAACTATCATTTGAATAAAATCCATCCTCATGTGTATAGATGTTTCCTGAAGTATAATTACTCAACAAAGTCCCACTTTGAGTTTGTTATTCAATAAGCAAAACTACAAAAGCTCTATATAAGCAAAATGTTTTAATATATACTGTATAAAATAAAATATTAATTGCAAAAAATGTTTATTTTAAATTTTTTTAATGTTATCCAGACCTTTCTGTTAATTTTTCTGTAACTTAAGCTTTTTTAAATTTTATTTATTTATTTATTTATTTATTTATTTATTATTATTATTATTATTATTATTATTATTATTATTATTATTATTATTATTATTATTTCTGTAGTGTTTGTTCTTTTAATTTTACTGTGCAGCACTTTTTTTTTAACATGTGCTATATAAATAAAGCAGATTAGACTGGATTCCAACTGTGTAACCTGTTGGAATAAAGTGAACATCAGATAATGCAGAAATGTAAAGAGTTTGAAATATAAAGAAACATAAAATGTAAAGTTTAAGTAAAGTAAAAGACAGAGTGATCTATGGTGAAAGGTTTGTCATGGGCAGAGTTAGATTCTATCTCTGCATGTCTCCACTATTTGACCTTCATTTTCATATGTAGGCCACGGATAAATCTTTTCATAATCAGGGTTAACTCATTTTCAGTAAACATGTTCAAAAAGTTTCCCGGAAAGACTAAATGAGGTTTGCAAACTTGGAGCGCTTAAATATATTTTTGTATTTCTAATATCACCTACATTTTTCCTAAGCTCCACCCTCCCCCGGCTCAGAGGGATTTTTTTTTTTCTTTTTTTTTTTTTATGTGCAGCTGCCATGTAGCAGAGGGAGGAACAGCTGTGTGAAGGAAGAGCCAGCCCGGGGAGTCAGTCACATTCCTGGCTGGGATTCAATGACTGAACCAGACACAAACAAACAGTGAGGGAGAGAGAGAGAGAGAGAGAGAGAGAGAGAGAGAGAGAGAGAGAGAGAGAGAGAGACTCACACATTGAGTGAGTGGGGAGACAGACTGAGAGTACGCCAGACGGAGCAGCAGACGAGGCGTATTTCGAGCGCGCATTAGGAGTGCGTAAAACCGCAGGAGCGCATACATTCAAAGTACCGGCGATTGTCCGTTGGAAAGTACGAGTTTTAAGTCGAGGAGTTTTCGACATTATTCGTGTCTTCATTGGGGAAGAGCCGTCGTGAAATCAGCAGCCTTCAGTTTTCTGAATGGACGCGCTGGGGAGCTTCTCCGGTGACATGGAAATGCGCGTTATTGAGCGTGTAGCCGGATGCTGAGGACGCCCGACTCGATAAGTCAATTCCAGCTTTCATTTTGAGTTTTGAAATCGCTATTAGGCTATAACTGACGACAACATGGAGGGCACGAGCTTTCAGCCCCATCCCGGACTTCAGCAAACTCTGAAGCAGTTTCATTTGAGTTCCATGCGCTCTCTCGGCGGACCGGCGGCGTTCTCCGCTCGGTGGCACCAGGACTCACTTTTCGGGAAAGATGGCAAATCCGCAGAGATGATGCTCACCCTGCCAGCTCAGACACCTCCGGTGATGTCCGGACCACTCTTCATCCCGTCTGACCGCTCCACGGAGAGGTGCGAGACGGTGCTGGAGCGGGAGCCCATCTCCTGCTTCGTTGTCGGCGGAGAGAAGCGGCTGTGCCTCCCGCAGATCCTCAACAGCGTCCTGAGAGATTTCTCCCTCCAGCAGATCAACTCGGTGTGCGACGATCTTCACATCTACTGCTCCAGGTGCACGGCGGACCAGTTGGAGATCCTCAAAGTGGTGGGCATCCTCCCCTTCTCAGCTCCGTCCTGCGGGCTGATCACGCAGACGGATGCTGAGCGTCTGTGTAATGCCCTGATCTACGGCGGCACATACCCTCCTCACTGCAACAAGGAGTTAGGCTGTCTGGAGTTGGAGCGGACCGAAAAGTGCTTCAAAGTCTACCATGAATGTTTTGGCCGGTGTAAAGGCTTGTTTGTCCCGGAACTGTACTCTGGCCCGAGTGCCGCCTGCATTCAGTGCTTTGACTGCAGACTCATGTTCCCCCCTCACAAGTTTGTTGTCCACAGTCACAAGAGACTGGAGAACCGGACTGTCCACTGGGGGTTCGACTCAGCCAACTGGCGGGCGTATGTACTCTTAGACCCGGACTACACCGGGAAAGAGGAGAAGAGTCACCTGGAGCAGCTGCTTAAAGAGTTAAAAGGAAAATATGACCTGACGGGCAAGAGGTCCAGTATATCCTGCAGAGTAAGTCTTGTCTGTTTCACCCTGCTTATATATACAAAAAAACATCTCCTGTTGTCTGTGGGTTGTTATGTTTGTGGATATTTCAACAGCCTAGGGCCTCCTCCAGCATCTGCATTCATTAACATTCATATTCAGATGGCTTCTTTCTCATTAGGCTGACTTTTGATTGATTAGTTGTATCTTTTCCAAGTGTGCCGCTCTTAGTAATGATCTCCAACCGAGTTAGAATGCAAATCACATGTCACATCACGTCTTCCTGTGTCTCTCCTGCTCTGTGAAACACCTTGACTACACCTCGCTCCCCTCACAGGTCTGACAGGGGGTGACAGTGAAGCCTCTAACCGTCAGTTGACACCACCCCCTCAGCATCCACCTTATCTGCTAAAAGTCCCCATCCAACCCCCCAGGGTTACCCAAGGGCATCTGCATTATGATAAATGGAGTCCCGATGATATATTTTATTAGTGTGAGAGGGGAAAGGGGGGCAGGGGAGGCTATTATGGTGCCATGAGGTGGGGAAGGGGGATAAGAGTTTAATGAGGTTTGGGATATGGAAATGTGTGTGTGTGGCTGGATAGGCTGAGATACGAGTGGGTGTGTGTTTGTGTGTGTTTATGCGTGTTGCTGTCCGGGCTCCTGTCATGGGTCAGAGATGTTTAGAGTGGACAAAAGGGCCAGGAGACGAGGTGGCTGTTCCTCCGTCACAGAGCAGCTGTTGTGTGGGACTCTGCTAATGAGTGGACATCTCTGTGTGCATCACCATGGTGCTGCTCCAGGGCTGAGCAGGAGGCAGGAGATGTCTATCAGGGAAACCTCAGAGTTCTCTCTTAAAAAATGTTCCCAGAAACAGTTTTTTCCTTCTGATACTGACTCAAATATCTCAGCTGTTACCGAATATCTTCATCATGAGTCTGGCTGTTTTTAAACTTCTTTGTTGGGCTGTGCGCTCACGATTTTGACTCAAAGAACGAATGACGAAGGACTTACTTTCGTTGTTTAATCCGACACTTAGTCATAACTGAGACAAAACATGGAAGGGATAAAGTATAGTTAGCCGGTGGTGATGGAAAATAGAATTGACACAAGATTCCTCCTTGTCCAACCTAAAATGATTCTATCGTGCATAAACACCAGTCAACGATACATCATCCCACTTATCACCAGGCTACTGACAAAAAGTTGGTACTATGATAAGCGGATAAGATGGTTTTAATGATTTAAGAATGATTAGTTTGATGGTGGGTAGTGCTTCCATGGCAACCTAACATCTGTAGCTTAACATCATTACCCTGATTTACTGTTTACTATCGCATTAAACTTTACATTCATTCTTGTTAGCGGTGAAATATTTTGATTTTTAATTTGGCGTTGTTAACAAATGCAGATAATAACAGACGCACCTGTATAACTTTTCTGTCTTTGCACAGTCAGCTCTGTGTCGCTGCTAAAACCCTGCTGTGTTGCACTTTGCGGTTAATCCTGTGCTAGCATCCCTTGCTAATTTGTGTGCCATTCTATTTGTCTTCTCTCATGTTGAGCGGTCAGCTATTAACAACAGAAATTGTTTTTTTTTTGGTCTGTTGGCAGTAGAAGTGGGAGAAAAAATTGATACAGCATAGTATCACGATATTTTGTCTGGTGATATACCGTATCGTCTCATTTACCAAGTATCGATTTTTTAAATTAAGTGCTCATATGAAATCAAATCTATGATAATGGAAAAATAAAGTCAATTGTTTGTCCATTGAGGTTGGCAGAGGTGACATCATAGAGCAGGAGAAAGTTAGTACAACAAATATATGTAAGGTTTGCAAGGTGCGCTACATGAAAATAAAATATCGTGTAAATAAGATAAACATAAAGAAAGATAAATGCTAAATAAGCTTAACAGTTGAAAAAATTTTATAAATCGCAATACGTTGTATGGCAATACTCACTGTATTGTAAAATGCTAAAAATCGTGATAATAACATATCGTGGCCCAAGTATCGTGATAATATCGTATTGTGATAATATCGTATCGTGGCCCAAGTATCGTGATAATATCGTATCGGGGGGCCACTCGTGATTCCCACCCCTGGTTAGCAGCCATGACCACTCCATAGTATCAGGGAATGAATCTTGATGTATGCTAGTGTTGTGCGTCAGGAAAAAGTTATTTCATATTTTGTTTGTGGATTATTAACCAAGGTATTTGGTCTTTGCTCAGGCTGATGTATTTCCAGACACCTGATACATTTTTTTAGGCTGTACACGGGCATCTTCCAACTCTTGTTCTCATTATTTTTAAAGTAATCTGGAGGGTTTTTGTTCAAAGAAAGAAGAATAAACAATCAAGAGTAGATTGTGTCAGTGGTATCCTTAAGGAATATTTAAGTGTCTAGAATCGTAGTTTCAACATGCTGTCCTATAAGTTGAACTCACGCACCTGACAAAATCTTTACACAAGTTATAAAAATATCTGTCTTTTCTTACACCTGTAGCTAATTTCTTCCAACCACAGCCAGCAGCTCTTGATATATCACCTGTGAGTTATATAAATTTCCTTTAAGTGTTGGGTCCTGCTCAGGCTGACAGTCTCTCAGTGTGTGTGTGTGTGTGTGTGTGAGCATCAGTGTGGCAGAGGGGGCAGTGCGTGTTTGCTGTGGTTCACTGTCAGTCGTGTCCCAGTTAGCAGACAGGCTGGGTCCTCGGGGAGCCGCACACCAGCGCTCTCCCATACATCAGCCTGACAGGCCAAGCTGCTGAAAGGCTGGCCGGACGGATGGGGAGCTCACAGACTGGATTGGCTCGGCTCCCGTGAAACAAAAACTCAATGTTATCATCCGGCCTCAGCCTCCCTCTGATGTCAGAGTGTTTTATTAAGAAGAGAGTTACCTCCTCTGCCTGGATCATCTGTCTAGACTGCCACCTTGTCCTCTAAACACAGTGGAAGAATCTGCTGAGAAGATAAATGCTGATGTGTTTACTTTGGGGAGAAGTTTTGAATCGCAGTTTGAGGAGATTTAGACTCTTTCCAGGTTTTTATTCATAGGCTGTGATAGTTTAGGGAGACGTAATTGGTCATACTTGAATTGGAGCCTGCTGACAAAAGCAGAGGCTGGATCAGTGGAGGGATTGGTGTCTGTGAACCATTGTGTCTGTTTTGCATCAGGTCCAGCATTTGGTCATTTAGCTCTGTGCCTAATGTGCAGATGAGGGCAGATTGCAGAGAGGAGGCTGCAGACTCTCATTCAGGAGATGCAGGGTGTGTGAGCCAGGCCTTGACATGTCTTGTCAAAGGGCTGTGACCTCTGACCTCTCTCCAAAGACACTGACCTGGCCTTCCCCCATTCTTTTCACACCGTCCAATCACGCGCCCTTGTGTCCAGTCCACTGACCAGATGGCTGTCTGATAAAAGATGGAGGGATATACAGTGAGCAGATAAAAAACTGTACCCCCTCTCTCTTTCTCTGCAGCCGGATTTTAATAAAACATCAACTTTTTATGCCGACTCTTTATTTCAGATCCAAGGTGATGATTTTGCTGACGCAGTAGCAGAAGTGTACATTTTAAGGAAACTTGAATTTTCAGTCCAATTCGAATGACTCGCTCCTTTGTGTTGAACCTCAGCGTGTAATAATTCAAATGTTAACTTTTCTGATTAGCATGAAAATCTGCTGTAAAGAGGATTTGAATTGCAAAAACTTTTTTTTCCCTTCAAAGTCAAATACTTTTGAGTATTAACCGTGGAAAAAAAAATCCCTAAGAAGTGAGGGCAATGCGTTCAATCATCTGACTGAGTGGAGAGTAAACTGGGGGTCTGGAGATCTGTGTAGACGCTTCTTAATGGAATGGATATTAAAGCCATTCAACTGAGGCCAATTTATGCCGTTTCTCATCCTTTTGTTCTCCTCCCTGGATGAAATTAGCCTCAGATCTGGAGCAAAGCAATCAAGTGTGTCACAAGGTAAAAGCTTGTGTGTTTTAAACTATTAGCTCTTATTAAAAACGTGGACGAACGGATGTGAAATACCTCCCTCTATGTCGGGTTTTTAGTGTGCTCATATGTATGCGGGCGACTTTTAGCAGAGCGAGTATACTGGTGTGTTTGCATGTAAACAGGCGAGTGTAATGACTGGATCAGCTGTGCGGGCCAGATTAAAATGAGCTCTCTGCCGGCTCATTTCCATTCCCATCTGTCTGCTGACCTCTGGGAAGCCCTGAAAGCTGACATGCTGCATCTCTTTGGTCTTTGATGGGCTTGTCTGCAGAGCGTTGACCCAGTCAGATAAGACTCAAACCACCCAGATACACAGAGTGGCAGTCCCATTTAGTTTAGACTTCGTAATCCTCGTGCAACATTATTTTTTTAGTCTTTTGTGTAGAGTTTGGCTCTAACTAAACCACTAAAAAAGATCATTTTTAGAGCAGCAGTCTGAGTCACACACGCACCCCCATTCAGCGCCCAGCTCCCAACTGACCAGCCCCCCTCCTCCCTCGTCCCTGAAGACCATCACCCTGTCTTCGCAGTGACTGCTGGCCAAAGCATTGTGGCCGAAGCAGGGCCGGCGTGTCAAGGCAAAGGGGTCTCAGAAGCTCCCATGGGTTGTGGCCTCTATTCTGGCGAGGGTGACCCCATGTTAAAAGGGTGTCAGCTGGGGTTCTGTCATGGGTGATGTGTGCTAAAGACCTGCCGCCTCCTTTGTTTGAGCGCCGGCCTTTCAGAAGCTGTGAAGTGCAGCCATTTCTCTTTGTTTGCGCCTTGTCTCTGTGGGCGCAGCACGGACAGGTCTGTAACCTCCAGCCTCTCCCAGGGTGGGAAATTTCTCGCTCGTGGGTTCGCCATGTCTCTGGTTGGGTTCTAGGAGACAGATCGAAAGCAGCGGTGGTGTCTGCATGTCTGATAGAGATAGGGCGAGGTGGTGATTATTTTTTATTGACCCTCAGTGGACTCATTTCGCAATTATATGATCTTATCATAAAAATTCTCTCATAAACATCTGCTGCTCATTGTAATGGATCTGGGTATGTAATTAGAAACGCTTGGCCTCATTGAAGTTGTTAAATGATTGTCTTACATGTTCTTTTAAAAAATTCCATCTATGCAACAATATGGTGAAATTCTACCAATGATATTGTCGAAATGATTCCAACTTCTGTTTTGAGATACTCACACAAAGCTCTGGGGGTTTTGGTGCGATGAAGAAACAACACGCTTGGTCCCGCCGCTTCACCGCTTTTTTAGATCCCCACTCGGACATGCGACTCTTAAAATCATCCTTACGTTTCTTCCTCGTGAAGGGTTCCTGCACAACTCTGGATAGTACTGACAAAATCAATACACAATAACACAATACTCCCCTAGTTAAGCTTGTTTGTTTATTTATACAGCCTGGCATCGTAAATCCAGACATTTAATGAGTTGGATCCTTCACTGAAGCAATAAATAATCCATAATAAATCCAAGTCTTGTGGTCATCACTTAAAGTATTAACATTGAAATGCACTCCAAGTGCAAAGGACACTTGAGTATGCAAAGGAACAGTGTATTCCTTTTGCATGAAAGTGGCCCTTGTCATATTATATTATTAAAATGTGAGTAGAATATTTGAATCTGAAACCTACTCAAGAACATTTTTCAAGAAAGAAGCACTTACCTTCAGTCCTCTGCTTTTTACTGTAAGAGTGGGAGGACTGTTGTTGTTCTCAGAAGATAGCCGTGTCTAGGGCTGGGGGATAAACTGAAAATTTACAGATAATGAAATTTACAATAACCGAGGTCATTTTGCCTATATTGGTATATTCTGTGTCAAAAAAATAAAAAAATAAAAGTTGGTTTTGGATGTGCGTAGGTAGGCTGTGGTCTCATGTCCTTCGAAGACGTGACTCCACCCCATTCAGTCCATAACAAAGAGGGAAAGACAGGTGAGGGTATGGAGGACGGTTCAAGAGTTGTAGCGGCTGAAGTAAATGAAGTTAATGTGGGAGGGGGGTGAGCAGATTGTGGAGCAGTTATCGTCGTTATTGAGCTGCTCAATATATCGTGATATTGATTTGGGGCCATATCGCCCAGCCCTAGCCCTGTCTGTTAAATGTGTGCAAAAGAAAATCTGTTTTTGCAAAGTCAAATGGCAAAAACTGGATGAGACAAATAAATACAGAATACATTTAGATGTATGCTGTATTTAAATGTATACAAACAGGTGCGCACATTACATAGATTTACTCAGAAAATAAATACAAATACATCTTGTTCATCTATAAGAAAGACTTGGAATATTGATTTTTTAAGGCAAATTTTGGGAGTCTAATTGTTTGCTTTTGTATAAGAGGATAAAAATAAATGAGAAACTGGGAGAACAGAGAGGGGAATGGCATGCAGCAAGGGGCCGAGCGTTGGAATCACGCCTGGTCCCATTGAAGGCTACAGCCTTCGTACATGGGACACATGATTTCCCCGTTGGTCCCTCATTAAGGAAATCAAATATAATGATTTTGCAACTCTGACCTACAGAAATTTTGAATCCCTTTATTTAAAACCGAATTAACGACTATATCTAGTTGAAATGTTAGCAATATTCCAGTAAACTGTACTCTATTCGCTGTCTCTGTTCCTGATCACTTTTGAGCCCACTTCTCTCTAAACCTCGATGACCCGGTTCAGAACTGTTGTGTGAAAGACTTCTTGTATAACTAGCAGATAGAGCGAGGAAGATGATGAGTGTTGAACAATGATGATGATGATAATGATGATGATGATGATGAGATGAGGGAGGAGATGAGACTGCAGTCCGTCGGTCCGTTTGTGGCGGAACAGATGCCTGTATGAGGTTTGTGTTATTCCACAATCATCATCAATTCCTCCTCAATCACCTCCTGATTTCCAGCCCTGTGATTAAGAGTCAGGCCCATCTGGTGCAGAGACAGGAAATCCTGGAGTCTGCATCTGCTGCTGGCTGAGCTACACTAAGCTGCTGCAGTCAGGGAGGTGGGGGGGAGTTTAAACTCTGATAATCCTGCATAACCCCTGGAATGCCGAGACCACGGCGTACATGAAAACGTCATCTCTTCTGGACGCAGTCTTCGGCAACACAGACTCTCTCCTCTCTCTGTCTCACAAAGCGTTGAGACAATTTGTGACCACTCCCTGTGGAGTTTGGTAATTATGACATGAATTAGATATACAGCAGAGAGCATGTGAGAGAGAGAGAAAACAACAGAGCAATTGCACAAACTGAATCAAAAGCTCTTCTGACGACACTTCAGAGGCATGAGAGATTTGCAATATTTATCCCCTTAAATTTTCCCTCTCTCTCTCTCTCGCTCTCTCTCTCTGTCCCTGTATGTAATGACCTTCAGCTCTCTAAGCTACAGAACTGTTAGACCACATTGGCGACGTGCTAATGGAGCTCCAGCCAGAGCAGAAGCAGGCCCTGCTGGTGCCATATGACAAATCGGCATGCTGCTCTCGCCTACAATCCGCCCACCGACCACCTCCAAAGCTATCATAAGGATTAGCTCACGCAGCTAAAACCAAACAGACTGCTCAGTGTTCAGACGGCATCCCGGCCAAATCTTGTTCATGCCTCCTGTTTCGATGGCTAGCGGATCACAATCCGGGGCTGCCGTCGGTTCACTTGCAACTGGTGCGTTGCCAAGTTCGCCGCACAAGAGAAGGAGAAAACATTGAAAAGGAGAATGAATGTTTCAGGGATTTACACCAATGCTTTGCTCTTTGGGATATGCATAATTAAAAATTTGGATTAGGTTGGTTTAGATTAACTTTGAATTCTCTGCCGGGTTTTTGAAGAGAGCAAAGCGGGGGAGACACATGCGGTTTTTGGCTCAATTTTGGAGGACTAGCTCGCACCGGGGACCTGTTTTATGTATGATTTTGCGTGTGGGAAGGCATGCACCTCAACATTTGGAGGCCTCAGTCAGACTCCACGCACTCTCAGAGAGGACTCATCCTCGGTTGGAGTCTGCTCCGTAAGCTTGTGATTGGAGGGCGGCTGTGGTTGCTAAGCAGAGCTGCTCTTCCTGTGCTAAATAAGAACTTCGTGCTCTCTGGCTGGTGGGCTCAAAGAAGCGCGCCGGAACACACACACACATACACACACACACACACGCAGACTTACACACATGTACGCACAGACGGCACAGTGCAAAGACCTCTTGGAGTACAGAGACCTCACCCTCCTCCATGTACTGCCCATCCTCTTTCACTGTGACCCTGGCGCTGTGACTCGATAAGTTTCTCCCTCCTCCTCCCGCTTTCTTCTCTCTAACTCCTCCTCCTCCTCCTCACTCTGTATCGCGCACACACACGCACACACCTCTCCCGCAGGTCAGCACCATGTAAAGCTCCCCTCTTCATCACCGAGACCTCCTTGTCTGACACCTCCTCTGCCCGGCCATCATCATTCACCTCCTCAGTTTGACATCTCCTCAACCCTCGAAGAACACACACGTACACAAATAGACATACGTACATAAAAACACACACGCACAGACAGAGGCTCTCCTCCGCTGAGATCTCCTACTGTACTCCCCCTCATGCTGCATTATACTTAGATCTCCACCTCCACTGTAGAGAGCACACGCTGTATCAGACTGTATTCAGACTGGCCTACATACACCACACATGTATCAGTGTAACGCTGCAGGGCTGTGAGGGCTGAGTGTCTCCTTTTTTGAAGATAGATAGATAGATAGATAGATAGATAGATAGATAGATAGATAGATAGATAGATAGATAGATAGATAGATAGATAGATAGATAGATAGATAGATAGATAGATAAGTACTTTTGTCAGGATGACCTCATAACCATTCGTTTCGAGAGCGAGGTAAATGAACAAAATGAGTGGGATCCACATTTTTAACTCTCCTGTTTTGCCGTCATACAGCTGATGTTCTCATGAATCTCGGGACATTTCATCTCCAAATTTAATAGAAGTCCTTCTTCTACAGTCTGTTAAGCTCTGACCCATCAAACCAAAAAGAAAATGTCAGACTCATATTATTTTCTCCTCTCTTTATCCCTCTGAATAAATGAGTTTACAGACCTGATAGTGGTAGGAAAAACTGATTGCTGACATTTCGCTGGCTTTGTCTAGGTTCATGTTTTCGTATCATGTTGTTCAGAAATATCAATTTCTTGCCTTATGGGGCGTTCGCACCAAGCGTGAGTAAAATCATCTCCTCGCTTAATTCGCGCAAATCTAGACGCGTGAATGAACAGTATGACTCGCTTCATTTGCGTCAACGGTAATTTCAATGGTAATCCCTGCCAATTCAGCCAGCAGGATCAAGTGATAGACAAAGTTTTTTTACGATTTACCAGGGAATCCGACCTCCTCACTCACTTGTCTCCAGGCAGTTTCAGTAATTAAAAGAAAAGGTATCATATAATTCGTGGCACCCACACACCAACATGACCAGTTTGTCCTCCATTTTAGATACCAGTGAACAACCGTCTGTTTTCATACGTCGACCGGCAACCTTTGTGCGATAACCTTTGTAGTTATTGCGACGCAAATATCCGCTCAAGTTGAGACATTTTCAGATTCCAGTAATAGGAGCGTCTAATCGCATTTTTACATCGACTTAACGTAATTCATTCACGCAAATGATTTTACTCACGCTTGGTATGTGGAGACAGTTAGTCTGACTAAAATCACGCTGAATCAAACTCCTCATAATCAGGCGAAGATGTCTAGATAATGCAGTTGGGGATCGTTCAAACAGACTGAATCTGACCTACGTTTTCTGCACATGCCCCAGTGTTCACATGCAGGGTTTTAAGTCGAAAGTTGAACAGCGTGAATGCGTTGCTAGGACGCTGAGTGGTGAGCAAAACCCCCGGGGGGTAAAGTAAGACATATATGCTAACTATGAGTGTATTCAGACCTGTGGCCTCCTTTTTATTGTGATGTGCTGCTGTGATTTCACGTCGGCTGGTTACACTGTGAATTACGCTGCTATTATCAAATCAAATCAAATCAAAACTTTATTTATAGAGCGCTGTTCCTGCATGGACATACAACACAAAGCGCTTTAAGAAACATAGAAAAACAATTACAAATAAACCCCCTCCCTCCTGCCCTCCATACCACACATAGACATATACGCACGCGCACCTGCACACTGTCACTATTGACAATTATGACATGCTACTAAGGGTATAATCAAGCAGATAAACTCCAAATACCTTGTGTAAACAAAAGACGCTGAATTTGAGATCTGAAGGATTTTAATTGCGTCCAACAGTCTGAGTGGATATCTATATATGTCTCAGTATAGGAAGGTGGAAATACGGTATTGGAACGTTTCACTTCTGGTTACGGTATCAGACTGGCCCACTAGCTCATAGGCTGTATTGGAAGCAAATCCACCATCACAGTTGAATTTCTCCTAGCGTGGTTTCTCAGGGGTCACAGCTTTGGCTTGTATGGCAGAACAATCATTCAAGGTTGGTGAAAAGTAGCAAGCCCCTGTGTGCTCCTCAGAGCAGCTCGACATGCTTTCTTGCAGAGACAGAGCAATGCAGCATTGTCAGCAGGCACCCATATCCAATGAATTCAGCACAGCTGTCCTAGCAGACTCTATCGCAGTGACAGGGGGGAAAGTTATTTATTCAGAATTACAATCACCCCGGGATCCGTCACGGTCATTCTCCGCCACAGCTTCAACCGGTCAGGTGGATGTTTCTCTCCCTCCTTGACCTTGTTGTTTATAACCTCATTTAAAAGCAGAATAAGCTGTGTGTGTCCTCACAAAAATATCCCCCCTCTTGTCTCAAGTCTTGCCCCCTTCCCCACCTCTCGTTTAGTTTTCTCTGCATCAATACAGCATGGTGTACATTCACAGAGACAGGCGTGCAGATGGGCTACAGTTGCTCACACGCTGAGGACACCTCTCCCCCCCACGCCCCGACTCCCCCCTTTTTTGCAGGTGTCTAATAGTCCAGGGTTGCCCCGCACTGTGCTCTCTGTGCCGGCTGCCCAGCATGTCCGCCTGCCTCCCCTGCGTTTGTGGCGTTGACAGGCGTCTGGCTTCATTTCCAGCCAGCCGACGAGCGCAGACACAGACAGCCATGTCCTGAAATAGAGCGGGCCCACCCTTTATCCCATAATGAGGGGACTATATAAGCCCTGTGTCTTAAGCAGTGTATGACCGGTGTCAAGAGAGGAGTTTGTACACACACACATCATCTTACAAAACGTCAAGCTGCTTTTCAGATTATCATCATAAACTGTGTAATCACCCCTCCTTTTGGCACCGACAACTTAATCTGCCGCAGAGGAGTGTGTGTGTTTCAATGCAAGGTCGGGCGACCTTTGATGATCTGTCAAGGTCCCTCACTGGAGAGTAAAATATGAAGATTACATAGGAGAGAATATGTCGACGAGAAGAAAACAAACCTCAGAGATCATCATCATGTGTGACCTTGTGTCGGTAGAAAGTTTGAAATCAAATGCAGCGATGATTGTCCGCTTTGGGCATCTGTCCCATATGGAATGTATGAATTATTCCAGAGGTAATAGTCGGCCATTGTTGGTGCACTCATCTTCCACAAAGACACCCATCTCTGCATGTCCATATTTAATTCACCCCTTTCAGCTGCTGAACTGTACATGCTGCTGATATAATGAGTCCCTCCAAAGAGATTAGTCGCCCTATCATCATCACAGCTCCCTAATTTCTCTGCCTTTGTTGTTGTGCAGGCTGCACTAAATGGGATAAAGGGGCTTGGCCGGACACAGTGGGAGGAAGTGGCTTTTGTGTCGCTAGCAGGTGCAGTGCAGTGACAGTTTTTTGGGGACGTATGTGTGCGTGCGCGTCTGTGTGGCCAAGGCCAGGAGGGTCTGAGCCCCCTGAGTACACGTTGAGATACAGCAGGAACCTCTGGAGCTCGACTCGAACCCTCAATCACAGGGTTCCTCGGGGGTTTGCAGTAAATTCTTCAGGCGAATGGTTTTCTCTCCCCTTCCTCCTCCTCCTGTTTCTCTCCCTCTCTTTTTTTTTTCCTCCTGCTCACATCTGGTGAACAGCGCTAGCACCCCTGTCATCTTTTACTGCGTTGAGGTCATTTCCACCCTATCGGTAAAGTGGAAACACATGATGTGCAGGGTTCGGCCTTAATGGGGTGGGGCTGGCATGGACCAGCACTGACACAGCTTTATAACCAAGAGTTGCCAAAACAGCCGAACTGTGGAATGCCTCTAACTGTAAAATTAAAGACGTTTTGGGTGAATAATGTCAGAATAGATATATTTCCCTCTCAGTTATGCACCTACTATAATCAGTTGCATATTTACACAAGCGAGATGTTGACATAGGTTTTACTTTTACGTGGTTTTAGATGTTTCTGGTGCAGTAAAGTTAGGCCATGTCAATCATGATACTATAAAACAATGAGTTAGCATTGTTTTTGATAATGAGTACCAACCCTGGAAAGACTCCCTCCTTCTTTTTGGAGTTTATCCACCTCGGTTCAAACTTTTAAAGTCTCTTTAGGGCCGGGCGATAAAACAATAACGATATATATCAAAAATTAATTTCCCTCAATATCAATATAAAACATGGTCAATATGCTTTTCGATAGTCAGCATTCTGCCATGTTTTGGTAGACTATACAAATAGCCAATGAAAAGGGGAGTTTCTCTGAAGTGAACCAATCATGTGCTGAATTAGAACCAAGTAGCAAACAACTGCGTAGTAGCAGACTGCAGCAACATGCAACCATAGCGCTTAAACGCGTGAAGCCGACAGCGCAGAAGCAGTGACACGCAGCAGAACAGCCGACCATTCAGTCCGTTTTCTCTAGCGCAACACCTTACAGCAAAACGTAGAAGAGACACAAAGACCTCACAGATGCAGTAGCTTATTGTATTGCAAAAGACATGCTACCGATAAGCACTGTTACATTTCGATAACGACTGATATGAAAAAATTATATTGTGATCAACTTTTTCCATATCGCCCAGCCCTAATGCTGAAATGTCTGAGCTGGGAATGACGTCACACCCAAGTTGCTTAAATAACAAAACTAAAATAACAAATGCTAAAATAACTTTTGTAGACGTAGCCATCTTGTTTGCCTCTTATTTTGCGTTTTTCTGACTTGGTAACTGAAACGCTTGTAACTCTGGTGTGACGTCATTCCCAGCTTGGACACCTGACTTCCAAGGTGACTCTAACGCAGCGTAAGTCTCTGTCATTTTCATTCTCCTTCTGATCACTTTATTAGCTCAAACTGGCGGGCGCTGTGGATAGCGGGCGTGTCCGCAAATTCGAATTGGGATTCTCCTTCAAAAATAATGTGGATTCTCCCCAATTCTGTGTCCTCAAACTCTTCACACCACAGCTCGCAGTGTGTGTGTGTTTGTGTGTGTTTGTGTGTGTGTGTGTGTTTCCAGGAAATTGAGCTTGTGTCATTTGTGAAAACACAGCTCTGCCATCTGACACGTTTTGGTTGATTTCTTGACGGTGCATTATGAGGATCCGCTTTGAATGAATAAATCGCCCTGACACGTTGACTTCTTTTTATGGAAACACTCAAATATATTCCTTCCAGTCCGAGCCTGTCTGTTTTTTTGTGGCGTTACGTTATGCAACAACTTAAAGAGTTAAAACCACTTAAACACTTGAAGATAATCGTCTAAGTATCTCAACTGTTTTAATGGAGTTTTACTGTCTCTCTCCGTGTGTCTCCGAGCAGATTCCAGTCTCACTGTGGTTTCCATTTTGTGGCAGACAGAGCTGCAGTGTAAAAAGGGTGGGCTGCAGTCAGTCAGTCAGTTACAGTCTGTAAGTAGACTACAGCTGCATGAATTTTCATTTTCCCGCCGTCCAGCGCAACTCCATCACTGACTGCAGCAGCACTTGTTATTGAGGGCACACACTCCTGTGCGGCGAGCCTCTGTCCTCATTACCTCTGCAGCAGCTTTAGCTCTCTGCCTTTGTTCTCTCTCTTGGCTTGAAACTGGAGAATATGGAGAGAAGTGCTGAGGCTGCAGTTAGCTCGGCTGCCCACAACTTCTGCCGCACAGAAAAAAAACACAGCGCAGACAACCACTACCACCACCACCGCCCCCCTAAGTCCTCTTGTCTACATATTTCCTGAGAGCCAACCCACAGGGGATGCTCCGGTTTGATTCATCCTCCTGACTCGGTTTTCTCTCCACTTCTTAGACTCTTATTTGTCTTCCTCTCCTGGCTGCTTGTGTCACTTACTCATCTGACGTACAGTTTACACCCTTAACTGTATATTTCTGACCTGGCCTACTGACCACATGCCCCTTGCGGTCAATCTGCTGCGTGAAAACTCCAATAGACGTGCTCCTCGGGGGCGTTAAACAGCAGCCGCGCAGAGTGGCTGGAGGGACAGTAAACTTTTATCACACTAATAACCCGCAGCCACAGCTACCTTAATGGCTTAGGCAGCCATGGCAGGGGTTGCCTGGAGGTCAGGTTGAATTGCAGGACATAAATGGAAGCTTCCAAGTGGTAGAGCAAATAAAGGAAAAAAGAAAAAAGAAAGGAAGAGCATGTGAGGTGAGCGGAGGGGGGAAGAAAGTTGTTATTGGAAGAGCCGATAATCACTTAAATTGATTTGCAGTAAAAAGGAAGCCATAGATTGGACGGCTCTTTTATAACAGGGCGATCTTTGGCCTTTTAACCCCTTTTTCCCAACCGACTCTCTCCGCACACTTGCAAACCTTGGACTCGGTCCGAGCGCGCCGTCAAAGGGCAACAACTCCTACACAAGTGACACAAGAGAGTGAAAAGACTCGAGTTTGCCCAGTTCTTGGTGCAAAAACATGGCTCAGAAAAGCAGAGGAAGAAAAGAGAGAGAGAAGGAGAGAGAGAGAGAGAGCAGGGACTTGTTAATGGAGTTTAAATCTAAACTTTCTCTCAGATTCCTCTCCTTCTGGCTGAGGTGGACGGGTCTTGAGAGTGTTTGTTTTAGGTGAAGTCAGAGCTGGAACAGTGTGTTGTGAACCGCAGGCCAGACTGTGGTTCTGCGGTTCAGCTCCGACCTGAATGCAGACTGCTCTGTTTGTTTTGCTTCTCCGTTTCTCAGGGAGAAATTCAGATGCTGCCAAAGTCCTGCGCTCACACCCAAGGCACGCAAATAAAAACGACTTCACACAGACGCAAAGAAAAAGAAATGTACCGGGGTGTAGTCGCATGCATCTGGACCTCACCACCACCGCCATGACCTGAGTTTCAGGGGTCTCTGCTGTGTCATCTCGTAAAAGGGCTCTTTGGGAGATGAGATGGCATTTGATTGTTTCAGTGGCAGGATGTTTGTGTGTTTTGTTCCAGGCCTTTTCATAAATAGCAGTTTTTATGTTGCCGAGGTCAACTGGTTTTACTAGACTGGAGAGGCAAGTCCAGAGGCAAGGAGGCCTCCCCGCCATCTGGCAGCCATAAAAAAAGGGGGAGCAGGAGGTTTTTTAGCAGGGTTTATGAGATGGTAGAGGGTGAGACACTGAGGAAAGAGGAGGAGGAGGAGAGACAGAGTGGATGGTGGACTCTGGTTGCCCCCGAGCTGCAAAGCTTCCTCTGCAGTCTGAATGACAGGTCAGAAGTTCATTGCCTTCTTTTTCATCCTGCATCTGCCTTGTAAGGTGAAAGAGGTGACGGCCGGTTCAGAGTTCGAGGGCAAAGGAGAGGACGTCACCGTGAAGCTGTTATCACTGCTGAGAATAAAGATGTATTCTGGGCCGAGGGGGAGCTTTGTTGTGATTTAACGAGATTGCTGTATTTAAAAGGGGCTTAAGAGAGGAGGGGAAAAGCGCTTCCTTGATGTCGCCGTTTGCTTGTTTTTCCTGTGCAGACGATCAGACCTGAGTCCTACAGATGGTGCAGAATTATGTGACTGCGTAAACACTGGTGATTCAATGGCTTGGTGTTGTTTGGATATGCGTCAGCCTCTCAAACGCGGCCTGCACACCACCGCTAACCGATTAATGAGCAGTAAGTTGTTTTGTGCTGCTTCACATCCAGCAGGAAAAAAAAGCAAGACAGTCAGGTGGTGGCTTAATTTTGTTTGCACATCTGAATTAAGGGCGAATAACAACATTGTTAAGCCAAGAAAATACCAGAGTTTGGGGCCGGTGAGATTCTCATGGAGATTTGAGGGATAAAGACCCTCCTGAGAGTCTCAGTTATGTTCTGCTGGAAGATTTTCTTTTCCCCTGTCTTTTAAGAGCCCAAGCTTGGAGCTGTCTGCTCCTTCTGAAGCTGGATGCTCGGTGTTATAGGTTTTCCAGAACGGGTTATCATTGCAGAGGACTGTGCTGCTTTGCTGACTCTGGCACTGATATCTCCCATAGAGATTTCATCTTTTGTTATGCTGCAGCTGAGATGTGTTAACCCTTTAGCCCCTTTAAGATATTTAGCTAATGGAGGTTGTGAAGCCTCTCGGTCCATATTTGGTGTTTTTTACATCGAAGTCAATGTTTTTGTCATCCGAACAAAGTGGTATTGACCCATCTGTTTTTTGCCCAATTGGGGATGGGTATTTTCGACCCTCTGCTGCTTCGCACAGTTTGTGTATGAAGAGAGAAAAAGTGCTGACAGCAAAAGAATGAGAGCGTGTTTGGCAGGCACGCCCTTGTAGGTTTCTGTGTCACTCAACTCTAATAAATTTTTAATCGTTTCCTTGCTGTGGTATAGAGCTCAACACGGCTCTGCTCAGTCACACGCTATTTAGGAGGCCCTTATTCTGTTTAAACTCATAAAAAAAGGGGAAAATAACAGGTAGAGCAGGAATTTTCACTCATTAGGACCATTACAACCAGTAACAGAGTGATATATATAACTGTGAACACAGAGGACCAGTTTAAGGCTACTTTCTTTTAGCTTCCTAGCATGATAAAGCTAGCAAGAGCGTATAAATGAAAATCTGAAAGTGAATTAATATTTTTTTTGATTGGAATATTCATCGACTGGAATTTAAAAGTTGTATTTTTCTCACATTTCTTTAAGATTCAGATTCAATATTTGGGGGTTTCTGACCCACCAAGACAATTCTTTGATTATGGTTTTATAATAGGCCAAATGTCAAACAGATCAGGCATATATACCTGATCTTTTGTGTGTGCATCTGTGTGTGTGTGTGTGAGCGTTTGAGTGCTGCATGTGTTGAATGGGGGTGGGGAGGGTGGGTGGAGTTTGGTATTTGTATTTGTATTTATTTTATTCGATTATTTTTAAATATCCTGCGAATGGACAGCACTTTGTGTGACATTCTATGTATGAAAAGTGAGAATAGAGTAGAATAGAATATTCCTTTATTGATGCCCCATGGGGGACATTTTTTTAAATTTACTTAAATAAATGTTCTAATTAAGAAAAAAAAAATAGAAAAGGAAAAAGGGAGAAGAAAATAAATTAATAAAATAATAAATAAAATAAAAATAAAATTGAAATTAAAAAAAGAAATAAAAAATAAAAATTTATACAATATAAGTGCTTTAAAAATAAAGTTTGATTGATTGATACAGTGCTCAGCATAAATGAGTCCACCCCTTCAAAGTTGTCAGAAAACCTTCAGTTTCCTTTCAAAATCAACATTTTCTATGTCAGACTACACAACAAAATACTCCCTCAAATGTAGGTCATTGATTGAAAACAAGATTTTTTTAAGTTGCAAACAAAAAATTATATATTTTTTCAATTTAATATCAAAATGAGTACACCCCAATGAATGTTCTGTGAGCAAATCTAAATTTTAGTTACCATATCACCCTTATTTTCATCTTATGGTTAATAAAATATCAAAACTTTGGAAATCGTACTTTTGCTCATCTAGATATTGACTAATACATTACTTTTAATAGGGGGTGTACTGACTTGTGCTGGGCACTGTATGTATAATCATAAGGTTCTCCAAAGGTACAAAGGGTCTCTAGATGCCCTGTAAAATGGACACCACCACAGTGTAATGTGCTGTAACCCTTCAGGCAAATACTGCAGGAGGCTGAGCTCCTGAGTGTCAATTCAGAGTCCTCATTATTAAGTCTATTGGAGTGTCTCCAAAAATTATCATGACAATAGTGCTAAATATACTTACATTGCCAAGAACATTGATTGCACTCGACAAACTTTACAGAAAGCATCAAAGGCACCTTCAAAGGCGGCCTCGGTCAAAGGATTCAGCCGGAGACTCGGTGAGAGCCTCTCAACATACTTTGGTCTGTTTATTCGCTCACACTCTGCGTCATGTCAGAATCCAGAGCTTTGAGAAAAAGGAGTGAAATAAAGCACAGGCCCCTGATTGAGAGGCTGGAAATGAGGGACTCTGCTCCTGCTTTAGTGGTTCCGTCCACTGCAGTGATTCAGGGGATAAAAATGTGGCCTGTGTCTCTTTAAGAGCGCTGGCCTGTCTGCAGAATGCATCAGTCCTGTGGAGCAGACACAGGCCAGCAGCAGCAGGAGGAGGAGGGGGAGAGAAGGGAGGAGCATGGGGTTCTGCGGAGGGAGGGAGGGAGGACAGGAGGGAACAGCCGCAGTCTGGGCTTCCAGCCTCCTGGCTAGACTGCTGAAAGTTATTATTGAGTTCCTGTGTAGGGCCTCCCCTCCCTGCGGCATACTCCTCTGTGCTCACTACGAGGCGGACGGGGAGTGAGGGAGAGGCAGAAAGAAAAGTTGGCAGCGTCCCATGCCCCTTTGCAGTGACCTTATATGCAACAAATAAAGGATAATTTTGTTTGATTCTGTGTTTTTGCAAGGGCGAAGCCTCTGAAAGCCCTGTAAGATTCAAGAGCAGCCACACACGCACTCACTCACGCTAAAGGCCCTACAGCTGCTCAACAGCAGCTGAAACTGCAGCCCCGGCTCACTGTTGTCTTAAGTTACAGTTTAGCAGACATGTCCTGTTTTCTTAGGAATGGCCTTAACTAGTCAAGACAAGAAGGTTGACGGTTCACCACTGTGAAAGCAGCGAACTAAATCCTCTCCTGGCGTGCTAAGTGATGAGAATGATTCAAGGACAGATGGTGGGAGGATGACTCCTTCAGTCTCCTTCAAATAACTTTACAGAAAAAGGTGGCTATGAATTAGAAATGTGCATGAATGTCGAACTGAAGACTCCACTTTGTATCTACTTTGCACCACCAGCAGCTTCTACTCTCTGTGTAGAATGATCCTCCTGTAGGTTGTCTCGTCAGCGTCCACCCCGCAGGTCTTAGAGATTTGCAGGCAAAGGCCACGGAGATTACACAGTTACACACATGATGCCCTACTCTCAGGCCTGTGCCTGCCTGCAGCACTAATCCCTGGCCTGCCTAGCACCACAAAGCGCCTGCGTCCTCCCTCCATCGCAGCCCACCAGGAGAGCGAGAGAAAGACAGACTTTTATGTAATGCTGGGTCCGGTGCGTTTGTTCTGAAACCTGCTGCTGCTGCTTCAAGCGAGGCTCCCCCAGGTTAACAGAACCCAGCTGCTGCCTGTCCTACTGTACTCAACGGCGTCATGGCTCTGGCTCGCGAGAAAAGCCTGGACCCATGCAGCACCTGAGGCTCGTCAGGTTTTCCTGCGGCATGTCACATCTGTGCCCTGATTAATCCCAGCCCTCATTCATGGTCAGTGCGATCACTCGGCCTGTGTTTTAAAGCCGTCTCAGGCTGGGTTTATGCAGGAAAACTGGGCGAGGAAAAGACGGGGGGAAGGGGGGAGGGCTGGCGCTGAAATGGGTATTTTGTGGAGTTCTGTTTGTTGAGTCAGAGCTTAGTTGGGCTCTACTGTTATGTGGTTGCCATGGAGAAAAACACAGGCTCTTGTGCAATAAAAAATCATCCAGGAAAAGACATTTCCAAGAATTTTTCAGAGTCGAGAAACAGACGGCAAATTGCAGAATTCATGAGGTGCTGCGGTCCACCAGCGGCCCCTTCCTAGCCCTCCATTTTAGAGCACTCGTATTCGTTTTATAGACCCTGCAAGGCCCGAGCCCTCTCACCTAATTACTCCTGTAAGCAGATATGTTTTCCTATGAATGGAGGAGGGAAACAAAACCGGTGTTTAAGGATGGAATGTGTGATCTTAGGAACGGATGTTGTGGGTGTTTTATCCCCTATTTCCCTTACAGACAATTCCTCGAACAAGTGGAAACAAGTGAAAAGCTATTTGATCTCTGTCAAATATTACAATATACACAGACGTGTCCTGTGAGGCCCCTTGAACGTTTGAGTCAGATCGCTTCTCTGCCAGGGCAAAGGGAAAATTTTCAGAGGCAAAAACTCCCAGTGTCGGTTTGAAACTGTGTTGATGGATAATTGGTTGGAGTCTTATAAAAGACTTTTTTCTCTCTCTCTTGGAGCTATAATTCTCCCCTTGGTGACGTCAAGGCTCCTCTAATATGAGGTCTTTTATTCTTACCATTTCCTGTCTCTCTGAATGGACTCATTAGCACTTTTCAAACAGGGCGGCTTGCTGGTTGAGCTTCCTAGCCGTAGAAAATACCTCTGATGAAGTAGCGAAGAAAAAACAGCACAGAACATGATTTTGTTCGGAGAGTAGTTTATCTAACAAGATGGAGCGGGTGTACGACGAGAAAAGACTTAACTCCAAAATCAGGAGAAATAAGAGTCGAAAAAAGCAAACAGCAAACAGACTCACAAACTAACAAAGTAGATACTCAACAATGTTTTCAGGACTCGTGTGAAGTTTATGTTAAACTTTAATCTGATCTAGATCTGTCGCAATATCAGATCACATCGCAATTATCATGGCCATAATATATCATGATAATACAACCAAGTATTAGCGCCACATGAAGACAAAAAAAAAATAAGACTTCGAGATTAAAGTAGTTAACTTACGAGATAAAAGTCATTGCAAATGAGAAAAGAGTTGTGATAAAGTAATTACTTATGAGAATAAAGTCGTAATAAAATCATTACTTACAAGAGTAAAGTCGTGATAAAGCAATTACTCGCTAGGAAAAAGTCATAATAAATAAATTATGAGAATAAAGTCGTAACAAAGTAATTACTTGTGAGATTAAAGTCATAATAAAGTCCTCTTATTCAAAGCTGTTGTTTAAGATGACAGTTGTTGAGATGAGAGCCATGGAGGATTTCATGAAAATGTACTTTAATATCGGTTTCTCAAACAAGGAGATACTTTATCTTTTGGCACATCGGCACCACATTATCATAAGTATCATAATGATTTTATTATGAATTTATTCTCGTAAGTAATTAGCCTACTTTATTATGACTTTATTCTCATTAGTAATTACTTTATTAGGACTTTATTCTTGTTAATACTGACTTTATTCTTGTAAATTAACAACTTTAATCTCAAAGTCTTAATTTTTTCTTCTTAATGTGGACTGTTGTATGATAATGATATAACAGGATAGAAACTGCTGGTCAAAAACTCCTTATAGAAACTTTAGAAAAAGAAAAACAAATAGAAAGCAAATCTCGCCCAAGATAAATTAAAGAGTGAGGACATTAAATCGATGCCCTAAGGGATACTTGATTCCACTCCATGCCTGTAAGCTACATTTGAAGTTCATTGCTAAACATACTAAAAGAGTCGTTAAATTAGACATTAGGTGTGTACTCAAACAACGCATCATTGTTCAAAGGTGTTATAAACCACAGTGCAGGAGCGTGGATTCGGTTTGCTAACCTGGTGACCGTAGAGGCACCGTTTTCAACACAATGACCGCAGTGGTATCTATAACTTTCAGCAGGATTTATTACCTCGGTTCAACCAATTAGCTGGTGAGCAGTTCTCAGGACGTACACTGTCAGTGAAATGACATCACATGGGACCCTGAGTGACTAGTGACCCTAACTTCACCTCACCCTCTCACAGCTTTTACGACCTCCTCCCCTAAATCCCCCCCATGCCCCAGTCCTGTCCCTTCACACCTTTTAACCTCTGCTATTCATCCCATTTTCATCTTTCCAAATAAACCTGCCACCTGCCTTCCTCCTCGCTGGCCGTTCAGGGGGCATGTGGTCACGTGGCTTAGCTTACCAGGGGGCGCGGCGGCACTGACCACAGCTCAGCTGACTGCGCGGTGAGCTGCTTAAGCTTACAAAGAAAAAAAAACTAAAGCCGCAATGTTTGATCGGTGACATTGTTGTCACTATAATTTCTTCAGCTGAAATTAGCCATATGTTCCTGAGTGTGTAGTTATAGCTGCTCAAACTGAATTATTTATAACTCGAGGTCTGCTTGAATTACTTTATATTTTTAGTCTGCAGGATGCTTCTGAAATGGTTGCAAAAAAAGAAAAAAAGGGGGCTGGCGAATGAGTCATCCAAAGTTTTACAGTAAAAATGTTTGAGGTTCAAAGTTCAGTGAATGAAAACTGAAAATTTGTTGGTTTAAGACTGTCGATTAAAAAAAAATCTGGGACATTAACTTGGAGTTTATTGAGGCAATAAACTTCAGATTGTTTACACTTATATCCAATTTGATCCAATAATAAATTTTGAGGGTGTGAGTTAGATGACTGTTTTAAAAAAATGAGAAGGAACAGATAAGAAGTGAGGCTTTTTTTAATAAGACTGAATGGCTAAATTATTAATAAGAATGTTTATATTTGTTGGATATATAATAGATGTCCATTAGAGTGACTCCTAAAGTAGAGCAGGTGTACTGTGTACCTTGAATTTTACCCTAAGTGCATTATCAGAGTATTAGGAAGTGTTGGTAATTAAAGGACAAAGATTGATTGTACTCTCTGTGCTCAGCTGTCAAACCAGAGATGTGACCGTCCATCTGGCCCATCAGTCTCTCAGACATGGAGGTCTAGACGCTGACTGAGTCCAGACTGCTGTTTCATGCAGTCAGTCACTCTTCCTCCCCCCCTCCGTCAGCCTCCTCCTGCCCTGTGAGGGAGGTGCAGAGGAGGCGTCCAGTACCAGGTACTGCCAGTGATATAATGGTCTGTGTATTCCGAGCTGTAACTGTTTGGGTTGTGGAGAGGTTATCCAGTGACATTTTAATCGTCTTTCTGCCTTCTTTGCCGTGGCATTAGTATTAATCTGCGGGATTAAATCCCAGCCAGTCAAACACTGGACTTGCTGTCTTGTTATAGAGCAGAGGGGGACCGGCAAACAGCGAGAACGGCGGCGCACACTTCCCTGCGTGCAGGCAGGGATGTGCTTATCAGTGACAGACCAAGGTTTTCAGTCTGTGGACATCAGACCTCTGATGACAGGAGGGTTTGTTAACACGCATGACGGGCTCGGAGGGAACAGAGCTGCTTTTTATCAGCAACAAAACACAGATTTTCACTTCAGTCTTTCAATACTCTAAAAAAATCCAGCATACATCCCTGTTTCCTTTTTATTATTGCATAAAATGAGTTATTCGCACATTTAATGTTCAACACTCCTGGTTATTTCAAAGTTTTAAAACGAAATTTAGCAAAAAAAAATATTGAAATAGAGCGTTGAAATATGTAGCTTAATAGCATGATGGGAAATGTAGAATTCAAGGCTGTTTGTATGGACAGAAATATAGGAGGACTCAGCTTCTGCTCCCATTGCGTGATTTTATTCTGATCTTTCTTGAAAGTATTCCCAAATTAAAGAAGATGCATTCATGTAAAGTTTTATCTTTTATAAACCAAATATTATGTTGCTTCTAGATCTTGAAATTAGCTTGTTCCTTTTCTTGCAAAAGACAGAAAATGCCCCTTGTTGAAAAAGGATATTGTGGATAGAACATCTCCTTTAAATAAATAAGTCCCAAATGTAAAAGTAAGTAATAGATCGTTGAAACGTGTAGTCCTGCCTCAGCAGCAGAGCCTCAGACAGTCAGTCAGTCTAATGCCAGGGGATTAAGCTTGCATGGCAAAGATGGCGTTGGCACTGCTGCACAGAGGAGATCAAGTTGTGTGAAGGCACGCACACATGTATGAAAAGACAGGAAGCTGCAGCCGCTCAAACAGACTTAAACACTCCTGCACATTACACAAGGAGACACAAACAGTCTGGATTGATTGGCCATTTTTGGACGATGGTGAAAACAGCTGAAAAGTAGTGAGGATACACACTAGGGCTGGGCGATAAACAGAAAATTTACTGATACCGAAATTTACGATAAAAACAACGTATAACCCTAAATCCAAAAAAGAAGTAAGAAGTCTTTCCAGGGTTGGTGCTCCTTATTAGAAACAACGCTCACTCGTTGTTTTATAGTATCATGATTGACATGGATGGCTTTATTGTACCAGAAATAGGGCTGGGCGATTAACCGAAAATTTACCAATACCGAATTGTACGACAATAACCAACGTCATTTTGCCCATTTTGCTTCATTCAGTGTCAAATAAATAAATAAATAAAAGTTGGTTTCAGATGTGTGTAGATAGGCTGTGGTCTCATGTCCCTTTATGACACTGTCCTACGTCGGTGACATGACTCCACCCCATCCAGCCATAACAAAGAGGGAAAGACAGGTGAGAAGATGGAGGACGGTTCAAAAGTTGTAGTAGAAGTAGACGAAGTTAATGTGGGAGGGGGTGAGCAGCTTGTAGAGTAGTTATTGTCCATTTATCGTTATCGAGGGGAACTGCTCGTGATATTGATTTGAGGACATATCGCCCAGCCCTAATACATACAAATTTAGACACTTTCCAGAAGACCCACTTTGTATTTGAGAATTGCTGAAACTCAAATTAGAGAAGTTTTACTAAATGGCGAAATCTGTAATCCGTTCACTTTCCAATGGGAGCCTTTGTTGTCTTCTTCTTAAAGGTCTCATGGATGCATTATTGGGTGTATGAGTGAATGAATTGGCAGCGTTCGGGAACACTAAATTAAACTCCATCATAAACGCGGGTCAGCTGGAGTCTGTCTTTGCTCTTTCTCTGTCTTCCTCGTTAACCTCCATCCCCTCCGGCCTCTTGGTTAGCGCTGCAGCTGCTCCTGCGTTATAACTGTGCTAAATGTGAATGGAAGCATAAAGGCATTGTGTGTGCATGTGTAGGACAGTGTGTCTGCATGTGTGTGTGTTTGTGTGTGCCTGTTTTTATTGGTTTGCAGCCTTTATTGGTTTGTGTCTTCGCTCAGATCCAGTCTGCAGTCTAATGTTAAACTCTCGTATACTGACGGTGCAGCAGTAGGAGGGCTCAGACAAACTATCCGCTGAATTTGGCGCCATGTGCTTCCATAAATACACCATACAGGGAGCACGTTTCATTTCCTAAGATAACTGTGCCTCACAACCATACCAAACATGCTCATGCTAATAATGTATAATCTACTGGGATGTCTGTTTCATGTCTTTCATTCTCGGGTTTCCGCGTCTGTTGAAATAACTTATTAGTTCTTTGTGCTGCAAGGTCTTCCTCAGAGGAAGAGGAGTGATTTGGACTCTACTGTCCACACACTGTACGAAAAGGAAAGGCAGGCATGTTCACGTTGTTATGGTTGCCGTGTTTGGACCTGAAGTGGAATTCATTTCTCACCGTGCAATAGTACAGTAATCTTTCCTTTTGTTTGCTCTCGCCGCCGAGATGATCTCTTTCGTGTACACGCAGGAAATACACGTCAGTCAGGAACAGGTTTTATCATGATGCGGAGACTAGAAATAAAGCATGTCATTAAAAGATTAAAGAGAGTTCAAGGTGGCTTAATAGATGCTGTTTGAATTTCGGCTTGATGTATTATCGCATTGTGTGAAATGAATCACATGAAGAAATATACTCCTACAGGATGTCTTGCTTGGAAAAAATCATCACCTGGCAAAACACTGGGTCTACAAATTTGCCCTAAAAACCTTCGAACATACGGCAAAAAAACTGCAATATTGTGACACCATTAATAAAATCACTTTAGATTTTTACAGAAATCAGCATCTAGATCAGTCCTTGAGTTCATCTATTGAAACAGAAGCAAATCGTCCCCATAGGCCATGAGTAAACCCACGTGAAAAAAGTGGGTAGTCCTACTTTTAATACTTAAAGTGCATGTAATTAAAGCTCACGTGAGGAACTTCCTGTTTGTTTCAACGTGTGCACCCTCCCTGGACAAATATCTTTCGCCGAGCCTGTCCTGCACATGTTTAAGTTGCGTCTGACAAAAATCTCATCCTCCCTTCACACAACGAGAATCTGCTCTGCAAAAATGTGAATTTAAAGAAGACTTTTCTGCAGTGTGCAGAGGTTAAGGCGTTACAGACAAAACATATAGGTAAAGTCCACTTTCTCGCTGATCTTCCTGTTTGCTTTTGCTGCTCATAAAGAGACATCGAAATTAAATTCGGTCTGTTTCCAGCTAAAACCTCCTCGCAGGAAACACAACTTTTGCAGCTTTGGAAGCTGGTCAAGTCAAATCTGCCTGAGACAGATTTACGATCTGTACAAACGATATCAATTCACCTTTTCAGACTTCATTAGATGGAGGGAAAAAAAAACCTTTTTATATGCAGCAAACTGAAGTTTATTCATATGTACATAATGTATTTGTAAAGAATCTTCTCTTTCCCTCACACAGCTCTCTTTATAAAAGGTCAAAAAGCGTAAAATGACGCTTTACAATCCCATCTTGAAGCTTAATGTGTCAGACATGATGAGACATTTTTCACCTTACGAGACAGCAGCTCGACCTGCGTCCGCCTCAGCCCTCATCAAGTCCCAATCCTAAGGACAATTAGGACAATCCAATAAGCTTTACTGTAATGCCGGCCTTCTGCCAAGCCCTGCAGCTCCCTCAGCGTGTCTACACCGTCATGCCTGAGCACAAATATATCCTCAGCATGGACGGGGACAAAGTAAACTGCAAAATTAAGCTAAGATTTAGAGAGGGGAAATGAGAACTCGAGCTGTATCTTGTGTGGAGCTGGGATGAGGTTTCAGGGATATTCTGGGCAGCTACCAATAATTTTCCCCCAGCTGTTAGGAGGTGACCACAGGGCTTTATATAAATCAAGGGGCCGTCGTACAATTTGTGCAGCGAGAGTCGAATAGAAAGCTCAAGGCATCCCTGTGAACATCCACACCAAACTACAGGCATCGTATTACTAAAACTAGTATTCTCTCACTTCCAACTAAGGTCGTTACTGGAGCGAGCCGTGCCAGTTGCTGTGCCCTTGAGTGAGACAGCGCCCCAATAAGCACATGTCGATCTGAGGATTACATTCAGGGCTTTAGGACGGGAAAGGAGGCCGTAATCTGAAACTGTTGTGTCTTGTTGCTGTGCACTTTTCTTAATGCTATGCTATCATGCAGCATGCGTTGGTATTGTATGACTGTTGCCTGAGGAAGTTCAGCTGGAGGATCTATTTTTGTCTCGCCATATGAGAGCTTCTGATTTCTGATTCCTCGACAATTCCATTTGATTTTTTTCTTTTTCTTTTTTTTGCCTGAATCAAAAATTCTGAAAACATAAAAAATCTAAGGTTATAAAGAGCAGGAAGAAGTTTGAACTCAATGATCACAATGATTGGAAATAGGAGAAAAAGCTAGTGCGGCTCATTTAGTGGGAAACAGAGATCAGGTGCCGTCACCTCTGGAGCTCATGACATCTTGTTTCTAGTACTGAGTTTAAGCTTCACAGTCACAGTCACAGTACAGACATTTAGGGTGTAAAATAGTAAAGGTTAACTTGAGTAACACCACTGAAGTCTAATAAGAATTGAATTGTAGGGATTTTTTGTGTTTTATCTGCAGCAGCTGATGATCGCTACCCCGTTGTTAGTCTTTGGCCCTTTTGCAAATAATGTCCCATGCACCAATATCAGTAGATGTTGCTGTAGTTGATTAATTCAACTACAACATAATTAAACTGCAACATATTATGAACCATTTGCATATTACGTTGTTTAATTCTTAGCTAACACACTGCAAATGATAGTTTTTGCATTTACTCACGAAAAGATATTGAATAAGTAGGGATGGGCAATAAATTATCATTCATGTTATATCATCAGAAAAATCTTCCATGATAAATATTTGCCATCTCATGATAAATACGATAAATGCAAGATGGTGAAGTAAGCGCAAGCGACGGACTTGCAGCCATAGCCCAGACAGAGCAGAATAACAAACAAAGATGGCTGAAGGTAATGAAGAAAAAGACGTTTCTGAGCAGCTCGTTGCTAAACAAGGCTCCATATGAGGGATTTCCTTCAAGATCGGGGTTTAGATGAGTGTGATCAGGTACGCCTGACATCCGACAGAGGATCTGCTGCTGTTCACTCTGTGCAATAAGAGTTTTCAACAAATGTTGAAAATGTTTGAGACTTGTTTGATATCATTAGTTTTCTCCATAACCTACCACTCAAACTTGTGGTTAAGTATCTAATTTGACTATTTCAACTGGTGTTCTCAAGACAGAATGAGTCAAAAATATAGACAGGAATTATAATATTTTTTTATCAGGACTTATCGTTATCGCCAGAATGGCAAATCTTATCGTTTTCAGCCCATCTCGCCTGTGCCTAACAGCAACATAATTAAACTGCAACATATTATGAACTCTTTGCATGTTATGTTGTTAAATTCTTGCCAATACATGGAGATAACGTATTGCAAAGGATAGTTTTTCCATTTACTCACGAAAAGATATGTCTTCAGTTACTTAGACATGTAATTTTTCTACATACTGTACCTTGACATGATTCGGCGGTGAAAAGAAGACATGTCTGACATTAAAGAAAAAAGAAAACTATTTCTCAGTATGGTTTCTATTATGTCCAGCAACTATTTCTTCGACTCTGTAAGTTCAGACAACAAAAAAAACTGGTTGGACAACAAACACAACAACCATAGGACTGGTTAAAGATCCCTCACATGGAGTCATCTTCCTCCCATGCTTTGAAACATCTGTTACTGATGGCCATCGAGGTTAAAACGGAGTGAAGCTCAATAAACAGATATTGTTGATTAGCTCCATGTTCAAGTGAAATAACAGTTCAATCGCCATCATGCTCCAGTTAGCACCACATTGACCAGTTATTCTTCAAGCAGGTCAAATGTTCTGCTCTCAGAACAGATACCGATATGTTCGCAATGTGGCGTGTTTCTCTGTCATTATCCGCAGTGCCAGCATGAAAATAGCTGGGGCTTATCCCAGTATTATCATGCCATTATATGGCCCTAATTAAAAAATAAAGCAGCTCTTCCCCTGCCCAGCTGCTATTAGACCCTGTTTAGCCTACAGGTTTGCTTTGAAAAGCTCCCTCATTACATTGCCTCAAAGAAATATCATACAATAGTGAGTTGAAAAGGGCAATGCTTGAATGGAGTCTTAAAGGAGAGGCTGTACTTGGCCTTCAAGTATACATTCCTTCAGCTCAGTGCTTCCTCTGTGGTCCTGCTCCCCTGGCCCACCCCCCTTCTTCCACTCAAGACTTAGTTCCCACAGGGGACTGGGCCAAAGCAAACTCCTCAGAGGAAGTCTCCCTCTCCAAGCAGTGAAAGAGAGAGAAAGAGAAAGAGGGATGTCCCTATCATCTGGCTCAGTGGGACCTGCTAAGCAGTAGGATGTGCAGAAGGGTGTTATGACTCCTCGGCCATGCTATGTCTATGATGTGGTGGTGAGTTAAGCCTGTGTGGCTGCTCTCCTGTGAGGTCAGTGTCAGATTTAGCCAGCAGGTCCCTTGTGGTGTCTGGGAGTGTCTGTTTTCTGACTCTATTATGTCTAGCACTCATAGCCTTCCTGGAGCTGCAAACCTCAGGGTAGAAATAGCACCAGACAGGCAGACATCCTTTGTCGGGAAAAACAACAGTCATGTCAGTAATTACAGAGTCTGATTACAGCAGAGCAGCAGCTCCTACAAAAACCACCGGCCTTGAGTCAGGCAGGTGAGAGGTCGAGTCACCGAGTGCTGAGCAAACGCAGTCAGTCAGCGGGAGGTCTGGGTTAAAAGACTTAACCTACAGAAGCTAAACCAAACACCGAGCGCGCTCTGTGTGTGCGAGTGTGTGTGTGAATGGGTGTGTGTGTGTGTAATGTGTCTACTGGTTCGACAGGTAAAAAGACATTTGTGAGTCAGTGAGACGAGAGGGGAGTGTCCAGACAGACATGTCATGTATACATGAAGCAGACAGTTTGGCAAGGCAGAGTTTAGACGAGAGGGTGGTGCGTTATGTAGCAATAGATCAACAAATAAAACTGAACTTAAATCTATTAGATATCAGGAAGTGATGAGCTTCTTATTTTAGGGATATAATGTGATAAATGATATCTCCTGTGTTGGCATAAATCAGATTTTACAGCTCTGTCAGGGTTACGGACTGGAAAACCTTGGCTAATTGAAATTATAAAAGGGCCTCAGATGTTTTTTTGGCATTTGATTAGAGAGGAATGATTTGATAAGCGAGGGGGAAATAGTTTCATGACTTGAAGGGTCAGTTTTAATTGAAAAGCAGTGATTCTTAAGCAGAAAGTGGGTTGAATGTTGAGCCTTTTTGAAGATAAAATGTCAAATGTTAAAAAAAAAAATTATGATTTACCAAAAACACAAACACAAAATAACTCAGATAGAGTTTCCTATCAGCCAACTTATCAACTGGTTTTCCTCGAGTTCACAGCAAAAATCGGTTTCTATATTTTGGGCATACGCTGCTAGACCTGACTAACACCTGACACACACACGCTCCTACACAAACACACATACTCATGTCTACACAGTCACCCACCCACCGACACCCACTCATCGCTGCGAGTACACACACACACACACACACACACATACATACTCACGCAGCGTCTGGCTTTGTGTGGAGAAACTGCGAGACATGATTCATTACCAGCCGCGCTTCTTCTCGCTTAATGCTAAATGAGGTTTGTCATTAATTTCCATTCTGATCTGATTACACCAAACTGAGAAAGAGGTTTCACAACTACGATCAACCCCGCAGGAGTGTTCTCCATTGAGGATTTCGTAGGTAGACGGAGTAATCATTTGTCTTGAATCGCACACACAGACGAGGAGGAGATGGGAGTGTTTGCCATTCCTTGAGGCAGAATATCATAGTAGTGAGTAAGAGAGTAGCAGGCAGGTCTGTGCTGGCCTCTGCGCCTGCTCAGGTAAACATATCCCCTGTCTGACAAGTGCAGACCTGAGGGCCGAGAAGGTGAGCTACCTCAACACATGCGCTTACACTCAGATCTACAATATGTACAGCGTTAGAGGCCTTAGAGATTCAGTGTTTTATGGCACTTAACAAGGCAGATGTTCCCCTCCTCAGGTTTTCCGAGCGCTGTCTCCCTCAAACATTTCACGGCTCTGTAGCCTCGCGTTAACAAACCCTCCCTGAACACTTCAACTCAATTGTCTGTCAGATCTGAGAGCAATTACCTCAATTTGCCTCCCTCTCTGTCTCCCTCTGTCTCTATATTGCAATATTTCTGTGGTTCAGGCAGTCGATCTGCTCCACCTGATGGCGCCTCTTCTGCCTGGCAGGGAGCAATGTAGCCCTGCTGGCTGCCAGCCAGACCAGCTTGAGTGTCTGCTCAGCTCAAAGCCCTGCTCACACACACACACACACATACACACACGCACAAGGCACACACACACACACCCACAAGCACACAGTCATGCCAAGTTCAGAATCTGAATGCTTACACAGACACATCTTCTATCCTCCGTGTCTCTCTGTTACTTCTTCTCTGTTAATCTAATTTTCCTACTTTATTTTCCTTTTTACTGCGAGCATGAATAGTAAAAAAAAAAAAAAAAGTCACGTAACATCCTGACAAATTTGCACACTGCTTATGAATAATCCCATTTACAGTTACGCAGGAGGATTTTTAATATTGATGGGCTCTTGAAATATCCACCGTGCGCCATGATTTAATATCTGTACTTCATATCTGCAAGTGCTGCGGTGATTTATTGTCTGTTGTATCGTCTTTCCACAGTCGCCCAGTCCAGTCTCAGCCAAGAGGTCCAAATTTGACAAACTACATTCTCCATCAGTGGAAAAGGACAGGAAACCCGACTGGTTACAGTCCCTGACCAAGTCTGCGCAAAAGGTTTGTTCGCTGTGATTCTGTGTGTTTAATGTAAAAGAAGAGTTCGCCGTCAAGTTCAAGAGTTCGAAAGACGATTCAGAAACGTTTGTCCTTTCGAACGATCGCTTTCCCATTCGTGACCTCTCGTCATTCTGCCTCGTCACATGAGGAAGGGCCTTTGAGTGTGTTCTTCACGGATGATTTAATGTTTTAAGGGTATTTTACCGTGATTTCATGCCAGCTTGTTTTCTGTTTGTTGTTCCAGGATCTGAAACAGGTCCAGCTGAAACAGAGGCCCTCTGCTTTCCGCCCTTGGTCTCCTAAATCAGTAGAAAAAGAGAAACCAGCTCCGCAGAATGAAGTGGAGAGGTGAGAAAAAAGAAAGAAAGAAAGAAAGAAATGTCAGTTTTTGAGCGATAAGAATCGTTTGGTTAACTTGACATGTACTTGAAATCTATTCTCAGATCCTACTCAAAGAGTCACGAAACTTTGGCAGCTCCAAATCCGACACTAGCTCCCCAGGCTCCTCCGGTCCATCCCAGGGACAGCAATGGTCCCGGCAGGGGGGCCGCAGCCATTTCCAGGCCACCGCAGGAGATGCTTAATGGAGATACACATCCTGCAATGAAACCAGCAGCTCCCACTCCCACCAACAACAGACCTGATGACATGGACACAGACGGAGAGATTGATGTGGACGACTGTGACGACCGTGAGTGTCACGAATTTGTCGAGTTTGTAATAACACAGAGAAGAGAAACTGTAATTCTACCAGAGTCATTTAAGACAAGACACAGATTGTACACTCACTACTTGTATTACACAGTAAGCCCCTCTGGAATTACGCCAGAGCAGAGATGGTTCAGAGGGATCCCTGTGCAACTCTGCCACCTGGTGTTCAATAGGAGTAATACAAGAACTGTAGCCAGAGTGAATTGGGTGTAAAAACAAGCTTTAATGTTTTTGTATTACCGTTGCACGTACAAAGAGTGTGCGCTTTACCAATTTATTTACCCCTCTAATAACTAGACAAGCTGTGGTGTAGTTTAAACAATGTGGGAAATGGAAATGGCAATAAAAAATAGAATAAATAAAGCAACGTAACCACAAATCCAGCAAGTGAATGAGCGGGCAGAGATTGAAGTAAAAAAGTTAGCATCTACTTGAAAGTACTGAATAACTATTGCTGTCTTTATGAGCTGGTAATAATATAAATAAACTGTCTACCTCAGGTCCAGTTCCTGCTCCCTCCATGGCGTCTCCTCCATCGGCCTCTACCAGTGTGTCGCAGACCCTGACCCCTCAGAGCGCCGTTCGACCTCAAGAGGGACCCGCTTGGCTGTCGGGAAGCCTTTGCCCCGAGATGGAGACTCTAAGGCAGATGCTGTATGGAGGCATGGACACCAAAGAGGCCAGAGAAAAAGTCCTGCAGGAAATAATCAGAATCAGAGTGAAGCAGGAGGAGAAACTAGCATCTGCAGTTCAGGCTAAACGCAGCCTCCAGCAGGTAACATCCTCTCCTTGTGAACTTCTAACAAAAAATAAGTAAAGGCATTGACGTCTGAGGTTGTAAACATGAAATGGTTGCAATGTTTCCAACAGGAATTGGAGTTTGTGAGAGTGGCGAAGAAAGGCCGTCTTCGTGAGGCCATAGAAGCCAAGCGCAACCTGCGAAAGGAGATTGAACGCCTTCGTGTGGATTGGGAGAGAAAAATGAGGGACGCGGAGGAGTCTTGTGGGCGGTTGAAGAGAGAGTTGGAGAGAGAGAGACAGCTACGAGTTTGTGACAAAAGCTGTGAGGCTGAACGACTGCGGGTCAAATACTCCTCTCAGGTCAGATTTCTACTTTTGATCTCCAAACGGTTAATGCTTTGGTTTGTCCGCTTTGTCCCATTTTTCATTCAAACTTATCTGTGGTGTGTTGTGTAGATCGAGGAGTTGCACATGCAGCTACAGCAGGCGGAGGCCGATCGTGAGCAGCTGAGACAGGAGCTCCAGGAGGAGAGAGAAGCTCGACAGAGCCTGGAGAGTGTCGTCAAAGACCTGCAAACCCAGCTGGCCCTACAGACCGACAGCAGCCACCCTGGAGACTCCAAGGATGCAAACACAGACACACAAAGACCGACCACACAACACACTAATGGATCCTAAAGTTGCACATTCACGACTGGAGAAAGAGACTCGGTTAGAAGGAGCATGGTTAAAGACTTTGTTGCACCTCCTGTTAGGGAAAAAGATACTCAGCACAATGCTTCGTCAGTTTCCTGAATCTGTCATATATAATATGATCTAATATTAATCCATATTATGATGACAATATATGAATTTTATGAAATGAACTGGAAAGTAGCATGATGTCTGAGCATGTTGTAGAGTGTGATTTTAAGAAAGGCCTCTCTCCGGTGATGAACTCATCTCTCCAGTGACGTCAGAGGCCTCGGTTCGACACCTGACGCTGTCCAAGGATTTAATTTTGGTATAAGCTATTCTAAGATGTGCAAATAAAGTCACACAACACTACTTGAATATGAAGGGAAGAAACATGTCGCGCCTGGTGAAACATGAGCAGATAATGAAACTCTTGGTGCCACAAAATAATGGTACTCTCAAAGGTGTCATTGCAGACCACTGGAAACAAGAGACACCAGTTTACCACTATTTACTTTTAATATCAGCTTGCTTTTTATAACTGTGTAGAGGATGTACTTTTTAAGAGATATTGCTTGCGCAGCACTGTTATTCCACAGGCAAGAAAAAAAAAAAAACACATCCTTATACAGACATGTACGCATGTATACCAGCTTGTCTACCTTTTGTATTTTGTAAACCTGAAGTATTGGAGGTTACGTGGGCTACCTTCAGGTCCACCACTGTTTTACGCTTAGATATTTTATGGAAGTGTTACTTTTTATTATTATTATAATGCAACTTTATTAGTTGTTTGACCATTTGTTTTCCAGTAATGTCTTTTGCAACCGAACCATGTAATAAATTGCAAACGTTCTTGCCCACTTTAGTGCTGAAAAGTCTACAAATGCCCTTCTTAAAGACAAAAAAAAAATAATAATTTCAGTAGATTTCTGTTTTTGTTAAAATGCGGTACTTCTGATTTTCTATTGAGTATTGTAAAATAACTTATATTCTATGATAATTTGCTGCCTATCAAAAGAAAGCATTCATTTTTAGTCACTGGTTTTAGGGCTCTTAAATCAACAAATGCTGTTTGTATGAACAACATTTCTACATATATACAAAATATAGATATATATTTTTTTACTTTAAGAAAAGGAATTGCACTTTTTAAAGAAAAGAACCTTGCATTGTGCATCGTACTCCCTGTTACATTTTTCAAAAACACAAGTTAACACGAACTTTGGATTCAGACACACTCCCTTGGTTTCCTCTGATGTAAATACAGTGATATTGTAAATAAGATATTTGTTGTTTGCTTGCTCCAGACTTAAATTGATTATGAATATTATTTTTTGCTCTTACTTGAAACCAAAAAGAGACTATATTTGGATTTGCAAAGCTACAATTTTAAATTGTGGTTGTCTCCTTGAGTATTATTGCAATCACAGGGCATTGAGCAGAATGGATGGGTGCTGGTATCAACATGGTTAACGAAACCATCATCATAGGTCACGACCTATTCGTAGTGTTTCTAGGTTTGTAACCCTGATGGAATAATATTATAATATGTCCCTTAATTTTGTTTATTTGAGAAGATCTTTATTATTTGATGAAATATAGAGTATATTATTATAGTATTACACCACAGACCAAAAACTGAAAATGGATTTGAATTATCTGCACCTCCAGCTCCCTCCCTTTCAGCTGATAGAGTAGAAGCGTCACCTTCTCATGGTTTCAACCTTAGGTGCTCTCATTTGTTTTAGAGAAGAAACACTTTTATGTCTTATCATCATGATACCCTCACTCAGTATTTGTTGGGTACATTGTAATAGCAATATCCATTTTTGTTAGCTGATGCTGTTGTAGTTTTGGTTTGGAAGTGGGGGTTCACTTGCCTCTTGTTTCAATGTTTTCTTTCCTTTGGAAGACTTGTATAATAACCATTAAAATCAAAATCAATCCTACAGTGTTCTGAGAGGTATTTTTATTCACAATAATGTCTGTTTCCTGATTTGTTTATTTATTGGTATTTGTGGGCAATTATAGTTCATCCTTTAAAAGAAATAATTGAAAAAATATCCTACTTAATGGATTTGGATGAAACGTACGAAGATTACTGAGTGATATATCTGGAGACCATAGCTGGGAACTTTAATTTCGTGCAACAACAAAAAAAAAGGTAACACTAAATCTGATACCTATCTCTATAACACATTATAAATATATGTATAATGCGTTAAAATCACGTTATACCCCTGTATAACCATAGTTATAAACACTCATAAATGATAAATGATGATAAAGCATTTTATCATGTTCATATATCATATATGATATATGAATATGTATAGATATATACATACTGATATATATCATATATCTGTATTATGACACAGTGTTCATTCTTCTATCATGGCTTACAAGGTCAGTTATTATAATGTGTTATAACTGTTAACAACTCACTGACAACGCCCACATAAATAATGCAATGCAACTTTTGTTAACAGTTATAACACATTATAACACCTGGCCATGTAAGTCATGATAAAATGCTTTATAATGTGTTGTGATTATTGCTATGAAGCATTATGGTCATTTTGAGTGTTTATTACTATAGTAATATAGTGCGATAACATGATTATAACACATTATACATATATTTATAATACGTCAAATAAAGTGTTACCAAATTAAAAATAATGTGGTTTATAACATACAATCAGCTACTTTTTGTTTGGTGCAAATTACCGATATGATACTTACAATATGATACAATACAGTGTGAAAGGATCAAATGTGATTAGATACAGTATGATAAAATAATAGACAGCAAGATATAATAAAATACCATATGATATGATACAGTATGGATCTGATGTAAAATGACATAATGCAAAACTATTATTATCATTATTATTATTATTATTATTATTATTATTATTATTATTTATTATTATTATATGATTTGCTTCTTTTTTAGCCCATATGTCTGTATAAGACACGGTGTTCTTTCTTATATAGTCCTGTCCTAGCAAATTAACTAATCAAGGTTTGGTTTGAGTGTACAGTTTTAAAAATAGACTTTAAGAGAAGACACTATAAATACCAGGTGTGGCAGCTGATAGCTCAGCTGGCACACCTGCAGTTGGTAATCCCACATGTCCTTATTGTTTACTCACGACATGAGCTCAAAGATCTACCGGCCGCTCAGAAAATAAAGTTGTTCCTGTTGACTGCAGTGTGTCTTTTTCACTCTTATCAGTCACATGTTACAGATCTTTTCACTTGTACAAAAACTTACAGGCATGTAAGAGAAAAATTTGTTAAGACTTCTCAAAAGACATGAAAGAATAACTGTGGCGGCATGTTTCACATCAGAAGCAGAAACTGATTCAACATCAGAAATGAACTTTTGCCTTTGCTGGCAAAACATCCAAATTAATTAACAGCCATGTGTGGGTTTGTGAGTGGGAGTGTTTGAGGCAGAATCAAGAGCTTTGAATAACACCTACTGTATCAAGTGGTAGATCTACTTCGATACTGCAGCCTGATTTCAAAGTACATAGTGAGTCTAGTGCTAATAATTAACATAAGTTTGTTACAGTGGTAATAATGAAGAGACTTCTTTTATTCAATGTCACGTTGTGGCCTCTAGGGGGAAATCATTACACACATTTGAAGGTTGGATTCTGTCCGTAGCCAAATGACCCTGTGTGTAATTTAACCTTCAAATCTAAATTTATAGGTTATGATGAAGTTAATACCTCACACAGACCATTTAGTATATTGCATTTTCTGTATGCTGCAAAGACCAGGGCTCTCTTAAATTAGTTAAATGAATACTTCAACCTCTCCCTGTCCCACTCTCTTTCCTCAGAGGCTTACTGGTTGCGTGAAAATCCCTCCATGAAAGCAAGGCTGAAGCCTCACTCCAGGATTACAGCTCGAGGAAGATTTAGTGACTGACACGTGTTGCACACTCTTTCTTTGCAAGACTCGACTCTGCAGAGAAAGTAAATAAAGAAGAACCTATGGCTGCGACACTGAATCACTGAAAGCAAAGATTTCAAGAAACTAAGTCTCAAGATGGGATGATTGTATCCAGGAAGACTTTGACTGTAAGAAGAGGATATGCTGACAGCTGAGGATCTACATGAGGAAAGCTGTGCTATAAACAAACTCACCCGAGGAGCCCTGCGGAGCTGAAAGGAGGTGGGTTCATGTGGTGTGGATGGGACAGGAGAGCAGGACTCAAATGCACAGTTCAGGGATGAACAGCACCCCAGCTATGGCACCTCTGTCTCCAGGGCTGGGTGGTAACCCCACACCGTCCTCCCTATCACCCAGGAAGACCAGTTTACAGTCTTTAGGATCTCTGTCACCAGGGATGTTCACCCCGTCGCTGGGTAAGGGCTCCTCTCAGCAAGAAAAACAGGCCTTGAGTCCAGTGAGATCACCCAGCCCGTCCATCATGACCTCTCCGAAACTCTGGCAGAAAGCATCCATCTCCAGACTCGCTGAGGAGTTTTTCTGGATTGGCGGCAGCGTGGTCGCACAGCCGAAATGGAGATTGGGTCAAATAGGTAAGATTCAGCCTGGACTTAATATGTTGTGTGACTTCCAACATTCATACATCAGCAGTCTGTCAACATTTTGCACAACATTACAGCCAACGAAATGTTCCTCATTTATGGACTCACTGGAATTGATACGATATTTTAAAATCCGGTTGTGTGAATTTTAAATACTGGGATGTTTTTCATTCAACTTTGCTCCAAACATGTGAAAGTTCTACAACGCAGGATAGAGACACAGCAGACGCCTCTGAGTAGATAACAGGCATATGGACGTCAGACAATCCTTTGGGATTAACCCCAATGTTGGGCCGGGTTGTGTCACATGCACCTGAGCTTTAGATTACAAACAAAGGTTAACTGAACCCAGCACACAAAGCAAGTTCACATCACCATGACCTCGGTGGGATCAATATCAATGAATTGCTGTTTTTTCTTTGATAACTCTACACTTAATGCTAAAGTACTTTTGGATATATCAGCGAATAATTCATCTTAATATTTGCAAAACTTAAGTTTGATTGTGGTCTGATTTTTAGGTGTAGATCACACGAGTGTTGTGCCTCTTTTTATCAATTTTGCCTTTTATCACCAATGCATATCTGACATTTAACACACATACAGCTTAGATCCCTGAGTGACGTAGACTCTAATCTCATAAACAAGTGCTTTAAGGTAAACCTCTGCTTGACTCGCTGTTTTAGGGATTCTTTCTGGGTTGTTATTTGTCATGTTTTGCACAAAATCACAAGGCAAAGTACAAGATTGAAGTCATGTCATACGGCTCCTTGCAGCAGAAGCAATGCACTTTTTGTAAACTCAGTTGGCTCAGGCATCAACATGCTATAATTCATTTAAAAAAGCTGAACCATGTGGACTAAGATGAACTAAAACAGTCTAAAAATAGCGACTCTTTCTCTATTCAAATACATTACTAAGTGTGCTGCACACTGGGTGTTTGATTGTCACAAACCCCCTCTGATGTTGGCATAACTAATGACTATGTGATGATCCCTGTGACTAATCAAGAGCCTCTGAATAAATAAATAAAACCTCTCCTTGTGCTCACCTGCAGTGGAGCGGTGTATGTTCACCATGCAGACTGGAACTCAGATGTCCAAACTGAAGGGGAAGAAGAAAGGACTGGTGCGATTCTTCTACCTGGATGAACACAAGTCCTGTATCAGGTGGCGGCCCTCGAAGAAACACGACAAGGCCAAAAGTGAGACATCAAGAGGCATCAGAAAACCAATGACACAGCTGATCTTGACAAACACTAACTCTGAATGAATCTTTATGCATTTTTATTTTTTCTTTCAGTTACTATCGATTCAATTCATGAAGTCTGTGAAGGGAAGAAATCAGAGATCTTCAGGCGGTACGCAGACAACCGCTTTGACCCAAACTGCTGCTTCAGTATTTACTACGGGGAGCGTGTGAAATCCCTGGACCTGGTCTCCACTAAAGCAGAGGAAGCCCGAACCTGGATCACTGGGCTGAAATACCTCATGGCCGGCATCAGTGATGAAGACAGCTTAGCCCGGAGGCAACGCACACGAGATCAATATCCTTTATGTTGATTTAATCCCATACTAAATACAGAAGTTATACCTTCAATACTTACTTTTAAAGTAGTAACACTGACTATGATCATCACATTTCAAGGTTTTTCTTTAACCACAGCCCTCATGTGGTTGCAGCAGACTTTCTATGAGGCTGACAAGAATGGAGACGGCACCTTGAGCATCGGAGAGGTTCACCAGCTGCTTCACAAACTCAATGTGAATCTACCCAAGCAGAAAGTCAGGGAGATGTTTCAGGTAAGGTTGTTTCCCTGAATTTTAAACCAAACCAAAGATATTTTCCTCATTGGCGAAACAAATGTTTGGGTTTTTTTGTGAGAACAGACTGAGGACCACGAGCCTTCTGGCAATATCCTCTTGATATACCTTAGATCTATCAGCCTGAAGAAAATTCATCAACTTAAAGTGCTACCCAGCCTGTTTAAGGCTAAAAGGCCATCCGATACCAAGTATTCTGTCGTAGGCACCACTGTACACACTGGTAACAGCAGGAAACCACAGAGTAATGTGGATAGTGGAGCATCATTGACATTTCCTCCAGAAGCCGATTCTTGTCTTGCATCCTTAAGGTCAGAGACCACAGTAAGATAAGAGTATGGAGATGGAGTCAGCAGACAAACATGTACACGCAGCATTTTGACAGGACAGTGCCATGGGAAGGCCATATGGCTGCCACTGAACAGATGGCTTTAACTGCACTGCAGCATTTAGTTCAGTGGCTCCTCATCTTCCCCTGTTATGATGATGGTCTGAACAAGTTCTATCATGTTCGATGGTGGTACGGATAGGTGCCCTTTTAGACAGGGATAGTAGATATATTTTTTTAGCAGGTTGGGTATCTTAAATCACATACATTTAGCTGCTTACTTCTTGCTCATGAACTGCCTCTGCCATTGTCCGTAGGATGCAGACACAGATGAGAACCAAGGCTCTCTGGGCTTCGATGAATTCTGTTCATTCTACAAGATGATTTCCACACGCAGAGACCTTTACCTGATACTGATCTCCTACAGCAACCAGAAAGAAGTCATGGATCTACAGGACCTCACACGCTTTCTGGAACACGAACAGAAGGTGTGTCAAAACGTGAAAAAAGATTCATAAAGCAGCTTTTATTTGTTTGTGATGCAGATCCCCACTCCAAGTAAAGGGAAGGGCATGTCCAAGAAGGTGACTAGGGGTGGCGTGGGCCCCCTTTGACATCTGATTGGCCACCCTAAATAACTAAACTATGATTGGCCCTTTGTTTTGTCAGAGTCGGAACTTATATTACAAACAAACTGTTTAGGCGGTGTTGTTAGGCGACAGTAGCTCCCGAGGTAGAGCGGTTGTCCAATAAGCGGAAGGTTGGCGGTTCAATTCCCCCCCTATCTGTAGTCTGTCCGTTGTGTCTTTGGACAAGACACTTAACCCACCTTGCTTCCAGAGGGTGCATGAATGTGAGTGTTGTGTGGTGGTAGTCGAAGAGGCCGTAGGCGCAAACTGACAATCACGTTTCCATCAGTCTGCCCCAGGGGAGCTGTGACTACTAAGGTAATTTACCACCACCAGGGTGCGACTGAGTGAGCGAATGAATGATGTATCCAAGAAAAAGCGCTTTGAGAGTCTCTGATAAAGCACTTTATGAAATCTGATGCATTAATATTTTTAAACTTTTTTTTACATCAGCACTTAAAAAAATGATCAAGAAAAACTATGAACATTGCTGGGTTGTTTTGGCCTTCAGGTCTTCTAAGTAATCAGCAAAAAGTGTGAGACAGTTGCACAAAATGGCAGTCCAGATTTGTGGTTCCTAATTGGAAAAAGAGGTCAGAGGATGTGGTCCGGTTAATGAGCTATCAGACTCCTCAACCTCTCTGGCAACGTTTAGTCCAGGCTGCTGGAAAGAAGTACAGGACTCATCCTCAAACCTCAGAAACCAGGAAGATTATATCTCTCTGCAAGACGGACCTGTTCTTTACCTTTTTCAGGAGCATCATGGGATTTTGCTCACACAGTCTGCACAGGATTGTGGACTTGTATGAGGCCAATGATAGTGAGTCTTTTGGGAGACCTATAAGGGAAACTGCTGGAGAATGGGGTATCGGAGTCATTCATGCGTATAAGAAGTGAAAGCTCTGTCCTTATCCCCACGCGAAAGTCAGACATGTTCTCGAGGTTGTCCCTCATCACTGGCTGTGTTTGCGATCAGCGTGGACAGATTCTCAAGGACAAGCTGGAGGGAGGAGTGTGTCCGGTTTGGGGACCTCAAAATTGCATCTCTCCGTGTGTTTTTGTTTGTGTCATCATACTCTAACCTCTGGAAAGCACTGGTTTGCTGCTGGTTGTCAAGCGGTTGGGTGAGATTCAACCCCTCAGGGGCTCCAGCAAGCCCCCAGCAAAGAGGTTCAAGTGTCTCAGTGGCATGCTTTTGAGTGATATATATATATTATGATATACATAACGAGATCGACAAACAGTTTGTTACATCATGCAGCGGTTATAGAGGTGCTCACTGATTTGTTGAGGTAAGGGGCGAGTTGTCCTCAAAGGAAAAGCCTTCTATTACCAGTCCATCTATGTTCCAACCCTAACCAATGGCCATAAGCTTAAAGTAGTGACAGAAAAGAAGAGATCACAGAGACAAGTGACCAAAATTAGTTTCCCCCATGAGATTTTTGGCCTAAGAGAAAAGAGCTTGGCCAGATTGGAAGGTTAGGGTAGAACATGTCCTTCTCAACACGAAAAAAAAAGCCAGTTTGATTGTGTATTTTCAACGCCTCCCAGCCAATTCTCTTAGGGGTTTTACTAAGCCCTTCTGAGAGAGTCCCCAGGGCTGGCCCCAGAGCTCACTAGAGGGAATTGTGGTATGCCACTTGGATGAGGTTATCTAGGATACAATATCATACCATACAAGGTGAATGATGACAGGATACGGCACAATGTAGTACGATGTGATACTATGCGACATGATGTGATTTGATCCAGTAAGATAAGATGCCTCCTGCAATATTGTAAGAGGCGAAAATACCCAACATGACACAATATGATACGATATTATATGATACAATATGAAACGATACGATACTATACAATATAATCTGACACAATGGCCCAATATGATACGATAGCTTCGGCTAAGCAACAGCTCAAAAAACAAATGTGCTGGTCACTCAGATTCTGATTTAATTAAAGATAAAAAATTCCAAGTTTCCTTCATGATGTTGCTGGTCTGCAACACTTGAACAAACTAAGACACTCCTGACTTCGTTTCTTTTGCAGATGCGCGGTGTGGCCAAAGAGCACCTAATTGACATTGTGTCCAGGTTTGAGCCATGTCCAGTGAATTTGCAGCGCATGGTACTGGGTATTGATGGTAAGAAGGACTTGCTCGAAATAACTTTTTTGATAATACGTGACTTGTTTAGACGTATTTGTAGCTTTAAAGATCTTGTCTGGCACTTTCTTCTGTCAGGTTTCACTAACTTCATGAGGAGCCCTGCGGGTGACATCTTTAACCCCGAGCACAATCACGTGAACCAGGACATGACTCAACCCCTGACCAACTACTTCATCGCCACCTCACACAACACTTACCTGACAGGAGACCAGCTGCTCTCACAGTCTAGAGTGGAAATGTATGCCTATGTTCTCCAGGCAGGTTGTCGCTGTGTAGAAGGTAAGAGCTCTTAAAAACAGACCATAAAGTGTTTGTGTTATTGCAGACACAGCGACTGACTCACCTCTGGCTCTTTTTTCTTTTTGTCCCTCTAGTTGACTGCTGGGATGGGCCAGACGGAGAGCCAATTATTCACCATGGCTACACCTTGACATCAAAAATTCTCTTCAAAGATGTTATTGAGACAATCAACAAATATGCCTTCACCAAATCCCAGTAAGTGATTTTGTATCCTAATAGATACAGTATGTGTTCCTGCTGTTTGAGGGCATGATTCATGACTCCATCTTTCCCAAGGTACCCGGTGATCTTGTCTATAGAGAACCACTGCACAGTCCCTCAGCAGAAGAAGATGGCCGAGTACTTGAAAGAGGTGCTACAGGACAAACTGGATCTGTCTTCTGTCAATGTGAATGAATGTAAGAAGTTACCGTCACCTGAGGTCCTCAAAGGGAAAGTTTTGGTCAAGGTAAGTTAGTTTTTAAAACTGCTGACACAAATCCTGGGAGATCTGTGAAAAAGTAGAGACAAGATAAACACACAAAAAACATTGTAATCATGTACACACCTGTGTTATTAAATCGATTTCTCAGGGGAAAAAGCTGCCAGCAAACCTTGATCCTGACGCAGAGGAGGGGGATGTATCTGATGAAGATACTGGTGATGATGACGATGATGAAGATGATGAGGATGATGATAATGAGCAGGTAGATAGAAAAATATAAAGATAGATAGATAGATAGATAGATAGATAGATAGATAGATAGATAGATAGATAGATAGATAGATAGATAGATAGATAGATAGATAGATAGGTAGATAGGTAGGTAGGAAGGTAGGTAGGTAGATAGATAGATAGATAGATAGATAGAATTAGTATTATAATGTATTGTCTTTGACTTTTTCAGGAAGGAAATAGCTTTATCTCCTCTAATTCAACGAAAAAGAAGAAGCGATCCGCCAGATCGATTGTGAGAAGTTTCAAACGAAAGGTCAGCCATTTTTTACAAAGAGAAAAAAAAATAATTTTTTTGTTGTTTAATTTAAAGGAAAAATGACAAAATGATGCTGCTGCTTTTTTCCCAGAGGAAAAAGCGAAGTAAGATGAAGAACAAAACAACGTCTGACGGCGAGTCGGATTACAGCAGCAGCAAGGAGAGGACACAAATTGTTTACCATCCTAAGTAAGGCTAGTCATTGAATTAAGTAGTTTAAGCCATTTAACACCATTAGTAACAGCCCCTTCAATTGGACTAAACGTCAATAACTCTCCCTTCAGGAAGAGGAAAACTATGAGGTTGTCCAGAGCTTTGTCTGACCTGGTCAAGTACACAAAATCTGTCAGAGTGCATGATATAGAAACACAAGGTAAGGGTGATTCAGAATGAATCTTTTCTAATGTCCCCGCCCCCACCCCTTTTCTATCAAACAGATGTATAATGTTGTGTTGTTCTGTCTGGTAGGGTTAAATAACAGCTGGCAGGTATCATCCTTAAATGAGACAGTTATGAACCAGATCCTACAGCTGAAGCCCACTGAGTTGGTTCGTTTAAACCTACGGCAACTTCTACGAGTTTATCCGTCAAACTACCGAGTGGACTCCAGCAACTTCAACCCACAGCCATATTGGAATGCAGGATGTCATATGGGTAAGACTGTCAAGACGACCACAAAGCCACCTACTATACTTAGTTTTAGAGTTGTGGATCTTCCTTAATTCTGCATGTTGACTTTTCTTTTCAGTTGCAATGAATTACCAAACAGAGGGACGGATGCTTGAACTGAACCAAGCCAAGTTCTCAAGCAATGGAAATTGTGGATACATCTTAAAGCCAAAGTGCATGCGCAAAGGTATGACAATATGCCAGTGGTAGGAGAGGTCATGATTGCTTTAAAAGGTGGTGTTCAACATCCTTGCTTTCTCATCAGCTGCCTTTAATCCACTTATTGAGGGTCCTCTACCAGGCCACAGAAAGACTCAGTTAGTGCTGAAGATCATCAGCGGACAGCAGCTCCCCAAACCGAAAGACTCAATGTTTGGGGACAGAGGAGAGGTGAGGCCAACATTATGGATAAGTAATCCAATCAATGCCAAATTTGATGGTTTGCAGATTACTTAAACCCCATATTCAACTGAGAAACAGTGCAAAGACAACATATTAAATGCTGAAACTAAAAGGTGATTTATCAAAAGTATAGGCCCATTTTACAGAGATGCCAGAAGGCCAGTTGAAGCTGTACTTATTGTCCAGTATTGATAGTGCCTTCCCAAATACATAGGCTACAGATGCTATGTGCACTTTTACATCTCCGGGTACAGGCTTGGCTTGCATTTGTTGATGAAGTGAGTGGATTTTGGCCCATGTAGTGATTTCTTCTGCAGTGTCTTGTCTGTTTTTGATGCAGTGCTGTTCTTGTGTGTAAAAATCAGGTCTATCCAGTATTGGTTTTCAGCCAAGTCCTTTTTGTTCAGAGTTTTCACCAAATTCTCTGGCATTTTTAGCATTACAGAACATATTCAGTGTTTAGTAGTCTTTGTACTAACCTTTTAAGGATCATTTTGCAGCTATTATATTCAAAATGATTATAAAACAACATCGGATATGTTCTCTTGGTAGTATTTGGGTTTAATGTGCAGCTCAAATGACTGAACACTATCAAAATGTTCTTGTCTATCAACATTTTACACAGCATCCCAGGTTTTATGGAATTATGGCTGTACTTAACATCTCTAAAATGTGTTTTTCTGATCCTTTTGTACTTCCAGATTATTGATCCTTTCGTTGAGGTTGAGATCATCGGTCTACCTGTTGATTGTTCCAAGCAGCAGACTAGAGTGGTGAATGATAATGGTAAACGCACAGGAGATGCCTAGCTATATAAAATCCACATACTGTACGTCAACCTAAATAACATCCCTTTCATTTAGGCTTTAATCCCATGTGGGAGGAGACCCTTGTTTTCGATGTTCAAATGCCCCAACTAGCCCTGGTGCGTTTTCAGGTGTGGGATCATGATCCAATTGGACGAGATTTCATTGGACAAAGGACTGTGGCTTTCACCAGTATGCTGCCAGGTACACAACAATGCTCCAGCCCCTGTACATAACAACAAGATCCCTCAGTTCGTTTTTTGTGTCTTTACATACCAAACAGATGAGACTTAAGATGTTAATAAGCTATCTCTAACTAAGAGAGATCGAATCACTGTTATGTGTCTATAAATATTGTGATTTAGTCATGAATGGTATTACCTCATAGGTTTTCGACATGTTTACCTCGAGGGAATGGCTGAGTCCTCCATCTTTGTTCATGTGGCCATCCATGACATCACAGGAAAGGTAAGCTACATTGAATTAAAAGAGAAAAAGATACAGATGTTATTTCACTTTCACCTGCAAGCTCTTTCCTGAAATCCTTTTTGTTCTTTTGAAAAAGATCAAACCATCAAATGCAGTTCATGCAGCCAGGAAACACATCCAAAAAGCAGCCAAGAAGCATATCAAAGGTCAGCAAAGGCAAACGTCCCTGGACTCTTCTGTCCTGTCCTCAGAAGACGGACGTTCTTTGTACTTCCGCAAGGATCTGGACACCATCTCTCAGGAAAGCTGGAATGGGGACATACAGCCTCCGGTACAAGGGCCAGCAGCCAAAGCATCCATCCACAAAGGGGCCATGAGTGAGCCATTGAAGCGAGTTCACAGAGTTAAAATTCATGAACCGCCAGAAACAAGGAGAGGGATCTTCAGACGGATGTCCTCCACCGACTCCCACCACACAGCAGCTTCTTCCAGTTTCAGGGCAGACAGCTTTGACTTTGACACCTATCCCCAGGCCTTTTATTCTGACGGCTCTGTTCCAGACAGCCAAAATCGAATTGAAGAGGAGATTGAGAATGAACCAGAGTCAAATTGTGCAGAGCAGGAGTCAGCTCAGACATTTGAACCAGAGGAGCCTGAAGCACATGAGGAATTACCAACAGGCCCACCTCCAGACAAGGACATTTATCCTGAGCCTGAGCAACCACCAGAGACTCAAAGATGGACTGATTCACTCCCTCTACCCAAGCATGTGCCAGAGCCGGAAGCCAACTTTTCTAATCCCATCCCTCCATCTTCCCCTCCAAGAACAAGACGTACCTTGGAGACTCCAGTCACCCCTCACCCCCCCACACTGTTGCGGACAAAGGCTCGCTCACGGAGCTGCCCGCGGAGACAAATCTCCTCTCCTCAGACACCAGTGGTAAGACACAGGCCTGCTCTCCACTGGCAGACACAGCGAGCCTTTAGCGAGGGGAGCTACCACAGCCAGATCAGGCCTATACCCAATGGCCTCTGTCTGTCTGACAGCTCATCCAGCAGTGAGGGCAGCACTGACAGTCTGGAGTATGTGTCATCCTGTGTGCCAGAGGAGTTCAATCAAAATGAAGGGACTCTGCAGAGAGAGATGAGGGTCCTCTTTGACCGGCGGATGAGCGAGATTCGTTGCAAATCGCCACTTTTTTCAAATGGTGAGTCAAAGATCATGTTCGATCCACATTTATGTTGTCCAAGGTTTTATTTCCCAATACCAATACCAAGTCTGACTGATTTTGACACCTAAATTTGTAAATTACTCTATTCAAATACAAATAGTGTTCCAGTATTAAACTAGTACTGCATGAGATATGAGTCTAGAGCAAAGACTGTATATACTATGGACAACTTGGTTACGCCTTCCGCCAGTCTACGGATTTGAGGCCGAAAAGCTCTTGGTATTTCCGCAATCTTTCTTCATTTTCCAAAACCAACATTGCGCAGTAGCATTGTACGCATTTGGCGGGAGAGTTGCCAAGAGTCGCTGTGATGACGCTCGGCTCGAACAGCGTATCCCCCGGGTGAGCTACGCAATCCTCGTACACCCATAGGCTGTATCAAGTGTCAATCATAGAAAACATGAACCCCCTAATAACTTTTAAAAACGGAGCTGTACAGAAAAAAGAGAACTTGAGCACAAACCAGTCTTACAATAATTACATGTTAACATTGCAAACAGGGTGGAGAAAAATGTATGTTCTGTGTAATAAATTTCTAAAGTTTGTCCACAGCCCCATAAGCTTTGCTGGCGGAGGCGGGATTTATGACCTATACTGCAGCCCGTCACCAGAGGGTGCTGTTCTCGGAGTGGCTTCACCCACCGAGGAGGCAGACGGCGTCCATTCTATATACAGTCTATGTGTGTGTGCCCTCCCTGCTGCAGAATTTGGCGTTCCAAATAAGCAAAGAGCTCTCAGAACAGAGCCATACTAATATTGCACCACTGCGTGAAAAAAAAAATCAATTCCCTTTGACAAAAGTGGTCAAGACTAAAGAACGTATAAATGGATGGATTTGCAGCCATTACCACTATTCTTGTCTTAGAAAATAATACTCCTTGACCTCAATCATTTTTATTCATCTCGTCACTTTTCCATTTACACAGATTACATGATATGATTTTCCTACAGATAAGTGGTACATTTTTCTCAGTATTCCCCTCTGTCTTTTCATATCGGCTAAACTAGACTTCTCTCAGGGATAGTTTCAGGCAGCTGTTAGTCAAATTCTGGACAAAGCGTCTCAATCAACAATAACAAAAGTGACATGTTTGTTCTTTTTTCTTTTAGATTAGACTTTTTTATATTTGTGATTCCACAGAAAACAACATCCGACAGAGGACATTACAAACACAGCAACACCAAGGACCGAAGAATGGCAACAGCCACGTGTTCTTCCTGGGAAACTAGTCACCATGTACCTTAGGCCTGCTGTAATGTTTGCATGATGCCAGAATGTTTACAGTCAGTTTTTATGCATGACCTAGTTTTTAAAAGGAATATAGTTGGAAGAATGTTGCCATTGCCAACTGCGACACAGAAAATAAACTAAGTACATTAGCACTAAATGTTAGGTAAGTTTTCATGTTTACAGTGAAAACTTTGATTCTTTCAATAAAAACGTTTTTACATAATTTTAACTAAACTGTTTTTTTCATTAAGTTGTAGCATTCCTACTTGAAAATCAATAAATGTATTATTTGATAATACTTCTCTTTCAGTTATTAAGTGGAGTATTTGCTTTTTTACTCTAATATATTTATAAAAGAGAGGGGTCAAAACCTACAAAAAAGTTAATGCTTCTTTCAGACAGAGTCCTAAACAGCTATCCAGGAAAGAAATGTGTCTACGCTTTTTCTTTGTCTTTGGCTTCATTTTCCTGGGATCTGTTCACGTTGCTGTTCTTCAAACGCAGGCTCAGTTCATCAGTCAGCACAATGCAGCAGGATTTCTGTGGGAAAAAACACATGATATCGACAATACTCCAATTAGTTTAAAATTCAAATGAACACAAGGTACCTGGACTCTCAAGAAAAGGATTAATACTTCTTGAAGAAACAACACAGATATTATAGAAGAGTTTACAGCCTGCCACATGAACTCTAACCAAACTGAAAAAGAGATGGGGATAGATAAGTAGGGAAGGCTAGTGCATCACTGAGATTATAAAGTGGCCAATTCCCATCAGACACCTCCTTGGACTAGAGAACAGTTTCCCTTTATCTGAGTCTAACGCTGCGTTCAAGTTACCTCGGAAATCAGAAGCCTAACCTGAAATGACATCACACCCCAGTTACCAGCGTTTCAGTTACCAAATCGGAAAGAAGCAAAACCAGAGGCGGAAACAAAATGGCTACATCTACGAAAGTTATTTTAGCGCTTGCCTTGTCCAAACATATGGCAATAACATTTGTAGATGTAGCTATTTTGTTTCCACTTCCAATTTTGCTTTTTTTCTGACTTGGTAACTAAAACGCTGGGAACTCGTGTGTGACGTCATTTTCAGCTCCGACATCTGACCTACTAGGTAGCTCGAACGCAGCATAACCTCCCAACATTAACACTTTGACTCTTTGAGACAACGCCATTTCCAAATTAAGTTGTTCCAACCTTCTGCTCAGCGGCACTTTTTCGGCTCTTGGAGGTGAGCTCCAGAACAGCCAGCAGCGCTCCCAGCCCCAGGCCCAGAGAGAGAACCAGAAACATTCCTTTAAGGCTGTGTGGCTGCGCAGCTGTAGACTTGGCCCTGTCTGCAAGGCAGCTACTGGCCCACCACTTGCTCCGCAGGTAGGCCAGTTCCCCCGCCTCGCTCAGCTGTAAGATTGCCACACTGAGGTTCTTTATGATGGGTGAACCTAAAAGAAGGCAAAGGTATAATTTTAATAATCAAGTTACGTTTTTAATTCATCATTGGGGAAAGCCTTACCAAGGGCGGCTGCAATGCTGTATCCTCTCATGCCGACGACTTCATGTGCTCTGACCAGCTCACAGTGACGAGCCACTGCCAAATCCAAAGATACAGACTCCCCAATAAATGCAAAGTTTCCGTCTTTTGCCCGTTGGACCCCCTCATCCATTGATGACACAAAACTCCTGGTTCTTTCCATATGTTCATAAATTCTGCGGTACACTGGGTTGTTTGAATTCTGCACAAGAAAGAAAGAGTCAGCGAAACAGCAGAGACATGCAGGATTTATTCATGATGATTTCTGTACCTTGAAGAAGGCGAGAGTGGAGGAGCCTGCCAAACACCCATACTCAATCATGTCCTGATTGGCAAGGTCCTCAAACCCTTTTACAGTCAGGTGGGTGGACTCAGAGGTCTTAGAGGAGCTGAGGTTGGAGAAATAACAAGCCAGGAGGACAATAGTGAACAACCACCAGCTGCAGCAGATGACTCGTCCTGACAGAGCTTTGGGGTGAGGGCCAGCACCTGACAACACCGAGAGAGTTCAGTTAGAAGGAAAAAGGTCACGAGTCACACCGAATATATCACAACATGTTTGGTGTCTGGTTCTGCTGTTTTACCCTGAAGAGTCAGAGCTCCAGCTGTGTACCAAAGACTGTGGAGGAGGCTGAATGTGTGGGGATCACTCTGAGGCTGACTCCACTCACTTGGGCTGAGTCTGCATTCACATTGAAACATTATTATTGTGTAAGACGAAGGGGTCGCAGTGCCAGAAAAGAGAACAAATAAAGATAAGAAAGAACATAAATCATAACTCTTGCTGTTACATCTCATCTCTTACCTGGCAGCTATGAAGATGCAAGCAGCAGTGCCAAGGTATGCAATGAGTATACCCACCCAGGTCTCAGCGGTAAAGGGGGTCAGAAAATCAAAGAAACCAGACGCCTCTGAGATATCCTTCCTCAGCAGGATACTGATTCCTGTCTGCATGAACGGTTTAGTCATCCCCACCACTTTCTCCCGAGCTGCAGTCAGAGTCAGAGGAGCAATTGCAAGGTCTGCCTCCTGTGAAGAAAATTACACTTTCAGGCAATCCTAATATTAAAGCTTACTCAGTTATTTTGTGGGTCAGTGTGCCAGCTGGGTACTTCAAACATTTGTTGACCGCTTTAATGTCAGTCATTTCATGCACTCACTCCTCTCATGACCTCCCCGACCATCCCATTCCAGTTCCCGCTCTCGTCCTGTCGGCCATATGAACTGTCTTTCACCAGATGCACTCTGTACTTGAAGCCCAGTTTTTTTGCTATTTCAGACAGCAGGTCCATACAAAAGCCCTCCAGTTGTAAGTTTTTGGCCGTGGTGTATGGCTCTTGCTGTAAAAGAAAGTGTCAAATGAAAATCAGTGAAATGTGTTTTCCTCTAAACTGTGTATCCAAGCTTGAATAAATGAATATTCTACCTTTATTGTTGTGACTCTCAGCTCTGGTTGCACAGAGGGAGGAAAGTAAAAATGAGGTTACTATTAGAGTCATTCACAATATAATATATAAAAACTATGACTTCAGACAGTAGAGGGAGTGAATCGGATCTTCTGTATATCAATGAGGCATCCCCAGGTGATTAGAGAAGCATAATTTGATTTACAAAGAGAAACTGTGACTTAAAATGTTCCTTTTTTTTCTTGTATTTCTTAATTCATTCTTCTTCTGACAACAGGACATACAACCTCAGACCTGAAGAGATCTGTTAAAGTAGACAAATACAAGAGAAAACCCATCATGCTTTTAGCTTCTTACAACCCATGCTCATACTTATCTAATCTGGTTTTACTCAATATGAATCATTTTAAGAAAATATAAAATCAATGTACTTTGAGCCTCAACCTGTTATACATTACAAGTGACCATACAGATTCATAGTTCCAGCAGGATGAACCAAACTGACCATGTTGTATTTTCCTACTGTCATCCCATAAAAACACCAGCAGCTTATTGTGTTCATTTATCCATCTGCACATCTCAATATGTACTCTATGAACTGGAACAAAACCCTTAACTGTACAATAGATTAACACTTTTTATTCATCTGGCTAAAACTGCTCCTCAGCACAACCTCAGACATCCAGTTTACGACTACTATTGTTCATGTAATTTTGGAAGTTTTCCTGTAGTTCTTACTCCTCTTTTGCTCACTTTGAAGATGCTATATCATATAATAAGTGCATCAAGTGAATATGGAACCCCTCCTAACCATAACTGAAAAAGTATTTGAAATTTACGATTAAAATCCAATTTAAATATAACTCTGTTTAAGTCTGGAGGGGGAACCACATTTTAGGACCAATCAAGTTCCATGTGTCTATGAGGACCAAGAAGTCAGAGAAGATCGGAGTAAGAAAACATCATTGGTTGTTTTTTAACAACAAAAGTTTTGGCAGCTGATCTCTTGCCTAAATTTAGTAGAATCTCTGCTTCTTTGTGTGTTGGCCATCCTCAGACTTTACTCTGACATGCAGAGATGTCTGAGGTAGGTTTCTGGCGTTGACTTTCTTGTCACAGCTCATTTCCGGTATCCTGGAGATCTGGCTTTTTTCCTCATCTGCTTGAAAATGATTTGCCCACCACGGTCTATTTAGAGCAGCTTTTTAATTCAAAGAGTCTCAGTGCCATGGAGCTGTGCGATGGGAGGGCAGTCAAAGAGTATCAAAAGCCTCAATTCAGGCCAAGGCCTAGGGGATCCGTCACCACAGGGTGATCCTGTCACCCATCAGATCCTCCTTTTCAAAAGATGACACGTATACAAGCTCTTCAAGCCCCTGTCACTTTTTGGCCACTTGCACACACAGGGCCTTTGTTTGCTCTATACAGTTGATTTATTACCGTTTTTTGTAACAGTGTCAACTAGCTTGCTTCCTTTTCTACAAAACTTGGAAAGGATGTAGCGCAACACTTTGATATTGATCCGAGCAGACTGTATCGCCAAGCCAGAGAAAGGATAGAGAACATGAGGAATTTGGCAGAGAGAGCTAACGCACGACATTGACATACAAATGTAGTCACTGGGTCAAACCTTTGATTAGATTTCTTAGTGTTAATTTTAATGTCATCATCCAGACAGGAAAAACAATTCCTGCTTTGCCACTCTGCACAGAGTTGGTTAAAAGATGTTAGTTTTGTCCAACAGGCCTGATTTAATCTGTTACAATAATGGTTTGATATGCATAGACCTGCAATAACAAAAAGGTACTTACCTGCAGTACACTCTCCCATGTCCAAGAATAAGCCAGCAGCAATGATAAAGAAGCCAAACAGCATCCTGATTCTCCTAATTGGCATAAGTTCCTACAAAGACAATCAGCAGTTGACTATGCATAACCACCTGTAAATATCTTAAAGATCTTTCCTTAAAGATCTAGAATGTTTTCCTACCTGACAAGAGTCCTCAATGTGTCTGCTAGATCGGTATGTCAGACTTCAGAGTGGATGCGGCGAGCTCAGCTGTGATTTTGAAGTTTTTGAGACTCAATTGTGTTGAGACAGCCAACAACATTGTGTGGGTGGGGATACTGGGAAGGGTTTGGAGGGGTGGAGAAAAGCCATGAACAGTGTGAAATTACATAATTTATTCCTAAAATGACTCTGAATTATAACATAATTCTTTTTGTATTTTAAATGTACTAGAGGAAGGCTACGGCAAATTGTAGAACAGTCAAATATGACATACATTTTAGTTGAGCTAGGGTGTAATTGGTTTTGTATTTTTTTTAAGAAAAGAAAAAGAAAAAAATTTTTTTTTGGCATGCTGGCAATATGGGTTTTCAAGACTGTGTCAAACCCAAATTTACTCCTGGGACTTATAGGCTGGGGCTACAGTTTCGGGATGTCTGAACCCACTGAGCATTCTTTGGTCTAAAAGAGGTCTAATAGATGTCTAAATGTAGCCTAGATGACTGGTCTAAGATTAGGCTACCACAGGTCTAAAAATGATCGTTTTTTTAAGACGTCTTCATTTAGACCAAGTTTGGATCAAGTCTAAATCTGGGCTACATCTATACTACACTCTTTCTTGCTCAACGGCTATCATAATTATTTTGGTAAAGTACCAAGAGATCAGTTTTGCAACTCACGGTTGCTTTTTGACATGAATAGTAATCAAATAATGGGTCAAAATGCAACGTCTTAATTCCGTCTAAAAATATACAGAATCTAGACGGTTGAAATTGGGTCTAAAAAAAAACCTAGACATCTATTGGTCAGTGGGAATGTGAAGAGATCAGTTAAAGGCGACAGCATTAGTCCACCAGAAATAAAAGACTTGAAAACTTAACAGAAAATGATCAACTTTTTCTTTCTAGCTTTTTTGGAGACAATTTGTGGAGTTACCTTTTAGACCACAGGTGTCAAACTCAAGGCCCGGGGGCCAAATCTGGTCCGTAAAACAATTATATCTGGCCCACAAGATCATATCATATTTGTGTTATTACTGGCCCACCAGTATGAAGTCTGCAGATTTCCTCCAGTATAATAATGTAAACTTTAGCACCATTATTTAAAATGTCCCTAAAAAAACACGAAAATCTGGGAAATTAAAGAGTGAGGAAGATTTGATAAATAGTAAAGAATGTGGGGGAAAAAATATTTGGTATTCTATTTCATGTTTTCAATTTTACATTTCAGGATTACAACATGATTGGATTTTTTATTTCATTCTTTGATTTTATTCAACTCAGTATATAGAATTGTGTCATTTTTATACTTTAGATTCCAATTTTAAATTTTAAGTCATATTTTGACCTTTTATACCTGATTTCAATGTTCTCCTCATGTATTTGCTCTTTAAAAGCATTGTTTTTCTATTTTTAATATCATGCTCTGCTTTTTTGAACTAATAAATAAAAATAGAATAAAAAATAAAATACATTTTTGATCTCAGATTGCCTTTAAACTTTTATTTTTATCTTTTTTTAATTTCCAAATGATTTATGATCGTTGCTGTTTTTGTTTAGCATAGTTTTTGAAAAGGAGGTTGTCAGTTTTGGTGAAATGTTGACCCTGTTTGGTCCTCAGATTGGACCCAAATCCAGATTATGGCCCTTGCTATGGTTGAGTTTGACAACCCTGTTTTAGACCAAAATGCTCACAAGGAAAAGAACAAAACAGTCTTCACTGTAACTATATGAAGTCGTATAAAAAATGTATAAATTTAACTTGTGTACAGTCACAGTCAGACTTAGTTTTAATGTTTTAATATTCATCCATATACGTCGTTTAGGTTCTTGAATGCGAATACAATTCTGGACAGAGCAGGTGTACGACAGGTATCGTACAGATATGCAGACGAGGCCACAAGGCGCGCAATGTATGTTACCGTTGTTTTTCTAACCGCTTCTTTATGTATGAGCTCCTCTTCAACATTGACGAAGACGGTGCATCGTTCTGACCAATCAGAGGTTGGTGCGCTTGAGGCGCAAGGTGAAGCGACGACCCTCAATTGGCTGAGGTGCTTTTTTCCAAAGGGGCGTATTTTTCAAGCCATCTTGACTGAATATTTAGCCTCATCCAAGGAACATTAAATTGATATCTTCAAAATTTGGCCACCCATATGCGGGAAAGCAGCATCGTTTGAAAGGATAAAACCGTAACTATGGAACCGGGTCGAGTTTGTGTGTCTAACCGTTGTAACGGCGGAGGAGTTAAGCGGTGAAGATGACGCTGTCGCTCCTGAAATTACCGGCTAGCTAAGCTAACGGCTAGCATGTCCGCCTTGGTTGTGGTCTGTCACTAGCTGACATTTAGCTAGGAGCTGTTGTTCTGTTTGGCACACGCACTGCAGAGGACCACTTAAAACAGGTAAACCACTCTGATATGTTCAGCTTTTACGTCGTTGCTAGGAAAAAAGCTGTCGTTTAGTTACACGACTTCTGCGTGTCCTGTCCGACCGAGTAACGTTATCACATCTTTCTGCAGGGGTCTGGAGCACAAAGCAAAACCCGAAACGTTGCACATTAGTAATGTCGTTATCTTTTATATTCATGCAGTATAATTATGCATATAGGCACGGTGCGTACTGTGCCTCTACTTTCTGGTTGCTGTTGGCGTTTATAATTGGGCTGCTAATCAACTTGCAGTCCAAATGTTGTCTCTGCTGTTGTGCGCTTAAAATGGCTGACAGATGTTAGATACTCGGGTTGGTATTTAGCGCTCCTCAACCTAACTACACACAGCAACAAGGGGGGGAAAAAAACAGATGATACTTGCTTTTCATTGGTCAGAAAGAAAAGAAGCAACGTGACAGGCTTTTGGTTGGACCAATGGAGAGACAGCTGAGGGTCCATGCATGCAAGCAGTGCGACTGAACAGTATTTATGTCTGTGCAGGAAGAGTACTTGAGGTAACATGCTGTGTTTTTATTCCAACCACAGACTGTATATGATACCAACAGAAACAGAGCTGACCACTTTTATAAAGTAATTTTGTCAGTCTGTGAGTTTAAAGTTAAATTCAACAAATTCTTATATGAATAGGGTGTTGTTTTTTTACACTGTTAGCATTTTTAAAACATTACTAATCACTGATTGGAGGTAGACTTCAGGTACTAATTTGTTCATTATGAATGAATAGGGCATTACTTGGCAAAATCATACCTGTAACATGTAGGCATCCTTCATCAGCACATTTGCTTTCAAGGAAATATGCTGTCAATAGAAGAGAGATATGGTTGGGGTCATGAACTTGTGTGGAAAGATAACAGCACACGTTGCACTAAAAAGTAAGCATATTGGGGAAAAAAGAAGAAGTAATTCTTCCATATCTACTTTGTCAATAGATGGTAATTTGTGACACCCCTAAATACACCAACTAGCCACGCCATTATAAGCTCCCGGGCAATCTTATTCTATTCAATACATCAGTTTCAAATTTTGAGTGAGTACATAGTAGGTAGTGTAGTCGTAGAGCAGGGGTGTCAAACTCAACCACAGCAAAGGGGCCATAATCTAGATTTAGGTCTAACCTGAGGGCCAAACAGGGTCAACATTTCACCAAAACTGTCAACCTACTTTTCAAAACACGTGTGACAAAAATAGCAATGATTATAAATCGTTATGATATTCAAAAAAGATAAGTTTTTAAGGCAATCTGAGATAGAAAAATTTAAATTTTTCAATTTAAATTTTTATTTATTAGTTCAAAAGATCCGAGCATGATATTAAAAGTGGAAAAATAATGCATTTAAAGAGCAAATACATGAGAAGAACGTTGAAATTGTGTTTCAAAGGTTAAAATATGACTTAAAATTTAAAACTGAAATCTAAAGTATAAAAATGACACAAGTCTAAATACTGAGTTGAATAAAATCAAAGAATGAAATAAAAAGTCCAATCATGTTTGACTTGTTATCTTGAAATGCAAAATTAAAAACATGAAATAAAACACCTTCAGAAATAAAGAAAACAACGATCAAAGACTTTTGACATAAAGAGTAATATAAATGAATCAAGAGCAACTGTTTATCTAAATGATTTGTTAAATTTACTCAAATCAAACTAAAGAAGAATGTGTTGACTTTTACAGCCTGAACTGTTGTAGTAAATGCTATTCTGTCTTTGTCTGTACATTTTAGGAGGCGGGTGTAAACGTCGTTGCAGAAGGCAAGGAGGCGGGAATGTGAGACGGTGTAATACAGACTCAACATGGGTAGGGGTCGAGGCAGAGGGAGAGGAAGGGGCAGGGGATCGTCTGGCCAGCTGCGGCCCCCCTCGCCCTACAGACTGCAGCTCTCTCCCACCAGGGAGACTTTGACGTACGCTCAGGCTCAGAAGATAGTGGAAGTGGACCTCGAGGGGAGGATCCATAGGATTAACATCACAGATCCTCTGCCAGTGATCACCGAGGACGAGATGATGGCTCAGGACATTACTGAGTGTAACAGCAACAAGGAAAACAGTGAACAAACACAAAGTAGAGGCAGATCGTGGAGGAAACCTTCAAGCAGTAAAAATAAGAGGAGTAATAAGAATACATCTCAGCGGTCCGGGTCGCAGCAGAACACAGGATCTTCAAATTCTTCCCAGCATCCATCCCACCAAAGCCCTTTACCTGAGCCCACTTTTCGCACGCTGGGTTCAGAATCCCTGTCAGAGGCGCCTCCTCTCCCGTCGGCTTACTATCGTTACATCGAAAAGTCCTTGGAGGAACAGGACAGCGTGGCTGAGTACGATATGGATGAGGAGGACCTGGCCTGGCTGGAGATGGTAAACCAAAAGAGAGTGTGTGACGGTCATGCGTCTGTTTCTGCGGACACTTTTGAACTGCTGATCGACCGCCTGGAGCGTGAATCCATCCTGGAGTCTCGAAGCCAGGCGCTTTCACAAAGTGCAGTTGATGAGGACGCTTTCTGCTGTGTCTGCCTGGATGACGAGTGTCTGAACAGTAATGTGATCCTGTTCTGTGACATCTGCAATCTAGCAGTCCACCAGGAGTGTTACGGTGTGCCCTACGTACCTGAGGGTCAGTGGCTGTGCCGCTGCTGCCTCCAGTCCCCTTCCCGCCCTGTAGACTGTGTGCTCTGTCCTAACAGAGGAGGTGCCTTTAAACAGACAAGTGATGGACGGTGGGCCCATGTTGTCTGCGCCATATGGATACCAGAGGTTTGTTTTGCCAATACCGTGTTTTTGGAGCCTGTTGAAGGGGTCAAAAACATCCCTACTGCTCGCTGGAAGCTCACCTGCTACCTGTGTAAGCAGAAAGGCAGGGGGGCCTCCATCCAGTGCCACAAAGCCAACTGTTACAGGGCCTTTCACGTCACCTGCGCTCAAAAGGCAGGACTCTTCATGAAGATAGACCCAGTGCGGGAAACAGGGGTCAACGGGACCACCTTCTCCGTAAAAAAGACTGCTTTCTGTGAACATCATTCTCCAGTGGGGTCACGGGGAAGGGACGGGTCTGGAGATGAGTCTGTTGAAGGGAGACTGGTGGGTGGCAGGGGTAACCGAGGTCAGAGGTCGTACACTCAAAGTCCCCCTTCACCACAGAACAAAAAGGGTACCAAGGACCAGAAGAAGAAGAACACTAAAGGGTCTCGCGGGTCGACACGTCGCTCAAATATGCCTGTGCTGCTTGTGCCTCAGATCCCCTCTCACAGGTGGGACATTTGTGTGCTGTCAGAATCTACATACACAACACACTACTACCCTGAACTCCTAACTTTAAGAAGGCCAGACAAAATTCTGTAGTTTGTGTGTCTTTCTCAGGGACTTTTGGCCAAACTTTTTGCCCCAGTCCATTGAGAATGCATGTGCTTTTTTTGTTTACTATATTTATCCCATCTTTTAATTTGCATCTCCTCAGGCTAAACAAAATCTGCACAGGAGTGGAAGTCCAGAGGAAGAATCAGTTCATGCAGCGGCTTCATAACTACTGGTTACTGAAAAGACAGTCGAGGAATGGGATGCCTTTAATACGGCGGCTTCATTCCCATCTACAGGCCAACAGGACGGCAGAGCAGGTGAGAGGAATGATGCACAGAGTCTGAGCTCAAATGAACATCAGAGAGTATAACTTTTCTTCATGATGGCTTCATGCAAAGGAAAACAGTTTATCCCCTACTAATGCTGGTGCTTTGTCATGACTAAACCATCAAAGTGTTACCACTTTTTATCACAAGACTGCAAGCTAAGCACATGTGGTTTGCCATCCTTCTTACATGTGACATGCTCATGCTGGTACTGATATTATTTTTGACTTAATATCTGTGCAGTTTAGTAGTAGCAGTCAGATCTAAAAACCATTAAAACCGTCGCATTTACAGTCAGTAAAGTATCACATAGCTGCAAATAGCATGTTTTTCAAAAGTTTTGGATAGTTTTAAAACTTCCTTATCCTTGACCTACACACCTCTGTTGGAGACGTTGAGAGAAAGAAAAAAAGAAAAAAAGGCCCCGGCAGCAAGATAAAATGGGGTCACGTGGGAGCAAGAAGGGTCCAGAAAACCATGACTCTCCGATTTTTAATCTCATGAGAGCCAAGATAGACTAAGAGAAAACTAAATACCATCTGGGGAGCCCTGGGTCTGAAAGCTCCTGACTTATTTAGTTTTTCTGGGAAACAGTGGTTTTTTTATGGTGTTCAGGGCAAACATGAAACAGATAGAAAAAAATATATATATCTGTTTGTCTTATTGATTTTAAATCATTTCATGTCTTTTTGATTTTAAATCATTTGTCTTTTTGATTTTAAAGGATTTGTCTTTTTGATTTAAAGCATTTGTCTTTTTGTTTTTAAATGATTTTGTCTTTTTGTTTTTAAATGATTTTGTCTTTTTGATTTTAAAGCGTTTTGTCTTTTTGATTTTAAAGCGTTTTGTCTTTTTGATTTTTAATTGTTTTGTCTTTTTGATTTCAAAGCGTTTTGTCTTTGATTTTAAATAATTTTGTCTTTTTTATTTTAAATTGTTTTGTCTGATTTTAAAGCGTTTTGACTTTTTGATATTAAATGATTTTATGTCTTTTTGATTTTAAATTATTTTGTATTTTTGATTGTTTTGTCTTTTTGATTTTAAATTATTTTGTATTTTTGATTTTAAATTATTTTGTCTTTTTGATTTTAAATCATTTTTTCTTTTTGATTTAAATTTTTTTTAATCCCTCCTTTTTTCTTTTTTTTTCTTTATTTCCTTGCATTGTAAAGCACTTTGAATTGCCTTGTGTATAAATGGTGCTAGACAAATAAACTTACCTTGCCTTTTGTATGATAAAACTAAGTTCTACTCTATTTTGATACAAACGGTTACTTAAATCATAAGATTTACTGACAGTGGTTGAGGTTTTGAAAGGCATATTAATGGCATATTATGCATCATGAACCACCTGAAGTCTCATTTCTTTTGTGTTTTTAATTTTCAGAGGGAGCCTGATGAGAAACTATGTGCTGCAAGAGAGGAGCTACGATACTGGCAAAAGTTGCGGCAGGATCTGGAAAGAGCCCGACTTCTGGTGGAGCTCATCCGCAAGAGAGAGAGGCTAAAGAGAGAGCAGGTAGGTTTAATGAGAAGTATTAGATAAAACATGAGCTGTGAATATTAAGTCCACTCTGGAAGATTCAAATCAGCATTGCTGTTTATATGTAGAGTATTTGAATATTTAACAGTGACCTTGTGCATCCTCTCCTCTCCCATGTGAATTTAGATGAAAATTCAACAGGCTGCTCTTGAACTGAAGCTGACACCTGCATTGGTGCTTCTGCGATCCACTTTAGACCAACTTCAAGAGAAGGACACGGCAAAAATCTTTTCTCAGCCTGTCAATCTATCCGAGGTAGGTGAAGGCCAACTGCTTCAACTTTTGATTCTTTTGACTGAACTCCTGCTAACAGTCTCTTTGTTCTTGATTCATCGAGGTCCCAGATTATCTGGAGTTCATATCTGTACCTATGGACTTCTCCACCATGCGCACCAAACTGGAGGGACACGCCTACTGCTCCATCGCAGACCTAGAGAAGGACTTTGACCTGATGATCTCAAACTGCCTCAAGTACAACTCCAAGGACACCATGTTTCATAAGGCAGCCTTACAGATGCGGGAGGTGGGTGGAGCTATTCTCCGGCACAGCCACCGGCAGGCCCAAAACATCGGTCTGGACCCGAATACTGGGATGCATCTTCCTGAGACGCTGAACAAACATGGCTTCTACCACTGTACGTGGGACGATGGTGAGTTCAAGGTTAGAATAAGCAATCTCTTAGATAACCAAATTCCTTATGCATGATCTGTTAATCTGCTGTTTGCCCCTCTCTTTTACAATACTCACAGTTGACTCTCTCTTGGATCCAGACAACAGACTTCACTTGAACAAAGAGGAGCAGCTCAAGGCCTTACTGGACAAACTGGACGTGGTGACATCCATGCGCACCAGCGGCGGGCGAACCAAACGCATTCGGCTGCTGCGCAGAGAGATCAACACTCTCAGGCAGAAGATGAACCAGCAGCAGCAGCAGAACTCTCAGTCTGTGAATGGTAAGGACCTGGAGGATGAAGACAAAGAAGAGGAGGAAGAGCAAAAGGAAAAAGAGGAAAAAGCGAAGGAAAAGAAAAAGAAGAGAACAAATGCTGCTGATAACGGACCTTTGACGGTGGTGTCCAACTCAAGGACAGGTAAAAGCAGTTGTTACTGTGTTGTTTAATCACCTTTTGACAACCAGGTCATTGTGTGTATCATTAAGTCTGCAGGGGAACATTATGGTTACATAGTTAAGATTTAGGATGAGCACTTCTACAAATAGATGTTCTTTTTTTATTACTGCTGACATTACTCGTGTCTGCCAATACACACTACCGGTCCAAATGCAGTACATCAGAAAACAAGCACATAATCCGTATCAACACTCATAGCTGCAGTGAAAAATTTAGTAGAAATGTCTGATTTTTTTAAGGGTCCAGTGTGACACATTCAATTGTGGTTTCATTTAAATGTCCAATCAATAGTCTAGACAGAGAACCAGACACATCTGTGAGCTCCTGATTTAGTTGTTCGGGGGCCCTTTTCCAAGTAAGGCAGATTCTGATTGGGCCAATCATAGCTGGCTGCCCAGTAAAGGCTGGTTTTAGTAGAATTAAAAGAATGAGTGCAGGTCATGTTTGTTAGGAATGATAAACTATTCATGGCCAATTTCTCCAGTTTAATGCTTACGGACATCAGAACATTTACCTAAACTAGCAGCCAACAGTAGTGTTACACATTTTTTTCTCCACTTGGTTGTTTTATAAACGCTCAGTGGGGTAGTACCTTTCCCACTGAGCATTTTTTGGTCCAAAAGAGGTGGAATAGATGTAGTCTAGACAACTGGTCTAAAATCAGGCTACCACAGGTCTAAAAATGAAAGTTTTCAGACGTCTAAATTTAGACTGAGTTTAGACTAGCCAGCTAACAGAGGTCTATGGTTATCATAATTATTTTGGTTTAGTACTTGGAGATCAGTTATGCAACTCACAGTTGCTTTATGAAATAAATACTAAACGAATAATGGGCTAAAGTGCAACATCTGATTTATGTCTAAAAATATACAGAATCTAGACGGTTGAAATTAGATCTAAACAATGAACTAGACATCTAATAGCCGTCTTTTGCTCAGTTAGTAATAATCTAGAGTAAATCATCATGGCAAAGTCTTGATTTCACTTCTTTTCAGATGTTTATCACAAGAAGAAGTAATCATTATAAATACATGTCACTTTGATTCAGATGACTCCCCTCCTGTGCTGGAACTCACCTGCCCTGTATCATCGCCACTCCCTGGAGATGCTCCTCTAGAGCCCCCCGTCCTGGGTATTGTAACTGGAGGACGAAGATCACCAGGGCGCTCCTACAAGCGCCAGCGGTCATCTCGCAGTGGAAGCAAAAGCCAGGGAGAAGATGAGGCTGAGGTTGGTGAAACACCGTCATCACAACCAGAGGCTGTTCATGAGGTTACTCCTCTGGGGACACCGCCAACTCTGCCTTTGGTCGGGGTTGGCCGCCGCACATCTGTCCTGTTTAAGAAAGCTAAGAACGGCGTACGAATGGGGAAAACCAAATCCACCCCACAACAGAATGGCAAAGCTCCTGAGGAGAAGACAAACGGGTTGGATAGCACTCCTGCTAGCCCAAAGTCACCTAGTGTGACCAACATCACCACTTTACCTCCAACGCCAAACGGGTCCCCTACTCCCCCCTCTCCTTCTTCCCACCACCTGAGGTCCAGAGGTCCCAGCTCAGAAAGTGAAGCAGAGAAACTCCCCCCACCATCCAGAGAAGAAGGTAAGGACAAAACATCTAACTTTTATCACAGAAAGAGATTCAAGTGAGCTATATTTTTCTCTATTTCTTTACTAAATCTGTTTTTTTTTTCTAGGCCTCACCAACGGAAAACACACCCTTGCAGACAACGATGATGATGAAGACCAAAAATTGAAGTAAGCAAAACAACAAGTCAATTTACCAAGAGATATTTAGCAAGATATTTAAGAATAGCTTTTGTATTTTGGTTGTTGGTAGAAAGACGTGTCTGAGGAATATTGTGTGAAATACGCAGTTGTAGCTACAGTCTCATCATCTTAGAACAACCTCCTCATCGTCCTATTCTCTCTTCCTTTTCACAGCTGTAGTGTCTCTCCCCCGAAACGAAGTCGTGGTAAACCTGCACTGGCTAGAGTTCCAAAAAGTGAGAACGGGGACGTCTCTGGGTCTGGTGTGTATCATGATGAGGCATTAGAAATTCTTTTTGTGATATGGTGTTAATTCAGTGGTATTAATACCTCAGTTTGGGCTCAAGGTTTCTCATGTACATCATTTAACTGGAAATGTTGAAATATCCTGTTCACAGGAACATCTACACTTCTGTCTTTAGATGGTGAGACTGAGTTAGCGCCTCTGGACCTCGTCTGGGCCAAAAGCAGAGGATATCCATCATACCCGGCTATGGTATGGATGGATTTTTAACACTGGCGTATTTCTTTGACTCACTGCATCCCAAAGAGGGGGACGATAATTGAGTCAACTCTGACTGACATGATTTATTGTTTCAGATTGTTGACCCAGACATGCCCCAGGAAGGGCTTCTTCACAACGGCATCCCCATTCCAGTGCCTCCTGTGGAGGTGCTCAAACTGGGCGAGTGGAGAGGAACGGAAGAAGGCGAAAAGCTCTTCCTCGTGCTCTTCTTTGACACCAAAAGAACTTGGTAAGATTCAGACAAGTTGGCGCAACCTCAGGCTGAATTTTAAGACAATGCGGAGCAGTGTTGGTCACTGAGAAAATTGTCCCTCTTGGTTTTTCAGGCAGTGGCTCCCTCGGAACAAACTGCTACCGCTGGGAATGGACGACACTGTCGATAAGCTGCGTTTAATGGAAGGCAAGAAACCAAGCGTTCGAAAGTCTGTACACACTGCGTATGACCGGGCTATGGTGCATTTAAACCACGTGAGAGGAAACCTTAACTTCACTCCTTCCAATTTTATATAGAGTTTCAAGATTTGATCAACTTAAACAGGCTGCCTGGATACATGTATAAAAGCTTCATCCATGCTTCTTGAGAGGTGGAAAAGTTAGCAAAAGATTTAATTTCTGACTGTTTTCTGCATTCAACTGTAAACCTGAATTTCAAAGCTGAGAGAGAAAAAATGTGCTCAAGGACTTTTTCCTAGATGAAGTTGTTCATTTATTCCTGTAATTTTTAAAAAGATTTTACACAACCACTGTTGCTATGTGTTCTTATAAAGTTTTTATTTGAGGCCAAAGTGAGTCAAGACTGGAAAAGAGGGTGTAAATATTTAGTTGTCAAAGGGATCGTCTTGATTCAGAATATATTTAGATTGTAGTTGCCATTGAACTGTTAACTGTGTTTGATAAATTGTGAAAAGTCCCACTTACTGCTCATATCATATCCGGACTCTGGGGGGTTTAGAACTTTTGCAGTCAAAACAAAATCCAATTTTTGATGCTATTTGTCATATTACATCAACAATTTCCATAAATACAAAGAAGACCCGCAGTGATTCATTGATTAGCAGTCAATTAATTATTAAAAATAACTTTTTTTGACAATTGGTGACAAGGTGAAGTTATCTTTGAAAAATTACCTCTAAAATGTGAATATTTCCAGGTTTTCTGAAGCTTCTTTGTCACAAAAATTGAACACATTTGGATGAAAGATAGAAGATTTGGCGATTTGAGCTGTCCTGAACTTTTGTAACATTGATCCACTCTTTTTAAAAATTTGTTCCATTTTTTCAAGCCAAAAGAGAAAGATGAATCTGAAAACAATCTATGGATTTACCCATTTAGTAAAAAAAAAAAGTACATTTAAGAAGAGAAATACATTTGATGTGTACTACCCCAAACTAGACGAATAAGATGTTTGAAAAAAATGAATTAAATTGAAATACGATTCAGTGTGGGTTGATTTTAGTCCAGCTATGATATGTTGTAGGTAGGACTTTAGAGGTTGTTGCTTATTTTTCCATATTGTGAAACTAATTTGATACCAGAATGTTGAGCGTCTGCAGTGCAGCTACTTGGTTACCAAGATGTGAAGCCACTATCGAAGTGAAGCTGATTGTTCTGTGGTGAACACAGTCCACTGCAGTCCCCCACTTGAAGAACCTGTTTGCAGATTTGGCTGAAATGACTTGAAAAGCACAATTGGTCTGTTCAACAAATCGGTGGAATAGGATTGGTTATTCCTGGAGCCATGTTTGTGGCTGAAATTTGTGTGTGTGTGTACGTGTGTGTGTGTACAGTATATACATATATGAATACAAGCTCAGTGTAGTAAAGGTGCATGTGTATAGTTCTGTAAATATGTAAATGTATGTTTATATTGGCCTACATGAAGTTATTTAAGGAATGCAAAAATCAAATTTAGATTTTAATTTATAACTTGTGGCAGTCAAGAGTGTTATTTAAAAAAAATGAAATATTGAAAAGATTTATGTAAGATGCTAAGTAGCTCTTTGTAATAGTGGCGGTATTCACCAACATGTCAGAAGCATTATCTAAATGTATGGTGGCACAAGACCCCAGCTCTGTGGGCAGCAGTTGTCCACAGGAGGATTTTTTTTTCTTAGGTGGCACAGGAGTTATTCGATCTTGTCATTTGAATTGTTCTGCAAGATCTGTTACCTGCCTGAGACAATATTTTCTCACAAGAATAAATGCTGTTTGAAACAACTACAAATGTTTGTCGCCTATCAATCACCTCTCACCCGTTTCATTTTGTTTATTGTCTTGTCTCAGCTTCAGCTCAGTTTGAGAAGTGGACAATGCACCGATGTCGAGGTTTAACTGTGATTTTGCACTTTCTATTTTTAAATTTAAGAGTTTACGTGCAAACGGAGCATTGCAGGCTCTTAAAAATGAAATATGACTCTGCAGAAAGTGTTTTTTTTTTTATTTATCATCCCTCAAAGATGTTAAATGTACTGCTCTGTCTACTGTGTGTTTCCTATATAGCTTTAAGATTCATTAGCACATGTTGCTTATTAGAAAACAAGGAATTTCCTCTTTAAGGCGACTTTACATTAGGGCTGCGCGATAAAATGATAACGATAAATATAAAAAATTAATTGCCCTCAATATCAATATAAAACATGGTCAATATGCGTTTTGATAGTCGGCATTCTGCCATGTTTTAGTAGACTATACGAATAGCCAATGAAAAGGGGAGTTGCTCCAGGTCTGCTTCGTGCTGAACCAATCACGCTGAATTAGAACCAAGTAGCAAACAACTGCATAGTAGCAGGCAGCAGCTACACGCAACCATAGCACTTAAACACGTGAAGCCGACAGCACTATCAGTGAGAAAAAAAGAAAATGAGTGATACCCCCGACAGAAATGCAGAAACAAAGGCTCAACAGATGATATCGTCAACAACACTGACATGAAAACCTCGGTGGTGTGGACACATTTTGGTTTTTTGAGGTCGGACATGAAGCAGAGTAATGGGCACTGCAAATTATGTCGAGTACATGTTCTTGTAAGGTTGGGGTATACCTCAAATCTTTTCACCACCTGAAGCAGAGCCACACGGAAGAGCAAAAGGTTACAAACCCGGAGTGGAGCAAGGAGCCCATGGCGCCTGTGCAGCCGAAACATTCAGTCCGCTTTCTCTAGCACAACACCTTATAACAAAACATCGAAGAGAGACAAAGACCTCACAGATGCAGTAGCTTATTTTTTTGCAAAAGACATGTTACCAATAAGCGCTGTTAAATTTCATTTTTTATATCGTGATATATATCGATAGACTGATTTGAAAAAAATATATCTTGATCAACTTTTTCCCATATCGCCCAGCCCTAATTTACATACAACATATTAACCCGTCATCTTTTCTTGGGTAGTCAGGAAAATTTAATATAGGATATAAAGAAATATAAAGATTTCTAAAGATTTTTATCAGGTGAAAGTTTGCAGGTTGCTGTCATATTAGGTGCTGCATGTTAAGACTGTAAATAGTGCAAAGCCAAGCATAGAGTATGTGAGTGTTTGAGCTCAATGAGAAAAAGGTTTACGTATTGACATTAAAGGCAGTAAAACTCTGCATACACTCCAGGATCGATATTTACATGTTGCTAACTATTCAAAGGGAATTATTTGGTAATCAAGTTTGTGTACTGCTGCCCATGCAACACAGAGTAGGTTTAGATTACTGTAAATCCAAGTAGTTCACGTTGATAAGGAGGCTCAGTCAAACAGAATAATCAAACCTCTGAAGCGTTAAAGATTGGCGACACCATGACAGGGCAGTTTTTTTTTTTTTCCTTTTTTAGTCTGAAAAGCTAATTCTTCTTAATACCAAATTCTGTTCTCCAGTTTCCTGGAAGTGGTTACATAACACAATAAGAATTCTAGGAAGCAGAACCACAACCACAGTTCAATTATAGTCGAGAAACTGCGTAAAATATTTAGAGTTTGATGGTTTACAAAATATTTATATCCTTCCAGATTTTTGCGAAGACAACAAATCAAATGTTGAAAATTTGGCTGTTGTGAAAAACTTGTCCTGACACTTTTGGATGTGGGGTTATAGTTATATAAGCACTGATTATAGCTTAATTTCTTTCTTCCTCATTATTGAGAACATTAAATTTGTAGGACAGGACATTTAATTCCTCCATTATTAGAAATAAATTACAGCTTAAATCCAAGAAACTTGTAAAAAACATAATAGAAGTGACTGGAATGTAAAATCAGGTGAACTAATCTGGTCTGACTCCATCTGACTGGCATGACTGTTGTCAAAATGAATAAAACTGAAGCTTTGTGCAACCTGGGATTTATTTCATAATACTATAGACATACTCTTAAGACTTGAACTGACAAGTAATTCCTCAGAAGACACAAGGAGGAAGCTACAGTTTATAGACCATCTTTACAAAACTATTATCCGAAACGATAAGTCGCCTGAAGTCACAACAATAAGTGATAGAAAGAAAACACTGCTTGAGACCAGACCCGTGTTTTCTTCTGAATTGAACAGATGATTTTCACACGAGCATGGTTCGAGACACCAACGATGATGAGAAGTGATCAGGTGTAACAGGCTGGGATTTCCTACTTATTTTCTACACAAAGCGTTCCACAAATGAAACCTGATCGTTGGGATGAGTGGAAACACCGTCTGGATGTGAAACAACGGCATGTTTTCAAGTTCTGTAACAGAGGAGTGCCACCGCGGCGTACTTTTAGGGCGATGTGTTTGTTCTTTGCTCTGTATGCCATCCCAGCCCTGCCGGTTCCTGTTGTTGATATTCCAGTTTTTCTTGAGCTGTAAACGCACCGTATTCTTGTTTCTTGCATATCCTGTTGAGTAACATGTGTCTTTAACAGAAAAAAACTAGTCAGAGAAACTTAAATTAACCCTTCATCTTAACTTACGCTAGAAAAATGTAGTTGTAGAGTATGAATGAACTGTCATCCTTTTGATACATTCACCGTCCGTGAGAATTTTGTTGTGTTGCAGTAATAAAACAATATAAAAACATTTAAATATCGTTGCAGTTTTCTTCTACCTCAGTTCATTTTATTAAAACACACTCCTGTTTTTTTTGTTTGTTTGTGTTTTTTTTGCCCTGACTCTTTCAGACTGAAAGCATACTCACTTTCTTATTTAAGAAAAGAAATAATACTAGTTCGAAAGAGATCATTCACCCTTAAATAGTGTAAAACGTAGTGTTTCGTCCCAGTAGTCAATGTCTGTCAAGTCCAAAAAAGGTCAAAAGAGGGTTCAAAAATATCTCAGAACCAGTGTACGAACTATTGTTGACTGAGGCTGAGCAGCTAGAGCAGCACTAAGACAAGTCCTATAGAAGAGATAAGAAGCCATTATCTGTGGCGTCCTGCTGGTCAGATTTACCCCCTCGAGAGCTCTTGCTGGGGTTGGGGGTGGTTGAATACTTCGGGGGGTATCTGATGAAGAGACGGTCCTCCTCTTTTTTAATCCACCTAAGAAGCTTGGTAATAGCTGTGATGGCACAGGCCTTCGTCACCAGAGGGCTGAAGCAGGTGTACAGCTCGAATTTGCTCGTGACCTAAAGCAGAGAGCACAACCAACATTTAAGGTGAAAGAGGCTGAAACTAACTTTGATTATGAACGATGATTTTGTACTTTTTGTTAGTTTGGTTTCTTGCTGACAACTTGATGAGCAGATTAATTCAATTTACAATCGAAGTAGCTGTTTTTCTCTCAGATACAGGATCATTATACCTGAATTTGTGTGTTGAATTTCTGACGTTAAGTGCAAATCTGATTCCAGCGCAATTAAAATATTTATTCAGAATTTATTCCAATAGTTGTAGGTCTATAAAACTGACCCTTCATTACATGATTGATAACTTGAAATAAGTTCTTTGCTAGTAGCAGCCATAACACATCCATGACAGCCAAACTGTGCAACTTGCTGTCCAGAATTCAGTTTGGGACATTGACCGGTTTCTCCTACAATCAGTAGATATGTGTTCAGGTATCAGATCAGTGTGTGGTGTCATGGCTATTTCCTAACTCTAATCTTATCTGTTTGTCAGATATGAAACTACAGCCAGAAGCCTGTTAGCTTAGCATGACACCTTATTGTTATTATTCTGGTATGCAAGACCAAAATACAATAAAATTGATTATTAAAGTTTAAAGGGGACCAAAGACTGGAAAGGTCCTCCATATCTCTTTCTATAGCACCTTCAAAGCTTAAAGGGATATTCCGGCGTAAAATTAATTTAGGGTCAAACACACCGTAACACCGAGTTAGACACCCAAGAGACGAATGTTGCCGACCGCTTTTCTAGTTATACCAACTTTAGTATCGACCACAGAATAGCAGTACACAGCGGTCTGAGGAGCCATAAATAAACCTCAACCAAAACGCCACTCTATAGCCACAAATAATGCTCAGAACAGCACCTAACTTCATCAACAGTACATATAGGGTCCCAGCCATAGTACTAGCTACCAAACATCTTTTTAACTTTGCCTGATTTCTTTAACAAAGAGACTAAACACAACTCACCTACTCTCTTCCAGCAGCCGCTTGTTGTAGCGAGACCACAGGCCAGTCCATTACGGACTTCTGCGGGGTGACCGCTGTGTATTGCTATCTGCGGTCATTACTAAAGTTGGTATAACTAGAGAAGCAAGCAGTTGGCGACATTCATCTCTCGAGGGGGTGTCTAACTCAGTGTTATGGTGTGTTTGACCCTAAATTAAGTTTACGCCGGAATGTCCCTTTAAGAGTTACAGTTTTTTTGGTCACTGTTTCCAGACATTACCTAGCACATGACCCTCTTAAGGAGTAAAACTTAGATCAGTGCCAGCAGTTTCTTCATGACTTAGTCTTGCACCAGCTCCCGGTTATGCTGCAACAAGCTTAGACTTCAAGGGGGAACTGGTACCTTGAGCTCCACCTGTCTGCATGTCGATAATTTTAAACCTTCCTGTTCCAGTAAAGCTGCTAACCACAGATCTTTCCAAAAGTTCAAATATGAAACCAGTTATTTTTAACTGTTATAAAAAAAAAAGATGAGTGTATTGTGATTCATTTGCTGTTCATACTTTTATCATGATTACTGGGATTTGAAGCAGAAGACTGTATGAGCTGTTTTTGATGTTTCTCCTTATTCCATCCCTTTTCCAATCCGAACACGGTCACAGCAGATGGCTGTTCAACATGAATCTGATTCTGCTCAAGGTTTCTGCCTATAAAGAAGTTTTTTTCTCTCCACTGTAACCTGCTAAATGCTGCAAAGTGCTCTGCTCATAATGGATTAAGATCAGACTGAGTCTCCACACATAAGGAACTCTTTGGTGTCAAGAGAGAATTGAGTTGTACGCAGTAACCGTGAGTGTTTTCCTTAAACATACCCAGGCGAGCAGAGTTTCCCTCTCAGCCACGTGGTAGATCAGCTTTAGGGGTCGTGAGGTGCTGTGGATGCGGCTGTGCATGTACCGATAAAGGTCTAGCAGTCTCATTTTCTCTTCCTCACTGCTGTACGGCGCCTCCATCTCTGGGCTGCAAAAAAAATCACAGAAGAAGTGTTACGAACACATCCAAATAATACATTTTGAGGAGGTTGAGCAGATCTTCATAACACAGCTTCAAACAGAATCTAAAAGAGGAACTCCTCGTTCTGGGCAGCATTGCTGAGAAGTGTGATGTGAATAGAATCATTTCATGGGGTGCTATGCATATTTGTGTAATTTCATTTTCAAGGTTTCGCTTTGCTGCTGGATAATGTAATAAGAAGCTTTATGCTTTAACTTCTGCTCATTATGAGATAAGTGGAGTGAATTGGCAGGATTTATGGAAGACTTTGAAGACTTTTTGTCCATAACACACAAATCCTTACATCTGAATCATCACACAATCACTATACTCTTTAACTTATTGCTGTTTCCCTAAGAGTATGGTGCTTTCCTGCCTTCCTCTATGAATGATTCTGAAGTTTCCCCACCATGGACTCCATTTAAAATACTTATTTTCTTTATTTCTTTTTAAAGATTTAATTTAAAACCAACACTGCTGTCGAATTGGCATGTGCAGAGCATTTGCGGTGCAATATATTAAACAAATTCATTTAAGCTCCTACTGTTGAATGATTAATGATACACACACACACACACACACACACACACACACACACACACCTGGTGAACTGAGTGAGCTGGCGGTAGTTGTCTGGCACATCAAAGGGTTTGTACATGAAGTGTCTGAGGTCTGAGACGCCCACTTGGCTCACACTATAGGACTGTACTTTGGCGATGAGGCTCAGGGAGTTCTGAGCCACCATGGCCTCCTCGATCTTCCTCTTACACTCTGCCACAGCGTAGAAAGCCTCCTTGTCTGTCGAGAGCAGCAGCAAACAAACAGTGCATTCTGGAGGGTCCAGGTAGGAAATGTATGCATAAAAATAACAGTCTGGATTAAAGAGGGGGAGGCAGATTGGAGTCCAGATTTCCCCAGCCTGAAAGGCAGAAGACGCTCCGATGAGGTTGAGAAGGAGGTGGACATCTGCGGGCTCTAGTCGGGTGTCCTCGATAACTGTCTTTTCCTGGACAATAGTGAGCAGCTGGTTGTTAGCTATGAGGATGGAGAAAACCAGATTGGGTGTGATGGCTTTCTGCAGGATCTGACTGAGGGAGTCCCTGAGAGAGGAAGCTAGAGGCAGGCAGTGCACAGCTGCAAGCAGGAAGCTGGGGTCAGAATCCACCAGGTTGAGAAGACCGTCCAGGATCTTTTCAGAGCCGGCCAGGAGTCTCCTCAGGTCGTAGTTTTTCTTGTGCTCAAAGATGCGGGATATGCTGGCCTGTGTTAGCATGCTAATAATCTGATAGTAGACATAGAGAAGCTCTCCACGGAGCTGCCGCTCAGACTGACGACTGCTCGAGACACACACCAACACAAGGGGCCCCTTCTGTAAGAAGACCACAGTGTGCTCCTCTGAAACAAAAAATATGAGAAACACATTCAGAAAAAATGCACCAAAAACTGTCTTCTAATTGTGATAATTAGAGAATCTTCATCCTGGTACTCGATGAGTCACTTCTTAGTTATAAGTCCCTTATCTGACGTCAACAAAACATTTTAATTAAACTGGAAGCACTCCTGTTAAGATGTTACAGTGAACTTGCTTAACAACTGTCCGGTTCCTCAGACCACACAGTTTTATCCTGTTCTTGTAAAATCTAGTTATGTGCAGCTGACATCTTTATTGTTCACACACATGACACTCTTAGGACCAACAACATAGACAATTCAAGCATACTGCAACTCAGTGTGCAGAAGCATTTACAGAGTTTTTTACTTTTTGTGGTTTGAATTGGATCTTAAATTATCATTTGTTTGATTTTAGTATTCATGCATTTTTGTAAGTAACTAATTTATTCTTGAGACGTTTGATTAAAAAAACAGGTCCACATTTAAGAAATATCAATACTGAGGCTTTTTTCAGTAGTATAAATGAAAAAGGGACTTTCAAAACAAATAAGTGTTTACAGTAAAAAGAGAGAAAGTTGAAAACATTTTCTTAAGTCATGAACATCTTCAAACTCTTTGTAATTCATAAATAATGGTGCAACGCGTCAGGTCAATTCATAAACCCTCCTGCATCATAACTATATAAAATATTTGACATTCCAACGTAACTTCTTTTTCTTCTTTTATCTAAAGAGAAAGTTAAATTTACAAATAAATGACTAACTTTAATTAAGAAAAGAAATAGTTCCACTGACCTGAATAGACTGAGCGGATGATGTTATCTCCACTTTGAACAAATGAAACCAGCGCCATCATAACTCCCATCGTCGATGAAAGAGCCTCTTCACTACCGTAACGGGAATAGATGGGTTTGCCTGCTTCACTTAGCACGAAAACATGCTTCCTGTGCTGTCGCCAGCTCTCAGCTGTCACGTCCTCATCACGGTGAGACATGAAAGCAGGGGATTCCTGGGTCCCTGCCTCCAACAAGGGAGATGACCTCCCTTTTACACCTATACCTTGCTCCTCCAGCTTGGCCTTGGCCAACATTGTCACAACAAACTCCCCAGAGTCACTCTGGTCATTGTCAGTGGCTGCCCCCTCGCTTCCTCCGTCAGACTGCTGGGTGCAAACATCGTTGAAACACTCGGAGTTCTCTGTCTCCTCAGTCTCTAGCTTAGTTACCTGGTTTGAGTGCAGCTCTGCATCCAGACTCTGCTGCTCTGCTGTAACATCTGAACACAGTGAAACTGGAGTCTCTTCTTTGCTAATACTCGCACCGTCGTTCCTCTCTGCCACATCAGGAAACATGTGATTTCCCAAGAGGGAGAGAGAAGTGGCCAAATTGTCACCTGAAAGATGAAAGACAAATAGAGTTAGAAATATCCAATCCATTCTGCTTTATTCATATAGCACATTTTAAGAAACATTGGAGTCTACCAAAGTGCTGCACAATAAAACTAAAAGAACAGACAATGCTGAAAACATCAAGATGAAATGAATAAAAGCAGGTAAAAGTCATTTAAAATGAAATAAAATAAATGAGATAAAAACACAAAAGTATAAAAGAAATTAAAGTGATAAAAGGACCATAAAAAGACATTAAAGGACAGAGATCACACAACTCTCATGCTGAGTTAAAAGACGTGATTTAAAAGTAAAAAGAGTGGGGGGTGTTTTAATATCGAGTGGCAATTTGTTCCATTATTTGGGAGCCGAGAAAGCTCGGTGGCCACAGGTTTTTAAACGAGTTTTTGGTACCACGAGTTCCACTTTAGCGACACTGAGGGGAACCGTAAAGCAGTGCCACTTTGCGTGACGTGATCGGTTGTGTAGCCCGCGTATTGACAATTGAATGAGAGCAGATTAGGATGGCTGAAATGGCGAATCGAGAGCCAAAGACGAGTAAACTCACTGGAGGAGGGGTATTTTGTTTTGCACCAGGCTGCTCCAACCAATTTTACAACGTAAGAAATAAAAAAACATTGCATTTCCATCATTTAACATATAGTGTAATGTAGGCAGGTGGTCTTGACTTGAGAATAGCTGTGATGGTAGATGAGATAGTTTACCAGGTGGGTTGTTCACAGAGGGTGGGTCAGAAATCTTCACTCCCTGTGCCTCTCCTTCTTGATGATTGTCTCTCTCCATGATACCATCCCAGTCTCTAGAGAGAAAATGACATTTATATTTCAACCAGATGAGCAAGAATGCAGAACTTTGATCCTTAAACTCTCTCAGTGACTGTGGCTGAACCTTCAGACAGCATGCATCTCCGTTTCTAATGAATAGGAGCACTCATACAGGACTAGTGGTCAGGTCACATGATAACAGAGGATAACTGGTTACAACACAGAATTACAACTTCAGGATAACAAACAGACTGAGGAATTTCAGACTGATTACAGCCTCCAGAAGCCTGCCTAATATTACACTGAAGATTAACTGCAGACGAAAGTAAGTATCGCCAGAGCTGGTGTGCTAACCTTTGTATATTAACGCGAATTAATGTTAGATTTAATGTTTGGATTTCTGATAACTTAACCAAGCTTACTTTGCCCATATGAATCATTTTAACTAAGAATTCCGATGCAACTGAGTGATACTGAATGCAGCTGCACGGCTAACCCTGCCTGCTAACAGGCGACACACATAGATCAATTTCATGGCCTTGGCTTAACACTAAGCATGTAAGCAATCTTAGTCAACTTAAATAAGACAGACAGCGAAAAACAACACAACTTACGATTTTTTGTGCCGTCGAACTGCTGAGCCGAAAATCTACTTCGGTACATTCACCTTCATCTGCAGCCCCGGTAGCAAACAAGCTGTCAAGAATGAGAAGCAGAAAACAAATTTTCCCCTACCATGGCAGACATCCGGAATCTCTGATGACAAGTTCGTGTGGCCAATCAGAACACAGAGAATCGACGAGTAGTCCCGCCCCCTGAGGGTATGCTCCACACAGCATTTTAATGCGCAGCCTAAGACATTTACGTAAATCTACTATTTAACAGGGTACGTTATCTTTTCTACATTATAAAATATCATCAGTTTTAAAGTACATGAGTAAAAAGTGAAATGAGATTGTAGATAAAAATAAAAAGTTATAAGTTGCCCTCTCAGCTACAAGCTAATTGCTAGAACCTGGTGATAAGGGTTATTAGTATAGCTCTCTCTACCTGCAGTCGCTGTTCTCTTTAACGTCAACATTGTAAATCAGGGGTGTCAAACTCAACCACAGCAAGGGCCATAATCTGGATTTAGGTCTAACCTGAGGGCCAAACAGGTCTGGACACAATTCTAAGCAAATTTATGACAGACTAAATTCACTTTCAAGAGTGTATTTTTTTTTTTTTAATAAATGTCTAACCCCTTCACTTATGTGCTTTTAAACTTCACAGACTCCATGAATTGATGCCTCCTAAATATTTGGTCACATGATCAATTTCTTTGACCATTTCCAAGAATAGGAGTTAGGAGCGGGTTAGAATTCTCACTGCAGAGTTGTAGTTTATAGATACCACAACTGATGTATAAAACAAATTTAAAATGATCTTTTTTGGTCTGGACACAATTCTAATAAAACTTATGACAGACTAAATTCACTTTCAAGAGTGTATAATTTTTTTTTAAATAAATGTCTAACCCCTTCACTTATGTGCTTTTAAACTTACAGAATTGTAATACGTCTTTGTGGTCTGTATACTTTCAGCTAACGGGGCTACGCTACGTAACTACGTCATCACCTCCCATTCTTCATTTCAAACGTCCGCAACGTCAAACATGGCGATCATAGTGTTATTACAGAATTGTAATACGTCTTTGTGGTCTGTTTACTTTCAGCTAACGGGGCTACGCTACGTAGCTACGTCATCACCTCCCATTCTTCATTTCAAACGTCCGCAACGTCAAACATGGCGATCATGGTGTTATTCGTGACATAGCCCTGGCGATGTTTTCAACATTACCATTCAGATTAAGAGCTGATCTTTGAATCCATATCAACGTTTTTAAGCGGACACCATGGAGGAGCAGTGGGATTTCGAGCTTTTGTCCCGGATCGCTGACGGCTGCTTGTCATTCCTGTCCGAATTTGTGGACGACTGGCTCGCAAACGACATGAGAGTCTGCATCTTCAAAATCTTACTCAGCTGGTTGATTTTCAGTCTCATCGCCATACACTTTGCGTGGAAATTCTACGGGAATACAGTGAACGATATGTACTACCGACAAGGTGAGTTTTCGTCGACGTGTGTTTGTGCGGTGTCGTTCCCTGAATATCAGCTGTGTTGGCCTCATTCCTGTGTGTTATTTACGTTCAGGGACTGGACAGAACGGGGGTACACCTGACACAGCACCTCACCTGAGTGGATGGTAGGTGTCCAAACATGTATGCTGCCTCAAACAGGGAGATACCTGGAGCTTTACTGATTCATTGTTCACTACTTATGCAAAACCCCAGGATCACTGTCTTACTCTGCATACTATATTTAGTGAGCCTGCAAGGTTGCTGAGTTGATTGCAATAGACATGTGCCATAAACTTTAAATTTTTGCTATTATAAACACAAAACTGGCAATGATAGGAAAATATTTTAGTCTGCATGTCTTTCATGAAAGCTCAGTCGTGTAACTCATCATTTTGTTTATATTTCTTTATCCTACAGGGAAAGTCAAGCAGCAGCAGATAATCTAAAGACTCACCGAGATTGACAGGACCATAAGGATGGATTTAGGACTTGATCCAAGTGTTACGGACAGTAAACATTTCCTATAGACTCAAGTTTTGCAGCTCATGAAACTTCAGTGCATTCAAGATGCAGCCAACTCACAGAGGGAAATCCATTATTGTTTCTTCTGCTTGCAAAAGTACAAGTAAAAGTTTTTATGCTGGCACTTAATTCCACATCATTATTAATCCAGTTCTGTGTTATTTATTTTGGCTTGTTAGCTCTGATCATAGAGAAGCATACTCAACATTTTTTTTCTGCAAATTGAGAAAAAACAGCGATGTTTTTGTGTTCAAGTTGTGGGTGCTTTGAGAACATTCTGGCCATTCAATTTTCCATATTGACCAAGTGCATGAAAAAGGTATATGAACTTGATTTTCATTTGTATGATAGGAAATAAAAAGTATTTTTCAGTACATAACGAATAGGCTGACGAGAGTTCTTTTGGTTAATCTTCAGTTATATTAACAGAAGTGAGTGAATGATGTGTGGGTGCATACATATCAATGAAAACCAGCTCAGATTTTGCCCGCTTGATTTCAATTTACCAGTGTTTCTCATGACATGTCAATCTCAAGGTGCTCATCTTAAATAGTAAATCCCCTTTGACACAAACCTTTTCATCAAATGGAAAAAAAAGTGATCAGAATTAAGTACAAATATAATATTTATGAATCAAGTTTTATTTTTGAGATCTGACTTTATTCTGGTGTGGTGTGATTTGTTGTAATATAATTTTTAGCAGAGCCAGGCTTATTTTAAGGTTAAGGTTTAATGGTGAAGACAAATCTCAAGCACAAACAAAATACTGCATGGTGTATTTACAGTGTGCATCTTGGGTAGCCTGAAGTGCTTGAAGAGATCTGTACCTAAGTTGAAAGATGAAATGACCATTTTGTGCAGGCAGCTCATTAAAATTAAACATTTTGTGCTTGAAAGTACCGATTTTACCAGCATTTCTGGCCGCTAGAGCTGGGTTTTGAAAGAGATAATAAAGTTAAGCAATTAGGATTTTTTAATGTTCTGCCAAAAATGTCTGTACAAATTGATAATGCAGTTATCGAAATGCCAAGTCATTCAAACAGAGTTCTTTATCCAGATCCACTGGATTTATTGTGCAATTAAATTATCTTATATTAATAGGAACTGGGGGAATCAGGAGCATGTGCACATCCATCACATTTGTGCAGGTCAGACCAGGTACAAGTAAGCGCTGCCCGGCAGAAAGACTTGAAAAGAAAGTGTAAGAATCATTGTTAGTGAGGAAAGTCTCCAAGTGCAGCCCCTGTGCTTCTGCTTCTTCATACAACCCCCCATCAGTGACAGCCCCTGCTGCCTCTGTAGGTCCATCCTGACCATCAGTTCCACCACTCAGAAAAACAGGACCATTAGGTGGGACTCCCAGGTCTCTCAGCTCCAGTCCAACTCTCATCGCCAGCTCCTGGTTTCTTCCACCTCGACCCATACCTGTCAGCTCTACAGTGGGCTCACCTCCAGCTAACAAACAAGTGGCCCCCCAACCTTCTGTACGCCCCTCATCTAACACCTGCATGGTGCGGCAGAGGTCCCAGCTCTCCACGCCAACTTCAGGCCCGAGACTCAGCATCTCAGCAGCTATCTCTGAAGGAGGCTCCTCTCGAGCGCAGGCGAAGCGGGCCAGGAGGCCATATAGTCTGGACACCAACCTTACATCACCACACACTCCTGGTGCCACCACAACAGGGCGGAAACCAAGCTCCCGTGCACGGCGACCTGCGCACATGAGGGCCATGCTGTTGGACCCAATAACAACATTGTGAACATGTCCTGATTCAGCGTCGTCCTCCTTTGTCACCTTCCAGCGGGGACCTGGTCTCCCGAGGACCTCCTTAACTGAAGCAGGTAGAGAATTCAACATCTTGTAACGTTCAAGCACCGACAGAACTTCTTCAGGCCACACCTCGCTACGAACTGTGGGGCCACTGGCTATCAAGTCCAGAGGGTCCCCGATCACATCTGACAGAATCAGTGAAACTACCTGTGAGGAATTCAAAAGAGGAGTGACGTTCAAAGTTTAATTTTGAAATTAATTCTAAAGCACTTACAGCTGATGAATGAAAATGATGATACCTTGGCAGGGTGAGCGAAATGTGCAAGCCCTCCACCTTTTAGGTAAGAAAGGGCACGTCGCACAGTGTTCAGCTCTTGGATGGTGGCACCAGCAGCTGCAAGTTTGCGGGTGACATCCAATTTCTCCACCAATGTGATGGGTGGGATGGGAGCAGGTAACAATGCAGAGCCTCCTCCTGAACACATTTTCACCAAAAGGAAGAGTTACATTTCATTTTTCAGAAGAAGAGATAAAAGGGAGGACACATATTTACCTGAAATCAGAACCAGCAGAATGTCTTTCTCTGTCAGCTCACTGGCCATCTGCTTGATCCCTTCAGCTGCGCTCTGGGCTTCAGCATCAGGCAAGTTGTTCTTAGCTCCCTCCATTACTTTGATGCGGCTGTGTCCTTTTAACAAAAGATGGCTGTGATGGAGAAGAAATATTTTACTATGCTTATTAATAGTGTTCTTAAAATACATTGATAGGTTACATTCTGAGGCTTTTGTTTACCCTTTCCCATGCTCCTGCAAAGTGTGCTGAATCCCATGTGGTACGCTTATTACTCCTTTTACTATGTGATCCCCCAGAAGCCTCTCTGCTTCTGCAGCCATACCTAATACAGCTTTTCCAAATCCCACCAAGTGCAGGTTGTGTTTGAGTGTGAAATTGTGACCATCAATGGTGACTGAGTCTCCCTTTCGCTCTATACTTCTTCGGATAATGGTGTCCGGTTGCACAGCTTCCACAGCAGCTGCAAACACAAGCCGCGCTCGTGAGTCCATTGACATTTTGCACACCATAGGTTTCCTCCTGCCAATGAGAGCCAGGAAGGGCTGGGGCCGTAGCAGGGTGAGAACACGGGCCATGGGCAGTTCAGGTTGTCTGAGAGGAAACTGCCTGAATGGTTAAAAAATATATATAAAAAGGTTGATTAGAGATTTGCCAAATAACAGTTTTAAGAGGGCAAAATGTCCCAAATGTGCCAATATCAGTGAGAAGGGGGTGAAACTCTAGTAGTCCTTCAATAAATGTTGACTGGTCAAAGGCCACTTTTACCTGTTCACAAGATGTTATAGTATCAGAGAGATCATTGTATGTGGAATGCCAGAACACTAACACAGTGGAAGCTTGGGCTCTACATACAATAAATGATAAGATATCAAGCTGTTCGTGTTTTGGTTGGAGGTTACTGCTTATGTTACCTGTTATTAAAACATACTAAATAATACCTAACAGACAATGCATTTCTTGCTCATGAGTAGTACTTCAAATTTTTTCTCTTACTTCAAATAAGTTGCTTTGAAGCCTTGTAACTGATCAAAAAGCCACCGGGACAAAGTCTACACACATCTGAATGACAAAGGTGTGTGAATAATCTGCAAATCCCTACATAGATAAAAGCCATTTCGTTACCCTGAAACTGTGCCTTCTTGTGTGTCTCCCTACCTGTGAAGGTAATAGTTGGGTTAGAAAGCCTGTGGATTCCTGTGGAAGCCTCTTTTCTGTTATACAGCTCAGCAGTCACAGCAGCAAAACTCTGACCACTCCAACCAGAGCTGTGTACCCTATGTGTAATGATTGACTCGAATGGACCATAGGACGGATCAAATCCCTGCGAACCCAGAAATGCATTTGTGCAAATAGTGGGATTTTTTTTTTAAACAAAAATGGAGGCTAAGACACCAAGAGTTTGCACAATGCTTGGAGGGGTGTCAACAGTGGTGGAAATCATGTGCAAAGTTCCTGACAGACTTTGGAGCCATTGTTGTTATTGCATAGTTCAAAGGACACCACCTGAAGCTAGTTCAAACTGAAATTTCAGCTGGTCCCACTGGTTTTTATCTTAACTGTGAAAGTGTCTTCGTTCGTGCTCTGTCTGACAAGCAACATGCTAGTAGCCTGACACACTGTGGGAAAACAGGAGGAACTCAAGCAAATTATTTTGTGTAAAAATCTAGGTTATGAGAATGCATTAAATTTCCACCTAAAAACAAATGTGGGTGCTATAAAACCCACTATGTTCAAGATTAAGGTCCCACATTGCAGAATAATTTGTCTTTCCAGTTATATTTCAACCCATATCCAATTCAATATTCAGAAGGATATACTACTCTAACCTTAAAAAAAACCTTCAACATTTGGCATGAAAGATAATGTTGCATATCAAACACTTATTTGTTAGTCTTCATGTAGAGAATGAGCAGCAAATTTATTACATTGAACATTACAAAGCTGCTACACTGATGGAAGTGAATGGCACCACTATGGGAAATTAAAACTAACTGAAGTTAATCTTCGTTTGAATTATGCCAGTTGTGTCAATATCATTTAAGGAGATGTAATGAGTTAACTTAAGTACAGCTCAACTACATATTAATCAAAGACTGCGTTGTAACCACAGGCAATAACGCTAAATTAAGTTAAATCCGACATTCCCACCACTTAATTTGAATTCCACCGACAGCGGCACGAACAGGTTTGACGTTAAGCGCACGCGTTTGTATGTTACCATAGTGACCGTCGTCATTTTTAAGATAAACCGAGCAAATTAGGTGTCTTAACGAATCACAACATACCTCAGACCACTCTTCCTGTAGAGGAGAAACAGACAATTTTTCCTGCACTGAGCCAACGTCCATGTTGTTGCCCGGAGAAAAATCTGGAAGTGGTCGTTTAACAGCACAGGTTCACCGAAACACGTTGAAAAGAGTTCAGGAAAGTGCTGGACCTGGGGGGAGGGAGGTATTTCTGACACGCTGTACAATTAGACGAGAATATTAGAGATTAAAGATTAGAGAGTATAGTGTTTTTCACATTTTTTCTTTTAGGTGAGCCGTAAAATTGGGGAATAATGTTTAGGATATGTTTCTATCTCTGCCAGTAGCGACCAGGTTTTCAACTATCGCGATACCAAATGACTCCTGAAGTAACAGATTCATGCGCGTCCCAGTTGATGAATATGCGCGTAACCGACGTGACGAAGGCGGTGCTTTTCCCTCCCTCTGCACTGCTGCTAACGGCTAGTTGTATCACAGGCGGGCTTTCGTAGCCAATTTTGAACCATATTTCTAAAGAAAACAACATTTAGCATTGTTGTTGTACATTTATGTAAACAAATAACCATAAGTGACACCACCAAGACGACCTAAAGTAAAAGGAGGGCCTGCTTCCCCTCAAACAGAGATAGGGGCCATCATGAAGCTGACGGACAATGTGCTGCGGAGCTTCAGGGTTGCTAAGGTGTTTCGAGAAAACTCTGACAAAATTAACTGCTTCGATTTCAGTTCGAACGGAGAAACGATCATTTCTAGCAGCGACGACGATTCCTTAGTCTTGTACGACTGCCAAGAGGGAAAGTAAGAGCAAATTTCATCATTATTAATTCTATTGTTTTTTAACGCTAGCTAGCGTAAATTGCTAAGCTAGATAGCGAGGCCTGCTACCCAACGGTAGAACTCATGGATAAGATATAAGATTTTTGCCTGTGCATGCTATCTTTATCGATGCATTATGTATCATTTATAGCTTATTTTTTGATCCAATGTTAGTTTTTCACACTGTGTCCATCAAATATACAGGAATAGTCAGGGATCCACTGAGATTCCCCATTGTAAGTTGGCTAGTGATGGTGATGGGTGATTTTTATGTGAATTATTATAAGTGTATTATCAATCATACTGGGTGTTGGAGGTATACTGGAATGCATAATAATGAAAGACGTTCCTTGTCCTTTGCTGTCTTCATTTTTCGAATGAAATGAGCAAAAAATAATGGGCTCATTTCAGTCAAACCAGTACACCACCACCACCACCCACTACATCTCTCATAATAAATATTGAGTAAAATAACCACCTATCTGATCCTGTCCACAAAAACTGAAAATTTAGAAGCTTCCTTTTAAAGTAGAGCATCTGTCTATCAATCTATCTATCTATCTATCTGTTTGTCTGTCTTACACTGAAGCCATATTGGTGTAATAATTAAATTACAAACTTCAACATTTTTACATGAACAGCAAGCGCTATCCATAGTCGAATATTCAAAAGGTTCGAGTAACTAGGGATGGGAATGGAGAACCGGTGCTTGTTGAGAACCGGTTCTGAATGGTTCAATCCATTGACATCGTTTACATTTTGAAGAAAGGTACTTCAGTCCTGTGTTAACATAAACACAAAGCATGCCAGGCCTGGACAGACTGAGTTAGAAGTACGTCAAAAACACTTGACCCGACCCAAAAAAAAAACCTCTACATTTTGCACCTCCTGCTTAGTAATGTCCTCTTTTGGGGATCCAGAATATGGTCACCCTAATTTGACTCAATACCGACAGAAGTAAACACTGTACAAATAGTTTGTCATTTGTTTTTTTGACTACTGTTATCAGAGACTCCATAAAATTTTGAGTTAATGTTCACCATTAACTCAAAATTGAGTCTCCTTTTTTTTTTAAATCAAAGAAAGGCATCGATAAGGGAATTGTTAAAGAATTTAATTGATTAGCAGAATCGATAATGGCATCGATATCGATAAAATCTTAACAATTCCCATCCCTACTAGTTACCACATCACATAAGTGAAACCATTTTTAAAAATATATTATTAAAGAAAATACAAATCTCGCAGTTTGATGCTGTTTGAATGACTTGTTTTTGACCAAACACCTTTTTGAATAAAGTAAACTTAATTAAGTAAACAACAGTTAACACTCCTTTCATCCATACAGTAATTGATAAACTGAGTTTACAGGTTGAATCATCAAATCTTAGAAATGAATTACATTTTGCCTGACCAGCAGACCCAAACTCTGTTAGGCGTTTAACAAATATTTAACATGAAGTCGATTTATCTCTCCCTCCTGTCTTCTTGATTTCTAACAGACCCAAGAGGACCCTCTACAGTAAAAAGTATGGCGTGGATCTGATCAGGTACACGCATGCTGCGAACACTGTGGTCTACAGTTCCAACAAGATTGATGGTATGTTGCTATAAAAGTACTTTCAGCTTTTTCCTTTGCATTGCATGATGCTGCTGTATGCAGTTTAAACAGCTTATCAATGAATTAAATGATTTTTTTAAAATATATTTGTGTGGCAGTAAGGATTGTGCAGTGGTAGTGGATGCAACTGCTTCAGCTGGAGCATGCATATAGTGACTTGCATTCATTCCATGCAGGGAAAACAGAGCTGAAGATGCATAATTTGTATGAAACAATAAAACTGTCAGCATTGGAAGTAATTGAAGTGTAAAGGTTGGGACAACCCTGTGGACCTCTCAGGGGAAACACTGCTCACTTTGGTCTGAGGTAGTTGTTTGTACAGTTTGAGGGTCTGTGATTCTGCCCCATACAGGAGCTAACTGTACAAGTGACTGCCTTGCCCACGGTTGAGTCAACTCATCAAAACTGATTGCATTGAAGTTTATGTTACTGCTTGTCATTTAGATATCTGAACTATTAAAATGTTTTTTTCAGTTTTATTTATTTATATTTTGTTACTTCTTTATCCTCAAAGACACTATTCGATACCTTTCTCTTCATGACAACAAATACATCCGCTACTTTCCTGGGCACAACAAAAGGTGAGTGCTGGATGAATGTTTCTTGAATTCAAATTAAAGGATGGCTTTGAAATGCACATGTTCTCATGTTTTCATTGTCTTCTACACCAGAGTGACATCTCTCTCCATGTCTCCTGTGGACGACACGTTTATTTCCGGCTCATTAGATAAAACAATCAGACTCTGGGACTTGCGGTCTCCTAACTGCCAGGTGAGTATCAAGACTACTAGTTGAACATCAGGAGGCGTCCCTTGGGGCTATACTCGTATGTAATCTGAAAGGAAGGTTCAATCTGAACACTAAGACTCGTTTTTGGTGAATTTTAGGGCCTGATGCATCTGCAAGGAAAGCCAGTTTGCTCCTTTGATCCGGAGGGCCTCATTTTTGCCGCTGGAATAAATTCAGAGATGGTCAAACTTTATGATCTGCGGTCGTTTGACAAGGTAAGAAGTGTCGATGTGTGACAGGGATTTAATGTGACGATATTTGAAATCATGACGGAAATGTAATCTTTTATAATCCATGTTGACAGGGCCCTTTTGCAACATTCAAGCTTCAGTACGACCGCACCTGTGAGTGGACGGGACTCAAGTTCAGCAATGATGGGAAACTTATTCTTATTTCTACTAATGGAGGAGCCCTTCGCATTTTAGACGCTTTTAAGGGTGCTGTACTACATTCCTTTGGGGTAAGGGAACTGGAACATCTGATACTCACAATTAAGGCTCGCACATTTATAAAGTACAGGGATTTAATTTGTGTGGTGCACACATTGATTGCTTGTTTATGTTCGTGTTCTGACAGGGCTACAATAACAGTAAAGGTGTAATACTGGAGGCATCTTTCACCCCAGATTCTCAATTTGTTATGATCGGTAAGTGAAGATTAAAATTTCTCTCTTTATTCTAACCGGTCAGAAATAGATGTACACAGTATTTTGTTCACTTCACTAACTTGTTTTGATAATAAGTTTGCCTTTCCTTTTTGATCTTTTTAATTCAGGCTCTGAGGACGGAAAAATTCATGTGTGGAATGCGGAGAGCGGTATGAAGGTGGCTTTATTAGATGGGAAGCACACAGGACCAATCACCTGCCTACAGTTCAACCCCAAATTCATGACGTTTGCAAGCGCCTGCTCGAACATGGTAAGACGAGGGGTCATGTGGACTTAAAGTGGTTTCTTAAGTACATTCGCTAGTGATTATTTTTAAATTACTCTATAGACCTACATAGACTGAATCTTTCGTTTGTAGACAGAAAAATGCAACCCATCCAATTCAGAGTGACTCTCACACTATTAAAACTGCTCTTCATCAACTGCACAGTGTTGTACATCATAAACATGATAACATAACATAAAAATTAAATTTAAAAAAAATCATCTTTCAGGCATTCTGGCTGCCCACCATCGACGACTGATGAAGTGAAAGGCTGTTGCTGATGAAGAAGAATAAAAGTGACCAGCAGGGGTCAGCAGAGCCAGCTCTGTGTGTGAATGTTGCGGGACGTGTGGCCTATGAAAAACAAAATTGTAAATAAGTAGTTCGCAAAAGAGATGTTTGTCTATTCATTTTTTTATATTTCTATTTAACATTAAATCAATTCTTTGTAAAATGTTGGTTTTGTCTGAATTGTTATTCTGTGGACTGTGTGTGTTTTTACAAGATAGGATGAGAGAAACAAGATTGCACAGATTCATGACAGATTCTACCTTTTTTAATTAAATGAATCAAGAAAGAATCCCTTTACTGAGTTTTTAATTATTTTTTCCAAATTCATTTTTGACATCAGAGAAGAAAGTTCAGTCTTTTAGAGACTTTTAAGACTGAGTGACAAAACTTTTAGAGACATAATATGTGAGACAACAGACAATTGAATTTGCCTTCGGGGATTAATAAAGCTCTTATCATTTATACTGACTAATTAAAAAACAAAGATCATTCACTTCAGTTCTTTATACTTTTATTCTTACAAATGTTTCTCAATCTAGCATTTATCTATAGATTTTCATATAAAATCTGATTTTTCATCTTAAAGGAGAAGTTGAGGGAAGCGTCAACTGTTGAGCCATGTATGTGAATGGGAAAATGTGGTCATCATGGCCATGAGGTTAATGCTTGGTTGAAACAACACGGTTTTCTATCAGTTATGTGCAGTAAGTTGAAAAGTACAAATGAAAAAGAAATGGTGTAAACTTTATAGTTTCCTTCCGTGAAAACTGCTTCTACTAAATTTCCTTGGATCAAACCTTAAAACTAGAAATATGAGAAAAGATGAGGTTTCGACTTCTCTTAACTCTCATCAATAAAATATGTTGTTGACACATACCAAACTGCTGGGCTGCTGGTTCTAGGCTGTCTGCACCTCAGGGATCTGTAGTGTCTCACTTGTAAGAAAAGCACATTTATCAAGCTGTGAACAAGATAGTTATTTATTCTATTTCTTGTAAATTTGAAGGTCTTGCAGTTCAGTTCTGAGAGGTTTGGGTGTAGGAGGATGTATGATCTTGACCGCAGTCTTCATAGTCTGTTTAAGGTTGACCTAGTATGAGACTGAACATGCTGCAACACCAGGTTGAGCAGAGTGTCTTGACCGCCCGTAAACTTTATGTTCTCCCAACACACCTGACTTGAATTGTTGTTGGCTCAGAAGCTGTTAACTGGGTATACAGGTCACAGCCTCTGCTGTAGGCCTCTGTGTGTGTGTGTGAGTGTGTGATGGTGGTGTTTGGAGGTGTAGGAGGGGGGGGACTTACAGGCCAGTACACTGGGCCGGACAGACAGCCAGTGGGAGCTAAATTTGGGAGAGAGGTGATCATGTTCCCTCTCTGTGTGCACATGATACTGTCCTAGTTATATGTCCCTTCTCACACTGTCTCAGTCTCTCCACGAGTTCAGACACATTCAGCGATCCTCTTCTTCAGTGGTCAGATCAGAGAAATCATCGAAACTAAAGGACAGCTCCAAAACAGACTCTTACCTTTGGGTTCTCTTGTCTGGACTGAAATTTTGGGCTTGGTTGCCGTGGAGCTCCGGTCCTCCCCCCGCTGCCGTTTCTCCTGTCCCCCAGTCACCCTAAGACAGCACCTGGCGGGAAGAAGAGCCTGCTGACCCGCCATGTTCCTCGCACTCGTGGTGACGCCAGAGCTGAGGGACTTCCTGGCCAGGGCGAGAGGTGGAGCGGTGCGCCTCATCAAGGTGCGCATCCAAGATGGTGAGTGACCTGAGACCAAGGGCCGGTGTGGTAGACCCTGAGTGGAATGAAATGTTTAATAGACTATATGGAGATATAGCGTATTTGTAAGAGCTTTTTGGCGAGTGATTGGATGTTGTAGATTATGTAGGCCATAAATCAGAGAGTAAACATCTTACACAATCAATCAGGCAGCTATCCAGACCTTTCTACACTATAAATTGATACGCAGAGTTCCATCAACAAGTCCTTGATGCAATCCTGTTTTTGACCCGAGTCTCTGAATTGTGACCCCGCAAGATGGCACATTATTGAACTGTGATCACCAACTACAGGCTTTTGTGGCCTTCTTGTACACCTGCGTTTTGAAAGTTGAAGATTTTTCTCGTTAAACTTTTCTTCTGAAGTTTACGACTTTCATAGTTCTTTTATAGTGGCAGCTGCTCTTCTCTTTTCCTTTAGAGGGGGACATGACCTCAGGTTGGAGAATACCTCACAACATAGCACAGTTTATACACCTAAAGACATCTGTAGTGGCCTTGAACCGTTCAAAGAGTTTTGAAGGCCATTCATTTTCAAGCAGGAGATCAAGACTCTCATAAGGAGATGTCTCATTACATTTCTTCCTTTTTTCATCGCTCACGGAAACCGACTGGATTTGTTTCAGTCAGACTCCAGTCTTCTCAGTTATACCTACAACAATAAAAATTTCAGAGAAGACTTAGGCACCTATGACATGGACATTTTATTTGAGGGATGACCCCTTAAGATGAGTAATCCCTATTCCAAGAGGGTCACTGATCTCTGAAAACCATCCAAAGTTGTCCATACAAGCTTCCCTCTGTTCAAAAATACTCTTTTGACAGTCTGATAAAATATTCCACGAGCACAGTACAAAAAAAATCCTCAAGCCGGCTGTATTTCTCAATGAAGGTAGCCCTAAATAAATTGTCCTCTTGCTTAGATTTACAACACACAAACAAACAACTTTTTGTATTGGGAAATGATTTATAACAGTGGAACATTACAGATATATTATGTTTTGTTTAAAGACATTAAAATCCAAGAAGAGCCCTCTCTATTTCCAGCTACAGTAATTTTTTTATCCCTAACAGTATAATTGTCATTATTTTTTATTCAGACCGCTGAAAAGGGTCCTCAAAGATTCTGGGAACCATCAGAGTACCAGTAATTGTCAATAAAAGTCCTTCCGGTTTTTCAAAGTTCACGGAGTTTCCAGAAAAAACAAACTCTGGCCGAAAGGCGATACACGAGAGGGAGGAACTCGTGTCAGAAGAGAAGGAGAATCTTGAGGATGTGGTTTCTCATTAAGAGGCCACAAACAAAACAAACGTATGGTCAAACACCGCTCTGGACTTTGTGGAGCTTCTAGGAAAGCGGGATTGCATCAGCAGCACAAAAACAGACAGTTAGTGTGTCAGCTGAGCAAGTCTGAAAAACTGGGCAGTGAGTCAATGGGTTTGTGGAGGGCGACTGATGGGCAGACTGATGTGTTCATGAGGTGTTTATATCTTGTTTTCTTATTAGACCAGTGTCACACTTGAAATCTGATTCATGGCAGATGCATTCTGGGACATTTTAGGGGCTATCTTTGATGTCTATGGATATCAAATGAAGGGTTTGGTTTCTTATCTGAAGGGTTGATGTCAGTGGAGACTCTGCGCTACAGAGACAGACAGAAAAAGGTTGTCGGATCTGTTTTACTTCCCTGCTAGAGCCGGGGGAGAGCTTCCTGGGTGTCTCTTAGATATTTTGAGCGACATGTGACTTGACATGGCGTTTTGCTACCGCCTGGTGACACTCATTATTGCTCCAATGTCAAAAGTGAAACAAGATCACGGCTGATTTCACCACCGCTGGTTTTATATTCCGCTCATGGTCTAACCGTCCAAGTATTTGCTTTTACTCACGAGTTTGTGTCTTTAATTTTGAACTTTTAAGGTTACAAGCCAGCACACAAAAACCAGAGGGAGCTATTTGTGTACAGCTGTTGTTATAGAGTCACATATATATAACAGGTTTAATGCAAATGAATCTTAAAAGACTGTAACAGAAAGAGAGAATGGCAGATGGAAAGTATGTTAGCGCAGAGCAGGAATGTGTTGTGGCCCAGAATAGCATCACGCCCCAAGAGACGGTCAGGAAATCCCCTTGTACCCCACAAGGACATCAGGCTTTAGGTGTTTGTTTTGTTTCATGACGCCACGCTGGCAGGGTTTGCTTTGTCACTCCCATCAGAACAAAACAACCTGTCCAGTCAGAAAATTGATCTGGCAGAAAATTGACAAGAGGACTTGTTCTGCTGTGTGTGTGCAGCAAACACACAGAGAGCAAACAGTGAAAGCTTTGTGGTGTTTCAGTAAAGGTCTGCTTTGTAAGTTTACAACAGGAGCAGCGATCAACAGAGGTGTCTGAATATTAAACAAACTGTCAGCAGGGAAGTTTAATTATCCATTTACAATCTATAAACGTTAAGTGATGAGAGGATTCTCCGTTTTTATCTGCTGTTTGAGAGCGTAAAAACAACAGTGTCATCTTGGCTCATAGAAATAAGATCAAGAAACATTTAATGAACAGTTTTCTGAACAGATATCATTTAATCTACTAATTCATTTTGACTGGGAATCAAAATAATAATGAAAATAACTGTTGGTGATAGTTGCGCATACTCTCTATGTTTCTAACCCTTTGATGCCTTTTTTATCATCTTTGATATATACTTTTATGATACTTCAAATCAATGAAATCAACAAATTACTAAAAAAAAAAAAACACCTGAATACAGCCTGATATATGATAAAAATGTCCTCTTGTGGTTTATCAATTTCCAAAAACATCTAATGTATCAAACAAGATAAATAAATGTATTTGTTAAATTTTAAAGACATTTTTTGTTTTGTTTTTTTGTTTTCAGTAGTAAGTGAAATAAACATTTCAGCTCCAAAAAAAATTTAATTTCTGGCCTTAGTTTGTGGTTTCAGGTATTAAAGGGCTCATGATGTATTAGGAGTCTGTATTTTCACTTTAATATTAACCGGAATTGTTTACACAGACTTAAGATGTAGTGACAAATGATGACATGAAAGTGTCCAAGAATGTTAAAACAAGGAGAGTATTGACATGAACGGCCATTTTTACTTATCTGTTTGTCAGGACTGGTACAACGCATCTTCAGAAGATGTGCAGAAGTGATGTCAGGAAATGTCGGGGTCCTGACATTAAAAAAATGAATCTTTAAGAAATATTTTGTTCACTTGTAGCTCTTTAATGCCTGACACCAAAAATCATGGCCAGAAAATTGGCTAAAATGTTTATTTCATTTACTACTGAAAACCAAAATAATCTAAATGTCCTTAAAATTTAACAAATATATTTATTTATTTATATTTATTTTAACGTTTGATACGTTAGATGTTTTTGGAAACTAATAAACTACAAGAGGACATTTTTATCATTCATCGGACTGTATTCAGGTGTTTATTTTAGTAATTAGTTCATCATATTGATTTGATAGAGGTATATAAAAATATGTATCAAATATGATACAAAAGGCATTGAAGGGTTAATGTTGTTCAAATCTGGTAAGTCACTCTCAGTTTGTTTCCCATTTGCTGTTTTCTGTTAACCGTTCAGTTTTAATGTTTCCTCAATCTTTAGTAGCATGAATCAGTTACAGACCAACATGTCGTTAACTTTCATGAGCTGCTTGAAGACGTCTTTCCTAGAACAGTATTTCTTGCAGTGGAGTAAGTTCATGCAGTTTGTTACCACATTCCTGTCATATTTCCACATCAACTTTCCTCTCTCTTGTGACTGAAAACTGCAGAGTCCTTGAACTCCAGCTGTATGGTATGTCCCAGTGTGTTGTATCGACTCTGTTACATATGGAGGACTGTGAGGTATGTGATGAGTTGTGGTCTGATTTTCAGAGCAGCTGGTGCTTGGGGCCTACAGAGAGCCAGAGAGGAGCTGGGACCGGGACTACGATCGCTTCCTGCTTCCTCTCCTGGAAGACCAGGAGCCGTGCTACATCCTGTACCGCCTCGACTCCCAGAATGCACAGGGCTACGAGTGGATCTTCATTTCCTGGTCTCCTGATCAGTCTCCAGTAGGCCACAGCATGTACACACTTCATTTGACAGATTATAGTGTGAAAAGTGTTTTAGTCAAGCCACCAAAACTCCTGTCAGGGTCAAGTGTGGAGTTTCTGAGTCCTAAGATAAGATAAGATAAAATGTTCCTTTAATAGTCCCACAGGGGGAAATTCCAAAATTACAGCTGCATAGTATGGATACAAAAAGCATAAAATTAAAAGATAAAGAAACTTTGAATTAAAACATGCGTCATATTTACATCTGTACTAAATAATAAATTTTACATAATAAAATGATTTATTGCACATTTATTGCATTTATCCTTTTCTTTATCTGACGTTTGCAGAGCCGGCCCAAGGCATAAGCGAACTAAGCGCCTGCTTAGGGCCCCACGGCCAATAGGGGGGCCCCCAAGAGCAATGAAAAAAAACAAAAAACATTTAAAATATTTTTTATTTTTTGCATGTATGAGTGATGCTTTCTGTATGATCAAATATATATTATCGTAAAAATAAAATAAAGTAAAAAACATTTTAGTGCTGCTGCTAATGTAGGCCTATGATTCTTACTGCCGATATGTCAAAGCTCCGCTACCGTTATGTGCCTCTGCTGTGCAATGTGCACTGAGCATCTGAAGCGCAGGTAGTTGTGGGGCAAATAATGTCGCAAAGAAGGACATATCCTTCAGGAGCAGAGAAAAGAAAGAGGAAGAAGAGAAAAAACGGCAAGAGAAAGGTATGTCATAAATGTTAATCAAAAAGATTTGTGAAGGTGTGTGAATGATTAAAAATCAATATTATTGGCAGAAATAGAGGGCCCCCAAAATCAAATTTTGCTTAGGGTCCCATTGAGGCTTGGGCCAGCTCTGGACATTTGGCACAACTACTGCTTTAATATCTTAGAGAGCAAAATGCAAAATGTCAGACCTTGCTCAAAACTATGTAACTTCTTAAGACCCTAGACAACAAAACTAAGAAAAACAACATTAAAGCAGTCTTGAATGGCCCTTGTCTCTATGTTCACAGTGTGAATGCTGTTGTTGCTCGAGTTCAAGTCCAAGTTTCACTCATCAGACAGGAGTCCTTGAAATTAGAGCTCTATTTGGATGCTACTCTGCAACAATGAGCACAGATTAATGTATTAACAGATAAAATGAAGCAAAATAACAAAATAGAGACATATAAAGTAGGATATAGACAACTTTCTCATAATATAATATTGTGGAAATAGAATTTATGAATGTTTTAGAAGCAGTACAGGGTCTTCTTTAGACCTCAGATAAACACAAAGGATTTAAAAAGCCAACATTCACATTCAGAGAAAAACAGTCTCAGCTCTCTCAAGGCCCGTGCACTAACGCTACATTTCCTATTCAGCATAAAAAAACATCTTTCATGACATTGTCTGGCTTTGTGAAATCTGTTTCTATTAAACCCACCAGTTCACTCCTAAACCTGAAAATCATCAGACTCGGCTCAGACTTCATGGTCAGAATTATGACTACATCACTGGGGTTAAGCTAAAAACAAGTCAAGTCCTACTTTAAACCATTTTTGATTTTATCTTGGTTACCTGATCAAACACATTAGTTTAGAGTTGTTTCTCTTTTTGATCAGACATCGTTTCCTTTGTGTTGGTTACAGGTGAAACAGAAGATGTTGTACGCTGCCACTCGTGCAACAGTAAAGAAAGAGTTTGGCGGCGGCCATGTGAAGTATGAGATGTTTGGCACAGCTGAGGTGAGGGAAATTCAAACCCATTTCAGTTCACTGTGACAGACAGTCTATTCTGCTGCCATGACGTCGCACTGGAGGTGTCTGTTCTGTGGTCATCCATCTTTTCTTGCTTGCATCACTAGGAGGACATCTGTTTGCTGGGTTACCAGCGTCATGTGTCATCCTGCTCAGGTCCTGCCCCGCTCACATTAGCTGAACAGGAGCTCCAGCGGATCAAAATCACAGAGGTGAGAGGTCAGCATGGCTTCAGCTGTGTCGTCATCACTGCATGTGCCAAAGACTCAATATAAGCCCTTCTATTTTGAATTTAATGTTGTTTCATTCTCTCTGCAGGGCCGGGTTAAACAGGTACGATGCTACATCATTCATTAAAAGTGTATTTTTTTATATGAAGTTTGATTTGAAGTAGAAAGGAGGTGACAGAAACAAACCCAAATGCATTGGTTAGAATTAAAAGATTGATTTTTTGACACATTTTTTGGCTTTTCCTTTGGAGCCCTGTACTGATCAGTGTGTTACTTGCTGCCCCCTGCAGGTGAAGACAGAGATCAGCGTGGAGAGTAAACACCAGACACTTCAAGGCCTCGCTTTCCCTCTACAGGAGACAGCCAAAAGAGCCTTACAGCAGCTCGCCCAAAAACGCATCAACTACATACAACTGGTAAAGCCTGAGGAGAAATACAGGATCTCTTTAAAACACGGAGACATCACTGATATGTTAGGTTTCTTCTGTTTTTAACCGACTTATTGACCATTTCACTGGTTTTGTTTTTTTTAGCGGTTGGATGTAGAGAAAGAGATAATTGACCTCGTCCACTGCAACCCGACAGAAACTCGAGATTTGGCCCACAGAGTACCCAAAGACACTCCAAGATACCACTTCTTCCTCTACAAACACTCCCATGAAGGAGACTACCTGGAGTCTGTGGGTAGGTCACTGATCCCATAATCCTCCTCTTTTTTACATCTGTACAAGTTGTACAAGCATGAGCGAGGAGGGCTACATCCTGTGAACACCTGGTGTGCAGACACTGAGAGACGCTTAGAAAAACACGAGTTCATCCCTTCTGGTCTTTATCAGATGTTCTGAACAGTTTTGACAGGCTTTAAATAAAGCAGTACTTAGGCTTGACTTATATCTGATTTTCCCCTTCCCCATTTTTTATTGAGGAATTTGCATTGGTCCCAGAAGGTCAAAAAATCCATCATTCAATGAGGAGAAAGAACAATTTGGGGAAAAGTTCAGAAGGCAATAAATTAACATACACATCAAATACATTTTTCAGGCTGATCTATGTCTGTGTGAAATTACCCCAAACATCTCTAAGGTAACCTCTATTATTCTAATGTTTTACTATGAATGTGTATTTAATGCATCATATAGCGCCCTTAAAAATCAACCAATCATGGGTTTGTATTGGTCTGGAGAGGTCAGATACCCATTATTAAAGCATCTGTGAGGAGTTTTTTGATATTAATGAAAAAGATGGAAATTCAGATTGGTGCTTTTTATATGATTTTCAAAAAGAAATGAGACCATGATTTTTATAAACTGTAGTTTTAAATGCCTAAAACTCATGTAAGGGGGTAGGTGTCAGCCCAACAGCTAAAAACACAGCCCTGGTTTTACAATTTTCATATCAAATATTCCCAACATATAGACTGTATATACTATGGACAACTTGGTTCTGCCTTCCGCTAGTATACGGATTTGAAGCCAAAAAGCTCTCGGTATTTCCAGGTTTTTTCTCCACTTCCTGAAACCAACATTGCGCAGTAGCGTTGTACACATTCGGCGGGAGAGTCACTGTGATGACACTCGGCTCAAACAGCGTATCTCCTGCATGTATAATGTCCAAAAATAGTGTCAAAATAAGTGTTTTTCTGATATCAAAGTGCTGCAGATTTCCTCAACAGAGCATACACTTACACTGATAAGTACCTCATACAACCCCGCCCAATTATTCCTTTCACTTTGTTAGACTTCAGAAGCTTTTCTCTGAATTTGTGTGTCTGTCTGAGTAATATTACATAATGATGATCTTATTTGCTTTTGGATATCAAAAATGTAAAAAATATTTTTTTTAAGTACATGTGGCTCTGTTTACTGCTGGAACATTTCACACCTACACCCCTTTTCCCAGTTTCCTGTTGATGCTTGTTTGATCAATATCAGGTACAAAAACACATTTTTGATTCTCATTGGTCTTTCTCTTTCTATCTGCAGTGTTCATTTACTCTATGCCAGGATACAGCTGTAGTATCAAGGAACGCATGTTGTATTCCAGCTGCAAGAGCCGATTACTGGAGGACGTGGAGAGAGATTATCATTTGGAAATTGCTAAAAAGGTAACCCATGAATAAAATGTTGACCACTTTTTCAATGGCCTCTAGTAACTTCTGATAACACTGGTGCAATGTTTGCCACGCTCTTGCATGTGCAGAGGGAAGTTAGCAGCTGATTTGAATTATAAGTGTTTCAAAATAAAGCAGTCAGACGTCATGTTGGAGTAGAAAACTTGCAGAAAACCAGCAGCAATGATGAACGAGTAGAAACAAATTCACTTTAGAGGGTGAATTTCCTCGAAGTGTGGAAAAAATAAAACCTCACCCTCCTTTAATGGTCCCTAACAAAACGCAGCATTAATCACAGTCAAACGGTGGCAAAGGTAACAGTGATGCAAGGCTGAGTGAGAAATGCTGATGCACACTCACATACAGCTCAACACATGATCCCTTGTAGGCCCCCTTCAGGTGGCGGTGCAAATCAATATAATAAAAAAAAATAAGGGGGCTCATTGTGGGAGTTTTCACACATTAAAACTGAAGACTGTTTCAAACTCTCACAACCTCAAGCTAAAAAATAAACATCGGTAATATGTTGCAGTGGCGCCAAATGAATTTCATGTCCTAAACTTTGCGACCAAATCTTTGTGATTTTCTTTTCATTATTTTGTAGCTGGAGATCGACGACGGAGATGAACTGACAGAGGATTTTTTGTACGAAGAGGTCCATCCCAAGCAGCACGCCCACAAACAGGCCTTCGCCAAACCCCGTGGGCCTGCGGGGAAAAGGGGACACAAGCGCCTCATCAAGGGTCCAGGAGAGAAAGTACAGGACAGCTAGAGGTGGACACATTTTTGACTGAGTGGAGTCTGCAGTTCCAGCCCCTTCCCGTTTCCCCAGCCCTGTCAACACCTTCTTGAGGCCCAGAGGAGCGGACATAGTGATGGATTCCCTCTGCTGTTTGTGTACTGAAACACTTGAGCTATATTATAGATTTGTGTTAATGAACATGTGCTGACAAATTACCTTCAATGTGTTTTCTCTACGGACAAATCAAATCCAAAAAACAAAACAATCAGGTGCATACATGTGAAGAGGTTGCTGCTTCAAATCAAATCTTTCTGGTTCTTTGATACGTCACAGATAAAACAACAGCTAAATAGACTTGTATTGAGTTGTAAATGGACAGTTGTCAGGGGTTTCAATCTACATTTCTCGCCTCTAATAAAAGTTTTGTATAAACAATCTTTGTAAGAATCACTTGAACTTTTAAAAAGGAAATTCTACATAAAATCTTGTTTATACTGTGATATCAGACCTGTCTTGGTATTTTTTCTTTCATTCTGTACGCACAGTCTCAAGTCTGTAGATGTTCTACATGGTTAGGATGGTCATGGGATAATAATATCTCAGCTTTTAAACATGCTGAATTAAACCAACAGCTGCACACTTGGCGTCTACTTCAGTCAACACCGTCAAGTGCAGCGAGTTTATACTTGTTAAAAGGCTGCACTGTCTTTATATACCTGCATGAAAATCAATTCAGCACAGCTTCTGACCTGTGTGCTAACCTTTCTCAAAGTGATAACAGCTCTTTTGATGCACCTCCAGCAGACATTTTTGTCAGGCTTATCCACAAGGTTATCTACGCTTTGAGATTAGTTTGAGTAGATTTTGTAAACTTCACGCCTTTGCAATCCTCTGATGTGACTGCTACATGCTGCTTCACTGAACCGCACCACAAAATCAGGCTTGATTTTCAGCTTAAATGTTAATGCTACTAATTAGTACTAATCTCACACAAAAGGGAGGGAGGTGGGGCTGCTCTCTTAGTCAAATAGTCAAGTAATTGGTCATGAGGGTCTTGGCAAAGAAATCTTAAGCTGATAAGTTGTTTTATTTTTTTGTTTGTAAGGTGTTGCTCAACGATTACTGCAATGGGATTGGATAGCAGCAGCTTTGTGAGACTGCACAATGGGGCTTTTCAACAACAGCAGTTACTAAAATCCGTCTGTTGAGAATGGTAACAGGCTGATGTTTGGCATGCCAAATATTTAACTATGAGTTTAGGGTGGAAAATGCCTAAAAAGCCCAATTAATTAATCAGCTTTGCTAGACAGGAGGATTTCTGTGACTGCTGATACAGGAAACAACAGACTTCTCACCAAGTCACTCTACTTTCTGTGCTGTGGCTATCATTAGTTGGTTATCACAAAAGCCACAAAAGCAGCAGTACCCTTATCTCACTGGTGGAAACATTAGAAAAGGTAGAAACTTGCACATAAGGAAGTAAGAGCTCAAGAAAATGTTAGGATTGTTCATCTTTGGTCCAATACCAGTCAGAATGTAGAAAGTATCAAATAAAATGAGCCAAATGAATAAAATCAATCGATCAATTCATAAACTTGTAAAATGGATAGAAGCTAGTTGGCAGTCATGCTGATATTCAGTATAACAGCCCTGCCTCTTGAGTGATATTGCTTATGTACGGTTGCAGGTATTTTGTCTTAAACTGAAGCGCTTACTTCAGGTAACACCGAGTTAGCCACCCCCTCGAGAGATGAATGTTGCCGACTGCTCGCTTCTCTGGTTATACCAACTTTAGCAATGACCGCAGGATAGCAATACACAGCGGTCTGAGGAGCCATAAACAAACCTCAAACAAAACGCCACTCTATAGCCACAAATAATGCTCAGAACAGCACCTAACTTTCTCAACAGTACATACAGGGTCTTAGCCACAGCACTAGCTACCAAACGTCTTTTTAACTTTGCTTGGTTTCTTTAGCAGAGACCAAACACAACTCACTTTCTGCCAGTCCACTGCGGACTGCAGTGGGATGACACAGCTCAAGAAAGAACATTTAGGATCATTACTTTATCATTTCCTTGAAGTAATAATCATCATATTAATCATTTTGCAATGCAGACGCGGTTGTTCTTCTGCCTTAGCGTCTCCGTCTGATCGCATTTCCTTGAAGTAACAATCCTAAGTGTTCTTCCTTGAGCTGCCCCGATCTGCCCAGCATTATTTGTGGCTATAGAGTGGCGTTTTGGTTGAGGTTTGTTTATGGCTCCTCAGACCACTGTGTATTGCTATCTGCGGTCATTACTAAAGTTGGTTAACTAAAGAAGCAAGCGGTTGGCAACGTTTATCTCTCGAGGGGGTGTCTAAATCAGTGTTATGGTGTGTTTGACCCTAAATTAACTTTATGTCGGAATATCCCTTTAAACATCTGGACTTACTGTGGCAGTCCATCTTGTAGCTGCATCAGTCCAAACCAACTCGACTCTCAGTCTAATCAACAGCCACTGCGATGCTGTTGGTATGGTTAACACAAACTTCCAAATTTAAACATTGTCTTTGAACAAAATGTGCTCAATACTAAATTTCACAGATTATGTCAGCGAAACCCCAAGATAGCTAGAATTTATTGAGATAGCTATTGGGGAGACAATAAAACAGCTGTGTAAAGGCCTGTTCCCTGAAAACAAAGATCTGCTGGTGAATTAGGTTTTCTGTTTCAGGCTATCTCCGATGTTCTCAGAATTTATTGGAAATACCCATTTGTATCTGGGATTGGAGGGTAACAGCAGCTCATTGTGTCTGAGACATTGCTCCTCATGAAAGAAACCTCAGTTCACGATTAGTAGTTGTATGTTTGTACAGTGAGGATTAGGACATCAGCATGCAAATGTGTGGACTGTGTAATGTAAATTTGCAGAGTGTGGTGCTGATGTACACTTTGTTCTGCAGTTTAATGTAAAACAGAAAAAGATGCTGATAGAAATGTTTTAAAAATCAAAATTAAAGAGGTGGTGGTGCAGTTTTAGAAAGGCTATCAGAAAATTAACCTGCTGAAAAAGGAACAATAATGAGCTTTTCTATACCTCGTGTACTTAACCTTAACCTTAATAAGAGATTTTATTAAGTACTTTAATGCCAAGTCCTTACCATAACCGAAGACGTAAATGTTTGAACTTATAAAACAAATGATCATGCAGGAATATCACCTTGAGAAAAATGTTAATTAGGGCCAGAGCCGAGAGCACAGCTCTGCGGCGAAGCCCTATTGTAATCATCTAGGTTCTCGATTATTATTATTATTATTATTATTATTATTATTATTATTTTACGCCAACGCAAATTTGACCCCCTGAATGGCCTCAAAAACTCACGAAAATTTGCAGGCTGGTCGGGCGAAAATCGCAATGTTTTAAAGTGACCCAAAAAAAGCGGGAAAAAATGGCTCGCTAGGGTCCCCTACAGAGCGCCATGAACATCGACTTTTTCCGATCTGCCCAAAATCTTACAGGCACGTGTATCTTAGTGAGATCTTTGATTTAGTGCGCTTTGACTTTTTTCTCAGACGCAAGAGAGTTAAAGAGTTATTCCACTGTTTTCGCCCCCTTTTGGCCATTTTCATATGTCACGCCAAACGTATGTTGTGATTAGTTTTATTTTTCCAGCTGGTAAAGATGGAGTAAAATTTTTCACACTTAAATAAAGGTGTTTGCCTATTTACAGTACATATCAATAGATAATATTACATTATAATTTATTTACACTTTGTATTGAACACCCATCCCATGAGAGGCTTAAATAATTGCACATGGGTAAAAGATCTAGTTCCTTTTACAATGAAATAGAATAGAAAAAACACCAAATAGAAACTAGCATGACATAAATTCAGTTTTGTAAAGATATGAGAGTATGAGGTTGCTTTTTAATGCAACTATTTATAAGAATTGTGCCTTATAAATAAAGTTCTTATAGTCCAAACTTGAACAAAAATAACTTGTCAGCCTGAGGACAAGGATTCTCTCTCTCAAAATATGAACACTTCTTGGCGGTATAAAACAAAGTGCACCTTTTGGGTCTGGAAGATTCATATTGTGCTTCATCTTCAAATTCTTAGTATCTCCTTTAGTCTTCTTCGTACTGTTCTCCCCAGTTACCGCAATTTAACATCCAGATGGATCACATTTTCTGTCCCTGGAGTCTATTTTCTGAACTTGGCTGTGCTGCCTTTTCTCATTCTATGCTCTCTAGGACTGGAAACAATTCCAAGAAAACCTTCACATTAAAAACAATGGCATTCAAGAGCCACCCCAGAAATATCCCTCTCTTCATCACAGCGAGGTTACTGTTTATATTTTTAGTGCTTTCAGGATGAAAACTGAAAGGTAGTAAATTTTAAACATCAAAAAAGTGAGGCGCTTCTGAACTTTAAGAAGAATGGGTTTGTTAAAACACATCCAGAGGGGGCAGATGATGTCCACAAGACTTCTAAGAAAAAAAACCTCACTTGTTACTGGGTTTCTTGGAAAATGTAAGATTAATCTATTTAGGGTCGGTGGGATCGTCTGGATTTATAGGTTAGCTAAGATACAGGATAGTTTTGAGGGTTTCTAGAAAGAGACAGATGACTAAATGCACAATAAATATTCAATTGTGCAATGAACAAGCTGTTCCTCTCTATTGTGATTACTATTCAGCTCTTATTAAATCTGTTTCCACCCATCAAAAGGACAAGATATCCAGCTGATGTGATTTCCTGGATGGATTACCTTGAAATGTCAGGAGAGATGCGGTTTAAGTAAAGCGCATGTTTGCTTTCTTCTACCTCAACACGAAATTATGAGAAACACGCACTTTCACAAATCTATAATCCGTTTAGAAAGTCAAAGTTACCAGCCGGAACAAACCTTGAACAAAATGTCACTTACTCTGGCCTTACTTACAGTGCTATGCTATTTCGTTTCGGGTCACGATAACAACTTGTTTTGTTATGTTTAGGCGCAATTACTCCGACTGAAACCTCCGAGAAAACCTCTCGCCGCGTTTTTCCACCGTGGATGAATCGAGGGAAATCTATATTAGTGGAAACAGCCTGTGTGCATTCCTATTATCTTTAATGTCGAGGTGGTGAATTCCCAGAATGAATGCTCTGTCGGGGCCGCCTGGGGAGGGAGGAGGGGGGGAGGCGGAGTCAACACTGCAATTATTCCTGGAAAGCGGATAGGGAGAAGCTGCCGCGCGGTTCCAGGGAGCGCGCGCCTGCCTGTTCAGCGAAGGCACGAGCTGTCGGGTTGGAATAGGGGTCCGAGGGGAACCGTTGGGAGGATGTCGTGAGAAAAAAAAAACGAATGGCGTGAATCGTCATAAAGGAATCAAAGGAGACGAAACAAACAAACAAACAAACGATGTTAACGTCATAAAGCAAGCCTGTCAACGAAGCGACGCGACGAAGCGAAGCTGCGGCTCGCGCGGAGTAGGTTGCGGGTGCGTTTCGGTGCGTGACGTCAGAGCCGCCGGTGCTGTGGAGAGTTCTCAGAATAGACTTCTAGGAAACGGTAAATTTTAAAAGCCAAGCCTTTACACTCTGTCCTTCACACATTTGGATCTCACTCTGCCTACAACACACTCCAAAGCCCGCCGCTGTTACACAGGTCGGGAGTTCTTACGATCGTCCCGTTGTCATTTTAACATAGTGTTCGATCAGAAAGTACAGGGACATCAAACCTCGTTAGGAAACACGGAACTCTTCCTCGTCTGTTGATCGATTTTAATATCCAGACCGATTCACGCCGGATCTCTGTGAAAGCTCCGATTCTACTGGATGTTTTTTTGTTTACACGAAGATTCGTCTGTAATTTCCTGAAAGGAGAAAAAGAAGAAGAAATATTGACGGGATTAATCGCAGGATTCAAGGAATAGTATGATCCTGTGTGTACCAGGGTGAGTCATGACTTTCTTTGTCTGTTTTTCTCCTTCCCTAACTTTGTTAAAATTAAAACAACACGTTTCCTACCTCTTAAAGTTCATCTTAATTTAAAGTAGAGTTAAATTTAAGGTGTTTTAAGGGGTGTTGATCAAGCATGGACTTAAGCAAGGATGAAAACTGTTTATACTTATGTCTTGGAAAGGCCTAATAAATAAGATAAAACTTTAAAAATATATCTTTTTGTTTGTTTTTAAGTATTACTATCACAAACTCCTTTACGGATATAGGAATGTGTTGTGGTAGAGTTTCTCGGACCAGGTTGCCACCAATAAGGAACACCTCAAACAGAATAGAAAACAAACAGTAAACAACAGTAATTCAGGAATACGTTTAAAAAAATGTGGTGATTTAGCCATTGATAAGAAAAAATCTGCTTTTGTAAGATGTTCAATTCAGATAGTGAATAGAAATTTGCTCAGTAGAAGAACAAATAATGGATTATTTGTCTTCCTGAATGAATATGGAAAATAAAAGCAAAGCACTGTTTGTTGTGTGATGTACTTTAAAGGAAAAAATTCTAATTTCAGCCGTATTTTCCATCTCATCTCCAGGCCCAGACCTCCTCTGCCCGCTGCTCCAGCTACTGAAGCCCCACGGGGCATGCGGGCAGGAACAGTACCCTCCACCCCTTGCCTTCAAAGCACCCCTCCACTATGGGACCCCACGAAGGACCTCAGGGCAATAGCCAGCAACTTCTGTTATCTGGAAAATTCAGGTATGGTTCAAATAAGGCAACTGAAATAAGCAATTAAGTCATAAAAAAAATCAACTAACTGTCTCAGACCTCGTTTTGCACATTTTGTTCTCTGCCCTGAGATTTTCAGTTGCATCGCTAACTGTGGTTGTGTGTAAATGAAGCAAAATAAAAGGAAGTGGAAAATGCAGCAGTAGCTCTTCTTGGTGACTAATATGTAGGAATTTGTGTGTGTAGGATGGTACTGGGGAGCCGTTACTGCATCTCAGGCCCACGCTGCACTTCAAGAGGCATCCGAGGGGGCTTTCTTGGTACGGGATAGCAGCCACCCTTTGTACATGCTCACCCTCTCGGTCAGGACTGCACGAGGCCCCACAAGTATACGGATCCAGTACAGTGGGGCACAGTTCCTCTTGGACTCCAGCTCCCCTGCACGTCCCAGCCTGTCGTCATTCCCCAATGTGCCCAGCCTGGTGCAGCACTACATGGGACCACAGAAGAAAGCAGAGGAGGGCAAGGTAGAGGAGCAGGCTCCTTGTAAACCCTCCCCGCAGAGCATTCAGGACACATCAGTGGTGCTAAAACTGAAGCGGGCTGTGTACAAGCCCCAGAGTCTCCCATCTTTACAGCACCTTACCCGCCTTGTCATCAACAGACACACTGACTGCCACGAACAGCTACCACTCCCAAGGCCGCTGCTGCGTTACATACAGGACTATCCCTTCAAAGTATGAGGGGTCCTCCGAGTCCTTTTGTGACTGACTTTAAGGAAAAACTGTCTCACAGGTCGGTCGTACCTGTGAGTGATTCTGCTGCTCCGGCAGTTTAAGGGCCAGTCATGGAAATACTGGACACAGGGTCACGGTTTTTGCTGACAAAAAAACAGATTTTGGTTCATACTGTTGTGCCTGCTTCAGACCTACTTAGTCAAGGACTGGATGGGTTTAGCCCCTGGAGAAAGACAACATTAAAGCAAATGTCAGTACTGTAATCTACACTTCTTTTAAAATGAATGTGGGAATTGTCCATATACATTTGACGCTCATCAATTTGAGATGTACATGCTGTTATGAACAAGTACACTGATTCCATTCAGTCATCTTTTACGCCATTTTATTTTTCTCAGTAAGACATTTTTCTACCTTTTACATGTGTACATTTTCTATTAAAATAACCAACTGGAGTCTCACTTTTGTGTGTCTTCTATCTTTATTCCGGTGTCGTTTAAGATCGCAGCATTACTCACAGCGTCTAGAGAAAATCTGTCATAATCATCATTACTAACTGGCACATGACAGCTGCTCTTGTGACACTTTGTTACGAAATATTTGCGCCTTCAATCACCTTTGAAACACAAAGACTTGGTGGCCTTTGAGCTTTAAGTGAATGAGAGACCCAGACTGAGCGAAGAACTGAAGGCCACATTGTGTGTGTGTGTGTGTGTGTGTGTGTGTGTGTGGTTTTTGCTCAACAATGCATACACAGCCTGCATCTGAGTCAGCTAGTGGACAAGTGAAGGGGAGGACCGTTCATCAGCGGATTCACAGAACTACTGAGTGCTTCCCGGGAGGAGGGAGAGATTCTGGGAGGGAGGGTTCTAAGAAAAGCCTCGGTAATTACCTTCAGCTTTGAGCCTGCTTTTTAGCCATCTCGTACAGATTTATTTTTTTTTATCATGCGGCAGGATGTGATCACAAATGTTAACAGATTAAAAGTGCAATACTGATGTGTAAATCATTTGAGCTGCAGTAAACTGGGACTTTTGAGAGAGAGAGAGCGAGGGAGAGAGAGTATCAGTGCAAGTGCGTGCTCGGCAGCTCAAGGGGGGGGGGGTAGGGGAGAGGAGGCCGTGGCAACCTGTGCTAAAGCCAGCGTAATAGGATCTCAATTTCTCAGTCCAGATCAAGCTCGCGGTCCTTGTTTGACTTGTCTTTCCGAAGGATGCAGAATCGCGCCCTAAAAACACACACACAGAAAGAAAAACGTATGATAAATTTTGAGTTGCCGTGTTAAAAAGATAGAAATTCAGGCTCTTATTTTGTGCCTGGACTCTGAATCTGTAGCGCAGCTTTTTTAATCATAGAGACAGTGTTGTGCCCACTTTAATATGAAATCACAGATGGTTGAAGAATGACAAAGAGACGGCCGAATACAGGCAAAGAGCTTCCTTGGACAGACCTGCCGTTGATGTCCTGCTGTGTCTCCATATAATGCATGTCCTCCACATTTGCCTCCACCCATTGCTGAAGAAGCAGGGGGTGTCTGGGGTCTACCTCCAAATAGACATGCCTGTTATTCACAAGGAAAAGGACACAAAATAGATAAAGAAGAATAGAATGATATGCAGGGGCAGGATTATCAGAGGTAATTTTGAGAAGAGCAGTGGCTCATGTCTGGAACTGTTTTCACTCCAAGTCTTTTAAAGCTTAACTCATTAAAGAAGAAACATGACACTGTGTTTTTCAGAACATGCTGTTCCTATAACAAGCCGTCGCCGCCGTTTGGAATTAAACCCAGGTGGGTGTGTGGGTGTGTGGGTTTGTGTGTGTGTGCTTATGTTGCGTGAAAGGTTTCTCACCCATGATTTAATAGAATCTGTGGAGCCATAGTCAAAATCTGTTTGATCACTTTGAGGCCATCTTTGCCTCCATCGAAAGCAGCGGGATCTTCAAACCTGGACAGAAATTCATATTTCACTTTCATTAATAAATCCAGTTGATCCTATGTTACTATAAAAAGTCATATTTCCAAGGAATCTGAATATATAGGTGCAGTTTTTAAACATTTTCAAGCTCGTGATTTAAAACTAATGTTTAATTCAGTTTGGTTGATTTTTTTTGTCTTAACTTTTAAAATTATTACTTCACTTTTACACCCTCTTCAGGCTTCATGTGCCATACTTACAGAGTAATGAAATGGTTTGTAGCACATACAATTTATGATTTTTGATAGGAGAAAAAAATGAAAATACATTATCAGATTTATCTATTACACAGTTAACAAAGTTGGCCCGAAACAATTCTTCTCACAATCGTAGAATTTTAACGCTATGGGCAAGATAGTGTTGAGTAGTAATTGTGTAATGCTTTGATTAAATAGAATACAATAGGACAGGGCAGGGCAGGAGAGGGCAGGGCAGGGGGGAAGAGGAGAGGAGAGGAGAGGAGAGGAGAGAAGAGAAGAGAAGAGAAGAGAAGAGAAGAGAAGAGAAGAGAAGAGAAGAGAAGAGAAGAGAAGAGAAGAGAAGAGAAGAGAAGAGTCCTGCTCTACTTCTGGGATTTTTGTACCCAGCTCTCTGTAAGTGACCCAGTACTTGCTACTTTGGTAACTTTTGTTGCGAAGACAATTTAATCGGTGGTGATGATGAAATATCCTACGTCGACGATTGGTTGCTTCATTGCTGATGTTTATCAAGAACAATAAAAACTAAACATCCTTCTTACACTTTGTGTATTGCCTTTCACGCTGCTAGGTAGAACCTGCGCCCAATGGACTTGAAGCACTTTGTGGCACTAACTGATCTTGTTTCTTCATGTCTAGATATTTGCTTCTATTGTTCTTGCTCTGAAATGTTTGTGGCTTTGGATAAAAGCCTCTGCTAAACGGCATTGTAACACAATAGACTAGAATAAAACAGAATAGAACAGAAATAACAGAGTAAATTAGAATAGAACAGAACAGAACAAATAGAGTGAATTGGAATAAAACAGAACGGAATTGAACAGAATTAAACAGAAGAGATAGAACAGAAAAGGTTAGAATATAGTAAAATATAAAAGAATAGAATAGAATAGAATAGAATAGAATAGAGCAAACATATTTTTTTTACGATAAATTTTCACAGTTCTTGGATTTAAATCTCCTTTCCAAACAGTTACAGTTTAAATTTCAGGGCCAAACTGTCTTTCAACATTTTGAATCCACATTTCAGTGAATGTGCAAGAACTCTTAATGAATCCCTCAACTGTAATATTGAATAAGTGCCTATTATGTAATTTTTCATTTTGTTACCCATTATCCATCAAATATTTAAACCAATGACGCATTTGGCTCACGTCAGTGATAAAAAAAATTGAATACACCAGCGATCCCTGCTCGGGGATGTGCTCTACTTTTTTCTCTCTCTCAAAGAAAAATAAAACAGTTACATAATAAAACCAAGAACTGCATTAAAAATGTAAAGACATGAGTTTTGTTTTTGTTTGACCTTTTTTCATGATTTAATTTATTTGTATGTCTCTGGTTTATACGTCAAATAGAAATAGAAATCCTAGTTTTAAAAAGTGACAGTGAATTTGACTCACCTGTGTATTTCAGGTTGCAGTGAAGTCAAATCCTCTGAGAACAGGTATGGAGGGTTACTGACCAAAAACGAAACTGGTTCACAGAGGTTCAACACAGCTTTGGTATCTGAAATGCATCACACAAGTTTGAACAATTCGCATATCAACAGTGATTTTATGTGTGTTATTAAGTAAGAACAACACTGCATGACACTTACCTTTTATTACATCTAAATGATGAACCTGTAATCTGTCCTGAAGTCCCAACCTGTACAGAAGAATGTTTTTATTATAGCAATATGGTAATCATTATGAACGACTTTATCTTTAGCGCACCTTTCAAAACAGAGTTACAAATGATAAGAAAAAGGACAAACAGAGAAAAACAGAAGATTGTAAAAAAAAGGATGGGAGAGGAGAATAGATAAAAAGAAATAAAACAATGTCAGAGGGATAAAAATGACATAGATAGAAGATCCTGCCTGTTAAACCACATCAGTTTGGAATAAAAGCAGAGTCTTAAGGATTAAAACGTGCTCAGATAACATCTCCTGCAAAAGCCTATCTTTAAAAATGTGGTTTTAAACTGAGATTTAAAACATGATAATCAGGAGGGAAGGCTGCTAATCTACTCTCCAGGGGAGATCTGACTGGCAGCCTCTTTATCATCTGTTAATCTTCAGACTTTATCCTCTAGTTGATGCCACCAGTAAAATCAGTGAATAACTAAAAGTACAAAAAAAAAAAAACTTCTAAAATTACCTTGATGCATTTTGTTGTGTTAAATTTACAGCATCTCGGCTTTGGTCCACAGCGATGGCTTTCAGCTGGAGGAAGGAAGACAAACAGCATTTCAAACTGCTGTTAGTAATTCACTTGAATATGACAAATCACCACATTCACATGATGCACATTTTTCCCTACCATCACACTCACGGTGGGAATTTCTGTCTTGTTGTCATGCTGTGTAGAAGCCTGTAACTGATTTAAATGCAGACAACTCCTAACATTTATCATTTCCTGCTTTCCTGATGGAAATGGAAAAATAAATCTGATATGTCAGGATAATTTTGGGTTGCCAAAAGAAATTTTAGGTGATTACCAATGATGTTGTGGGGGAGGGGACCAATGTCGTTGCACTAAAATTATTACAAAGGTTGCCCAAAAAAGTCAACATTATGGTAGGCATTGTGAATCACCTGAGGACAATGAATGTCCATCCAAAATTTGGTCCCAATATACTGTATCTCACTGTAAACGTCAACTGCTGGTGCTTTGTGGGAAGTCGGTGATCCATCAAAGTAAGCAGGTCTAGATTTAAGGATATCAGCCACATGTAATGGTGATACTTTGCGGATGATGTGGTTCTTCTAGCTTCGTCGAGCAGTGACCTTCAGCTCTTGCTGGGGCGGTTCGCGGCCGAGTGTGAAGCGGCTGGGATGCGAATCAGCACCTCCAAGTCTGAGGCCATGGTCCTCAGTCGGAAAAAGGTTTGCCTTCTCCAAGTCCTGCCTCAAGTGGAGGAGTTCAAGTATCTCGGGATCTTGTTCATGAGTGAGGGTAGGATGGAGCAGGAGATCGACAGGCAGATCGGAGCTATGTCAGCAGTGATGCAGACGCTTAATCGATCTGTCGTGGTGAAGAAAGAGCTGAGCCGTAAGGCGAGACTCTCAATTTACCGGTCGATCTACGTGCCGACCCTCACCTGTGGTCATGAACCTTGGGTAATGACCGAAAGAACAAGATCGCGGATACAGGCAGCCGAAATGGGTTTCCTTCGCAGGGTGGCCGGGATACAGAGATACAGTAAGGAGCTCAGGCACTCGGGAGGCGCTTAGAGTAGAACCGCTGCTCCTCCACGTCGAGAGGAGTCAGCTGAGGTGGCTCGGGAATCTGGTTAGGATGCCTTCTGGACGCCTCCTGTTAGAGGTGTTCCAGACATGTCCTACCGGGAGGAGACCTCATGGCCGGCCCAGGACCAGGTGGAGGGATTATATCTCTCCTGGCCTGGGAATCCCCCGGAGGAGCTGGTGGAAGTGGCCGGGCCATCTGGGCTTCCCTCCGATGACAACGTAATGGTGATACATCCTTTGCTTGTTAACTTGTGTATTTTAGCCTGAGACTGAAACATAGAATAATCTAAACCCTCACCTGCGGTAGACTCTTAAGTAGACTAAGAGAAATGGCACCAGAACCACATCCCACTTCCAAGCATGTTAGCTGGGCATTGCAAGAGGCTCCACTCCCTGACTTCTTCTCCAAGTCAGCGAGCACAAGTTCAACCAACTCCTGCAACAACACAGACACAGTGATCTGATTACACAAGACTGGCTCTTGGAATTTGTCTGTAAACTGAATATGATGTCTGATTTTCTTCAACCTCAGTTTCGGGTCTTGGTATGAACACAGGAGGTCTCATTTTCAGTGTCAAATCTCTGAAGTCCCACTCCTCGATTATATACTGCACAGGCATTCTGCAACAAACACAATCCTTGATGAATATTTGGTAAGAAAGCACCATGTGAGCATGTGTTAATATGAGGAAATGTAATACCCAGACAGGCGTCTGGTGCAGAGCTTCCACATCTGCTCAGTTTTTTCTTGGCTGAGAAACTCTGTTAACTTCCCCTGTTCTACACTTTCAATCTGGATAAAAATAGGCCACGAAAGAGGAACAGATAGTTAATGTGATGTAGCGTATTCAGACATCATGTCATGCAATGAGGAATACACACAGTAGATTTCAACTCACAGTTTTAGCTCCAAGCAGATAAGCAGTGATGTAATAACTGGAGAGGTCAGGCTCTGTCACAGCCATTTCTTCAAAGTGTTTCTTCCATACATCTGCTGCCTGCAGTGCAGTGATCCTGCTCGTAGGTAAGGCTGGAGTGCTGCATCTTCGTACTACATGGGAGACTGCAATTCCCTGGATGCATTTTCATTAATTAAGTTATAATTAAAACGTAACACAAAATTATCACTGTGCAGTTTTTGAAGCCCTCAGAGATTTTCCCTCAGAGGTAATCTCCATCATCTTGGAGAAGCTGAGGAGCAAATTTGAAACTGTTTTATAACTTTGACTAAATCCTCAGACACCAATGACTGATTACACTCAAGATGAATGTCTAATGATTCATCAGCTCTCAGTTTGCCTGCTTAAGGAAAGTCATTAGTTATCGGTTTACTATTTTTTTGTTTTAAGTTTAAATAATAAGAATGTTAAATTGTATTTTATGAAGAAATAGTACATATTCTGAAATAAAAATAAACTGTAATTGAGGTCTGTGAGGTGTGTCATTGGTGGCACCCTCAAATCAAACCCTCAGTTTCAAATTAAAATCTTAGTTTTTCAGTACAAAACTTTGAAAAACAAAAATGCCAAGTTAGTACGGTGGCCAAGAACCGCCACTGCTGCAAATAAAAGAAGAATGCAAAAAAAAAAAAAAAGAAGTCACAACGAAGGTTACTGATGCAAAAAAAGAAACCGAAGCCCGCTGCAAATAAAAAAAGAAATGGTGCAGATAAAAAAAAAAAAAACGGCCACAATGGAAGTTGACTATGCAAAAAAAAGTGGAGATGGTAAAAGAAAGGTTCTCACTGCAAAAATAAAAGGATGTGAATAAAAAAGCCACAATTGCAGTGAGATGCCAGGGACCATTGAGGATGATCGATGGTGTTTTATGATCTTGGCACAGAAGACGACAGCAAGAAGACGAGCAAAGAGGTTAGTGGAAAGCTTATTGTTTAATTTCGCTTTGTGTGCTTTTCAATGTGTCACTTGGTTAGACCATGTTGCGCCTGAGTCGATACTGAGTTAAACTGAAGCTAACACTACACCGGCATCCTCCAGATCAACTTCATATCGACTCAGGCCCTACATGGCTTACTTCCACTAACTTCTTTGCTCGTCTTCTCGCCATTGTCTTCTGTGCCTAGTTCGTAAAACACAGGTGCATCATCATTATTGGTCCCTGGCAGCTCAGTTCCGTTGTGGCTTTTTTTATTTGCATCCTTTTATTTTCGCAGTAAGTAACTTTTTTTGTTTTTCATTTCCACTTTTTTTGCATTGTTAACTTCCGCTGTGGCCTTTTTTTTATATGCACCTTTTATTTTTTTAATTGCAGCAGGCTTCTGTTTCTGTTCTTTTTTTTTTTTCGGTAGATTCCATTGTACGTTGTTCCACTGTAGTCTGCATATTGTAAAACAAAAGTGGATTCGTGTTACAGAGAAACCAATGAGGGTCCGAGATTTCTTAATAGTCCATTTAGTGTTACCGTGCAACTCCAAAGCTCATGAAATAAATCTTACCTTTCTTTCAAATCTCCTGAATCCAAAACATCTGAATCCTGAACTCAGTGATGTTCTCCACATGACTGCTCTGTATCACTTTTCTTACACTGGTGTTGTTGCCGTTTTTACTTCTCGCTGCATATCGTCTTCAGCTGTCCCACATGTACACTTCATAAGTCACCTTCAAGGCCCTGTGTGTACATTAAACAGCAGGTATAAATAGTCTATCTGTGCATTAAGCAATATTTACTACGGTCCTCTCCTTCTTGTTGGTTGACATCCGTCTTTTCGATGAATTACTGCCACCTTTGGTTTCGGAGTTTTAGCTCTGACAATTAATTTAGCTCCCGTTTCCATCTTAAGGAATATGACCGAATAACTCAATAAAATGTTTGTTTTACAGTTTGAAAACACGCCGCTCCATATTGTTGACTGTGTTTCCTGCACGTGGCGCCGCAGCAAACGTCTCCTGCTGACGGCATGACGCAAAACGTCTCCTGCGGCGCATACTGCGCAGCACTGACGCTTGTGAACAGTGTTGCCTTTGACTACTGTCGAATAAATACGAGCTCACAGGATGAGCGTCAAATAACACACATTATTCATGATATACCTTTTCGAAATGAGATTGGCTGAATAAATCAAACAGTATTCATGCGCTTGTAGAAGTACTAGCATATAATCTCGGTGCAATATCACAATATCATCCGTTTATGCAGAGATGACCTAAAAAAAACAGTTTTCCACTCAATTTAACGGTGAAAGTTTCTCAAAATTTATCAAAAAAGGGAAAAAACAACAACAAAGACTATTTTGTTTAAATTTTACGAGTATCAAATCCATATTTTCGATAATCTAAACACAAACGCTCATCCATCCGGGCAGTGTTTCCTACTTCCGTTAAGAGCAATGATGAATTCCGACCTGCCCCTGAAGGCGTCATTATTGTTGTTGTAATGTAAAGTCTGGTGAGCAGTGTGAGCCTGAATGTGTCGAGAGGGAGAGGAGAGAGTTTATAGATATTTTCTGATCAGTTCAACAGTATTGTTAGGTTTATTCACCTTTGGGGGATTTCACGCTCTTTCTAAAGTGAAAACAAAGGAGTAAAGTTGTCCCGACGGATAGTTCTGTGATGGGCATGACTAACCGCATTGAATGTATATTTTTCAGTGAGTTTCACCCCACCCTGGGTCCTAAAATAACCTATCAGGTGAGTGTCTGTGAAGTATTTTGTGTTGGTTTGAATACAACAGTTAATCATTTTTGTATGTACAGAGAATGATCACAAACGTTACAGAAACTGTGCTAAATTTCCTCCTCAGTATTGTATCTCCAAACATTAGTATTTACTCACTTGGACTACTGTCTAGTTGTGTGGTCAGATTTAGACAAAATTACAACTAATCCAGAACAGAGCTGCAAGACTAGGACTGAACTAACACCACAACTAATGTTTTATATCAGTGTTGAACATGTTTTTTTAACTCCTCGACATTTTCTTGTGGTATTTATCCCCATGAATGGATCTGAATGTATATTGTCTTGTTTTATCCCTGCAGGTCCCAGAGGAGTACATTTCACGGGAGCTCTTTGACTCCGTTCAAGTTTACATCATCACAAAACCAGAACTGCAAAACAAACTAATAACTGTGTATGTAATTAAACCTCTTTATTTTCTTTACCGCATTCCTTCTTTTCATTTAGAGATCACTATTTATGCATCATGCAGGGGGATGATAGTTCCTCTTGTCATTTTGTCTGCGCTCTTAACATTTCTTTCAGCACTGCCATGGGGAAGAAGTTAATCGGTTGTCCCGTGTGCATCGAACACAAAAAATACAGCAGAAATGCCCTCCTGTTTAACCTCGGCCTGGTTTGTGATGCTCAGACCAACACATGTGCACTGGAGCCGATTGTGAAGAAGCTGTCTGGGTACCTCACCACTCTGGAGGTAGAGAAAACTGCTCCATCATAGTTGTACTTGTCATACATTTGCAAAATGTGTTGGTTTCAAATGTCTCATGTTTTGTCTGGTTATGTTGCAGCTAGAGAGCGGCTTCATTTCCAATGAGGAGAGCAAGCAAAAACTTTTACCTATTATGTCAACCTTGTTAGAAGAGCTGAACGCTACAGGAGCCTGCACCCTGCCTATAGGTATGTCATGTATTTCCCAGCTTTCTAGTGCAAACCATCTGTCATCATAACCATATGTCTCTGGAAGATAGCGGAACAAACAAATATCTTGTTCATTTCTTTTTTGTTTGTTTGTTTGTTTTAAGAAGTTTTCTTCTGGTAAAGATTTAGTGTCACGGACATAGACTGTACCATATTTTTCACACTATAAGGCACACTTAAAATCCTTTTGGCTTGACTGCAGCTACCGTAGCCTCGTGGAGTTAATGAATGAGTTAAATAAAGTTTGACTTATCTGACTGCGTTCATTGATGGTGCGTCTTATAATCAGGTGCGTCTTATAGAGGGAAAATAGGGTATATAGAATGGACACCGTCTGCCTCCTCGCTGGGTAAAGCCACTCCGAGAACAGCACCCTTTGGTGACAGGCTGCAGTATAGGTCATCAATCCCGCCTCTGCCAGCAAAGCTTATGGAGTTGTGGACAAACTTTAGAAATTTATTACACCGAATATTAATTTTTCTCCCCCCTGGTTGTGATGTTGACATATAGTTACTGTAAGACTGATTTATGTTCAAGTCCTATTTTTTCTGTGCAGCACTGTTTCTAAAAGTTATAATGGGGTTCATGTTTTCTATGATTGACACTTGATACAGTCTATGGGTGTACGAAGATTGCGTTGCTCCCCCAGGGGTTACGCTGTTTGAGCCAAGTGTCATCACAGCGACTCTCCCGCCGAATGCATACAATGCTACTGCGCAATGTTGGTTTCAGGAAATGGAGAAAAATCGCAGAAACACCGAGAGCTTTTTGGCCTCAAATCCGTATATAGGCGGAAGGCGGAACTAAGTTGTCCATAATATATACAGTCCATCGTCTTGCACAATCACTTAGCAAACATCATCAAACTCAAAGTTAAAACACTTATTTTCATGAGAGGTGTATACGGCCCCTTAGACAGAGCAGTATATATGCAGATTCATAAAGTCTGGTCTGCAAAGAGAGGAAGCACATACTTAACAAATACTGATGAGGAAATTTTGGAATCCCAAGAGTTCACTGTCTCATGTCAGGAAAACCACAATTGGATTTATATTAGCAACAGGATTTTTATGACGTTTTAAAATAAAATCATATTTGTTGTTTGCGGTCTTCTGTTCTGCCCAGATGAATCAAATACCATCCACTTAAAGCTGATCCAGCTCAGAAAGGACCCCCCTATCGTGCAGGAATATGACGTGCCTGTCTTCACCCAGTGCAAGGAACATTTCATCAAGTCTCAGTGGGATCTTACAACTCAGCAGGTAGGCACGGTGATTGACAAGCAGGAACATTTTGATACGAACTGTTGTAGTTTGAGGGCAGCCATTATTTTGCGAAAGGAAAGGTGGTAAAAGCATAGGGGGAGGGGAAGCTTTGTGTGGTTGCTTTAAAAGTACAGCATGTAGAAATGGGAATATGCAGTGTTATCTAACAGTCAAATTGAGGGTTGAAACACTCTCTGGTCCCCATTATGTAAGTGAAGTGACAGGAAGATAAAAGTGGTCATCAATTTTTCAAGTTGTTACTGTCAAAACTTTTATGAATGCAAATTACTTTGCACTCAGTAACCACTCTCTTCTTCTTTGTCATCCAACTGGTGCATTTTACATGTCTCATAAAGTATACAAATCCACGAGGTACCAGATTGTTCTTTGTATCAGTAGAAACAAGGCTGTGCAAGATGGCATCCTCCTTAAAGGGGAATTTTTACCACTCCTGTTGTTGACATAGAATGCTCATTAAAACAAAAACAAAGTTAGTTTGACATTCAGGTATTGATCTTCATTTTTACCTCGTCTTGCTGCCGATTGCTGCTAAATCCTACTCACTGTACTTTTGATAAGTAAATGAGTCATAGGAGGTTAAGCCGGTGTTGTTCCTCTGGTTCTTGTTCACCACAGATCCTGCCCTACATCGACGGATTCCGACACATTCAAAAGATCTCAGCCGAAGCAGACGTTGAGCTGAATCTTGTTCGCATTGCTGTTCAGAATCTACTGTGAGTACAATTTGGTGACAAAAAAGAACAGAAAAAAAAGGGCAACACACACCAGCATGGGCTGATGTGCGTCAAAACACCCTCATCCCTTGTTTTCTGTATACGTCAGACTGATGATCCACCAGTATTATTGTGTGTTTGTCCACATCTACATATCAGGATCAAACACTGTCCTATTTCTCTTTTGTTAAACCTCTTGGAGCAACTATAATCCTCCAATTATGTGCTATTTCTGACTTCTGTGGTGTGTTTCAGTTCGATGTGTGACTATTATTTCCAGAAGAAACAAAAGAGGAGATTTTAAGATCTTTCTTTTCCTTTTCAGGTATTATGGGGTTGTGACTTTGGTGTCGATATATCAGGTACAAACTTACACCAAACATTAGACCCATCCCAATTACCTCTATTTATGATGGAATATAAGCGTACTGAACGGTACAAACAGTCTTTTAAAATGTTCTGCTTTTCTCAGAATATAATGACTTCTGTTTCTACTTTTTCTGGCGGTCTTAACGCTCAGCTATCACTATTAGAAGGTCTTGACTTTTTGGATGTCATATTGTCCTTTTTTTTCCTCTCTCCAGTATTCAAATGTTTATTGCACCACCCCCAAAGTCCAGAACCTCATAGATGACAAGTCCATTCAGGAGGAGTGCCTCAGTTATGTCACTAAGCAGGGTAAATTTCAGCCACTGTTGTTGAAAACACACGTTATATAACTCCTGTGTTTTGAAGTATTCACTTGTTTGTTTTACCGTGTGACAGGTCAGAAGCGTGCCAGTCTCAGGGATGTGTTTCAGCTGTATTGCGGTCTAAGTCCAGGAACTACAGTCCGTGACCTTTGCGCACGCTACTCTCAGCAGCTTCAGAGGGTTGACGAGAGGTGAGCGTCAATCACCTTATCACTTTCTTAGAGGACTTTAGGGCTCTTAAAAAGTCAGGTCAGAGTGACATTTATTTTTATGTGGCTTGTGTGTTGTCCTTCAGGAGGCTGATCCAATTTGGGCTGATGAAGTGTTTGATACGGCGGCTGCAGAAGTATCCTGTAAAGGTGATCCGGGATGAGCGGAGCAGGCCGCCCAGACTGTACACCGGCTGTCACAGTTATGACGAGATCTGCTGCAAAACAGGCAGGTTTTTTTTCAAGACCCTTTTTCACTTATTGGTGTAAAACTAAAGAGTAAATCCTTAAAAGTCACTGTAAACTACCTTTTCTTTATAGGGATGAGTTACGCTGAACTGGATGAACGTTTGGAGAATGATCCGAACATAGTGGTGTGTTGGAAGTAATGTGAAAAAACGGAATAAACAGAGATGCCTCAACCAAAGATGCCTTCAGTAAGAGGACTAACACTGGAAACAGAAGCAGTATTTTGATAATGATAATAATAATGCATCAGATTTTATACAGCGCTATTTATCAATGCCCTCCCCAAAGCGCTTTACACTGGATACATTATTCATTCGCTCACACAGTCACACCGTGGTGGTGGTAAACTAACCCTGGGGCAGACTGGAGGAAACGTGGCTGCCGATCTGTGCCAGCAGCCTCTCCGACCACCACCAAACATCACTTACAATCACTGCCATGGTGTATTGTCTGTATGTTGTTTTGTTTGTTATACCGGCCCTAGGATAATGGCGTATTTACTTTGAAGCGGATAGGTTAATCGATGTGCATTGTCCTAATCAAATAAACAATAAAAAACAACACATTAGTACAGGACAAACACTGGAACTGAGGTGAGTTAAGAGTCTTGCCCAAGGACGCAATGGGCAGACTAGGGGTAGGGTGGGATTGAACCATCACTCTTCTAGTTATTGGATGACCGCTCTACCTCCTGAGCTACTGCACCCCCAATATTTTCTTATTTTTATGTCTGATAACGTTTTTTTTTAAATCTCATCCTCTCTGACATTTCTCTTTATAGTAAGGAATATGATGTTTACTAATGTTGTAAAAATGAAGTTTAATTAATAAAGAGATAAAACTGAAGTGTTACCGTTTGTTTTATACTACAGTGTTTAAATCATGGTAAACTGAATTAATTTAGGCGTTTATTCTTCTATATTGTAACCTACTTGATTGTTTTTTACCATTGCTCCCTCTAACTCTTGGTTTTACTTGGAAATGCACCGCCCTCTCCTGGCCTCAGTGAGGTACTGCACTTTGCCTTACTCTCGGTTTACAGTAACCATGACAACCACCGTGACGAGCTTACATTAGTAAACTTCGAAGTAACGTTTACGACGAAGCTGTAAACTACATAAAAGTCGTTTTATTTTCCCTTGAGTGACATTTCAGTAGGTTTTTACAACAAAATGGACGTGTCTGTAATCTTCCCTGCCGAAGCAGAAGGGTTTATCCAAAGTCTGGAGACTTTCTCTCTAAAGGAGGTGGGCTCTGCGAGGTAAGATGAAGCTAACGTTGGTGTAAACATTGAACTGTTGAAAAGATTCCTCTTGTTGGGTCGTCTGTTGTCTTGACCCAAGAACAATATCGCTGAAATTAGTAACACCAGGTGATTTTTACCTGAAATAATATACCCAAGAAAAAGTACTTGTCATCAAAATATATCAAAATAGGACAATAAATGACAAATTAAAGTAGTTTGCTTTTATGTTTAACCGTGTAATGTCCAAAGGGAGGGAAAAAAATATAAAAATGCAACAAAATAACTGAAATTAGGCATTCATGAACAAAAAATTCCTAATATATATATAAGTATGTATGTGAGTCTTTCCTTGTGGCGGCACAAGAACAGGCCTTGAGCACCAGAGCAATAGAGGCCCAGATCTACCATACCAGGCAAGATCCCAGGTGCAGGCTGTACAAAAGGGCCCTGAAACAGTTCAACACCTAACAGCAGGATGTAAGATGGCAAGAAAAGCATACATGGAACTCCATAAACCAAGTAGCCGGTATAGTGTACACAGGAACATCTGTGCAGAATATGGACTGGAAACCCCGAGGTCAAAATGGGAAGCACCTCCCAAGGTGATAGAGAATGACCGAGCCAAGATCCTGTGGGGCTTCCAGATACAGACCGACAAAATGGTAATGGCCAACCAACCAGACATTGTAATCGTAGACAAACAGCAGAGGAAAGCCGTCGTGGTAGATGTCGCCATCCCAAGCGATACCAACATCAGAAGGAAGGAACGTGAAAAACTAGAGAAGTGCCAAGGGCTCAAAGAGGAGATAGAGAAAGCCTGGAAGGTGAGGGCAACAATGGTGCCTGTGGTCATTGGGGCACTCGGGGCAGTAACCCTCACACTGGAGAAGTGGCTCCAACAGATCCCTGGGGAAACAACAGACATCTCACTCCAGAAGAGTGCAGTCCAAGGAACAGCAAGGATACTGCGCAGGACCCTCAAGCTCCCAGGCCTTTGGTAGAGGACCCGAGCTTGAAAAGACACAATACCGCCCGAGAATTGGTAACTTTTGGGTGGTTTGTGCACAAATAGGAGACATTTCCTGGTTTTATTTTGAAACCAGATACCAGGCATGCGTGAAAGTTGTGTTCATAGGTGCTTTGTCATGATTTCTCTGTTTCTCTGTGTTGACAGGTGGTTCAAGCAACACGAGTACATTGAAAAACTTAACATGCAGGCGATACTGAATGCATCAGCCACGCACGACGAGTTTGTCAAGGACCTCCTGGTGTCCCATGGAAAGGTAACTGTTGTGTTTTACAGATGGCTGAACAAACATGAACAGTGTCTTTACTCAGGTTAGGAAAGGTTACCTGATTTATACCAGATTTCTTCTTTTCCCCTTTAGATACCTGTTCTGGTCCATGAAATGATCCTTGTTGAAGTGTGGAAACACAAAGTTTTCCCTGTCTTGTGTCAGTTGCAGGACTTTAATCCCAAGAACACGTTTCATCTTTACATGGTGGTGAGTTTCAAACAAGCTGTAAAATAATTGTCGGCTGGCAGCACTTATGACATACTATCTGTTCTTGAATTCCTCATTCTTAGATCCACCATGAGGCCACAATCATAAACCTGCTTGAAACTATAATGTTTCATAAGGTCAGTATATACAGTCAGAGGAAACACTGAGTTTATTTGTGTTACATTACACACTCACTCAGCTGGGTTTAGCTCTGTGTGACATTTTGAATGACTCTCATATTTCTTGTAGGACTCTTGTGACGCAGCCGATGACTCTGTTCTGGACTTGGTGGATTACTGCCATCGCAAACTCACCCTTCTCGCCAGCAAAGCGATCCAGGAGGGGGCAACAACCCGTGGCAATCACAACCTTTCAGAGCAAACAGCTGTGTCCTCTTTGGAGGTATGGAAGTCTCAGATTCAGGCTGCAATATTCGAACTATAGCAGAGGACTCCTTTAACTTACACTGCTTTCCATCTTTCCCCTTGGTGAAGGAGTTACAGACGCAGAGTGCTGATCTGGAGTTCGAAATCTCTCTGAAGGCTGTGTCTGTGCTGCGCTACGTCACTGATCACACCGACAGGTATAGAAAATAAAAGATAGAAAGTTTATTAACCATTTAGTTTTCGAAAAGGAACAGTTATGAAAATGCCTGTCACATATTTCAGAGCTGAGGTAAACATCATTCAACAGTTTTACAGTTTCAGTTTTAAAAACTGTGAAGCAGAAATGAGGACTTGAGTCATATTTTTATTATTTTATTTTATTGATCTTTTGGTCAGACACATACAGAGAAAAACATACACTTCTTAGTTAAAAAAAACACTGAAATATGCTGTCTTTTTTTCTCCTTTTTCATAGTCTTTAACTTTACAAACAAGAACACACACTCTAAACACAAATATGAGTCTGCAGTCCAGCAAAAACATACAAACAAGCCAGACTTACACCAAAAAAAATAATTAATTAATTAATTAATTAATTGAAAAATAAAGTAAAATAAAAAATAAAAATAATAATTCACCCTAGGAAGTCTACATAGTATACATGTATACAGTGGAATACAGTATCCTGCATTAAAAAAATACAAAAAAGAAATATTACGCAGAGGTTGGCAGTGTCAATCTTTCACATCCCACAATTGAGCAAGGAATGGGCCCATATTTCATTAAACAGATCCTCCCAACCAGCCACTCTATAAGAGATCAAACTTGAGTCATATCCAACTTAACGTGACTTCAGACTTGACTGGGATGTGTTTTTGGACTTGTGGGCGATCTTTTTATTTTGTATTTTTATCACACTTGACCTTAAGCATCTGGTGCACAAGCTGACAGTGATGTACCGGCACTAAAATCAGCATGTGGCCTGCAGCTGCTACAGTGCAGTGTTTCCCTGTTATGGACAATACCCAGGCAGGCCCCTTGAGTATGTTTACCAACCTTTTTTTACTTGTTCTTTATCTGTAGCCTAACAGACCATCATCATCTGCAATAAAGAAATGAACAATCTCCTCCGTCGAGTTTGTTGTTAATAGTATCTTATAGATCAGCACTGCAGGTGATCAGAGAGAAAAGAGAGATCTCTGCTTCTTATGCAACGATCGAGGTCAAGTTGTTATTTTAGCTCTAACACTAACACTCCTCACACAGCTGTTTTTGCAGTTGCAGCTGGTTGCTACACTCCCAGTCATAGATTGTCATCAACAACCGTTTTCAATGCAAAGATAACCTGTTATGCTAACAGATCAGTCTCTGGAACGAGTTGCCCTTGAGCATTAGACAGGCCTCCTCGTTTCCTGTTTTTAAATCCCTTTTAAAAACGCACTTTTATTCCTTGGCTTTGAATACATTTTAGTGTTATTTTGTTTGTTATCATCTTAGCACTTGCCATGAGCCTGCTTATTTATATATTTATTTACTTTTTGCATTTATGTATTTTTGCTCGCTCTATCTTGCTCTTTGCTTGTTTTATTTGCTTTTATGTCGCAATGTACAGCACTTTGGCTACCCCCTGTGGTTCTTTTAAATGTGCTATAGAAATAAAGTTGATTGATTGATTGATTGAAAATGTGCACTGGCATCCTATTGATCAGCAATTTCAAACAATAAGACAATGACGGGCCTAAAGGAAATGTAGGAAATAGTTGTAATATTTATGTACAACCTTTACTTCATATCTAAGGCTGATTGGAGAACAATACATGTTTTTCTTTCTTTCTTTGCAGCATTAGTGTTATAAATCGTTTGCTGTGCACTCACAACATGCCGTGTGTCTTAGTTCAGCTGATTGACTGCTGTCCCTGGAGCCGCCGCAGAGAAGGTACGGCTAATCATCACAGGTGTGCTTATGAAGCATGTCTTTGAATGTTTGTATGTAAAGCCGTAACATGCAACTTTTCCCTCAAGGTGCTGTTGAGAAGTACATAAACGGAAAGTGGCAGAAGACCCCGGCTGAAGACTGTTTGAAGATGACCAAACTTGACGGTCAGGTTTGGATTTCACTGTACAATCTGTTACTGAAGGAGGACTGCCAGAGGAAGTATGACTTCAACAGCTTTAACAAAAACCAGATTCTGAAGGTATACAGAGACGAACAACGGTCAATGATTTATCATGCTTTCAGTGTCTGCTGTGTATTATCTGTAAACTGAGGAGCAGGAAGTGTGTGAGCGCCAGATCATTGTCCCCGAAGTGGTTAAAACACAGATTCAGTTTCCAAGAGTTGTTTTGACAAAGATGTTTCCTTCCATTATATCATTTCTCATCCTCTTCCTGTTTCATTAATTACATAAACAGAGATTGTTTTTATCCTCCTGTTATCACTCGTTTCATGTGCATTTAGTCTGTTTAACCACTGTATAGAATTATGATGATCTCTGACATAGTTATTTTTGCTGCTGCCTTATTTGTGGGTTTATTGTTTCTGTGTCACAGCTTCGAGGTTTCCTGACAGAGGTGTTAATAGATCAGCTGCCAAACCTGGTGGAGCTGCAGCGTTACCTGGCTCATCTTGCCGTGACAGACCCTGCTCCACCCAAAAAGGAGCTCATCTTAGAACAAGTACACACCCACATACAAATATAGCTTTTAGCGTTTTTAACACAAATACCGTCATGACAGTGTGTGTTTAATTTCAGCTCTGATTTATGTTTAGATCCCAGAGATGTGGAACAGCATTGTTAGAGAGAATTCTGGGAAGTGGAAGGCCATAGCAAAACATCAAGTCAAAGAAACATTCAACCCATCAGAGAGTGACCTGAGGTTACAGGCACGGAGGTAACTATGACAAACACAGGCCTGTGTAATCAAAGCGATATGCCGGCGTAAAATTGTGTGAGGGTCAAACACACTGAAACACAGAGTTAGACATCCCCAAGAGAGATGAATGTTGTCGACCGTTTGCTTCTCTAGTTATACCGACTTTTGTAACTACAGCACGATAGCAGTACACAGCAGTCTGAGGAGCCATAAACAAACCTCAACCAAAACGCCACTCTATAGCCACAAATAATAATTAATAATAATTTCTTTAGCAAAGAGACTAAACACAACTCACCTACTCTCATCCAGCAGCCGCTTGTTTGTAGCGAGACTTAAGGCCAATCAATTGCGCACTGCTGGGGGACGCTTGACGCAGCTCAAGGAAGAAAATTTATGATCATTTCTTCATGGAAATGCAATCAGACCAAGATGCTAAGGCAGAAGAACTACCGCGTCTGCAGTGCAAAATGATCAATATGGTGATTATTACTTCAAGGAAATGATAAAGAAATGATCATAAATGTTCTTCCTTGAGCTGCGTCACCCCGCAGCAGTCTGTAATAGACTGTCCCGAGGTCTCGCTACAAACAAGCGGCTGCTGGAAGAGAGTCGGTGAGTTGTGTTTGATCTCTTTGCTAAAGAAATTAGTCAAAGTTAAAAATATGTGTGGTGGCTAGTGCTATGGCTAGGACCCTATATGTACTGTTGATGAAGTTAGGTGCTGTTCTGAGCATTATTTGTGGCTATAGAGTGACGTTTTGGTTGAGTGGTGTATTGCTATCATGTGGTCGTTACTAAAGTTGGTACAACTAGAGAAGCAAGCAGTCAGCAACATTGGTCTCTCAAGGGGGTGTCTAACTCGGTGTTACGTTGTGTTCGACCCTAAATTAATTTTACGACAGAATATCCCTTAAAGGTATAGATTTATGTGATGTAATGTTTTGTGTTGAGTGATGTTTTTTTTTTCTCAAGGTTGGCCCAGACCTACAACCTGGACGTGATGGAGAGTTTACTCCCTGAGAAGCCTAAGTGTGGATCCTGTGGGAAAGAAGCTACAAAGAGATGCTCCCGATGTCAGGGAGAGTGGTACTGCCACAGGTGAGGCTTCAGCTGATGTAGGTCAGCAAAAATGCAGCTGCTGTCTCTTGTAGCAAAGGAAAGTCTTGATTTGGGTGAAGACTTAAAGACAAGAAAGAAAGAAATGAACGCCAGAAAATCACAACTCAGACATCGAGACAGAGCTTTGAGTTAAAATGGACTGATGGATGATGTGTATGTTGATACATGGATGATTAGATAGTGAGCTGGTGAGTGGATGGATATGTTTCTGCTGATGTAAAATCTCATCTTCAACTTATTGTCATGTTTTTTTTTGTTTCTTTTAGAGAATGTCAAGTAAAGCACTGGCCTAAGCACAAGACAGCCTGTCAACTAATAGCTGAGGCCACAGAGACGATCCAGAGGGACTTAAAAATTGACAGCTAAAGGAGGCAGGACGTGAAAAGAGAACAGATCTGTCTCATATATTTTATACAGGAACAACTTTGTCTTACCACTGTACAAAACTTCATTTCCTGTTTCACTGGATTGTTTTTTCCTTTATCTGTTCCCATGATCATACTTTGGCACACTCTTAATAAACTAAGTGTGGAGGCAGGTATTTCCACATTCTCCTCTGCTAAGATTTCTTTCATACCATACAGTGGCTGTAAATAAAAAGTTATTGGCTGCCTCTAAGTAGATTTTTTTTTAAAAGGGAGAGGTTTGATTAAATGACAAAAACAGGAACTTATACTATCTAAATTTAGAGAGATTTACATATACATACCCACCTATATCACCATGCAGGGGATCAGCAGTTCCTCTCTTAGGTTAATATTTCTTCTGGTTATGTTCAGACTTTAACCTCCATGAGTGTTAGATTGTTGACTTTCTGTGGTTGGCCTCATTTGATGGCAAAAAATGCACAGAATAGATGTAAGCATAATGATTCTAGTTGGGTGTTTCAACATGTATGTTGGATTAAACATTGAAATTAAGCATTTTAAAGAAAAAAATTAGAGTATTAGAGGTTCTCAAATGAAACCCAGATTCATCAAACACGGGGAACAGTGGTTTTAGAGGGGAGGGGGATTTACACGCCCCCTCAGCTGTGCTCAGGCCTCAGAACTGAGCAGCTCCCTCTGTCTGAAAACATTCCGGATGTCAGTGTTTCTCAGTCTCTCTCTCTCTCTCTCTCTCTCTCTCTCTCTCTCTCTCTCTCTCTCTCTCTCTCTCTCTCTCGTGGCACGCTGCTTCCTCCTACAATAGTCAAACTAAATGAAAAGATGTTGACTGTGTTGAGGAGACTTCAGATATTACTGCTTCACTCATGTTAACCGTCAAAAACAGCATGTTGTCGGTATGCCTCGGTGTTTTCTCTGAAACTAGCCGAGGATGAGAGATTATTTCCAGAGATGTAGTCAGGGCTGCACACCTCTGTTACTTGGAAACCCTCAGAAAAGTCTCCGCGGAAAGTTTTTCTCTTCGGATAGGAGAAGCCTTGAGACAAAGCGGAGGCCACGGGGCTCTTTTCTCTCCACTTCCAGTAAGTTACACTTATTCACATTAACTTTGCTCTTACAGAAAGTATTGGTTTGACAAACAAAGCTGGACTCCTGTGTTAAATGAGTCCTCCGAGTCTTTCTTGCACGTATTTACTCACAGAGTCTTAATGCAGATTTTTGTATTTTAAGAACTATATTTAATGCGTTTTACAACAGGCTTAAGTTTATTTCATAACCCCGCTCAAACTGTGCTGAACTTGAAGACTGTCAGTTATTACATAAGAGCAGAGAGGAGGATGTCATGTATGGGTCCATGTACTGGAACAACAGTTACTTGACCACCGTCTGTAAAGTTAAACATTTAAAGACAAGTCTGAAATTATATTTGGATGCCAAGAACTAAGACTATATAATTTGATAGCCTATGCACATTAGCAATTGCTCAATGCATTAACTTTTAAAATCATACACATATAAGTTTCTTTAGATCCGTATTATGCCTCTGTGCTTTCATTTGAGTATGCATCTTGATGGATTATTGGACTTAGAATCAATCGCAACCGTTTGACAGATGCGACTCTAGAATAACATGTTGCACAAAAACATGATCTGCTTATGAAAATTATATCAGTGGTTGAAAAGCTTATGATACTTTTGCAAGAATATAATGCTCATTCAGTCAGTTAATCTGTATTATTTATATTGCACCTAATAATAACAAAATTTATCAATGAAGTCTGCAGATGGAGCAGGTCTTTTCCCATATTATTTTCAAACACCCAACATTAAGCCACCATTTGTAGCTTGGCAACAGTGGCAAGATAGGGCTGGGTGATATGGGGAAAAGTTTATCACGATATATTCTTTACGTATCAGTCGATATCGATATATCACAATATAAAAATGAAATTTAACAGTGCTCATTGGTAGCATGTCTTTTGCAATACAATAAGTTACTGCATCTGTGAGGTCTTTGCGTCTCTTCGACGTTTTGTCGTAACGCGTTGCGCAAGAGAAAGTGGACTGAATGGTAGGCTGTTTTCGGTGTGATGGCTGCCTGTAGCTGCAGTCTGCTACGACACCGTTGTTGGCTACTTGGTTCTAATTCAGCACATGATTGGTTCAGTGCAAAGCTGATCCAGAGCAGCTCCCCTTTTCATTGGCTATTTGTATAGTCTACCAAAACATGGCAGAATGTCAACTATTGAAAAGCAGATTGACCATGTTTTATATTGATACCGAGGGAAAATTAATTTTCAATATATATTGTTATCGATTTATCGCCCAGCCCTATGGCAAGATACAAAAAAAATATATGTTTTTAACAGGTAGAAACTTGAAGTAGAGTCAGACTCATTGTTGGACAGCCATCGGATTTGACGAGATAATCAGAGAAAGTATACTGCCCTGTAGAACTTGAGTTAGAACAATACTGCGTGCAGGATCTTCACATGTACTCAGTGTGCTTAAACAGTGTTATGTCTTAATGTACTTTATTTTTCCACTTGTCAGTGATAATGGAGGAAACTCGGTCCTGAGCGATACAATGTCTTGGGAGGAGTTCATCGAGCTCCGTGACCTGAGGTCAGAGCAGATAGAGCTGACAGGCTCTCGGTCACCATGCTTTCCTCCACGGCTGGAGAGAACCAACGCCCTGAGGATCAGCCCAGGAAAGGTGCCCGACCTGCTGAGCAGGGTGGGCATCATCAGAGTCCTGAGCAGCTCCCAAGACCCCCAGATACCTGAGGAGAAAGGAGAGGGACACAACTTCCAGCCCTGCAGCCACGCTCAGCCCACATGGTGCGACCTGTGCGGAGACTTCATCTGGGGCCTGTACAAGCAGAGCCTGCGGTGTGTCAGTGAGTCAGCTCATGTAGGATGTTTGTGTGACTTCCTTTAAGTATATGTATTATACCAAATGTGGCAAGACTGAGAGTTAGAGGAAATTTGGTTAAATGATGAAAGATGTAGCCTCTAATGTAGGTGTAGCCTCAAAAGTCCCCGAATTCAGCCTTAATCATAGCCTTTACTGCTTCATCTACCATTACAGACATATTCTCTGCTTAAAGCTGCAGTTGAAATAAATGGGAAGTCTTTCACAGAGGCTTAATACCAGGACTATGGTATCAGTTGGTTTACTGATTATTAAAGTTGAGGATCCTCTAAAAATCTGTATGCTGCCTTTGCTCAAAATGTATCTGAGAGCTGCAGTCACCCTAAGCTTCCGTTTTCGTCATGTGAAACCCACTGACTTCTGGCTGTGGTTAGGTTTTTCATTTAAAGCACCTACTGTGTGGGACAAAAGTATCTTCACAGAAACATGACAACACTGACCACAATCAGTTTATAATGACTCACACAACAAATTAAGTGACAGTAGCTGTGAAAAAAAGAGATTGAGAAATATACTGTAAACAAGTCTGTATGTACATCAGGAGAGTTAATAATAAACACAGGAGGACTTTGGGTAATTATCGTGACAATCAACACTTCCCTTTTAGACTTGCTCTATGTTTTCTTATGTATTAATTTGGCATTATACGTCCGAACTAAGTAACTTTCTGTTTCTGCAGATTGTAGATTCACATGTCACTACCGCTGCCGTGCACTGATCCGCCTGGACTGCAGCTGGGACAGAGGCTCTCTGTCTGACCACACATGTGTGGTGGAGCACACGGTAGAGACTGACACGAATGTGGTAAGAACCTTTTGTTTCTGCAGTACTACCAAGTAGTTTTCACTTGTTCCCATGCAGCCTTTTCTCACAACCGTAAGTGCAAAGAGTCACTGATTACTTGCTTTCAGTGACAACTTCAGCATGCAGGAAATTAATAGAGATTTTACTGATAAATTCAGGTTGGAAATTAGAAAATAAGAGAGACACTGGTTTCCTTAACAGGCCTCTAAAGTTAACATGCAACTCAAGCCAAACTCACAACCTACTGGCAGATATCTTCAATCACTGGCTAATTTTATACCTCTGAGAATGGATGCCAACTTTTCAGTCATTCTTGTGCATCCAGCGATTAGTTTAAAGCACTTCCAGCCAGGATTTGTTTTCCCATGCTGAGTTTGCATAAATTCAGTCTATTCTTGTTCCACCACATCCCTCTAGGTAAGTACCCGTTCATCTGGTTTAGGTGTCATTTCAGCAGAGGATAGACACTTCACACCAGCCTACTAAGCTGTATGAACCTGAAAAATAAACCTATTAACACACAATTTATGGGTCTCGAGTTTGCTGAGATAATACCATTATGAATCAAGGTGCAGTGTATAGTAGTTAACAGTATTTAGGTAGTCTTCTTCATCTGATTTAAGTACTGTAACTCGCTCCTTTGTGGTTATCACCTAAAACCCTATCTTGCCTCCATCTGGTTCAGAACACAACATCACCCCTGTGCTTGCTTCTCTCCACTGAGTCTCTGTTTGTTTAAGTATTGATTTAAAGATTTTACACTTCTGACACTTGTCTGGGTCTTGCCCTTTAGTTAAATTGGCTTAGCTCTTAGTTCCCATAAGTAATCTTGGAGCCTAAGCACCTCAGATGGGACCCTTTTGCTTTTGCCATCGGGGAACCTAGACTATTGAGTGACCTGCCTGAGGAGATGAGGAGTGCAAAGTCATAAACGTCCATCAGATATCTTCTTAAAACCAACTTTTACAGACTTAATTTAATATAATTTCAAAATTTTTATTTTCTCTCTTTCATCTTCCATGTTATATCTCTACTGTCATGTGTTGTCTTCTGTTCTCTTGTTAATCTGATCTCATTGCTTTCATTTCTCTATTTTCATGTTGAGTTCACTTTTTGTGTTTGCATTATATTGTTCTCTCTTTTCTGTTTTTATTTTTCCTGATTTGATGTCTTCTTTTTTATCTTTTTATCATCTTTTGGTTTAATTCTTTCATTAAACCTTAATATTTGCTCTGCCGTAACATTTACCACCTTTCAAGATCAGCCTGTTTAATCACTTTTTTACTTCTAAATAGCTTAAATTCCTATCTTGAAATATGATGTTCAATTTTCAGGATTTTTCACTGCCTGGCTTGCTGCTGAGTTATTATTTCTTGCCATGGCTTTGTCTATTTAAACACTTCTAACATATGTTTTTAAAAGTGCTAAATAAATGACATTATTATAATAATTATAATTACTACTACTATAATATTTGTCAGTATTTTCAAATGAGTGTATAATCACCTAAATGTAAAATTTGTATTGTTTTGTTACTTGCAATGAATTTTTTTATATTTTCATAAGCAGAGGGTGGCCACAGAGGCTACGATGTTTCTACAGTAGGACACTTTCACACATGTTTTTATATTGAGTGGCTGTATGAAATGCACCAGTAGGAAGTCAGAGAAGAAGAGCAAGGTAGTTGTGTGCAAAACAAAACAAACAAAATGTATTGATAACCATATTGATGGATTAGTATCACATTAGTTTCTGTGAGTAACTGATGAGAGGGGTGATCAGAGGAGTGTTTTAATACAAAATCTGACTGCTAGATATTGTTAAATACTCTCATTTTAACACAGTTTACCTTGAAGATTTGTGAAAGGTGAAAATGCAAACTTTCAGGTTGGAGTTAGTATGGAAAAACAAACAGACTTTTTGTTTGTTTGTTTGTTTGTTGGAGGAGGGTCAAATAGGTCATTTCTAATGCATTGCAGGCTGGGAAATCTAACTGCTGATAGACTTTGCAGAATAGTGTCAAGCACATTTAAAGTTTAGATTTTTGATCTTGAAACGCTCTTCAGCTTCATCAGTTAATACAAAATAATGGCCAGCTGGTAGTCAGGATTTCACTGTAACTGTGTGTGTGCTCTGTATTTCTTTCATAAACCAAAGCCGGTCAAAGTGTTGTCAGTCAGTGCTTTCTGAACAACAAATGCACAACAAAAAGAAACCAAAACCCTCCCCACAATAGAAAAGCAGACCCCCATATGCAGATTCTACAATTCTTAGCAGAATCTGTGAACAGAGACCACTAATGTGCTGACCGGATCGTGTGGTGGTGTGGCCGGGCTAATTTAAGGAACGTGTGTTGTCTTATGACCAGAACAGGAACTTAATTTTATGACAGTAAACACACATCCTCCACATAGTTCCACTAACTGTACGTGTTTCAGTTAAAGCTACCCTAGTATGTTAGGTTTAAGTGTAGATTAGCTTTTGTTCCTCATGCAGGGTAAGATAATGCCAGTTATGAGAACAACTAGAATTACTGTATGGGAAAGTTATCATATTAGAAGGGAAATACTCTGAAAATATCATCACAGACAGCACCTTTTGCATGGTCTGGACAGTGAGAAAAGGTACATTTTGTTTCATAAATGTATTCTTTTTTGATTCTTAAAAAGGCACATTTTCAGTGATGATGAAGTTTACTCATAGCTTAAAGCTTCATCCCTCTTTTTCCCCCTACAGTCTTTATCAAGAGGTCAGTCAAGATTACGATGAGTTGTTTTTCAAGGCAGCAGTGTTTGGTCTCCCAGTAAAGGTTATATCCTCCCTATCAAGCACTCCAATGCTTATCAAAATGTGCCTGGAATGTAAAAACTTCAACAAGCTGTGAGCGGAGTATAACCAGTATCACTTTGCTCTTGAAGCCTTTTGCATGTATACGTTTTGCCTTTGGTTGAATCATGATCATGTCAGAACAGCTGGAGTGTGTCTAGGTGTAACCTGTTCCCATGTATGAAGCAATACTTGCAAATGCAGCAAACAAAGAATTGCGAAAAAATATGACCAACTCCTAGACGTGTGAGACACACAGAAAGATACTTAAAGGATTTCAGTGCCAGTTGTAATGGATACTTCTGGTTTTATGCATTGTGTTATTACCTGAGACAATTAAAAAAGAACACCGTGGGTGGGATGTTAAGGAGAGGTTGTTTATGAATCTTTAAATCATAGCTGCCAACACGAAGCCTTTAATTTGGGCTTTAAATGCAGGACATTTTCTAGCAGAGCTGAGAGATGCTTTCATTACCTGGTTGTAGTTTTCATACGCCAGGTTTTTTCTACAATTATGAACACCAAGGCAACATGTTTAAGTGCAGTAAAGGAATACTGAGAATGGTTCAGCTAAGCGGGTTGTTTGCTGGACTTTCACATTTCCCTTTACCTTTGAAACTGACCTAGTTAACCAGGTTAAATAACCCAGCCTTTGCCAGAAAAAAAACACAGGCCAACATGTCAAAGCTTGTTAAGTCTTTGAGAGAAGGGTTATGGGTGTAACATTAGGCCTTATGAACAACATTTACTCACCTCAGTAGATGGTAAACAGCATTGGACTATAATTATTTTCAGTCACGTTTTAGTGTCTGATGGTTAATATTTTTATTCTACTGGTGTTAAAGGGATATTCTGGCGTAAAATTAGTTTAGGGTCAAACACACCATAACACAGAGTTAGACACCCCGTCCAGAGATGAGTGTTGCCGACCGCTTGCCGCTTAAAGTTATACCAACTTTAGAAGTGAACACAGATAGCAATACAGAGAGCCACGCGCTCAACAAAAAAAGCCACTCTATAGCCACAAATGATGCTCAGAACAGCACCTAACTTCATCAACAGTGGATATAGGGTCCCAGCCACAGCACTAGCCGCCAAACATCTTTTTAACTTTGCCTGATTTCTTTACCAAAGAGACTAAATACAACTCGCCCTCTCCTCTCCAGCAGCCGCTTATTTGTATCAAGACCTCAGGCCAGTCCATTACAGACCACAGTGGAGTTTCGCAGCTCAAGGAAGAACATTTATGATCATTTCGTCATGGAAATACAATCAGACCGAGACGCTACGGCAGAAGAACTACTGCGTTTGTAGTGCAAAATGATTAATATGATGATTATTACTTTAAGGAAATGATAAAGTAATGATCACAAATGTTCTTCCTTGAGCTGCGAAACTCTGCTACAGTCAGTGGACTCGCCTGGAGGTCTCCATACAAACAAGCGGCTGCTGGAATAGAGTAGGTGAGTTGTGTTTAGTCTCTTTGCTAAAGAAATCCAGCAAAGTTAAAAAGATGTTTGGTGGCTAGTACTATGGCTGGGACCCTGTATGTACTGTTGATGAAGTTAGGTGCTGTTCTGAGCATTATTTTTGGCATTAGAGAGGCGTTTTGATGGAGCACGTGGCTCTATGTATGGTCGCTACTAAAGTTGGTGAAACTAGAGAAGCAAGCGGTCGTCAACATTCATCTCTCTTGGGGGTGTCTAACTCGGTGTTATGTGTGTTTGACCCTAACTTAATTTTACGCTGGAATATCCCTTTAAGTCACACGATCCAAGAGCTGTACCTCTTCTCATGTTTTAGCCTCTGATGGGTAATAATTTTACCCTCCTGATGTTAAACAAGAGACAGTAAGCTTTACTTTTTTGTGTGTGGGTTGACGAAACCCTCAAAGTATTATATCTTAAGTATGTCTTACTAATTTGAGTGAAAGTATAATTCACACGTGGTCAGTTAGCCTGAAACCAGACTGCCTCTCATCACATGATTTGGTTGAAGAAGAAGAAGCTGCAGCATCCGTGGGAGAGGGAGGGGGTTTCATGGGGGATGGGAGTCAGGGGTCTTCGGTATTTCCCCTCGCCGTCCAATCGCCGTCGGCCCCGGTGGTTTTGTGTATTTTCCAATCTCAACACCAACGATCTCATGGGTGGGGCCTCGACCGGCGGGGGAAGGAAGCGAGACGAGCAAGGGCGGGGGCTTAAATACATCCTGTTTCTCACAGTAGACAGAGTTTGTATAGTTGAAACGTGGCCGGCTGACAAAGTTAGAAGCAGAGAGTTAGCGGCATTTTATCAGTTTCTTTGCTGTTTTCAAGGCGTTTCCGAGACTTCCCGTCGACAGTGAGTTTGATTAGCCTACAAGGTTAGCCGTTAATCCCGTTAGAACATCGCACACCGCTGTTTTTGCAGGAATTCAACAAAAACCGACTTAATTTGAGCACGTTTGATCTCATTGGCTATAGTTTTGATTTTTTTTAGACCCGAGTGTTGCGGTTAAAACCGATAGTCAGCATGTCAAACGCAGCGAGCAGCTCGGAGAAAACCCCCTCCTTCGAGATGACCTGGGGCAGCTCCACCAGCAGCGGCTACTGCAGCGACGAGGACTCCGACTCCGAGTTCGAGCAGTACTTCACCGCCCGGACCTCCTTCTTTCCCAAAACACGGAAAGATAACGTTAATGTGAACGTGAAGAAGGTGAGACAGAGAAATGGAGGAAAAATATGTTTGAAAAATCTCTGTAAAGTAACAAAAAACGGTTTCCTTAATGTAGTGGAAAAGGGGAAGTTGGGTCATAAGGAAGGGCGATGGTTGTTCCTCTTTATTTTTTATACACTACCTCATTTGTCATGTTTTTTATGTTTGTATGTATTTTTCTTTTTTGTTTTTGAACACTCTTAGGGAACAATATGCTGCACCCAAACTTAACTTGCAGGCAAACAGTAGACCTCTGGTTCATCCAGTTTTCAACATATTAATGCAAATGTCAACTGGTTTCAATGCAGGTTTCAACATAACACAGCTCGCCTGGGAACAATTAAACCCAAATTGCCTTTTCCAATTGAACAAGCTCAGACCCACAGCTGAACTCTTGCTGAGAACAACTAGAAAGTCATGATTTGTGACGCACTAACCCGCCTCTCAAGTTTCCTGCCTTTACACCCACTTTGTTTCCCAATGTCTCAATCACGGTTGAGTCATGAATTGTTTTGGATTTGCTCATTTTCTGACCCTTTTGTCAGCCCACGCCTACTCAAAGATCATCTTTCGTTAGTGAGAAACAGATGGAGTTACTAGAAACTCGGTGACACTAACCTTTTTTGTGCACAAGCCTTTATTCCTGCAGCACAGTATTTTCTGCTGTGACACTCCTTATGTGGGCATGTAGAGACAGTTACTGCAGGTTTGTCCTACTGTCTTTTATTGAAAAGCTCAGCATTACCCTTGTATTGATTTATTGATCCTTCAAAGGCAGTTTATTAACTTTACAGTCTTCAATTTGCCTAAGGATATCCACTATTGATTTTGTTCTGCCTAACCATGCTTTCACCTATCCCTCTTAGTGCTAACAACTCAACCAGGGTTGTTTTCATTAGAAAACACAACAGCATGAAATAGATTGTAGTAGGTCACAGGAACTTGAAACACAAAACCGGTTAGTGTATCAAACATAAATCTGCACACGTGCAAGTAAGAGCAGCATTTGCAAGACGTAATTGAGATTGACATCCTTTCTACAATCCTCCCTGATCCTACTACAAGGAGTACGTTGTGGTTCAGTGGGGGAAATAAAGTTGTGTCCCTGCAGAGTTCTGTTCAGTTTTCTCTATGTGCAGGAAATACCAACTGCTCAGCAAACCCAGGAAGGACCCTAATTGAGCTAACGGTCCTACATATGCTTCAAAGGCCAAATGTGCATGACTGAAACATGACTGGGAGCTAGTGGTTGATGAGGCAGCTGACTTCACAGGATGTGTCTGTAAAACAAGGGGGGACATTGTCTCTCCCACTCATGAGAGCCTGAGGGGGGAGGCTATTTTTATATGAACACCAAGCTAAGGAATGCAATGCAGAACCGTTGGTCGTAGTCACTGCCAACAGCTGCACAGTTGCACATGCACACTCGCTCTCTCTCTCTCCTCCCTGTCCTAACCCCTCCCTCTTCATGGAGGATCAGGGCCGACAAACAGGATTGGGCAGAGCTGACATCATCGTTTTTGCATTTGCTCTGTTGGCCGGAAGTAGTGAGTCTGATGCAACTGGTGCTCCCTGCTAGAAACAAAGTAGCTTAACACAAAGTGGATTTATCAATCTGTTTACTCCACGATTTTACTTAGTCATTTAAACAGCAAACAGAATATATATATATATATAAAAGGAAATATAGCTTGGATTGCATAGCTTTTGCTTTAACATTAAAAACTTTTCAACTAGTTCTAGGTTAGTTTTCATATTTATTTAATCAGTAATAACTCCCCATACAATTTCCCCCAAATACCTTGTTTCATACTTGGGTAAAATACACTCAAGAGGACTAAAATCTTTTAACACCTTAATTATTATTCATGTTCAGTAAATAACCTTTTGAGTATTAATTTTGTCTGTAAATGACTTGACTTTTTCAGTGTCCCGACCTAATGTGTATCCAGTATCCATTCATGTAATGGTGTATTGTTGGTGTTTGAAATTGAGTTTTTCTTGCCAGTGTTGTGGTTTTGAGGTGAGCACTGACATCTGCTGGTCTAATTCTGTAACTCTTCACTTTCTCTTCCAGGACGAACATGTTGAATGGGGAAAGCAGGAGTTGACAACTGCAGACATTCAGCAGAAAGTGAAGGAATACAACGCCCAAATCAACAGTAATTTGTTCATGAACATGGTGAGTGGTGCCGACTTACAACAGATCCAGCATTTTACCGTAAGATGTTTATTCTTTTAGCTGAACGTTGCTATTTCTCTGCAGAACAAGGATGGCTCCTACACTGGCTTCGTCAAAGTGCAGTTCAAGCTGGCGCGGCCTGTGTCAGTGCCTCCCCCGAAGAAAGGAAGTCAGGAAGCTGGAGGGAGGAGGGCCAGCGGAGTGAAGCGCCGCACCTCCTTCTATCTGCCGAAGGACGCGTCCAAGCACCTGCACATAAGCTCACGCACTTCCGCTCGCGAGGTCATTGAGGCCTTGTTGAAAAAGTTTACTGTGGTGGACAATCCTGGCAAGTTTGCTCTGTTTGAGCGGAGTGAGCGTCATGACCAAGGTATAACCGCATTTTCCTGATTTTAAATGTTCTTTTTTACTTCACCTTGTTGTAGTTCACAGGTACTATAAATACTGTAATAAAAATCGGTCTTTTTTCTGTCTCATTCAGTCTATGTACGCAAGCTGTCTGATGATGAGCGGCCTCTCCGTCTGCGTCTGTCTGCTGGACCAAGTGAGAAAGTCCTCAGTTTTGTATTGAAGGAAAATGAAACTGGAGAAGTCAACGTGAGTGCGGAATAAATACTGAAAATAGCACAAAATTGTGATACCATGAATTCACTAATCCACCTCTCTCTTCTTACAGTGGCATGCCTTCTCTATGCCCGAGTTAAAGAACTTCCTGCGCATCCTGCAGCGTGAAGAAGAGGAGCACGTGAAGCAGATTGTGCAGCGGTACGCTCTGGCCCGCACCAAGATGAAGGAAGCTCTCGCTGGCTCTACCCCTGGTTGAGATGATTCTGCAGTGGGGATTTAAACATGCACCTATTGGCTGGACAATCACCTAGAGATGACCGGTCATCGCTGCATCCAAAGATCCCGAGATACACAACTCAAAAAAAACCACCTCTTGGGTGAACGAGAGAGTGAGACAGGGCGCAAGACAATGAGAGAGAGCTAGCGCGAATGTGCGTGTGAGATGATGCGAAAGATGAGACGTGCCTTACACCTGGAGAGTCTGATGTGCCTGAGAGAATGAGTTGAGAGAAGTGATGCCTGGCAGATGAGGCTGTGGTTGTATCCAGTGATGTTCTTTTCTTACTGGGTAACATTTGATTATCCGATTTACCTCAGCTGTGTCATTTAGACTATCAGGGAAATGTCGATGATGGTTGTAGCATTCAAGATGTTAAATATTGCAGTCAATCAAACCCCATCCTATAATAAGCATTTATTCATATGAAAGTAAAATAAATCTCCCCTTTTGTTGCATAGGTATAAATCTGTGAAGTTTTAGATTAACTTTAGTCGGTCCTTGAACCATCCACCATAATAACCTCACATTGACATTTGTCCTGTAACAAAGTTAAATACACTGAAAGAAGGTATCTGGATTTTCATTTGACCCCGCCTCGATAATCTGCCACATCTTCTCATCACCCCTGATGGGTGCAACTCTTTTTTTTATTTTACTGTCAATTTGTGAGCTTGACTGATGTATGGACATTTGTATGAGATTATGAATGTCAGAGAGCTGTGTTGAAGTCACTCTGGTTGACTGGAATTTTGAATGAACACAAGTATACATGTCTTTCACTTTAAAACTGTCATTCCTTTTAAATCTGTTTTATCCTATCCTTTAAAGAAAATCTCCAACTTCTGTTTTTCAGTTCACTTTGAATGTTTGCGTCTATGCACAGTGAAATGTTGTAGCACACTTTAAAATGTTGTGACGAATGTGCACTGCGTTCAGTAAAGTCTTTACCTTTTCTACATAGTTTTTGTATTATTTTATATAATAGGGGAGAGTGGGGTAAGATGAGCCATTTTTCATATTTCGGATCGCTACACCAAGGCGATCATAGTTTAGTTTCTAACTAGTGTATCTGCAAACCAACAGAATGAGTGTAAACATAGCTGTCTTGATAATATAACATGCCAAAAAAAAGTGGTCTCCTATGGTCAACTTACCCCGTGTATGGTGTAAGTTGACCATAGGAGCGGGATAAAGGTAAGGAAATTACGAAATATTCTCAGGTGAATTTTGACGGGCCTGACTATACACATCAAGCCCGATGCGATTATGCGACCTTCCAGGGTGGGGGAAGACGCATCCCGGGGAAAGTCCCACCTCCTTCGTCTCTGATTGGCTAAAAAATCTGTAACGTCATCATACACTCAAGCCAAACGGTCAGCACTTATAGCCAATCAGAGGCGATAAGATAAGCGCATGAAACTATGGTAACAACCATTAGCTTACATTAGCACAGATGAAAGTTAAAACAAAGACATTTAGCAAACTGTTAAAGCACATAAACCATTGTCATATGAGAGATCCGTCAGCCATGTTGTATCTACCCATAAATCAGACATCGCAACAACATGCTATCTGATTGGTTAGAAGTGGACAAACAGTTTGCGAAACTTCAGAAAAATCGACCATGATCCGAAAAAATTAATGCCGCTGATGTGAACGCTTGTATTGACAGGATATAGGTTTGAAAAAAAATATTGACGTCCAAAAATAATCGCACGACAAAAACAGTCCCGGTGTGAAAGGACCTTAAGTTAAGCCGTATCACTACTATTATGGCTTTATTAGTCCTCCAAGCTAAGATGGTGGACTTTTATGTTAGGTTTTTGACCTCATGTGGCTCATAGATACCACAATTGAAGTATAAAACAAATTTTAAATGATCTTTTGTGGTCAGAAACCAATATAAAAAAGACTTATGAAAGACTTCACCCATGTGCTTCTAACCTTCACAGACTCCATGAATTGATGCCCATCTCCTAAATATTTGGTCACATGATCAATTTCTTTTACCATTTCCAAGCAACAGGGGGTGGCTCAACCTACCCCTTGGCTCAACTTACCCCACTCTCCCCTACACATAATACATTATTGATATCATAAAGGGCGTTAAACGTTGGCCCTGTCTGACATCCCTTTATATTGAACAAATGCACCTCTCCTCTGATTGAAATTGCAGAGATACAGTTGGAGTTGAACAGGTATACAGATCAGCATGTAGGGTCTTTACTACTTTGTTTTGCTTTAACTGAGTCGGTGCCGCTTCAGTCAGATCAGCTGATCACGTCGTACGGACCAAAACAAGCTAAGGCTAGCTTCATGTAGCCGTTGGCTAACGTTATGATAGGACATGGCCGTTTGATCGATCGTGATGAGGTAGGATTGTAGCCTAAACCATTTCGACGAGTATTGTTTGACGCTATGCGAAGCTAAATTAATCTTATTTATTTGGAGGTCCAGCTGTGCATCGGTTCGCTATAGCTGCTCACCGTTTAGCTTCGTAGCTAACCTGCGTCAGCAGCTAACAGGCTAACAGTTTACCAGTTCAGACTGACAGGTCCCGTTAGCGAGTCATTATCAGTAATGTTAGCCTTTATGGTTAAAGTGTGTTTGGTGAAACTGAAGGTGTGTGCTAATTCTATGAATACGAGTGTGTTTTTAGGCCAGCAATGTAAATTCTGTTTTAAACGAGCACACTTGCCTCTCTGTTGGGTAACCTTAAATGTATGGCCCTATGTTAGCTCCTTGCAAAATTAGCATAACATTATGTCACAATTTAAATAACATTTGACAATCTTCAGTCGTTTAAATCGAGTGTTTCTTCCGGCTCCTGTATTTAATGGAAGCTTTAAAGTAGTTTGCGGTCAGTATTTTTGCTTCGGAGTCTGGAGACCTGCTTTTTACAAATTTAAAGACTGACATTCATCATTGACAGTAACTGTAGATGTGTACCCATAGACTGTATACAGAAGTATAGTATACACAGTCTATGTGTGTACCACAGCACAATAGGGTCAGAAATAGCATAACATAGTCCATGTGATTGACAAGACTTTAGCCGTTTTAAAATTTACTAGGTCATTAAATTTTCTTCTAAAATCAAAATAGTTAAAATTTAATGACAGACAATTTTAAAACAGCTGAAGTGCCGTACAAAGCAACACCAAGTAAGATACCTGGTAACCTATAGAAGATGTTCACAACCAGAGAGGGGGACTATAATCTAAGGGGTGAAAATAAATCCATTTGTCTGATTGTTCATACAACTCTGAAAAGTATGTGCGTTTCTGATTGTGGTGTTAAACAGCCTGGAGTTCACTTTAAAAATGTCCAATAACATAAAAATATTTAAATCAAACTATAGAGAAGTATTTAAAAATACATATAAGTAAACTAACAAAAATGTGGTTTTATACTAGATATACTTGATTGCATAGAAGTAAAATTAATTCAGAATATTAAAACACTGATTATTATTATTATTATATGAAAATAATTATAATAAGTAACCTATGTAGTGTTGAGCAGATATCTGTCTGTGCAATAAAATCTCTAATTTGCAAGGAAGGGTCAGGACTAGATAAGCTCTTTGCTTCATTCTGTTCCTTCTCAAACTGTTTATTTTGACATACATATGTTGTGTTAATTTATCTTTGACATAGTTGTTTGGTGTACATGTGTATTATTTTGCTCAGTTTTTTTGTTTATAGTTGTTGTTTTTTTTGTTTTTGTTCTTAAAAGTTTGAGATAAGACAGAAAGAACTGTTCCCAGATGAACAAATAGTGCTACAGAGTAAGGGGAAAAACTCACACAGAATAAGTATCTTAATTGTCTTCTTATCTACTTTTTCAGACCCTGGCTTTAGAGAGGAATTGAGAGATCAAGCCAGCAACCAAATTAACAGTTTCAAGAGGAAACTAACTATGCCTTATCTCTGAGGATGGGAGGAAGTGGATCCAAAGCCAAAGGGGTCTGGCCTTTCTCAGGCAGTGGAGCAGGAGGGGACTCACCTAGTGATGGAAACGAGCAGTCTGTAGCCCGCCTCAAAGGTTCCAGAAGTGCAACCCCCTTTGTTTTTACAAGACGGAGGTAAATAATACATTAATGACTGAAAAAAACAACCCAATTTGTCTCTACTAGAAAGCTGAATGAAGAAACATAACACTGTAGGAAGAAAGAGATATGAAAAAGTTATATCAGCAAATGTGCAAGGCCGGATGTAGGTCAGGACCCAGGTTAATGCACTAAACAAAACAGCTTCCTTTTCCCTAAGCCACCAGAGTGACCCTATCAAAATATGGCTTGTTATTTTTTAACAGATATGTGTGCTGCAAGGGAGTTTAGTGGTAATTGACAACAGGATTTGCAATGACTTCTTTTATCTAAAACCAAGTCAAAACAAAAATTGTACGCAGTGACATTTTTTAATGAACATGGGTGTAGATGAAGATCAAGTGGTCATGGTTAAAGAACAACCACCTTAGTTTTAAGATGTAATGACTAGCTTGCAACAAAATAAAACTGTCTTGCCCTCTTTCCATCTTCCTCAATGCCTGTTCCTTATTTGCATTATTCTTGAGTGCTTTCTGGCAGGTATCCCAGTGAGGGGTGGGTAAGATCTCCCTTACTAGCTCTCAGTAAGGATGAAATTGCAAAAGAAAATCCCAAAAGGAGAGATTCACTTACTTATAGGCTGGAAAAAGTAAATATCTGGAAGGAATTGACTTGATTACAAGAGAATGAATAGCAATCTGAAGCTACGTGGTATGAAATACGCAGCTTCTACCAACAACAAGATATGTCTAAATTACTAAATATAGAATTAGCTTTGATCTGGTGCAGATGACACTTCCTGACATGCAGCTTAAGAGTGTTGTTTGCTGTATTTTCAGCTCCTTGTACTACGACGAGGATGGCGACCTTGCCCACGAATTCTATGAGGAGACAGTGGTGACGAAAAATGGCAGAAAAAAGTCCAAGTTGAAGAGAATCCAGAAAAATCTGATCCCACAGGTGAGCTACTTTTACATTACTGACCTGATGAAAGGATGTTAAAAATGTTATTTAAATTAAATATCTTTGTTGTTGTTTTTCAGGGCATTGTGAAGTTGGACCACCCCTGTATTCATGTAGATTTCCCCATTGTGCTCTGTGAGGTGTGAAAAAGCTGCTCAGGGCGGATTGATAACCATGAAGTGCAGCCACAGGTACTCATCTCAGAGCAAAGTCTTGTCCCGGTCCACAAGCATTGCAGTCAAGACTGGAGCCATGGCGTTTAGAGAAGATGGAAACTGTGGTCAAAGGGTGCCCTGTTCATGAAAACCCTTACCGATAATCCAGCTGATATGTACGCAGTCATAGAGGATGCATCATAAAGCTGTATTTCTCTCGTAGGTCTTTTGCAGGGAAGAACATTCTTGATGTGAAAAGGCTTTAACAGTTATTGCCTTCTGAAGGACGTAGAGTGAAACTGTATGTGTCTTTGTATGTGTACATGTGTGCACTTAGGTTTGTTTGGATGAGAGTGTGAGAGGGATTGGAGATGTATTGACAGGGTAGGAAACTGAAGAGTTGTGGGATTTATTGTAAATACAGTATGGCCATGTTCTGTATCGTCACGTCTGAGTCTGTCTCAGCTATCAAAGCTCAGACCTGCACTAGTGAACATAATGTACTGTAAATATCATCAGATTTCTTAGTTGGAAATACTTGAATAAATGGTTTACTGAGCTGAACACCTTGAGTCATGACACTGTCTGTTATGCTGCTTATTCATTTGCATTACTACTGAGCTATATCTGGGCTTTATTCATTAACTAATAACATCAACATTTTGTTCACATAAAAGCTTTAGCTGGTATACAAACTGATGAAAAAGACGTTTTTTGAAAACTGATTTAACAGCCTGGCGTATTTGCACTTACTCCACAGGTTTAAATCTGTCTTAAAATTTTGCAGGGCCAAGCTAACTTTATTTGTAATAGCTTTGTTTTTGTGAATTTACATCAAATATTTCATCAATGAGTCGTTAAATACTTTTTTTGGGATAACCTATTCCTTGATTGATTCCCAGCTCGGCAAAAAGAGTTGATTTTGTAACGAAACCTGGTTCTTTATAGTTAGCTAAAATTTCAGTTTACTGTGAGTGAATCAAGACAGTATTTAATTAAATTATCACTTTAATGGCAGCGACAAGCACACCTTTTTTTAAAGCTTTTCTTCATCGCATTCCTGAATTTGAGGCTGCATTACCAAGTTAAAATGTTGCTGATGATGACTCAATTTTATTTTCGCTGGTTTATTCCCTCAATATTCAATTTTTTTTTACATAGGCATTTTTTTGGAATCCAATTTATTTGCAGCTTCACATTGACAGGTAAGTCACCTCTAGATGGCAGCAGAAATCTCTACCTGGCCTTTATCTGGTTCATTTATTTCTTTGTACCAACTTGTTCATCCGTCTTAAAGCTTCTGCAGAAATCCGTGAAAAATGTCTCTGATTTTTTGTTGAGAATTTTGCTTTTGTCACGGCTCACATCTCACCTCCATCTTTCAACCTTTTCTTAGCTGCCACTTGCTCTGCTGTCTTGAGCCAGTTTGAGCCTGTGTCCCTAAAATTGTGACACTAAGAGGCCTGCAGGATGTCCTGCAGACACTGTCAGATTTTAAGAGATATTTGCGAGACAGTTTTACCGAATGTCCTGGAAATTATAAACAGCTGTTTCCTCATCAGGTGTTGTTCCAGCCTATGTTAAACAAGCAGTCATTGCGCCTCTGCCTAAGAAAACTAATTTGAATTCTCCAGTTTTAGATCTATCTGGAAGTTTCCTTTTATTTAAAAACTTCCTCATTCAACGTTCTTCTTGACAGTGTTTTACTTTTTTGACTAATGACTGTGGGGGTTCTGCCGTTTTAATGCTTTAAGATCCAACTTCTGCCTCTGTTACAATTGATCACCCAACTCTCACTTCTCATATTGAACATTATGTGGGTATTAAGGACACAGCATCATCGCGTTTTCAGTCTTATCTGTCAGAGAGAAGTATTGTTGTCCAACTCTTTATTGTCTTCTGCTCTCCCAGCTGTGTGGCATACCCCAAGGTTTGATTCTTGGGTCCGTACTGTTTGCACTCACCCTCTTTCCCCTGGGTTTGACTTTTAAAATACATGGAGTCTCTTTCTATCTTAATACAGACGACACACTAATCTATCTGCTTCTAAAAAGAAGTGACAAAAGCCTCCTGAAACCCTTTGTTGGACTGTCTTGAGGTCATGAAAGCCTGGATGTCCGTAAGTTTGAAAACAAGACCGAGAACACTGTGTTTGGACCTAGTGTTCCCTGTGAAGCCCATGGTTTGTAACATTGGTTTTAAAAAGGACAGAGATTATGAAATGGATCAATGAACTCAGTTGTTCAATCTTGTTTGTCCATCCGAGGCTTTTATCCAAGATTACATGTTTCTGTCTTTTTTTTTATTTTAATCTTTTGATGATTCTAAACGAGTACTTCATGCTTTTATTTCCACTTGCTTACGTTGGTGTCTGCCAGACCTCACTGTAACACACTGTAACTCATCTACAGTGAGTCCAAAAATGTTGCTGCTCGTTTTTTTAACTGTTATTAGAAATCGAGGGCACATGACTCCCATCCTCGCCTTCATCCACTGGCTCCCTGTCCATTTAAGGATTCATTTGAAGGTCTCGTTATTCATTTTTAAATCTTTAACTGGATTAGCTCCACGGTACGTCTCGGACCTCCAGAGTGTTTAGACTTCCTTGAGGTATTTGAGGTCTGCTGATCTTGGGTGAAAACTTATTTTATTCCCTGGCTTTTAACCGTGCATGTTGACTTTGTTTTATTCTTTTACTTTCTTTGTATGTGATTTACAGGCCTGTAGTTTTTCATCTCACTGTGCAGTCCTTTGTGGAGATCATGTGTCTTTTTTTGCTTAATATGCTTACCATCTTAACTCCAAATATAATCCTGTGTTGTGGACCTTCCAGAGATAAAACTAAGGCTATAATTAAATGCTGTTTGAGGTAAAGTGAGATTGTGACCATCTGCGGCCTGTGCTACCAGCTGGCATATGACCAAACTGTAATGACAATGTAAACATATTTTTTGCGCTCCCCACAATAAATGGGCTGGGCCTGCTTTGCTGGCTCTCTCTGGTGTCTGTAATTGTGTGGAATGTGGTTGGGAGTGTTTTTGGGCCAGAGGTCAGTCACTTTGATGTGCTTCCTCTCCACTGCTCTTTGATGTTGTACTAACGGTCCAGCCGGCATTATGGGGATCTACCCTCCGCCGCACCGCTATAAAAATTTGTGAACTTAATGGGTATGACACTGTGTAGCACCGTTTTTGATCTGTACAATACGTTCTGTGGTGTATGTATGCAGTGTGTTTGAAGGGAGAAATGTGGCTGCAGCTAAGGAAGTCATCATGAGTTGTCTAGAGCCTAGAAAAAGAGCTAAAACGTGGTTTGAATTACAAAAAACAAATGATAACACTGTTTTTTCAGATCCCATTAACATACTTAAGATGTGAAATTTAGCAGCAGTGTTTAATGTAGCCTTGTGAATCTATCAATGTATCTATGCATGGTTGGATTTTGATATTTCTTCTAATTGATACGTAGGGTGATTATGGACAGCACAGCCAACCCTTACAACAACAGAAAAGTAATAATGCCCAGTGGAAATTGATCATCAAGAGTTTTTAGTCATGTTGGAAATCATGTGCAAAGGGTTTATGTGCAAACTAACAGTGAAATGGGTATACTGGTACAGAATTTAGACCCTAATTCCCAATGTTCACACAGTTTCTTTTATGCCAGGCCAGCTGGGAAAATCAAGTTCAGATTTTTTAAGAAAAAAATAAAAATAAATAATAATAATAATAATAATAATAATAATAATAATAATAATAATAATAATAATAATAATAAACTCAAATAAATAATAAAAAATAATAATAAAAATATAAAATAATAAACTGAGACAATCCAGAAACAGAAAGTAAAATAAGGTATAACAACACATCTGACACGATCTGATGGCCACTTTTAATAAAAAATAATAATATAAGCAGAGGCTCATCCAAATTTTTTGACTAGGGTGGCCCAGCTGGGGCACCAACTCATACAGGAGTGGCTAAGAGTATGTTACATATACACACGCATACATGAGTACAGCATAAAAGCCTCATACAGATATTATACACCTGTGTATTATTCCTTTATTTTACTAAAAAAAAAAAAAAAAAAGCAAATTGGGAACACATTCATCTTTCCAGGTGATTTAATTACATTCTCTGATAGAAAATGTCCAAAGTCACAATGTAATGCCCTAATAATGAAAAGCTCGTGATCTTTACAATGAATTGTATCCCCAGTTTTGTGTGATTTCAACAGAATCATTTTTCTGTGCCAGACTTCTACAAAAGTGTTTATTTTGGCTTTTTTTTAAAATGTGTCTGTTTGGGCCTTTTGAAGCCAGCCTCTACTGGGCACTCCAGGAACTACAGTTTCTAACTACCGCATTGGCATCACTTCTCAAGAACTGAGGTTACTGCTTGGTTTAAACACAAATGTTCCAGTTGAATTCCCTTAATCCTAGTTTACTGATTCACACAATTACGTAAATGTGTAGAAAAAAACATGTTGTGTTGGGGATGCAATGGGAAGGTTGCAGGGTGTGTCTCCAGTTTCCTTGCCATTGTTTTCGCTTCCTGAAGGTCCCTGATTTCTGCTGATGAAACATTCACGACACATAGGTCAAAGGGAAGCTGGAGGGAAACCAGGCCGTCCCTCTTCCTCCCCTCCTCCCTCACACATTCACTTCAAATTTTCCTTGACTGTACGAACAGGCAGATCAGGTCAAGAGGAAAAAGAAAAAAGGAAAACTGGTGATATGGTGATGTGAGTCAGCAAAGCCTGGAAAACAAACAGCAGAAGAGACGCTGACACAGGAAATCATCTCACTTCCAGGCCCCATCCTAACCCCAATCATGTGCTCTGGCATCCTTCAGCTCACGCGTATTCACAAAGAAACCCTCAGATGACCACCTTTCTTCAAACTCACTCAACAACTGCTAAGAAGAAATACTTTCAGTGATGACACAGACACTTTGGCAGCTGTTCACACTCAGACTACTCGCCTTCAATTTACACAGACCTTTAAAGGATGAAAACAGGTTGTTAAGTTTGGTAAATTATGTGTCAGTGCATGGCCTCTACCCTTTCCCCCCATGGCCATTTACTCTGCGTGCCTAACCCTGGCTCTGCACCATCCTATCTGCTGCACTTGGCAACATGACGGCATGAGGTACTTGGTTACTTCCCCTGAGCCACTGCCAGAGGCTGTCATCACATGCCTGAGGCAGCAATGACATCTGCATGCCAGATGCCTTGTGCCTACTTTCTGGAGTGTGATCAGACCATTAGGGGGAAAAGCGTTAAAACCCTTCACTTGAGTACCAACACTGAAATGTGGAAGTACATCAAGTGTTCTTATCATATTTATCCTGCCAAATGACTGCTGCAACAATAGGTGCAAACAGTATTTGCAGGCATTAGTACAATGTAAGTGGGCCAAGAATTCAAGCGCATTCACTAAATGGCCATTTCCTATAATTGTGCGATCCTTTTGCGTTGCTTAATACTTCAAGGTCTAGATGCATGTCACACTTTTTTAAGATTTTGATTTTATGAAATAGATTTTCATAAGTTCATAGGTTTGGATACCCTGATACTTTTCCAGAGTGAGTAATAACAACAAACTCTGTACGAGTTACATAAAACACAATTTAGATGACTTAAAGGAATATTCTGGCGTGAAATTAAGTTAGGGTCAAACACATCTTAACACAGAGTTAGACACCCCCTCAAGATGAATGTTGCCGACCGCTTGCTTCTCTAGTTATACCAACTTTAGTAATGGCCGCAGATAGCAATACAGAGAGCCATGCGCTTAACCAAAAAGCCTCTCTATAGCCACAAATAATGCTCAGAACAGCACCTAACTTAATCAACAGTACATAGAGGGTCCCAGCCATAGTACTAGCCACCAAACATCTTTTTAGCTTTGCCTAATTTCTTTAACAAAGAGACCAAACACAGCTCACCCACTCTCTTCCAACAGCCACTTGTTTGTACAGAGACCTCAGGCCACAGTGGAGTTTCGCAGCTCAAGGAAGAACATTTATGATCATTACTTTATCATTTCCTTAAAGTGATTATCACCTTATTAATCATCGTGCTCTGCAGACGCGGTAGTTCTTCTGCCGTAGTATCTCGGTCTGATTGCATTTCCATGAAGTAATAATCATAAATGTTCTTCCTTGAGCTGCGAAACTCTGCTGCACTCTGTGATGGACTCGTCAGGGCTCCCCCACAAACAAGCGGCTGCTGGAGGAGAGTGGGTGAGTTGTGTTTAGTCTCTTTGCTAAAGAAATCAAGCAAAGCTAAAAAGATGTGTGATGGCTAATACTATGGCTGGGACCCTATATGTACTGTTGATGAAGTTCTGAGCATTTTTTGTGGCTATAGAGTGATGTTTTGGTTGAGCGCTTGGCTTTCTATATTGCTATCTATGGTCGTTACAAAAGTTGGTATAACTAGAGAAGCAATCGGTCAGCAACATTCATCTCTTGAAGGGGTGTCTAACTCGGTGTTACAGTGTGTTTGACCATAACTTAATTTTACGCCAGAATATCCCTTTAAAATGTATGATCATTTGGTTGAAGATTTATCATAGATGTCTTTTTAATTATTATTATTTGTTCATTCATATGAAACTGATCACATCACATCCATAGTCAGTTTGCTGACTAATCTGAGAGTTTATGTAATTTCCCTGAGAAATGTGTTTTCTGGCTCTCTCTCTGATTTGACAGTCTTTGAGTTTTTAATGTGTTAAATAAGTACTTCACGTGTTGTGCAGGTTTCAAAACCTGGGCTGCTATTTTAAACCTGAACATTTTTATTTAGGTGAGTGACATTAAAAAGCTAAATCTGATGGAGAAGTAGCTGAAAGGTCACTGGAACACAGTGGTCATTTGTGGGCTTGATCTTATTTTTAGGGATGTGGTAAACTGGTCCACTCTGACCTTGCATGAATCTTGTCATTGCTGGTTACAGTATATCTGTTTCACAGCGGTGGCAAACTTTATGGAAGGAATCATTCTGTGCCGTACCGGGGGTCTGGAGTTATCTGTAAGAAAATACTCTTGAAAAAAATATTTTGTTCACCTAATTTGCTCCTAAAGTTGCGTGTGGGTCTTATGGAGAAAAAACACGTCGCTATAGGACACTGGATACGCTGACGAAGTTGTTAGGATGTCCGGTTTGTTTCGCCGCTCCCCCCTTTTTTCCGAGTGAAAATGGAACATCCTGAAAGTGGTTAGGCACTCGGAGCAGCCGAGCAGCAACTGACAACATCGCAGGGGGCAACTTCACTTCTTTCCATTTTACTCCAAAGTCCGAGAACGAAACAGCAGACCCTCTTCACAAGAGCTCATGCCTTTGTGAATTTACCCCTTCGTCTTTTTTCCCCTCTCTAAAGATATGTCTAATTTGATTTTTTCCTATTTGTTTTGAGGCAGTTCAGGAAAAAAAAAAAGTCGCTACTTGAAGCAGCAGGCTTCCAGTTTTTGGGAATGCTTCCTCAGTCTGCCTGTAAAGGTAAGTTTGTCACGCTGAATGGATGGGAATAAGCCTACATTTGCAGTTGAATTGACCTGTTGCTCATTTTCTGCTGAAAATCAATTGAAGCCGGTTCATGTGGACAAGTTTGTGAGAGAAAGAGTGATACCTTTAAAGTCTATTTTTGCAAATTATGTTTCAGTCGAGGCTGTGCTGGTAACAATAATTACTTGTCCTTAATATGTCTTATGTTAAAAGTTACTATTTATACCCCAAAATAATTATAGACCTACATTTGGAGTTTTTACATAACAGAAAAAAACTAAAAGTCACTTTTATTCCAGTGAATTATGAAGCAACTGAGTGTTAATGTGAAGACATCATCTTCTTCCTGTGGACAATTGATCTAAGATCCCTTTTTATTTGTGACTGCAGCGTTGGTTATTCAAATCCTATTACACTCATAATTAAAAGAATGACTTAACTAACATTGGCTGTACAGAGATTTTTGAGTAATTAACAGAGATCATAATGTACTTGATATGCAGCAGGATAAAACAGAGACAGCAACACTAAAGTTCAGTTCCTCTTTGACTTCCAGAGCAGAGTGTGACAGTCCTGTCTGTCGATCCACATCTGAAGACATGTTGTTCTGGTCCCTGCCTGACTGGAGAGTACTGCTGCTGATTGCTCTGCTGTGGGACCGCCTCTGTGCTTCAGAACTCAAACCCACGAGATGGCCACTGTATTCACAAAAGCCTCTGGTCCTGGCTTGGAATGCCCCAACTGAGGACTGTGGCCCGCGGCACCGCGTTCGCTTTCAGCTGGACCTCTTCCAGATTGTGGCCTCACCCAATGAGGGCTTTGTTAGGCAGAATCTCACCATCTTCTACAAGGACCGCTTGGGCCTGTACCCTTATTTTGAGCCGGATGAAACGCCGGTGAACGGGGGGCTGCCTCAGGTAGCCAGTCTGACAGAGCACCTTGAGAAGATGCCGGATGGGGTAAAGAAGTACATACGAGAAGCAGACGCCAAAGGTCTGGCAATTATTGACTGGGAGGAGTGGCGCCCACTCTGGATAAGGAACTGGGAAAGCAAAGATGTTTATCGCAGACATTCTCGTGAGTTGGTGCGTCAGAAGAACCGAACATGGCCTCCAGACCAGGTGGCAAGAATGGCCCAGTATGAGTTTGAGATGTCTGCCATGAATTTCATGCTGGAGACGCTGAAGCGCGCCAAGAGCCTGAGACCCAACCAGCTGTGGGGTTTTTACCTGTTCCCCGACTGCTACAACCATGACTACAGGCGCACCCTGGAGAGCTACACTGGCCGCTGTCCAGATGTGGAAGTGGCTCGCAATGAGAAGCTGAAGTGGTTGTGGGCTGAGAGCACAGCCCTCTTCCCTTCCATCTACATGAGCACCGTGCTGCGCTCCTCCACCTCCGGTCGCCAGTTTGTCCGGAACCGAGTAAAGGAGGGGATGCGTTTGGCATCATCGGTCGACGGTCTGGCACGCCCGGTCTTTGTGTACACCCGCCCCACCTACGCCAACTCCCTGGAACAGCTGACTGAGGTGACACTCTAACTTTAGTAACACTGCCTGTCTGAAAGCTGATATATCTCCCTTTTTTTGCCATTCAGACTCAGTTTAACTCTTCTACAGTATCAGGCAACACTTTGAAAGCAGAGGTTGTTGCTTTTTTGTTCCAAGATTAACTCTCAGTCACTGTATCTCTTACATTCAGCACTTTGTCTCTGATCAGCACACGCTGAAAGGAGCGATCGCTCTCAGCTTTCCCTTATCGCAGCCACATTCCTTTCCTGTTCTGGTACCACACTGACTCCCCCGTACACCTCTCATTTGTGCAGGGTGGGCAGGATGGGTGTTGGTGAAGTTGAAAATCTCACTTACAGCGTATAGACCATTTCCTTCCCCGAGTATAAACAGACAAGAGCTGCTGCTAGACTTCAGTTACAGTAGCCTAACATTTGCTCCTCGTTCAGTGATCTTTAACAGTTTATTTTTCCTGGGCTTGACCTGTTGTCTTAAAAATACACAAGGTTAAATGTGATATGGCTAAAGGGCTGTTTCATCTCTTTTACAGACTGACCTCATCTCCACTATCGGGGAGAGCGTGGCTTTGGGAGCAGCTGGGATCATCCTGTGGGGAGATGCGGTGTATGCAAGCAGCAATGTGAGAATCCTCTCACGCTAATCATTAAATCACTTCGACACACCTTCGAAATCTGACATGATCGCGTGGTCAGTTTGGACCTGCTGCTCTTGTCAGTCATGTGTGCAGTCATTTGATCTCTAAAGTCCCTCCTCGGGGCTGTTTGTGGCTCTTTTGATCATCTTCAGAAAACACACACAGTGTTTGTTTGGTGAGCTTTATTTTTAGCCACAATAAAGCCGTGAAGTTCTCGGATAACATCACCTAGCTTCTTAAATCGTATGATGACTCAGTTTCCGCCAAGTGATTTTTTAAAAAGTGTTGGGGGTGTGTCCATAAAATGCCTTTTTGCACCGGCCTCCCCCACAACCTCAATTTACACCAGCCCTTAATGTTGCTAGGTTACAAAAAGCTGTAAGCACTTCCACTCCTCTTGGTTGTGACTGTTACATGCTTCATATCAGCTGTCATTTTACAGAGTAAGCATAAAAGCAGAGTATAGAAGTTGTGTTGCAGCATAAGCAGCAGCTCTGGATCTAAATGGTGTGATTAGTTCTTTACTCCACTGACCTCGATAAGTTAATATCATATTTCCCGCCTTGTCTTCTGTTAATCAGAAGTGACGTTGACGAGCATGTGTCCCAAAACCTGTGAGCGCTGTAAGCAAACATATAAAACAAAAACAGAGTGTTTCTGCACTGAGGACCCAGACCTGAAAACACTGAACTCTATTGGTTTTCAACAGGAAACAGACATTCAACAGGCACAAAAGATTAGCATCGATAGACTCAGCCCTTCAATGTTGACGTCATTCAAATTCAAGGAAAGTGGGGAAGACCATACTTTGGTTAATTTGCATTTCCCCTGTCATCAGTAAATGACCAACCACACATTTGCATTTGTAAAGGTGTAAACTCTTTGTGCTGCAACAGTGTTCACAAACACTTGCCACTGTCTGCAGCTGCATTTCAACTTAGTCATTTTAACATTACAATGAGTCCTTATCTTTCTACACAAATTTATTGATCCTTTATCCTGTGATTTTAGTGTTTATCTTATCTGTAAGTACATTTAAAACAATAAATGTCATCCTAAGATTGAAATTTATGACCAAATCTTTTCAAAGGAGGAAGGAATGAGAGGAATTGGCAACATCAGGGAGTCAGACTCGAGATTTTAACACTTCCCCGCTTATCCGTCCTGTCAGAGAAGTGATGGCTCTCCAAGAGAGCGAGCTCCTGTGATGCATAATAACCACAATCCTTTATTTGTTAAGATTTACAATCAAACCGCTCAATTCATGCTGTGCCACTTATTAGACAACAAAAAAGCATATCTAACTAGCCTGTACGCTCTATTCAACTGCAGAAAATGTGGTGGTGTAAGATAGCGGCCTTTGTAAAGGGAACCCACATTGATGTAAATGTAAAAGGCTCATTCAAAGTTTACAAAAACAAAACTTTGCTTATCTTCAGGTGATTACACAAAATTAAACATACTTACCTTAGCGCTGGGACAATATGCTTTTCTCCCGATTCGATTCTTCTTCTTTTTAGTCTGCATTTTTCACACCAGTGAAACAGCTGAATGATTATGGAACCACATTTCCCCCCAAAATATGCATCACATGTAAGTCAGTTTTTAGGATTTAAGGTCCTTTCACACCAGGACCGTTTTTGTCGTGCGATTATTTCGGATGTCAAATTTTTTTTTCGAACCCGTATCCTGTCAATATAAGTGTTTACATCAGCAACGTTTTCCCATCCTGCGATATTGCAGCAAATATTTTTTTGGCTCATGGTCGATTTTTCTAAAGTTTCGCATACTGTGTGTCCACTTCTGACCAATCAGATTGCGTGTTGTTGCGATGTCAGATTCACCGGTATATCCAACATGGCCGACCGGCTGATTGTTTATGTGTCGGAGAACAGAGTGCTTTTTGATAAAAGACACAAACATAACAAAGATAACGAACATGGCATTGGATCTCTCATTCGACGATGGTTTGTGTGCTTTAACAGTTTGCTAAACGTCTTTGTCTTAACTTTCATCTGTGCTAACGTAAGCTAACGGTTGTTACCATAGTTTCATGTGCTTATCTTATCGCCTCTGATTTGCTGTAAGTGCGGACCGTTTGGCTTGAGCGTGTGATGACGTTTCCAGCTTTTCTAGCCAATCAGAGGCGAAGGAGGCGGGACTTTTCCCAGCAAAAGTCTTCCCCGGGATGCGTCTTTTTCCCCCCAGAAAGTCGCGAAATTGCATCAGGCTTGATGTGTTTAGTGAGGCGCGTCAAAATTTGCCTCTGAATATTTAGTAATTTCTCGTTCTATATTTGCGTCGGCCCCGGTGTGTAAGGACCTTTATTCTTAAATCTGAAAAAAAAAAAAAAAAAAGTGAATCGATTTAAAAATTGTAAAACAAAAAAATCGCGATACTTCTGTGAATTGATTTTTTCTCCCACCCCTACCGACAACAGTTTATACAACTACAGTAGAGTACACCCTAAACCTGAAAATGCTCTTGTGATCTCACTGTGATCGTCTCTTTTTTAATTCTGTGTCTTAAGCGGATCTTGACCTTCAGGTGAGTGATGACTGTGTGATTTAATCCCCTCTATAGATCAGCTGCTCTGACCTGGACGTGTATCTGCGGGGTCCGCTGGGTAAATACCTCCTCAACGTCTCCACGGCAGCAGAGCTATGCAGTCAGACCTTGTGTGCTTCTCATGGCCGCTGTCTGCGCAAAAACCCAGACAGTGATGTTTACTTGCATCTGGACCCCCTCACCCACAGCATTAGCAGCCGGGACGGCCGGCACAAGGTCAGCGGTGCGCTCGGTGAGGCAGAGGAGAAGAGTTTCCGCACAGAGTTTCAGTGTCAGTGCTACAGCGGCTACGAGGGAGAGGGCTGCAATCAGATAGACCCTATGCACCAAAAAGGGGCTGCACCTCCAATCACCTCAACATCTCTGCAATGTGTGATCTTACTGATTATCTCCTTGCTCTTCTGTTGACCACCATAAATGCTGTAGCCATGGGGCTGCATTCTTACGTGTCTACATGTAGGAGTGCACCACCTGATAAGGCGGGAATTTGTTGTATTTTTCTTGTAATTGCTTTAAACTCATGACAAAGTGAAACTTTATAGGAAACACTGTGGAAATTACAAAGTTATGTTTGTTTATAACTTTTAAATCTCTTTTTAAACAATGGTGGACTCGCTGGAAATGACCTTGTTTACGTTCTGCTGCCAGTTTCCTCTCAGTCGCTGTTTCCCAAGGTGTCATATTCCATGATTCTCAGAGGGGGGAAAGGTTTATTTTAGTGGGAATAAGGTGATACATGAGTGGGTGTTTGTCAGCAGCTGCATGGTGAAAGAGGAAATGATGCACTTAAATCTGGTGATTGCACATTATATCTAAAGTGCCTGATCTTTTTCAAACATGACCTCTCTCCAACATCTGATGTTTTTACAGAGGCATTGACAGTGTTACTATTTATTTGAATGTATTTCTAGGTGTTTTATATGACATTTCCCTATTTTTATGTCAAAAAATGACTACTAGTTCTCTCTTAAGACACTGCGTTACTTAACATTTGCTAGACACACATTTTCTGTATATGAGGAGATATAGAAGCACAAACAATGTGCAATGTCCACACTTTCACTTACATGGAGGCCTCTCTTTCTAATGCTGTTTTCTGAAATGAAATAAAGTCAAATAAATAATCTTATTCATGAGGTTCTTTTTGTGTATTTGAATAAAACGTTTAAAAATGCCAAAATAAACTGACTCTTATGTTTACAGGTGAGGATTTGCTGTTTATAGTAGATAAAGTGAAGTTTCCACAGGAAAAACACGTCAACACTGGCCACTAAGGGGAGTTCAAACCAGTCAGTCCTCGGGGAAGGTTCACATTTGACAGACCTCATACCCCCTCCCCTCATAATTGTAGGGTACCGTTAAGCCAAACGTTATTTTTACCACTTTCAAGAGTTTAGCAAAGCGTACAATTAAATTTGGAGCAGGAAGAGCTCATTATGGCCGCCTTTACGGCCATTTAAGGCAAAGACTATAATTCCCTCTAGATCTTTTTAGTCAAACATTGAATCAACCTTGATTTTAATCCTATTTTTACTCTTTAATTGAGAAACCCTAACATTGTCACAGGCAGGCTATTGGGATGTGCCTGTACCTTTAAATCCTGCTTCCATGGAGGATCTGTTTGCGTCCTTTTGATTGGTTGTTTCTCTGCGCGTATCTGATTGGCTAACAGAAATCACAGTGCAGACACTTGTGTGTTTGTTCCTCCTTCCCCTTTTCCGTGCCTGTGTGATTAATGAAGATCATGAGACTGCGGCTGAGTGTCCGTGCTGTACACAAAGTCCAAACCACAGTCCTTTTTTCTAGCTGTTAAGATAAGATAGGTGAGTTACTCCTACAGACTTTCATTGACTGTGATGGTTTGATTTTTACTCTTCATTTCACCGCCGAAGTTCAGTGCCTTTTGCGGCAGAGCAGTTTGTTTACCTTGAAATTCAGCCAGGATGAAATGACGAAGAAAAGAACATGTTTGATGAAAAGCTGAATTTCTTGTTTAGATGTTCAGATGACAGTTTTCCTCAGTCGCTTTGGTGCATTTCTGAGATCAGAATGAAAGTTTCATAACTATTAGTTCAACCTCCACAACATTTAGTCATTTGTGTTCATTATCTTAGCAGTTTCTCATTCCTCTGAACGAATTGCAAATGCTACTGTGCATGTATCAGTTACTTTCATACAATTCTCTGCTGTTTTATAACATTATCATTTGCTTCTGTCGTGTCAGTCAAAATGAAACATACTTATAAATGCTTTGTTCACTTTGAAAATCAGCCAGGATGAAATGACGAAGAAAAGAACATGTTTGGTGAAAAGCTGAATTTCTTGTTTTTATTTGTTTGAATGTTCAGATGACAGTTTTTCTCAGTCGCTTTGGTGAATTTCTCAGATCAGACTGAAAGTTCTCGTAACTACATTGAGTCATTTGTTCTCATAATTGAAGCAGTTCCTCATTCCTCTGAACAAATTGCAGCTGCTCTTGGACATGTATCATTTATTCTCATACAATTCTCTATAACATTAACATTTGTTTATGTCATGTCAGTCAAAATGAAACATACTTATGAATGCTGAATCGTCTTTCCCTATAAACTATACAAAGTTTACTATATTTTCAAATTTCAAAACCTCATAAGACATTACAGATTTGTGGTAGCCTACCCCCTCCAAGTTTCGGAGCACAGGTCGGTGATGTTAAGACTGATCTCCTCTGTTTTGTCTGTTGTTTCTTCACAGGTATGGGTTTCTTTAACTCAGAGTTCCTGCTCTTCATAAACCTGCTCAGCCTGGTGTCAGGGCTGCCGATCTCATCGTCCCCTTTCTCCCAGATGCCTTTCCTCTCAGTGTGGAACGCACCCACTGAAAGCTGCCTCTCTCAATATGGCATCAACCTGGACTTGGACACTTTCAGCATCACCATGAATAATAACCAAACCTTCATGGGGGATAACATAACCATCTTTTATAGTGGAAAGCTTGGTCTGTATCCCTGGTATACTGCTCAATCAAAGGCCATCAACGGCGGGGTGCCACAAAACGCAAATCTAGATGAACACCTGAGAGTTGCCTCTGATAATATCCGCACCTTCATCCCTGACAGGGATTTCCAAGGCCTGGCTGTGGTGGACTGGGAGAACTGGAGGCCTGTATGGGAGAGGAACTGGGACAGTAAGCAGGTGTACTGGGAGGCGTCCAGAGTACTAGTGAAGTCTAGGCATCCAGACTGGAGCCCTGCACAGGTCGAGGCTGCAGCTCGGATAGAGTTTGAGAAAGCTGGGAGGAAGTTCATGGAGGAAACTCTGAAACTGGGGAAGGAGGAGAGACCAGGCGGGCTGTGGGGTTTCTATGGTTTCCCAAACTGCTACAACCTCTACAACCCCAAAATCAAAAACTACACCGGGGAGTGTCCAGCTGTGGACAAAAAGTGGAATGACGAGCTGGTGTGGCTGTGGAACGTCTCCTCTGCTCTGTATCCTGATATCTACCTGAGCCTGGAGCTGAGAGGGCTCAGCAGAGAGGTGCTGCTCTACACCCACCACCGTATCCTGGAGGCCATGAGAGCAGGAGCTCAGTCTGCTCCAGTAGTACCTCCTGTGTTCCCCTATGCTCGTATTGTCTACACATACACCCTAGATTTCCTCTCCCAGGTATAGCAGATGGTTAAATACCACACACTCATTATTGATTGTCAGGATTTGCTCTGAATGTCTTGCCTCCCTTTATTTTCCTCCTGCAGGAGCACCTGGTCTACACCATTGGAGAGAGCGCTGCTTTAGGATCTGCCGGGGTGGTGCTTTGGGGGGATCTTAACTTTGCCAAGTCTAAGGTGGGAAAACATGCCACCTTCTGTGTGCAGAGTACAGTAATACTCTCTGATCATGTTCATTCTGCTCAATTCAGTCAGATATCATCCATCATCCTCCAAAAACAGCAAGAAACTTTGATATACACACAGATTTTTGGGATTTATTAAAAGATAACCTTTAAAGGGATATTCCGGCATAAAATTAATTTAGGGTCAAACACACCGCAACACCAAGTTAGACACCCCCTCCAGAGATGACCAACTTTAGTAGTGACCGCAGATAGCAATACAGAGAGCCGCATGCTCAACAAAAAAGCCACTTTATAGCCACAAATAATGCTCAGAACAGCACCTAACTTCATCAACAGTACAAACATCTTTTTAGCTTTGCCTAATTTCTTTAGCGAAGAGACTAAACACAACTTACCTACTCTTTTCCAGCAGCCGCATGTTTGTAGTGAGACTTCGGGCCAGTCCATTACGGACTACAGCGGGGTGACGCAGCTCAAGGAAGAACATTTATGATCATTACTTTATCATTTCCTTGAAGTAATAATCATCATATTAATCATTTTGCACTGCAGACGCTGCAGTTCTTCTGTCTTAGCATCTCAGTCTCATTGCATTTCCATGAAGATATGATCACAATGAGCTGCGTCACCCCGCTGTAGTCTGTCATGGACTAGCCTGAGGTCTTACTACAAACAAGCAGCTGCTGGAAGAGAGAGGGTGAGTTGTGTTTAGTCTCTTTGCTAAAGAAATTAGGCAAAGCTAAAAGATGTATGTACTGTTGATGAAGTTAGGTGCTGTTCTGAGCATTATTTGTGGCTATAGACCGGCTTTTTGGTTGAGGTTTGTTTATGACTCCTCAGACCGCTGTGTATTGCTATCGTGTGGTCGTTACTAATGTTGGTATAACTAGAGAAGCAAGCGGTCAGCAACATTCATCTCTCGAGGGGGTGTCTAACTCGGTGTTACAGTGTGTTTGACCCTAACTTAATTTTATGCCGGAATATCCCTTTAATTGTCCCCTGTTCTAGCATATCGATAAAAGAATTATACATTTATATCTTATTTATCTGAAAATCTAAATCCTATCATTATGAGTAACCATGTTTGACTGCCTTTAAAACAGACCAACACTTAGAAAACACTCTTTTGAGTTTCGTGCCAATGCTGGGTTACATCAGACTTCTATTTGTATGTCATGAGAGTATGTCTCATATGATGGCACTGGTGTTGCCTTATCGCCATGCTGATACACAAGTCACATGATTAACAGGAAATAAGAAAACAGGAAACAAGCAAAGACATCACCCTGACGTGGGAAAGAGAACTGTAAATGTAGCTCTAAAAAAGAGTACCAAAGAAGAGCTGTGAGGCATGTCGTCAGTGTGAGCTACAGCCTGCAGTGGTGTTCTCACTGCAACGTGTGAATTTTTAAAGTTAGCGTTTTAAAGAAGTGAACTGCAACTTTGCACTTACTCTGTTTTTTTTATGCACCAATACAGACACATCTTAGAAGATAAGATCATGAAAATATGGAAAGTGAAAACTCATTATTTCCTCTAATCATTACACAAGTTTAAGTAAATTACTATTCACGGTGCAGCTCTCAATGTAGGTCAGAACACAGTCATAGGGAAGACTGAAAAGAATCAATCAGATGTTTGTATTTGGTACATCATAGATCTATCAGATCATTTCTGCAGGTCATAAATTTACATGTCAGTGAATGGCTGTGAATGGAGACATGGGGTGGGAGCCTCCAAATTTTAGACACAAATGTGAAATGCTTCAGCTTTGGAGCAGAATTGCAAATATGTCTGATCAGAGACTTACCAAGTTATTAATTTGGTAATTTTTTAAATTGTCATCCATGGACCAATGAGTTGAAATCTATACTGTTTCAATAAAATGTCATTTATTTCAAAGTAAAGAGACAAATGTCTCTGACGTACAAATAAAAATCTTGTGCAACCCCGAAATATGAACTTACAGCCTCATAAAAACTAGTTATGGTGTTTAATTTTGTGTTAAGTAGAATTTCACTTAAAGGTAAAGACACCCCTGTGCACAGTTACAATCAGGAACTTCAGTTAGTTTTGCAGTCTGACAGTTTGTGAGTCATGTAAGTTAGGTGAAATGGAGAACAACATTCATTTTTTGTTTTGCTGTCCCATGCAAAAAAGGGATGTGTTTTTTAGTCTTCAATTAATGCTGGTTATTTCTGGTTTTGATTTTATCTCTTTTTTTATTGCATGGTATCTGCAAAGCCTGGGAGAAAAGGCAGGATAAAATTTTAAAGGCAGAGCGGTAAAGGAACATGCAGCTTCGACTGTAATGAGTCAGCCACCGAAGGTCATTTGTGAAAAGGCTGGCTGTTCCCAGAGTGCAGTTATCGAGGCATAATAACTAAAAGTTGACCTGGAGGAAATAGTGTGAGAGGAAAAAGCGCACAAGCAACGGGGATGACTGCAGCCTTGAGAGGATTGTCAGGAAAAGTCTGTTCAAGAACTTAAGAGAGCTTCACAAGGAGCGGACAGACGCGAGTACTGTCATTTTCTGAAGATGAGCCAGACAGCCCAGAAGAGCCTTCCATGGCTAAGAGGGAAAAAAAAACTAGACAGTTGAATAGACATCCAAAATCTTCTTTATAGAAATGAAGTTTTGAATTTCATTTGATAATCAAGGTCTGCGCAGATCTGGAGAAAAGGCGAAGGGCACAGAATCTGAGGTGTTTAAAGTCTGGCGGAAAGTCTCCACAGTCTGTGATGATTGGTAGAGTCATGATAGTTGCTGCTGGAGTTGGTCCACTGTATTATATCCAATCAAAAATCAAAGCAGCAGTCTTCAAGGAGATTTTAGGGCATTTTGTGCTTCTATCTGCTTAAAAGTGTCATTGGAGGTGCTGATTTCCTATTCCAGTAGGACTGAGCATCTGCCCACGGTGCCAAAACTCCTACCAAAGGTTTTACCGCTGATGATATTACTATGCTTGATTGAACCCTAAAGAGAATCATGAAGATATTTTTCACTTTTACTTTGTATTTCATGTCGTCCTTCCTCTCTCCCACTTTTAGGCCACATGTCAAGCCGTCGAATCCTACATGGATGAGACTCTGGGTCCATATTTGGTGAATGTAACATCTGCAGCCATTCTCTGCAGTCGGACCTTGTGCTCTTCTCAAGGAAGATGCCAAAGGAAGAAGATGAGCTCAGGGGCCTACCTCCATCTTAACCCTGCCATGTGGAGGGTGGAGTCAGAGAAAAGTCCAGAAGGAGGGCGGAGCTACAGAGTTTTAGGTGATATGAGAGCGAACATGGTGCAGTTCATGAAGGCTGATTTTCAGTGTGTGTGTTATTATGGCTGGGGTGGTGAGAGCTGCTCTAAACCAATCCCAGTTTGATAGACTTTCCTGAGGGGAGGTGATTCAGAGAAAGTATTGGTCTAATTAGCAGCAGTAGAGTTTATAAAAAGTGCTAAAACAACCCAACCTTGAGGTAAGCTGGGGCTGTTTTTGATTCAGAGGCAGTTATCTGCATCAGTACACGAGGTCTCCTGTGAATGAAACAAACAAATCTTTAACCAATGTTCTTCACAAATTAACTCCTTTTTATGTGAGATAATGTGGCATTTTTTTGTATTTGTCAATATTTTATAAAATTGTTAAATTCATTATGGACAACAATAAAATCTGTTTTTACATAAACGTGTCAGTTTTTTTCCATCCTTTTTTCCTTTTGTGTTCATAAAATCAACCTCAGTCTCTCAATGTTTACATGTGCAAAATTTCTTGATCCGATTAAAAATTTGAGGGATCGGATAATCTGAATTCGCTGTTTATATGGTTGCAAAATCAAATAATCCGATCATGACGTGCGTATCCATGCGTCAAGTTTTATTCAGATTAGAAGCATTTGGACATGCGCAGAGTTGTCTGATTTCGCCAAAACAACCACAGAAGAAGAGTTGTATTCACGTCCGTGCTGTCAACAAACCAACAAACGCGGTAGTGGCTCACTCCGTCCAATTCAGGAGTTTTCCCCCTGTTAAATGTTGTCACTAGGTAGCGCCCTTGCGTACTTATTTTACTGTTCTGTCAAAGGTTGCACTGTGCGTGCAGATGTGACATCATTACGCTGAATGTACGCCATGTTATGTTACCGGAAGAGCAGACACGGCATCCGCGGTTGTGTTTTATGCCAGATTGTTAATAATGAAACTTCCTGGACTGACCTCAACAGATAAACCAAAGGCTAAAGAGTGAAGATCTAGGGTCCGTTTCACGTAGGTGGTTCAACAAACTCTGAGTTAAATCCTTAACTCTGAGTTGATCTACTCTGAGTTAGGAAACTCTGAGTTTCCGGTTTCACAACGCCTGATTTGAGACGGTTTTAACAACTCCGAGTAGTTTGACCTGAGCTGCGTCCGAATTGCCAAGTAGTAGTCGAAGTAGTAGTCGAAGTAGTATCTAGCATGTCCGAATTGGCCACCGGAGCGAGTAGCATGCTACTTCAGATACTACTTCAGATGCTAGACACGCCCACATTGTAGGTTGGTCTCGGTGCATCCTACGGGCATGCTACTGACCCAAAATGCACCGCGGGCTTCTTCTTCGTCCTCTTAAAAGTTGTAGAAGCGCATGTGATGCTAGCGCCACCAGCTGATTTAAAAGTGTCGCGAACGCCGGCTGGCCACAGCAGCGCGCACCATGTCGGAGCAGCAGCAGCAGCAGGCGGGGCCGCAGCAGTACAGATGTAAGTTTCATGTAACTTCACACACTGTCCTAAAAAATGTGCGGTTGTATCTCTTTGTCATGTCCTGGTGTCATATTTGTCCAAGTAATCATTTTATGAGCAAGTGGCGACATCATGGAGGTAAAGCTCACTTATTCCATCATTAAACTGCACAGCTGCAGTACTACAGCCAGGCCCGCAGATGAGGAGCTTCAGTTACCACTGTCTGCACGGGCGCAGTACCTACTCTCTGCCTGCGGGGGTCGTCTTTCCCCACCGCTCGTCTAGTGTGTCCGAATTGGGCCAACGTTTTTAGTATGTAGGAGTAGGATCTAGCAGTAGCACGTAGCAGTAGCATGTAGTATCCGAGCGGGCAGTTCGGACGCAGCACTGGAGTTAAGCACGTGCACGCCAGACATAAACAGCCAGCATCTGTGGAGCGCAGATTCAATGATCAACCAATGGAAACAGGGAGAAGGAGGGGGCAGCAGCAAGCCAACAGCGAATTACAGCACGTTTTTAAAAGAGAGCGCAATACAGCAGCAGCTGCAAAGGAGAGGGAGAGGGCTTGGGAGGAAATCGCTGCTCGCGTCAATGCGTAACTTTAAAACTAGTCTCGTGCAATCACAATGACAGACTGTTGCAGGGAAACTGCTTGAATCATTTTGATCATGTTTTACATTGTCAAGTAAGTATTAAGAGGCAGTTTGATCCCTTAGAAAATGCTCTTTTCACACTCAAAAATGAATTTTACTCTCTTATGATGTTCCGTTAAATGATTAGGAATATTAAAATAACTCTCAGTATGTATATGTACATATATTAAACTAACACACACTACACTCAATATTAGACTTTCACTCAGCAAACAGAAAGAGGGCAGATGCCAGAAAAACGGGTGGTGGCCCAGCAGCCCCACCTTAAACGGAGGCAGAGGAGCTGCCCCCCCCCCCCCCCCCCCTCGACGATCGCAACCCCCACCCCGTAGCAGCGATCGTCGGACTGGTGTGCGTGTGTCTGTGTGGGGGTTTGCGATCGGACCGGCCGCGATCGTCGAACGGGGGGGGGGGGGCAGCTCCTCTGCCTCCGTTAAAGGTGGGGCTGCTGGACCACCACCCGTTTTTGTGTTAGTTTAATATTCCTAATCATTTAACGGAACATAATAAGAGAGTAAAATTCAGTTTTCAGTGTGAAAAGAGCATTTTTTTAAGGGATCAAACTGCCACTTAATACTTACTTGACAATGTAAAACATGATCAAAATGAGAAAATGCCGATGTCTCACCTGAAACTCTGGGTTTACTGAGTTAAACCTGCTCCCGAGCAGGTTAGGTTCACGGAGTCTGTTACTGTGGTAACTGACCGCGAGGTTGAGTTACCTCTCTTTGTGAAACAGGTTAGAGTTACCCCTCTCTCCCTGGTTTGACTAACCCTCCTTTGTGAAACGGAAAACTCAGAGTTTCCCTGATTTCAGGGTTAACAAACTCAGAGTGTCCACTAAACCTGCTACGTGAAACGGACCCCTGAAAACACTGAACTGCATTGGTTTTCAACAGGAAACAGACATTCAACAGGCACAAAAGATTAGCATCGATAGACTCAGCCCTTCAATGTTGACGTCATTCAAATTCAAGGAAAGTGGGGAAGACCATACTTTGGTTAATTTGCATTTCCCCTGTCATCAGTAAATGACCAACCACACATTTGCATTTGTAAAGGTGTAAACTCTTTGTGCTGCAACAGTAATCACGAAGACTTGCCACTGTCTGCAGCTGCATTTTAACTTAGTCATTTTAACAATGACAATGAGTCCTTATCTTTTTACACAAATTTATAGATCCTTTATCCTGCAATTTTAGTGTTTATCTTATCTGTAAGTACATTTAAAACAATAAATGTCATCCTAAAATTCAAAATTACGACCAAAATCTTTCAAAGGAGGAAGGAATGAGAGGAATTAGCAACATCAGGGGGTCAGACTCGAGATTTAAACACTCCCCCGCTTATCCGTCCTGTCAGAGAAGTGATGGCTCTCCAAGAGAGCGAGCTCCTGTGATGCATAATAACCACAATCCTTTATTTGTTAAGATTTACAATCAAACCGCTCAATTCATGCTGTGCCACTTATTAGACAACAAAAAAGCATATCTAACTAGCCTGTACGCTCTATTCAACTGCAGAAAATGTGGTGGTGTAAGATAGCGGCCTTTGTAAAGGGAACCCACACTGATGTAAATGTAAAAGGCTCATTCAAAGTTTACAAAAACAAAACCTTCTTTATCTTCAGGTGATTACACACAAAATTAAACATCCTTACCTTAGAGCTGGGACAATATGCTTTTCTCCCGATTCGATTCTTCTTCTTTGTAGTCTGCATTTTTCACACCAGTGAAACAATTGAATAATTACGATTGTCGACTGACTGTTCCTGGAACCACATTTCCCACCAAAATATGCATCACATGTAAGTCAGTTTTTAAGATTTAAGGTCCTTTCACACCAGGACCGTTTTTGTCGTGCGATTATTTCGGACGTCAAATTTTTTTTTCGAACCCGTATCCTGTCAATACAAGAGTTGACATCAGCAACGTTTCCCATCCTGCGATATTGCGGCATATATATTTTTGGATCATGGTCGATTTTTCTAAAGTTTCGCATACTGTGTTTCCACTTCTGACCAATCAGATTGCGTGTTGTTGCGACGTCAGATTCACCGGTATATCCAACATGGCCGACCGGCTGATTGTTTACGTGTCGGAGAACAGAGTGCTTTTTGATAAAAGACACAAACATAACAAAGATAACGAACATAGCATTGGATCTCTCATTCGACTATGTTTTGTGTGCTTTAACAGTCTGCTAAACATCTTTGTTTTAACTTTCATCTGTGCTAACGTAAGCTAACGGTTGTTACCATAGTTTCATGTGCTTATCTTATCGCCTCTGATTGACTACAAGTGCTGACTGTTTGGCTTGAGCATGTGATGACGTTTCCAGCTTTTCTAGCCAATCAGAGCCGAAGGAGGCGGGACTTTCCCTGGGAAAAGTCTTCCCCGGGATGCGTGTTTTTTCCCCCCGGAAAGTCGTAAAATCGCATCGGGCTTGATGTGTTTAGTGAGGCGCGTCAAAATTCGCGTCAGAATATTTCGTTATTTCTCGTTCTATATTCGCGTTGGCCCTGGTGTGTAAGGATCTTTATTCTTAAATTTGAATTAAAAAAAACTTTTGAATCGTTTTAAAAATTGTAAAACAAAAAAATCGCGATACTTCTGTAAATCGATTTTTTCTCCCACCCCTACGGACAATATTATATACAACTACAGTAGAGTACACCCTAAACCTGAAAATGCTCTTGTGATCTCACTGTGATCGTCTCTTTTTTAATTCTGTGTCTTAAGCGGATCTTGACCTTCAGGTGAGTGATGACTGTGTGATTTAATCCCCTCTATAGATCAGCTGCTCTGACCTGGACGTGTATCTGCGGGGTCCGCTGGGTAAATACCTCCTCAACGTCTCCACGGCAGCAGAGCTATGCAGTCAGACCTTGTGTGCTTCTCATGGCCGCTGTCTGCGCAAAAACCCAGACAGTGATGTTTACTTGCATCTGGACCCCCTCACCCACAGCATTAGCAGCCGGGACGGCCGGCACAAGGTCAGCGGTGCGCTCGGTGAGGCAGAGGAGAAGAGTTTCCGCACAGAGTTTCAGTGTCAGTGCTACAGCGGCTACGAGGGAGAGGGCTGCAATCAGATAGACCCTATGCACCAAAAAGGGGCTGCACCTCCAATCACCTCAACATCTCTGCAATTTGTGATCTTACTGATTATCTCCTTGCTCTTCTGTTGACCACCATAAATGCTGTAGCCATGGGGCTGCATTCTTACGTGTCTACATGTAGGAGTGCACCACCTGATAAGGCGGGAATTTGTTGTATTTTTCTTGTAATTGCTTTAAACTCATGACAAAGTGAAACTTTATAGGAAACACTGTGGAAATTACAAAGTTATGTTTGTTTATAACTTTTAAATCTCTTTTTAAACAATGGTGGACTCGCTGGAAATGACCTTGTTTACGTTCTGCTGCCAGTTTCCTCTCAGTCGCTGTTTCCCAAGGTGTCATATTCCATGATTCTCAGAGGGGGGAAAGGTTTATTTTAGTGGGAATAAGGTGATACATGAGTGGGTGTTTGTCAGCAGCTGCATGGTGAAAGAGGAAATGATGCACTTAAATCTGGTGATTGCACATTATATCTAAAGTGCCTGATCTTTTTTAAACATGACCTCTCTCCAACATCTGATGTTTTTAGAGGCATTGACAGTGTTACTATTTATTTGAATGTATTTCTAGGTGTTTTATATGACATTTTCCTATTTTTATGTCAAAAAAATGACTACTAGTTCTCTCTTAAGACACTGCATTACTTAACATTTGCTAGACACACATTTTCTGTATATGAGGAGATATGGAAGCACGAACAATGTGCAATGTCCACACTTTCACTTACATGGAGGCCTCTCTATCTAATGCTGTTTTCTGAAATGAAATAAAGTCAAATAAATAATCTTACTCGTGAGGTTCTTTTTTGTGTATTTGAATAAAACGTTTAAAAATAAACTGACTCTTATGTTTACAGGTGAGGATTTGCTGTTTATAGTAGATAAAGTGAAGTTTCCACAGGAAAAACACGTCAACACTGGCCACTAAGGGGAGTCCAAACCAGTCAGTCCTCGGGGAAGGTTCACATTTGACAGACCTCATACCCCCTCCCCTCATAATTGTAGGGTACCGTTAAGCCAAACGTTATTTTTACCACTTTCAAGAGTTTAGCAAAGCGTACAATTAAATTTGGAGCAGGAAGAGCTCATTATGGCCGCCTTTACAGCCATTTAAGGCAAAGACTATAATTCCCTCTAGATCTTTTTAGTCAAACATTGAATCAACCTTGATTTTAATCCTATTTTTACTCTTTAATTGAGAAAACCTAACATTGTCACAGGCAGGCTATTGGGATGTGCCTGTACCTTTAAATCCTGCTTCCATGGAGGATCTGTTTGCGTCCTTTTGATTGGTTGTTTCTCTGCGCGTTTCTGATTGGCTAACAGAAATCACAGCGCAGACACTTGTGTGTTTGTTCCTCCTTCCCCTTTTCCGTGCCTGTGTGATTAATGAAGATCATGAGACTGCGGCTGAGTGTCCGTGCTGTACACAAAGTCCAAACCACAGTCCTTTTTTCTAGCTGTTAAGATAAGATAGGTGAGTTACTCCTACAGACTTTCATTGACTGTGATGGTTTGATTTTTTACTCTTCATTTCACTGCCGAAGTTCAGTGCCTTTTGCAGCAGAGCAGTTTGTTTACTCTGAAAATCAGCCAGGATGAAATGACGAAGAAAAGAACATGTTTGGTGAAAAGCTGAATTTCTTGTTTAGATGTTCAGATGACAGTTTTCCTCAGTCGCTTTGGTGCATTTCTGAGATCAGAATGAAAGTTTCATAACTATTAGTTCAACCTCCACAACATTTAGTCATTTGTGTTCATTATCTTAGCAGTTTCTCATTCCTCTGAACGAATTGCAGATGCTACTGTACATGTATCGGTTACTTTCATACAGTTCTCTGCTGTTTTATAACATTATCATTTGCTTCTGTCGTGTCAGTCAAAATGAAACATACTTATAAATGCTTTGTTCACTTTGAAAATCAGCCAGGATGAAATGACGAAGAAAAGAACATGTTTGGTGAAAAGCTGAATTTCTTGTTTTTATTTGTTTGAATGTTCAGATGACAGTTTTTCTCAGTCACTTTGGTGAATTTCTCAGATCAGACTGAAAGTTCTCGTAACTACATTGAGTCATTTGTACTCATAATTGAAGCAGTTCCTCATTCCTCTGAACAAATTGCAGCTGCTCTTGGACATGTATCATTTATTCTCATACAATTCTCTATAACATTAACATTTGTTTATGTCATGTCAGTCAAAATGAAACATACTTATGAATGCTGAATCGTCTTTCCCTATAAACTATACAAAGTTTACTATATTTTCAAATTTCAAAACCTCATAAGACATTACAGATTTGTGGTAGCCTACCCCCTCCAAGTTTCGGAGCACAGGTCGGTGATGTTAAGACTGATCTCCTCTGTTTTGTCTGTTGTTTCTTCACAGGTATGGGTTTCTTTAACTCAGAGTTTCTGCTCTTCATAAACCTGCTCAGCCTGGTGTCAGGGCTGCTGATCTCATCGTCCCCTTTCTCCCAGATGCCTTTCCTCTCAGTGTGGAACGCACCCACTGAAAGCTGCCTCTCTCAATATGGCATCAACCTGGACTTGGACACTTTCAGCATCACCATGAATAATAACCAAACCTTCATGGGGGATAACATAACCATCTTTTATAGTGGAAAGCTTGGTCTGTATCCCTGGTATACTGCTCAATCAAAGGCCATCAACGGCGGGGTGCCACAAAACGCAAATCTAGATGAACACCTGAGAGTTGCCTCTGATAATATCCGCACCTTCATCCCTGACAGGGATTTCCAAGGCCTGGCTGTGGTGGACTGGGAGAACTGGAGGCCTGTATGGGAGAGGAACTGGGACAGTAAGCAGGTGTACTGGGAGGCGTCCAGAGTACTAGTGAAGTCTAGGCATCCAGACTGGAGCCCTGCACAGGTCGAGGCTGCAGCTCGGATAGAGTTTGAGAAAGCTGGAAGGAAGTTCATGGAGGAAACTCTGAAACTGGGGAAGGAGGAGAGACCAGGCGGGCTGTGGGGTTTCTACGGTTTCCCAAACTGCTACAACCCCTACAACCCCAAAATCAAAAACTACACCGGGGAGTGTCCAGCTGTGGACAAAAAGTGGAATGACGAGCTGGTGTGGCTGTGGAACGTCTCCTCTGCTCTGTATCCTGATATCTACCTGAGCCTGGAGCTGAGAGGGCTCAGCAGAGAGGTGCTGCTCTACACCCACCACCGTATCCTGGAGGCCATGAGAGCAGGAGCTCAGTCTGCTCCAGTAGTACCTCCTGTGTTCCCCTATGCTCGTATTGTCTACACACACACCCTAGATTTCCTCTCCCAGGTATAGCAGATGGTTAAATACCACACACTCATTATTGATTGTCAGGATTTGCTCTGAATGTCTTGCCTCCTTTTATTTTCCTCCTGCAGGAGCACCTGGTCTACACCATTGGAGAGAGCGCTGCTTTAGGATCTGCCGGGGTGGTGCTTTGGGGGAATCTTAACTTTGCCAAGTCTAAGGTGGGAAAACACGCCACCTTCTGTGTGCAGAGTACAGTAATACTCTCTGATCATGTTCATTCTGCTCGATTCAGTCAGATATCATCCATCATCCTCCAAAAACAGCAAGAAACTTTGATATACACACAGATTTTTGGGATTTATTAAAAGATAACCTTTAAAGGGATATTCCGGCATAAAATTAATTTAGGGTCAAACACACCGCAACACCAAGTTAGACACCCCCTCCAGAGATGACCAACTTTAGTAGTGACCGCAGATAGCAATACAGAGAGCCGCATGCTCAACAAAAAAGCCACTTTATAGCCACAAATAATGCTCAGAACAGCACCTAACTTCATCAACAGTACATACATCTTTTTAGCTTTGCCTAATTTCTTTAGCGAAGAGACTAAACACAACTTACCTACTCTTTTCCAGCAGCCGCATGTTTGTAGTGAGACTTCGGGCCAGTCCATTACGGACTACAGCGGGGTGACGCAGCTCAAGGAAGAACATTTATGATCATTACTTTATCATTTCCTTGAAGTAATAATCATCATATTAATCATTTTGCACTGCAGACGCTGCAGTTCTTCTGTCTTAGCATCTCAGTCTCATTGCATTTCCATGAAGATATGATCACAATGAGCTGCGTCACCCCGCTGTAGTCTGTCATGGACTAGCCTGAGGTCTTACTACAAACAAGCGGCTGCTGGAAGAGAGAGGGTAAGTTGTGTTTAGTCTCTTTGCTAAAGAAATTAGGCAAAGCTAAAAGATGTATGTACTGTTGATGAAGTTAGGTGCTGTTCTGAGCATTATTTGTGGCTATAGACCGGCTTTTTGGTTGAGGTTTGTTTATGACTCCTCAGACCGCTGTGTATTGCTATCGTGTGGTCGTTACTAATGTTGGTATAACTAGAGAAGCAAGCGGTCAGCAACATTCATCTCTCGAGGGGGTGTCTAACTCGGTGTTACAGTGTGTTTGACCCTAACTTAATTTTATGCCGGAATATCCCTTTAATTGTCCCCTGTTCTAGCATATCGATAAAAGAATTATACATTTATATCTTATTTATCTGAAAATCTAAATCCTATCATTATGAGTAACCATGTTTGACTGCCTTTAAAACAGACCAACACTTAGAAAACACTCTTTTGAGTTTCGTGCCAATGCTGGGTTACATCAGACTTCTATTTGTATGTCATGAGAGTATGTCTCATATGATGGCACTGGTGTTGCCTTATCGCCATGCTGATACACAAGTCACATGATTAACAGGAAATAAGAAAACAGGAAACAAGCAAAGACATCACCCTGACGTGGGAAAGAGAACTGTAAATGTAGCTCTAAAAAAAGAGTACCAAAGAAGAGCTGTGAGGCATGTCGTCAGTGTGAGCTACAGCCTGCAGTGGTGTTCTCACTGCAACGTGTGAATTTTTAAAGTTAGCGTTTTAAAGAAGTGAACTGCAACTTTGCACTTACTCTGTTTTTTTTATGCACCAATACAGACACATCTTAGAAGATAAGATCATGAAAATATGGAAAGTGAAAACTCATTATTTCCTCTAATCATTACACAAGTTTAAGTAAATTACTATTCACGGTGCAGCTCTCAATGTAGGTCAGAACACAGTCATAGGGAAGACTGAAAAGAATCAATCAGATGTTTGTATTTGGTACATCATAGATCTATCAGATCATTTCTGCAGGTCATAAATTTACATGTCAGTGAATGGCTGTGAATGGAGACATGGGGTGGGAGCCTCCAAATTTTAGACACAAATGTGAAATGCTTCAGCTTTGGAGCAGAATTGCAAATATGTCTGATCAGAGACTTACCAAGTTATTAATTTGGTAATTTTTTAAATTGTCATCCATGGACCAATGAGTTGAAATCTATACTGTTTCAATAAAATGTCATTTATTTCAAAGTAAAGAGACAAATGTCTCTGACGTACAAATAAAAATCTTGTGCAACCCCGAAATATGAACTTACAGCCTCATAAAAACTAGTTATGGTGTTTAATTTTGTGTTAAGTAGAATTTCACTTAAAGGTAAAGACACCCCTGTGCACAGTTACAATCAGGAACTTCAGTTAGTTTTACAGTCTGACAGTTTGTGAGTCATGTAAGTTAGGTGAAATGGAGAACAACATTCATTTTTTGTTTTGCTGTCCCATGCAAAAAAGGGATGTGTTTTTTAGTCTTCAATTAATGCTGGTTATTTCTGGTTTTGATTTTATCTCTTTTTTTATTGCATGGTATCTGCAAAGCCTGGGAGAAAAGGCAGGATAAAATTTTAAAGGCAGAGCGGTAAAGGAACATGCAGCTTCGACTGTAATGAGTCAGCCACCGAAGGTCATTTGTGAAAAGGCTGGCTGTTCCCAGAGTGCAGTTATCGAGGCATAATAACTAAAAGTTGACCTGGAGGAAATAGTGTGAGAGGAAAAAGCGCACAAGCAACGGGGATGACTGCAGCCTTGAGAGGATTGTCAGGAAAAGTCTGTTCAAGAACTTAAGAGAGCTTCACAAGGAGCGGACAGACGCGAGTACTGTCATTTTCTGAAGATGAGCCAGACAGCCCAGAAGAGCCTTCCATGGCTAAGAGGGAAAAAAACTAGACAGTTGAATAGACATCCAAAATCTTCTTTATAGAAATGAAGTTTTGAATTTCATTTGATAATCAAGGTCTGCGCAGATCTGGAGAAAAGGCGAAGGGCACAGAATCTGAGGTGTTTAAAGTCTGGAGGAAAGTCTCCACAGTCTGTGATGATTGGTAGAGTCATGATAGTTGCTGCTGGAGTTGGTCCACTGTATTATATCCAATCAAAAATGAAAGCAGCAGTCTTCAAGGAGATTTTAGGGCATTTTGTGCTTCTATCTGCTTAAAAGTGTCATTGGAGGTGCTGATTTCCTATTCCTGTAGGACTGAGCATCTGCCCACGGTGCCAAAACTCCTACCAAAGGTTTTACCGCTGATGATATTACTATGCTTGATTGAACCCTAAAGAGAATCATGAAGATATTTTTCACTTTTACTTTGTATTTCATGTCGTCCTTCCTCTCTCCCACTTTTAGGCCACATGTCAAGCCATCGAATCCTACATGGATGAGACTCTGGGTCCATATTTGGTGAATGTAACATCTGCAGCCATTCTCTGCAGTCGGACCTTGTGCTCTTCTCAAGGAAGATGCCAAAGGAAGAAGATGAGCTCAGGGGCCTACCTCCATCTTAACCCTGCCATGTGGAGGGTGGAGTCAGAGAAAAGTCCAGAAGGAGGGCGGAGCTACAGAGTTTTAGGTGATATGAGAGCGAACATGGTGCAGTTCATGAAGGCTGATTTTCAGTGTGTGTGTTATTATGGCTGGGGTGGTGAGAGCTGCTCTAAACCAATCCCAGTTTGATAGACTTTCCTGAGGGGAGGTGATTCAGAGAAAGTATTGGTCTAATTAGCAGCAGTAGAGTTTATAAAAAGTGCTAAAACAACCCAACCTTGAGGTAAACTGGGGCTGTTTTTGATTCAGAGGCAGTTATCTGCATCAGTACACGAGGTCTCCTGTGAATGAAACAAACAAATCTTTAACCAATGTTCTTCACAAATTAACTCCTTTTTATGTGAGATAATGTGGCATTTTTTTGTATTTGTCAATATTTTATAAAATTGTTAAATTCATTATGGACAACAATAAAATCTGTTTTTACATAAATGTGTCAGTTTTTTTCCATCCTTTTTCCTTTTGTGTTCATAAAATCAACCTCAGTCTCTCAATGTTTACATGTGCAAAATTTCTTGATCCGATTAAAAATTTGAGGGATCGGATAATCTGAATTCGCTGTTTATATGGTTGCAAAATCAAATAATCCGATCATGACGTGCGTATCCATGCGTCAAGTTTTATTCAGATTAGAAGCATTTGGACATGCGCAGAGTTGTCTGATTTCGCCAAAACAACCACAGAAGAAGAGTTGTATTCACGTCCGTGCTGTCAACAAACCAACAAACGCGGTAGTGGCTCACTCCGTCCAATTCAGGAGTTTTCCCCCTGTTAAATGTTGTCACTAGGTAGCGCCCTTGCGTACTTATTTTACTGTTCTGTCAAAGGTTGCACTGTGCGTGCAGATGTGACATCATTACGCTGAATGTACGCCATGTTATGTTACCGGAAGAGCAGACACGGCATCCGCGGTTGTGTTTTATGCCAGATTGTTAATAATGAAACTTCCTGGACTGACCTCAACAGATAAACCAAAGGCTAAAGAGTGAAGATCAAGTCAGGTAAGAGAGTCACCTACAGAATAAGTGTTTACATGGACGCATTTCGGAATAACGATCGGCATTAACCACCCTCTCTTGATCGGAATGTAATTTCTTTCCGATTGAGCCGAATTGGATCAGAATCTTCCGATTTACATGTCTACGTGGGGCATTTTTTTTATCCCGATCGTGCATATTTATTCCGATTACTTGTGCCCATGTAAATGCAGCTTTTGAAATGCTCATGTTACAACATCAATTTTGGGAATGTGAATCAACACATGAAGGTGTGCTTTGGAGACTTTCAGCACACATTAAGTGTTGGGTTGACTTTTTATATACTGTACTATCTCAGCGTTTTATGTTAAATTCACAGCTGAAAAGTCTCAAAATAAAGTCTTTGGTAGTTGAGAAATAAAATCAATGGCTTGTTTAGTCCTCTTGGTGGTGCTGTTGAGTTTATTTCTGCTCAGAATGACAAACAAGTGGAAGTTGATAAATCAAAGAAAGAAACAAGAAAAACAACATCTATGTCTAGATCAAAACTGTGGAGTCATTTTGGATTTTTTTTTTAACAAGAAGCATTGACAGATAGCATCAAATACATCAAGATTTTAACACAGTCTAACAGCTATTTATCTAGTTGTTTATCTGAACATGTGCAGCCGTCCAGTGTCATGGCAGATGAGTTGTTTTGTTAAATACTTGAGCTCAGGTGTGATACTGTTCACTTACACACTAGTACAGCCACAGCTCTACAGAGAAGAGCAGCTTGGAGTTGAAGAAAGTTTGGGTACAGCAGCTTATTTTATGACAGATGACTGGCAGCTGCCGTCTCACATCCCTGAGACCAGACTAGAGTTGGAGAGACCTGACTTTGTGGTGGTGCTTAATAACAGCCAAACAATATTGTGCTGTGTCACATCAAGTATTTGACCTGATGCTTTCAGGCTCCTCTCCTCTGGGATCACCTACGAGTCGAGGTGTGAGGGTCAGGACAGACACTCTCTACCTTTTAAGAGTGGCCTTAAAAGTGTTTCTTTTTGATTAAGTTTATAGTCAGGACTGCTTCAGGCCTGGGTCATGGCACTGTAGGTCAAGACTGCAAGGGCCTCCTTCTCCATCCTCTCTCTGTCTGTATCATTAACTTTGAATCATCGCTTCCCATAGAGTCACTAAGACACTGTCTTTTCTGGTAGTCTCTGTACTCTATCATGCTTTAGGTTCCTCTAGATCGCTGCTGCAGACATTTGACTTGCCTGCTTTCCAGCTGCTTCAACGGCAACTGGTATTCTTCAAATAAAACACGTCAGGTCAGACGATATGTTGTGTTATTTGAAGAATACCAGTTTTTGCCATGGAGACACGGAGTCTCTGGAGCTAGATTATTTAGAATGAGGAACTGTTTTATCCCTCAGTCTGTAAAAATGTTGAATCAGTTGGTTTCATCAGGGCAATGAGAAGGGACTTGGAGGCACTGCAACCACTTTGATGTTATGTATAAAGCACGTTACATGTCTGATGTTTGTCTCGTGTTATATTCTGCGATATTTTCTGATTTTTTTGGTTATTGTTTGTAATTTTCAGGAGAGAATCTGACAATTATGTATTTTACAAACAAACTAACTAATTGAGTGAGTCAGTGACTGGCTAACTAACTAACTAATTGAAAGACAGACAGACAGACTGACTGACTGACTGACTGACTGACTGACTGACTGACAAACAAACAAACAAACAGACTGACTGTCTGACTGACAAAACAAACAAAAAAAAAAAAAACTAACCAACTCACATACTGACTGACAAACAAACAAACAAAACAAAGACAAACAAACTAACTAACTAACTAACTAACTAACTAACTAACTAACTGACTGACTGACTGACTGACTGACTGACAGGCAAACAAACTCACTCACTCACTCACTCACTCACTCACTCACTCACTCACTCACTCACTCACTCACAATCTCGCCTCTGTCCATCTCTCTCTCTCTGCATCTCCCTCCATAACACACACATACAAGCACACACACGCGCACGCACGCACGCACGCACGCACGCACGCACGCACACACACACACACACACACACAATCTCTCTACGTATCTCTCTCTTTAGCTGTCTATCCCTCTCTCTCTCTCTCACACACACACACACACAAAATAGTTTTATTTTGTGTGTTTTGTATATTTAAAGACTATAAATGAGATCGCGGTTAAGAAATACACATGTAGAAACATTACTCTATGTCATTGCTTTACTTTCAGAAATATGTTTCTCACCAGCTCAGGAGTTTGTTTGAAATGTTTCCTGTGTCAAAATAACCAGAAATGTCTTAAGTGCCATGCAGCCACACTTGAGTTTGATATTCAAGTACTTGTCCTTAAGTTGGTGATCATTAGCACCAGTAAATTACAGATGGAGATATCTGTTTTTCATTATTACACTGCTAGATTTAGCTCTTATGGCTTGATATTCAGGTGACCTTGTAAGACTTTTTTTTTTCATGCAGAGCATACGATCAGTATATAAATCCTTGTTACAGTAAGTGGTGGGGGATTTATGTAAAAGTGTGGAGACTGTAACCAGCAGGTGGTGCTGTGGGACAGAAAACTGAGATCCAGCATCAAGGTCAGAGCTTTATGTGCAAGTCATCACAAGAAGAGTAAGTGTAGAGGGAAAACACATATACTCCTCAGTCTGTCAGATTGAGATGACTATAATAAAACCCTGCAGCATCTGAAGTGTTAGCGATAATGAGATCCTCTTTAAGACAGACCCTAGAGACGGCATGAGGTGACCTTGATTGATCTACCAGCGGCATGCGCATGTTGCCTTATCTGATCACCACCTTGCGTCGCTGGTGATAACTTCCCATCCCTGTCCTCCATGAGGAAGATCAGGCCAGTATAAACGTCCCTTTAAGGCCTCAGAGTTTCAGCTTTATCAATCGACTGTGAGGAAATAAGGGGTGGAGAGACGCCTGTTTTCAAAGCTGTGGCAGATATGTTACACTCTCATGTACTTTTTAGAACTAATGTTGTCTTTGGACTTGAGTGTGTCTCTCCCAGAGTGCCATACTTTCCTGTAGTCACTTGATAACAGGAGGAAAAGGCTCTCATTCTGATTGACATTCAGTGCTGACTTGTTGGCTTGTTCATTATCATTTTTTCCGCACCATGCCAGCCTAAACTTGACTTCCTTTGTCTAAATGCAGACAAGAAGTAATAATTATGAACTTGGAAATGTATTTGTTATTGGAGGAAATGTGTTTGCAGTTTAGATGGACAGCTCTCAGAAGAAAAACTTGAAGAAACTTAACATGCAGTTTTTATTTGATATGACAAAGTGAGCACGACTCTACACAAGACGCCTTTATACATCACTTGGTTGAGGATTTTCAGAGGGGAGCTCTTCATGAACAGAAGTCATTGTGATCTGTTTATCTGGTTTGACTAGTCCTCTCTTTTCCCTCTGTCAGGTCTGGCAGGCCCTCTATTTCTCTATCCTCTCATCTCTGCATTTCTTCATTTTGGCGTCTCGCTCTGTCACCCCTCCATGGTCACGTCTTCGCTCCCGCCCCGCTCCTCGGTCTTCAGATCGTCTCGCTTGCTCTCGGTTTAATAACTGTTTTGTCACGCTCTGTGTCTTTGTCCTTCAGCGGAGGCGACTCTCTGATCAGCTTCTTAAAGATCTGCTATGCACTTGTTTGCATGATTCATGTATGTCACCAATGCCACGATGGTGATCATTGATTATGCCGTTGCATGCATGAAGGCTCCTCTTCATAATGCTTCTTGAATGGGTTACTATAACACTCCAGGAAATACATGTACTTGATTTCTAGGAGTTGGATGTAAAGATCAAGGTCAGTCAAGCCTGAATGTTAAATCTGAAGCTGAAATCAGGACTGGAAGAAGACCGGGAAATAAGGAAACTGCTTGTCTTTGTTAGTAAAAAAACACAAATAGTGATGTGACACCGATATTGACCCAAAAATGTCAAGGAGGCTGAGTCAACCTCACATTTCTTTTAAGGGCAGCGCTCTTGAACATCAACAAGTTGAATCATCGTTCTAGAAACTGGTAATTTAAAGTATTTCTCCAAGAACTCTTGACTGGGAGGCAAGAACTTTAACCCTTCTACCACTTTGCTGCCTTGAAGGTCCCACTTTCCTCTCCTGTTTATTCTGAGACTTCTCCCGACTCTGAAACAGAGGTGCCCAAGCCTGAAATTTAACCTTGAGCTTTCAGGCTTTAAGGCAGGAAACATGATCGTGGCACTAATGAGCTGTCTGTAATTTATTATAATATCCAAGTTTTTTTCCAATCCAATCCAAGTTCATTTATAAAGCACATTTTAAAAAAAACTGACCAAAGTGCTGTACAGTGAAGATTAAACAAAAAATAAAAACAGAAAATTAACACAAATGATAAAACAAAGACACAGGACCTCATTTAAAAACAGGGAGACATAGATGGTTAAATAAAACTTGATTAAAAGGCCAAGTTCTCAAGGGTCGAGAGCCGTGGTGTAAAAGTGCGTTTTAAGTTTGATTTAAAAACAGGCAGTGAGGGAGACAGTCGGACATGAAGAGGAAGAGCATTCCAGAGCTTAGGCGTGCAACGGCAAAAACTCGGTCACCCTTGAACTTCAATCTCGACCTCAGGACAGTCAGAAGGCACTGATCAGAGGATCTGAGAGTCCAAGACATGATTAGGGCCCGATCGATATGGAATTTTGGGGCTGATGTCGATACCGATTATTGGGGGGGGGGGGGGGGGAATCCTATTACCGATTAATCAGCCGATTTTTAACATTTTTTAATGAAGTTATGAAAAATATAAATACTGTAGATATTCACAGTATACTATATACTGTAGGTGTACTTTAGGCCACTGCTCTTCACGCCGACAGGAAGATCGACTGATTGCCGCCGATCGGTGCCTCCGCGTCTGAACCCACGTTACTCATTTCCGGTCTGGAGACATTCAGCTGCCTCAGTAAGAGAAGTAGCTCGATCACTAATGTGTACTGTTGTTTGTTCTACTGTTACCGGCACGGCTAACAGTGTAGCAAGGCTAATAGCAGATGGCTAACTCTAACTTTAGCTTGCATATTACATGGTGCTCATTGTTTGACCGTTCGTGACCGAGACCAACACAGCGGGGAACATCGTGAAGTGGGTTGAACTGAAACTTGTTGACTTATTGACTGAAAATATCGGCGAAAATCGGCGAAAATTGGCAAAGATGGAGATAATAAAAACTGGCTTTTACAACCGCGTTAAACTGTAGATCCATGTTGAAATCTTGCCCAGATTTTTTACAGAGTCTTTAAGAAAGGGCTCAAAGTTGGACAGATCTGTTCTGGGGCAGCTGCCATGTGGTCCAAAGACAATGACTTCAAGTTTTTTCTAGTTTCCTGTTTGTTTTTAGTCATTTAAAGCCTGTTTCTCTGCTCTCTCTACCCTTTTAATCAGTGCAATACTGTAAAAAAGTGATCCAATCTTAAAGATCTGTCTCTGGACATGCCATAGTAGGAGGCTCATTTTAATATGGAGGCCATATGTTGGTTACCTATGTAGTTTTTTACACTTCGATAACAAGTGGATTTGTCCTTTTAAAGTTTTGGAAAATCAAAACTGCATTTAAGAAATGACGTTGTATTGTGGGCAATGTCCTTTTGTTGAGTAAGATTCATAGTTCTTTGTGCAGAACCAGGTTAGCATTCAACCACCGGTTTCCAGCCTTTTCCCCCAAAATAACAAGCTATTCCTTTTAAGAAACAAGTGAGGACATGCAGCTTTATCCTCACTGGTAAAAAGCATTCTCACGATATCATTCATAAGCGTTTCTCAAAAGGTAAATTTAGCATTTTGAATGATCTGGAATCAAATGTGACTATTTTATGCTAAAAGCAACTGATTGTAGGTAAGTGGGCTGTAAAAAAAGGGTGCATGAATCACCTTTTATCACATCTCCAACTAGCAATAAACCAGAGCAGAGGATCAAAGACATGAAATGAAAAGGAAAAAGGCGGTGTTACGGAGAGGTCACAGTGTCTCATTTCTTGGATAGAGCTCTGATGTCTCTGCATGTAAGTCGACTGATGAAATCACTGTCTGAACCTCTTCCTCCAGAGATCTGGATCGATGTATTTGCTCATAGATGAGTGCAGAGTTAACGTACCAGCATCTAAACAAAACTGTATTTTTATTTCTTTCTATATTTAAAAGCATCATACTGTATGTGTCTGATGGTGCTGTTGAGGGTTTGCTTCCTCTACCACAAGCCTCCTGATGAGAGATGACCTGACAGACTCTACCATGTGACTCTGACAGTGCTGTGCCCCCTGCCCCCCTCCTGAGAGACCCCATCACAGAATACCATTTAAGAGCAAAAGGAAACACACATTCACACACTTACAATACAAAGATTACCCCAGTCAAAGCCGCACAGTTACTCTGTGTGTGTGTGTGTGTGAGTGTGCGTGCGAACCCGGGAGCCATTCAGGTGGAAAATAACACTGCCCAATCAATCGCTAATAGAAAGTCTGTCCTCTGGCAGCGACCAATCAAACCATCACAATGAGTATTCTCCTTAAAACAACGGCCAATCAGTTGCTCCAAATGCTTTTGTTTGTCATGTTGATCCTGATAAAATGTAATTATTCTCTGTTTTTATGGGCTAATATTGATGGCAGGGCAGGCAGGGCTGATGACAATAATTAAATGCAAGCTAACAAGAAAATAACCAAAGGAAAGAGAAAATGGAAAGAGAATGAGCGTTTTTTTTCCACCCTGATGCCCTTTCAGTTTGTAATTAATTCAAATATGATTTTTTTTTCTGCAAGCATATAATCCATTTCAGCATTTTTCACATTCATTTTAAAGGATTTGATGGAGACTCATTTGAATAAACATTTTGCTCCATATTAGTCTGGGTAATGAAGTGGATCTCGGAAGAAAAAAGGCTTTTGTTATGAGAGTGCAGACAGTCGGGGTACTGGGGGGACTCACTTTGGTCACCTCGGTAGGGAAAATTGCTGGGGACCAGATTTAATCTTGAACAGAATGCTAATTATAATTTGTTATTTTTGATAAAGATGACATAGAGAAGTGATGAGCAGGGTGTTTTTTTGAAATTGACAATTATAGGCAACACTGTCCGTATTGAATTATAGAAGAAAAGTTAATGCAAACAGTTCATGTGCATGCTAAGATTGGTCACACTTCTATTTTCTTCTTATTGTTGGAGGCAACTTTTAATAAAAGAAATGAAGGAGGATTTATGTGAGCAGTTTCCCTGAATAAATACTGTAAGTTTAAAGTAAAAATATATGCCACAAGTTGCATACTTGTTACGTATCAAAACAATCGACAAAACCATCAGAGAGAGGCACGAGGCAAGTTTATTTGTATAGCACCGTTCACACACAAGGCAATTCAAAGTGCTTCACAGATGCTGGGAAATACATTGGAAATGACAAAAAAGACATTTAAACGATCTACAATCAATAAGACAATAATTGATGCAATAAAGAGTGAAACACTGAAAACACCACCACTATTACAGTTCTGTACTGTTTATCTGTACGATATGAACATTTTGTCTGTTTTTTTACATTCTGTCTTTGTCAAGGTTTTGTTTACTTCCTGGCTTCCTGGCAGCACATTTACACTACTCAGCTCCCGGTTTAAGAACACTGGAGAATGTGCAGAATACTTAGGCCAGTTTCAGTTCAACTTAGCCGAAAACATGGAAGAGAAAATTGATCCCTAACCGCATTATTCAGGTACAGTATGTTAGTCCAAATATGAGAAATTCAGTTTAGTGCAAATTCATTCGAACTTGCATGTTGACTTGTTTTTTCAAAGTCCAGTTTCAGTCGGACGAAGGTAATAAATCAATTTTCATCAGTGTCAACCATAGACTGTATATAGAATGGACGCCGTCTGCCTCCTTGCTTGGTGAAACCACCCTGAGAACAGCACCCTCTGGTGACGGGCTGCGGTATAGGTCATAAATCCCGCCTCCTCCAGCAATCCCTATGGAGCTGTGGACAAACTTTGGAAATTAATTACACAGAATATAAATTTTGTCTTCTTTTTTCTGTACTTCACACCAGATAAAAATAACAGCACCAGTCATAGGGGATGTTTTGGCTTCACTTTTGCTTCAACAAGGTGGGGTATAGGGATTGCCACTCTTGTTAAATATAGTTAAATTAAATCTATACAGACTCCTGGTGCATAAAGCATGAAAGTTTCTGGGACACACAAAAATGTGAACACAGTGAGGTTTTGAAGACAGAAAATCTGTGTTTTTGTCGTATTTCAGTGCGACTGAAATGAAATTTGAAAGAGCTGGGATAAATCTTCAAAGAGAAACCCACCTTTTGAGAAACCCTAATCTCCTTTTTTTCATTTTTCTTTATTCATGTTACACTGAAGTGATTGGCTTCTTATCATGTTTCTGATTTCTTTTTGAATACTTATCATGCCATGTAGTTTTTTTTTTTTTTCATAAATGTGCTCATCTTTGCAAGAACCAAAAACAACCTGGTCTCTGCTGGAAAAAAGAAGCACCAGTGTTATTTTTAAAAAGATGATTTCATGCCTTTATATTATTATATGTTTGAATAAGGTCAACAAAGCTATTCCCAGTCTCTGCAGAGTGTTATGGTCTGTGATTTTTGAGTCCAAATGTCTGAATTTAAAATACAAAAAGGCAGAAAGTGATTTAATGGGATTCATGACTCCTATTTCACTATCTTAATCGACTGTCTGTATTTTCTTGTTTTGACTCAGCCACTTTTATTATAAACAACCTCAGTCTGAAGCAAGGAAACACAAACACACACACAAACAGACACACACTCGTACACACAGCTATATGAATTGAAGATTAGTCTGCAGGAATCAGGGATTGCTGGCTCTCAACACAAATGTCATGGTGAGTCGTAACCTTTACTGGAGCACGTTATCTGCTCTGATAGCGTAGCCGAGGCCGGGACGGAGGACCAACGCGATGCGATTGGATTTGAAAGGTCCCCATCCAAGTCGTGCCCGCAGGCTATCTTGCCTCCACAGTTCAGCAACACCAGCAACTATACGGCACGTCGCAAAGTTTCAAGGATCTGATCTGTCCCGCCTCATCTGCATCTCCCCTGCCCCAGATTAATGAGCTGTGGCTGGAGAAACGGAGGAAGGGTCTGTTCTGTGTTGGAGATGAAACATGATTCAGAATAGGATCATAATGAGAAACAAAGTTCCTATAACCCGGCTGCTCTTTTTTATAGTTAAATGGTCGGAGATACGAGACTAAAAGATAGATGCGGTTGGCGGTGTTGGAGGCAGATGTGTATGTGCAGAAGTGCTGACATGTGTATCTGTCACTATGGGTCAGGAGTTATGAAGCTGACAATGCCAGCTCCTTGTTCAAACCTCAGAGATCACAGGATGACCTTGATGTCAGCTTGGATAGATGACTGTAGATATGCATTACATAAACAAAACTGCTTTTAGAAACTAAAGATATGTTTACTTCCATCTTAGTCATTTTTCTCACCATCTTTATCCAGAAAAGTACCTGATAATTCCCAAAGTATTGGGAAGTAACCCTCTTTTTACTGTGATCTACTCTAAGCATGCAGGTGCAGCTAATCAGACTGATTGCAGCAGCAACCACATCACAAAAGCTGGAAGAGAACTATTCTAGGGTGTGCAAATCTTCATCAACCTAGATTACGCTCAAGTGGGTGAAAGACGCAGGTCAGTGGGACATTGTAAACTGCAGTGAAGTTTCAGGTATACAGGACTCGCATATAAGCAATCAAACTGAAACTACTGAAAAAATGTGAGCATCATTAGACGTCACGACTAATCAAAACATATATGCTTTACATTGTTAACTGAACAAAGAAACTTTTTTGTCTGAATCATGAAATATCAAAGTTTCACAGCTAAATAAGATGCAGATAGTTTTTAGGTAGCTCTTAGAGAGGAAACAGTTTAAACTTTCTCTTGCGTGAAGATTTCCTTTACCTTGGTAGAGTGCAGTTTCTTTGTTAATGTGTAGGTCTTGCAAACTGGTGAGGAGACTGGCTGGGCAACAAAATTTACAAATCAAATTGAAATAAAACAACATGTACTCTCTATTTCATAACATTTATTGTAATATATCGTATCATATCGTATTGTATCGTATCCAATTGTGTCATATTGTATCGTATCGTACCATATAGCATCGGATAGTATCATGTTGTATCTTATCGTATTGTATCATGTCGTATCGTATCTTGTCGTATCACATTGTATCGTATCGCATCAAGTTGTATAAAATTGTATCGTATGTATCGTATTGTATTTTATCATATCATATTGTATCAAATCATATATGTATCATATCATATTCTGTCGTATCATATTATATTGTAACATCTCGTATCGTATCATATTGTATTGTATCAAGTCATATCTTATCATATTGTATTGTATCATATGGTATGGATTCGTATTGTATCAAGTCGTATCATAACCTATAGTATTGTATTGTGCCATATCGCATCGTATGTATCGTATTTTGTCGTGTCGTATCGTATCATATCAGTGGCTTGTGTTCGTATCTAATCCAATCTTCAGAACTGAAAATGAACAAAAAATAAAATAGTCACAAAGATATAACCAAGTTAAGAGTCTACAGCCACATTAGTGGACGGTTTATGTTGTTCGATAATGTAAATAACCGATCAGATGTCCTTGTGACCTTAATAGCAGCCTTAAATAGCCACCACAAAAGCTGATATTTATTTATTTTTTCATATGATTAACACATGAACCTGATACTGCTTGGTAATAAACTTTTGACTGTTTCGTATAACAACAGATCATTTTTCAAGTTTCCAACTGGAGGGAAAAAAACCCAAGGGTAGTTTGCAGCTCAAAACATGTATTCAGGTTCAAGAGTTCTAACTAAATATTTCCCTCTTACTTTAGCGCAGCTGCTTTTAATGTGTTTTAGGAACGCTCCTATCTCAGCAAGGATCACCAGCTCTTCTGTAGAACACCAGATCAGAGACTAGGTTGGTTTTCAGAGGAGCAAACTATGGTCTTGTGTTTCAACTTTGAAATAAGCTGCTTTTGTACTTCTCTAAAATAGCTGTTTCTCTCACTTCACTATCATTCAAGGGAGGTATCAGTAAATCTACACAGCTGGAAGATTGTAGATCTTTTCTATCCACCTCTGATAAGTGTTCACAGTGTGAGACACATTAGCGTCCAGGTTACCATTTGTCTTCACAGCAGGGGGCAGTAGTGAATAGAGTTTCTACTGAAAGACATGACCAAGTCCACACAGGGACGTCTGGTTGCTGTCAGGAGTTCATAAACCTTTCTTTTTTTTGTCCCTGTGAATGTGTTGTTTCTCCTAAAAGTAGAACAGGGCTGTCACGGATGACGCTGAAGAGTATTTAACTTGTAGTACCCTAAAAAGTACCAGCTAATGAGAGCCAAGGGTGGCCAGTGTGCCAGACTTTGAAAAGAACTGATGGCAAATAATTAAACACCAAGTTTCTGTTTCTCCTTACACTTTATCTATTTTATGCATAAATTACTAGACTCACATTTAAAGATATCATCTCCTGGAGTGTCTCACCACATACACGTTTGCAGATTTCGAGGACAGTTCTGTTGAAAGTGTTGACTTTTATGTGTGCAGAAGCTTGATGTTAATTTCTCATGAAATCTGCTGAAATTGAAGATTATACCATCAGGTGGTCTCTCTGCTGGTTGCATGCTCTTACTTGCCAGTTAGCTTGATTTGCTGCTGTCTGTGCTTCAGTGGAGCAGAGTGGCTCCACAGGGTGGCAGACTGTTGTTGTTCCTAGGTGTTGCTAAACGGCGGCTCCCAGGTTGCTCAGACACCGTCCAAATCCTCCATTTCTGCACCTGTTTCCAAGACAACTGACATTTAAAGGGGCAGCTCTGGTTATTGACTGTTTGCCCTTCACCGGCTCTCTGCTTGTACTTGAAAACTGTTTGCTGCGACCTGTGACTGTTTTATTATTTTCCACTGCAGCCCTCAGCAAACTTACTGCCACTTTGGGGGAGATGATAGAGAATGGAGTGCGACTCAAACCACAGGTGGGCTTTTTCTCTCATAGAAAAGGCAAAGGCAGCAGGAGAGGAGGCTAACGGGGTCTACGGTTACCCCTCCAGAAAAATAAATCAATATTGTTATAGTAACAATAATAAAGAACACATATAATACAAACATAGATAGTCCAGATGCATAAAAACCATTTTTATTATCTCTGTAAATTGCTTATATCATGACATTTCATTATGTGGGTTATCATGACTGTGTATTTGATTGGTGGCTTTGTGTCTCTGAAAGTGTAAATAGATACAACATGGACATACTATTAATAGTTTCTTAATTGGCAGCTTGGTTTGAGTGTTAAATAATTCAGTAAAGTACAACAATTTTATATTAATAATAATAATAATAATAAGTGTTTTCATGTCATAAGGAACCCAGACAATGCAAGAACCATGCAACATAAAATGAGACCACGAGGACCAAAATAAAAATATAAAATAGTTCAGAGAAAAGAAAATGCAATTAAAAGGGAGGACAAAAGCGGAAACAGGATAGTAAATATAAAAGGCAATATCAACAATGATAATAAAATAATAACAGGTAATCCTGATAATAATAGTAATGATGAAATAGAGTAACAGAAATGAGCAAGAGATAAAACAACAAAAGGCCTAAAAGGTTAATTAAGAAAAATGTACAAGTATGAAAAAAGCTAAAAAGACTGTAAAGCCGAAATAAGATAGTGATCTGAGTAAAGACTGTCTGACTTTTGTTATCGACTGCAAATGAGAAATAATGGCAAATGTTGACGACTTAATCCTGGAATGCAGATGTAAACTGCTAGAAAGGTGGAAGAAACCGTCGTCCTGCACTGATATCTCATGTTTAAGTCTTCAGCTAAGTAAGCTACTTCATTCATGCCCCTGGCTGTTATAAACTGCAGCTGACGGGCAGTTGCTATGTAGCGACAGTTTTGTGTTGCTTTTTGCCTGTTGGCATTAGGGATTGTGATCGGGTCCGTTAAATACCCTGTTTAGCTTCATTTAAAAAAAAAAAGAATTGAAAATTAGTAACATTTGAGCTTATCATGTCCATCGGGACCAGAAAGAGGCTGGGGTGCATTTGCAAGTGAGGTATTGTAAACAAAGAAAGATATAAATAATTATTATAAATTAGTTTTTTTTGTGCACAAAAATCGTTCTACAAGACATTCTGGCCTTTTTTTGACATGGGGGCGGGGTTAGATGATTGGCATGTCAATGGGGGCAGGGTTAGATGAGCCAGTGTCCAGAGAGGAAATACACAAAACTATAGAAGAAGAAGTCAAGAGGATGGGAGTAGGGACCTCTGGTTCACACTCCTGCATGGTAGGTGGCGGTATGCACCTCTAACGTTGGTTGCCATCCGCTCTAAAACAAGAAGAAGAAGAAGTCAAGAACTTCTATGCAGTTTAACAAGGTTGGCGGACCAGAGCAGTGGTGGATCAAGTGCAGGATCTCAGGTATGTACAGTCAATAAATTAGCCTAGAATGTAGGATTTATCATTTGTCAACACACCATGATGCACTCTAGTTTGCTCTGCTCAAGCTGTTGCTAGCACTGACGCTAACTAGCGTAGCCTAGATAAGGGAAGGCTAACATTGCTGTTGCTAGGCTAGGGCACTCTTAATTAGTTCATAGGATCGTGTAATCTGACATTTAGGGTTAACTAGTAAATTAAGAGGTCTACAGTACTTCACTTACGTTTATGAATCTTTTTTTGTTTGTTTATAATCCCTCACTTGTGTTTACAATGCTTTCCGGCCTCCTTTTGACTCCATACACAACTGCCATGGCCAAGCACATTAGCATTGTGCATCATGTCAAATTACTGTTATGAAACATAATCCAGAGTTAAATCTGATGTTGAAATCCATGTTGACATCAGTAGGACAAAAGCTGACTAACCACAGTGAAGTATCTTTGATGACAAAAACCAAGTACACCCAGAAAGAGGATCTTATTTTCTATACTTATATCAGTTCTACTCGGTTGTTGTACCAAATGCTATATTTCCGATAGTTATATTTCTGTAAGCAGCTACCATTTTGCCTTGTCTCCTTTGTTTCATTGCCAGAGAAAGAGAGACAAAGGGTGGGTTTGAGTCACTCTCTACGCTTAATGTGGGAAATCAGCCTAAATGGGGCAACCCAGTGACTGCGGAGTAAGTGAGAAACAGGTTTATGTAGACACAGGAACCCCACAGTGTAACCACCATGCCACCAAATTAAAATGAAACCACAGAAGATGAATGTAGTGGGTGAGTTTTCTTCCCTCCTCTTCTCCTGATATTCCCAGCTAGAAGCCGCCCTTCAATGCTGTTTTAAGTTATCAACACAGAGCCTGATGTCTCAACCAGACTACGGTTTCCTTTGGGTGATGCTGTTGAAATTATACAGTAATAGGTGAAACCAGCCAAGCAGGAATAATGGGGTTTCTCTCCACAGATTAGCGGCACATGAAGGTTTTGTAACAGGCGAAAAAAATCCTTTTCTTCTCCAGAGTAACACAAAATCACACAGTTAGAAAACAGATCAAGTATTGTCTTCTGCAAAAAGAAATAGAATAGTGGATATTTCAGCAGAAACATGAAGAATTTTAGGAGTGATTTGTTGATAATAAGGATGATCAGTATTTGACCTGATATGCATCAAAAATCCAAAGTGATTGAAGAGTTATCCACACATTTACTCTACGCTGCGGTCTTCTATACATTGAGCCTACAGTCTATTAGACAGCAGGATACATCAAGTAACAAAGAGTAAAAACTACCAACCTCACTGGCTTGGTTATTTTCACAGTGCTTTATTCTTACAGAAATGTGTAATTTAAATCATTTTCCTCTTTTACACCACACATGGTTGACTTTTTACCTTTTTTAGCTCCTAGTAACTTCCACTCTAGCCCACCTGGGTGCCATGTTTCCGCAGGCAAATGTACTTTAGATCATACAATAGAACACTTTCAGCCATCTTTTCCCTGATATGTTTTTTTTCTTCTTTTCATTTCATTTTATTTATTCATCTGGTTTATTTAACCAGATGAATAGTTTTAGTCATAGCTAGCAAGGATATGTTAGCAACAGCTCAGCCTTAGGCTGTGCCACATACTCACTTTGTTTCCTTCTGTCTCGATCTTTGCTTGGGTTGAACTTACTCTAGGGTGACCATACGTCCTCTCTTACCCGGACATGTCCTCTTTTTTGCGGGATGTCCGGGTTTGTCCATCTTTGTCCGGGGAAGTTTGTAAAATCCTTCAAATGTCCGCAGTTTTGTACGCAAGTTTTGATTTTGTGTCATGTGGACTTATTGAGTTAGAAGCGTGTGAAAGACACTTGATCTGACCTTAAAAACTCCCCAAATTAACTCTGTGTGACTTTGTGACCTGTTTCCTCTTTTTGGAAAGTCAGAATATGGTCACCCTAACTTACTCTCAAATGTGTTTCAATGTGGACACAATCATCTACAAAATGAAACTGTAAAACTGAATGTTAACTCTCATACATAGCTCAAATGCACAGTGGAAATATATTAAAGTAAAAAGCAAAAACAATCATTTTCCAGAGAAGTACCATTAGAGGGATATTTGATACAGACTAAAACATAGTCTGACTGCTGTTAGTTTTACATGAGACATTTGGTCTCACATTTAGATCTGACATTTTCCCCTTGTCACTGTTGAATCTCCTTCACCTTTAAAATTAGGTGATCCAGTTATTGCAGTCTGGATTGAGTGAGAAATAGCAATAAAGAAGCTTAAGAAATAATGTAAGACAGGTGAGCAGATGTCCAGCATATGCGCTCTTTCTCTAGCAGTGGGTCTCTGCCATTGTGAGTCTCACACCATCCTGTAGTTGTAGTTTCTTTCACAGTAGTATGGCCTTCAGTTTTCACATGTTGTATCACATGCAGACCAGTAGCAGAGCATGTAAAATAGACTTTCAGTGCCATGTGGATTAAATAAGATGACTTTCACTTAAATTTTCTTAATGTAGTGTTACATTGGTTATAATGGAGGAGGCAAGCTCTAAGACCTTTACCACAGCTGGTCACTGGGGAACGTTATGGAGGTTTTGGCTTCAATCATGACAGCTGTTATCCTGTCCATATTTTCATATAGTCTGTTGACTTGCACAGTGTGTTTTAGAGCTCATTTGTTGGAGATATGAGTAACTTTTTTTTTAAAAGACAAATTCAATTTTTTAGAGCTATTTACTGGGTTAACTTGATATGTAATTACATGTAATCTGCAAATGTGCATTTTTTCATGGGAAAATTAGAGATTTTCTCAGTTGTATGTTGACTCATTTAGCAGAAGGTCTGACCTTAGCTGATGTTGGTTTGGTTGTAAACCCTTTTAACTCTTTACTGATGATGAACAGTTTAATTTTACAGTTAGCCCAACTCTAAAACAAGAAAAAAAGATCCTTTAAATTCCTCATTTGTTTCATTTTTGTGACTTTAATGTAAGAAATATTTTGAATGGACCAGCCTGGATTCTGTCTGTAACATGTATATTAACATCACTTTCATTACTCTACTCTCTTTCACTCTATCAAGTAAATCAAGTATAGAGGTTATGCTTTCAAGAGGAACAAAGAGAAGGAGCAATTTCCTTTTAAATTTAGTTCTTTTCACAGAGGCAAAGTTGGCTTTAAACATATTATTAAAAAGATTGGGTGGACACAGTAGCCTGGACCCAATTTCATTTTCTGAACTTTTAACTTTCTGTGAAATGTCTGCAAAGATATTTTTAGAGCTTCAAAACTCAGCATAAATCAAAGTTTTATAAGGTGACCTGATTGGATTAGACTTGCAAAATAGTACCTCACGTACCCTTTGGATCGATGCGTCGTGGCAGAAATTGTGTTTTTGTTCAAGAAATTATGTTGAGAATATAACAGACAAAAGGCTGGTTTTCCAAAGTTTTGAGAAACTTGGAAAAAAGGCAGCGTGGCAGGGAACACACAGCTGTTTGGATCTGACTGTCGCACTCAAAATAAGCTGAAGAGACAATTCACTGAGTCGGCATCCGTGTAGGATTTTGTAATTAGAGCATTAAGCAAACGTTAATCATTATGAAGACTTACAGCTGTACAAAAATCAGTCCTGCAGTTGGGAGAAAAAGGCATCATTTCATGCGCCGGGCAATTTTGTCTTAAGCAATATCAGTCTGTGAATATCTGAGTTTGCGTGTTTTTTCCACTAATGAGGCACTTAAAGTGACAAAACAGGGAATATTAAGATCGAACAAGTAAATGAGAAGGACAGAACTAGATCACACAAGCTGCTTTGCTGCATCTGTTTACATTTACATGAGTTTTTGTGCCAGAAAAGAATATTTTATCTGAGTAATTTCTCTATGATGACTGCAGACGTTTTATCTGAAGGGCTTTAATGTTGGAGGGATTTGTCCATTCAAGGCACTCCTTACAAAATATTCTGCTACCACGTTCAGATCTTTTTGAGATGCCATGTGACGTGTCTTTAAAGGTCACGCATACAACACTTGTCAGCTTGTAAAAGGCCCATGTAAAATTTAGGAGAGAGGGGCAGCTGAGAGGCAAGCGGACAGATACGAGACAGGTTAATTGAGCGAAAGACAGGCCACTTGATGCATATTCACCCCAACATACTTCTCCTGGCAAGGGCTCGCAAGGTCACCAAGATAAAAAAGCAGAACCGTGATGGTGAAGTCCCACTTTCCCCTCTCCCAGAGTTACACCAGCCTCCCCCTCCCTCTTCTCTTTGTTTTTTTTGGACTCTTTCTCTTTCTGTCTCTTTCACTCTCCTCTCCCTGTGTCGACTCCCTGATCGGGCGGCAGACAGCGTGTAAGTGCTCTAACCCTGAGAAGTCTCCAGGAGCTCTTGTGATTGGCTCTGCTTTGCAGCACAGTTCACAATCGATTAAGGCACGGTGAGCTCCCGTTAACAGCTTTTCTCTGCTGCTCCTGTGGCTTTGATACTGTCACAGAGACTCCAACTTCGCTCTTAACCCTTCAACCACTGTCCTCACACACACACTCTCTCTCTCTCTCTCTCTCTCTCTCTTTGTCTCTCTCACTTTCTCCCTTTCACTTTCAAAGCCTCTGACTCTCTCACTGTATTGCCTCTCAAAGATACCTCATACAACTCTCACTCTCTTTTTTTTTTTAAGTTCTAACTCTTAAGTTACTTAAAGCTTCTCCTCCTCACACTCACCTTGTCCTGTCATCTTAAGTTTCACTCAAGTTTTGTGTCCTCGGGGAGAAAGAGCAAAAAGACGAGAACGAAAAACTAAGATATAAAAGGAGAAATGTTCTCTATAGCAATCATGGAATAAGTTGCCAAATAAAATGGATGATGTCTTGCATGAATTTGAATCGGTGCAACTGTACGCAAGGGTGTCACAGTTGTAGGGAATAGTGAAGTTGACCATTCACAGCCCCACAGCGCAATATCCCCAAGAATTGAATTCATATTGTGCAATTTTTCACCACACAATTTGTAACCACTCAAGTGCAGGAGGTCCAGGAGTTTTCCATGCGGGCAGCATGCCGCAAATAAAGTGTGGAAGCAGAGTAGCTGAGCACGAGAGTGTGTCATGAATTTTTGAATGCTAACCAAGGTCTCCCTCTCAGCCATAGACCTACAATAGTATTTGCTTTTTATGACCTATAAGCAGCACTTTACTTACTTTAACCATACCATAACCTGTATAGGAAGTATGAACTGGCCCTTTGGTCAGTCTCTCTGCCAAAGACGGACTCTTGGATCCTTGACTCAGGACACTCAGATGAGTCAAAACATCCATCTTTTTGCTATTGCAGAAGCCAATGAGTAGCAGTCACAGGTAGCCTGAAATTGCAAAACTGATGAGTATTTGGTCTGAAACTGCTCAGTCTAATTTTTGTTTCCAAGGTGTGTTACCAACCACAGTAGCTCAATTGTTATTATTTCTTATGTAGCATACATTCATAGTAACAGTTATCTCAGGATATTTGGTGTAGAGAGTGGTTATTTGTTTGTCAAATTTCAAAAACTGGATCATAGAGGATACCCAGGTTTCTCACCTGAGTGTGTAGTCGAGGTGCCAATTAATGAGCTATTTTCTGTGTGGGATCAGGGGGACCTGGCAGAATTTCATCATTGAGCTGTAGTGCGTTCTTTGTCATCCACTGTTTGACACGGTGGAGGCAGGGTTTGAGTTGATACTGCCAGCAGGGTCTGACGGAGGTATAAGTGGGTGTCATCTGCATAGAATAGAATAGAATAGAATAGAATATTCCTTTATTGATCCCCCATGGGGGAAATTTTTTTGTCATAGCAATAGAGTAAAATGTTGTTTTTTAAAAATTGGAATTTAGAGAGCCCACATACACACGGGGGATTGTACAGGCTCTATTATAGAGCCTTGATGTACTCCGCAAGTGATAGATGATAGTGACAGTGCTGTGATGTACCCTAAATTAGATTGAAATCAATTTCTAGTAATGACAGCGGCTAGTGATAAACCATTTTTTTCCAATTTGTTTAATAGAAAGGGCATCTTTGAAATGGAACAAATAATTTAAATTTTAAATAAATGAAATTATTTAAACTCTTGAATTAAAGGTTTGATTTTTTAAAATAAAAGAATGAACCACTGGATGCTGATAGAAGGAAGAGATAGAGCCATTTGATAGACTGCTTGTAAGGATAAGGGAAACTGCGGGTCCTACTATGTCAAACTCTTCCACCAGGAGTCATGTGAGGACAATGCCAAGAGGAGAAGTAGTGGGTTTATTGTGGAGTTCACATCTTTAGTGTCATCAAGAGACTCTAGCCCAAACCTACTAAGGACAGCTGAGGAGTTTAATGACTACAACCCAGTTTCCAAACTCTGAGCTCTTGCGAAGTTCTTTGAGAGTGAAGTGAATTTAAAGTTGAAGCATTTTTACACAAGATGAAAATATTTCTGATCAAAACATTAGACGGACAACAAAATTCTGCTGCTTTATTTGTAGATCTTTGCAATACCAGCTTAAGTTTGAAGACTATTACTTGATTTAGAGATAATTTTGCAGATCAAACTCAGAGCGTCTATGCAGAGGGCCAAAAATCTGATTTCTAAAGGTGTCCCCCAGGGCTCAGTTTTGGGACCCATTCTGTTCTTTGTTTCTATAAATGACCTGGACAAGAATATCGAAGCACTAATCCACCTCTATGCTGATGATACTGTCATCTATACCCATGCTCCTCCTGTTATAAAAGTGCTGCAAGAGCTTCAGACAGCATTTCACTCTTTACAAACAGCTCTACTGAATGTTCATTCCATCTTTGAATGCCCTAAAGACAAAATTCATAGTTTGCTCCAAAAACAGATTCATTGCAACAACGAGATGATTTTAATATATTGTCACCACTGAAGGTAGACTCTTTGAAAATGAGACCTCCTACGAGTACTTGGATATTTAAATAGACAACAAACTCTCATTCAATGTACTAATGTGGTTAAAAAGCTTAAATTAAAGTTTGTTTTCTTTAAGAAATAAATTGTGCTTTACTTTCAGTGATGAGAAGAAAACGTGTGGAGGCTGCATTTCTGTCTGTGATTAGTGATACACTGTACATGCTTCCTTCATCATCCACTTTTCAAACCCTGGACTCTGTGAATCATTTATCTCTTTGCTTTATTACTAACACAAAAAACTCTCACTTACTTTTGCATTCTTGATGATTCAGTAAATTCACAATTTGCAGACAACACTTGTTTATTTTCACACATAATGCAGTACTTGGAAAACTTCCATCCTGCCTCTGTACTTCGCTCTTCACCAGCTCTCCTCTAATCTGCAGCTTTTTACTGTCCCTTGAGTTCTGGCAGATCTTGGGAAAACTTCCTTTTCCTATAACACTCTTTGGTCTTCAAATACAGCTGTAATTGGACATATTAATATCCCTTACATTTGCAAATCACATGTCGACCTTGATGGTTGAATAAGTGAGCATTAAATTCAACGAAAATATCAAACTGCAACCAAAAATACAAACAGTGTTTAAACCTACATGATTGTGTTCAGGGCTGTCACTTCAGCTAACAGGTTCTGACGGCGCTCTCCTTCCTGTCTGGTCTTAATCAACCATGTCAGCATCCAGAGATATCACTGCCATTGTAGTCAGAGCTTCAAAGCACAAGTGGTTTGCACAGTCTTTCTTTTCTGCTCTTGTGCATTATGTTTAAAACTGCTGCCTTCACAATGAGTCATCACGTAAACATCACACAGCCTATTATACTCTGCTGTTATGCATAAATAAAATGCACTGAAATTATATCTTTGTAGAGACAGGATTCCAAGTGCGTAAGGAAAATAACCTTGAAGAGATGTGGTCACGATTATCATTTCCTTTTCTTTTCACTTCTAAAATAAACAACTTGTCAAAATTGTGAGTCAGAAACGGGTCAGAGCAGATGTGACCAGAGTTAAAATGTAGTAAAAATGATTGAAGTTTGGTCCTAGGTGATCAGACCTGATTTCAGTGTGTTTTCAACCAAATTTCAGTGTGGAAATCTTAGACTGTTTATACTTTGGACAACTTGGTTCCACCTTCCGCCAGTATACGTATTTGAAGCCAAAAATCTTAGTTATTTCAGGTTTTTTCACCACTCTCAATCATAGAAAACATGAACTTTCAAATAACTTTTAAAAACAGAGCTGCACAGAAAAAAGAGGACTTGAGCACAAACCAGTTTTACAATATCTACATGTCAACATCACAAGCAGGGGAAGGAAACATTTGTATTCTGTGTAATTTATTTCTAAATTTTGTCCTCAGCTCCGTAGAGATTGCTGGAGGAGGCCGGATTTATGACCTATACTGCAGCCCATCACCAGAGGGTGCTGTACTCGCGAGGAGGCAGACGGTGTCCATGCTATATACAGTCTATGACTCAAACCAAATCAATCTTGTCTGTACGTTTGTGTTGTTTTTTTTTTATTTGCATTTGAGTTGGGATGCACACATAATCAAAGGAAAGATAAGGAGCTGGGTAGAGTTTTGGTTTAGGTTCAAAGTTAATTTTCTTCCCTTTAATGTGGAAAAAAGTCCAAACGTAATGTGCAATAATCAATACATACCTGCTACCACAGTGGAAGACATGACTTCTGTGTGTCTCCACTGCTAGCCTTGTGTTTGGTTGTAATTGTAAATGACACCTGGATAAATATAGCATAATAAAATTCCTCCCTGCACTCTCCTTTTTTCCTCTCTAGCAATTAAATGATCACTCTGTCTTAGCTTTTCTCTTCTACGCAGTCATCTCCACCTCCTCAGGATGAGAGGAAAAAATGTCTCTGGTTATGCATGAGTAGAAATGCAATTCATACTAAACTACGATCAAAATGTGAAATTTATAGCTTTTTGTGAGGCTGTTCATGTTGCACGCGGCAATAGCAGACAGCATCGCCTGAAGAAATTATGTGGGTTTTTTTTTTTCCCTCCTGGTTTTTATTGTGAAAAGGCACTGAACCATTCTCTCAGAAACACAAAGGATGTGCAGTGAGAGAGGCCAATGGCTCGATCTGCCCAGACTGAGTGTTCTTTTCTTCTGCCCTTTTTTTCTATTTTCTCTTTTGTGGCTAACAGAAAAAAAATGCTTTAAGTGGCATTTAACTTGTGGCAAACATCGCCTGCAGCAGCTGAACACTCGACATGTTCCCGCCATATGTGAACATGTCTTCATACCTGATTTATTACGGTTCTGTTTTATGAGGCTCATTCATCCAAACAAATATGTCTACTGTCAAATTTCGGTTGTTGTTTGTTTTTCTTGTTGTTTGTTGACCCATAGACCCTCCGAGTCGACCTCTCTCTACAGACAGTGTTTTCTATGATATATTCATAGTGTTTCTTCTCTTTCAACAGTGTTTGTTTGAACATAAGAATGTGCTGCTTTCGCTCAACACCTCATGCAGGTATTCGTTTTAAAAAATAGTCCTCAGAAAAAGGCTTGGGAATGGCTTTCTTGAGGTTTATAAAACAAACAAAGTTAAAAAATCTATTATGTATTACTCTGCTGACTTAAATTTGAAGATTTAGATATGATCGTTCCAAAGTTGAGGCTCAAATCTAAAGGAGATCGAACTTTTTCCATCAGGGCTCCTTGACTTTTGAGCGACCTACCTGAGGAGATGAGGAGTTGAGGAGAATCAGTGATGTCTTTTAAATCACTCCAGACTTTCTGACTCACTTTAACAGACTTGCTTTTACCTGGTTTTGATTTTTTAACCACTTTTCAATTTGAACTTTTTTATTTTATTTTGAAACTTTCTTTCATATATTAATACTTTTGATCAAACCATTTGTTTGCAGTAGTGATGCACGATATGAAAAATTTCAACCGATACCGATAACCGATAATTTTCTTCTTCTCATGGCCGATACCGATACCGATAACCGATAAATTCATATTTTTACATTTATTATAATCTTCATATAATCTGCAGTTTGTGCAGGATGCAGCGATTGAAAACTGATGTTTTTGTTGCTCTGGCCTATCTAGAACAACAAACAAAAGTTTTTGGCTCTTCAAATGTGGTCATTTGCTATAAATAACAATAACAGAGCAAAAAGCAGAACTTCATTTGATCCCCTGAACTGTTCAACAGAACTGTAAACTGTAAAGGAGCTATTATGAGACGTTAGGCTTAGCATGCTGACCGGACTAACATCTGACGTCCATATGTCTGTGGTAAAACTCACGTGTAGTCCGTTCTTGTCGATCAGGTTGTGAATGTATGTGGCGACAATATCATAAAGTGCAGGAAGAGACACATCCGAGAAGAAGCGGCGGCTTGGGAGAGTGTAACGTGGCTCCAAGTGTGCTATTAACTTGCGAAAACCCGGGTTCTCAACGACGGAAAAAGGCTGGTCGTCGACCGCTATGAACTCCATCACTTTGTCGTTAATGGCTTTAGCCTTTTCGCTGTCTCTTGAGAAGCTTTTGCAGTTTTTAAACGCCCGCTGAATGGGGACATCGATCCTCCGTAGTGTTGTTGTCTTAGCTTTAGTACCGCTAGCAGCTTCGGCGGCTGTCTCATATTCTTTTACTACCGCTTCGCCGCGATGGCGACTTTTCAGATGAGCTATCAGATTCGCTGTGTTAATACTTGACGTCTTCTTTCCTCCTCTCGGAATCCTCGCTGAACAGGTTTTGCATATAGCAATGCTGTTGTCATCTTCTGCCACTGAGAGACACGACCATGCTGGTGAAGACATTTTATTATCTGTCAGGTAGTGACGGGGTCAGGCTTGGGACCTGCGAGTAAGGTGCGATAGATGACGTAACCAGCGCGTCTCGGACGGGCGGCTACTCCGCCTGCAAACGTTACTCGTAATTTCATTAATATATCGGATCTTTCTATCGGAAAAATGCACCTATCGGACCGATAAAAAATGACGTAATTTCCCCCCAAATCGGCCGATATTCTATCGGTCCGATAAATATCGTGCATCCCTAGTTTGCAGGTCCTCATCTGATCCTCCCTTTACTGTTTTGATTACATTCTTTATATTAAGTTACTTATTTATTCCTTTCTTTATGGGATAGTTTATTTGTATCTCACTGCCCCTCATCTTTGTGAGGTGTTTTTATTCTGTGATGTGATGCTGTCTACCTTTTTTGTTTTTCCTTTTGTCTATTTTTCCTTCTTTTTACCTCTCCCTGGAATCTTTTTTTGTCCCTAAAAAGCAAATTTTTCATGATTTCTGCCACTTTTTTTTGCTATGATTAATAAATTATTTTTCCACTTATGATTATCTAATTAGCTTTGTCTGTCAAAGTACCTAAAAACTTCACTTCTGTGCAGCTGCTTTGTGTTTGCAATGAGGATATCAAATCTTGTAACCTGGCTGTTTTGAATTCTTGATTCTGATTGGTCAAACTTCTTGAGAGGAGTTCAGCCCAGTTCACCTCTGCCTGTTGACAATGTGGCAAAAATACTATTTGGTGTCTCCGCCTGGTTTTGAGCGTTAGGAAATAATGACAGTGAGTGGGCTCATCTGTGAGAGGAGCAACAGCGCCCCAACCAAGGAATCAGCAAATACTTTAACTAAGGTGACCATATTCTGAATCCGTAAAAAGAGGACACAACTACGCAGGGGCGGAGTCACGGAGTCGTGGAGTCATGCTCAGTTAATTTTGAGAGTTTTTCGGGTCAGGTCGAGTGTTTTTTACGCACTTCTAACTCAGTAAGTCCATGTGACACAAACTCAAAACTTCCAAACAAAACCTCGGACATTTGAAGTATTTTATAAACTCCCCCGGACGAAGCTGGACAGCCCCCCAAAAAGAGGACATGTCCAGGTAAAAGAGGATGTATAGTCACCGTAACTTTAAACCTTTTCTCTGGATATCAAAATAAATGCGTAATTTCACTACTTTCTCAACTACATAGACAACAAATTTTCCCTGAGTCAATTATTTGCTTAAAAAACCCGACATCTGCAATTTCATGGTGACTGTGAGGATGTGATTTGATCAAAAACTTCAGAGGAGGTTAGAAATGGACATGGTGGTGAGATGATTCTGGCAGCTTTTCTGTCACTTCTGTGGTGATGATAAACAAGTTTCCCTGCCCGGCATGTGTAAACCATGTTTAAATACATCACAGAGAAAAGCTGACAGACTTGATAGCCCACTCAACACCAACATTTTCTCTCCTGCTTCATCTCCATGACTTTAAAATCACAGAAATGTCACATGAATCTCCCCAAAAACACAGACTGCAGAGGATTATGGCAGAGCAGCGTGTCTGCTGTGCAACAGGTGATGACAATCTTCATCACAGACTGACAACAAACAATCAACCTGCTGTTGTCTTTTTTATGCCCAGAGCCCTTCGGGTGTTGTAGTTAGTGCTGATCTCTTCATCGGTGTGGCAGCAAAGTGCTGATGATGGCAGGTGTAATGGAAGGATGAGGATCCAATGCTGTGGGAGCAGACATGACCTCCAGGGCCTCGCTCGCTGTGTTTGTTTGGAGATGGATCTTGTTGGGACCTTGCCGGTGTTCGGTGTCCCCTGCTTGGCTCCTCTCGCCTCAGAGCTGTAATCACAGCAGACTGCATGTCACAGCGTCCTGCTCTAATTGGCCTGTCACTCTCTGTTTGCCGGGAGGGGGGGCGGCGCTGGCCTTTGTGAGGCTGCCATGGCGACTGGGCCATTTAATGAGAACGAGCACGCTGTGACTAATGACATCCCTGAGCCCATCGGATATACTGCAAATGGACAATTTGCTGCATCACTCACACACTCACACAACAATACACAAACATGGAGGTACACACCTCAGTGTGGTCAAAGCTCATTGAATAGAGGACACCTCTCACCATGAATCAATACATGACAAGTGGACTTCAGTGTTATGCAAAAGCTATCATCCATTTTTATATACTTTAAGCATTAATAGCTTTATCTAATAAAGCAGCTGCTAATGTAATGCGGTGATATTAACTACAGCTTAAAATACACATTAACTGTAACGAGGGTCATTGCTCAGGGGACTCTAATGATAGACGTGGAGAATATCATCTAGAACAGGAGTACGGATCTAAAGCTGGCTCTGGAAACACAGTCAGCCGTGTTTGCTGAGAGAGGGGGACAAAAGAGAAATTTGCTTGTTCATCTTCCATCGCTGCACATCTTCCAGTTTATTGGTCCATTAGTAACAAAGTGACAAAACAAACTACATGGACATCTATCAAGTATATCATTTCCGTCACTGAGCAGAAACCTGTCTCATTTTTGATTTATCAGAGGGTGACAACATGCCTAAAAAAAAACAACAAATGATCACAGAGTTTCAGGTCAAAATGCAGTCAAGCTTGTACAGCGAACACTTTAGGACCTTTGTTTGAATGCTGACAAAATCAATAACCTTTTCTTATTAGTTTAAAATGATTATCAGAGTTAAGTCGCAGGCTGATGGCAGATAGGACCCAAATGCAGACTAAAGTCAACCAATGCAGGTATCATTCAGCCGCCCACTCTCAGTCAGTGCGTTTGCATGCACAGTTTAATCGGACTAAGCTCATAATTCGTTTTTTTATCGCCAATTCGAAATTCTCTCCTTGTCCGCGTATACATGCAGCTGAGGAAATTGAATTATTGATATGAACGTGTCATCTTCCCCAGAGCTAGGGGGCGATATAGGGCTTTTTCGGGTTGACACAACAAAAACAACAGCAGGTCCGTGCCAGACGTCAGAAGTGGCTTCAACTGCTGCTGGGCATTTTCAGGCAAGGAGATTGAGCATCGTATAGTGTTGTTTTTGTCGTACATGATGTACGCACTACTTTCGTACGGACGTCGGAGCATGGCGGATAAATTCAGAACACAGTAGTTCCGGAAAGGAAGTCGGGCACAGATACAAAATAACACATCCAGCTTCTTTTCAAAATAAAACACTTTGTGTTTCAGGTGGGCGGGGACGGACAAGTGAAAGGTTTTTAGACAGCGTTTCACCTCGATTACACCATGGATGAGTAGATGCTGATTTTAGTCTAGAAGTGGATTTCCTCTTCTGGAAAGACACAATCTACTGCTTTTATGGTTATGTGGCTGTCTTTATAGAGACAACTTGTTATCCCGCGATTGCACGTGAATCCGCGGGTTCTTGTGAGTTCTCGTGATTACCGCTGTCTGTAATCTGCCACAAAATTCGGATCTGGTAGGAAGTGGCAGACAGCAAAAATCGCCGCCATTCCAGATCGGAACTGTTCTGGATATGGTGGAAATTGGGGGTGACAGACTCTGCTTAGTTACAACGTAAATGTAGTGATAATAATAACTTGTATTATCTAAATATTAATTGTCTGTTGGGATAATATCATTTGACCATGATTACGGTTCGTTGTGCTAGCAGACTGACCTAAAATGTAAGAAGCAGCATCCAAGTAAAGGAAATGAGTGAACATCTAAGTAAACCACAGCTCTGGTGATTCCTGTTGCCTTTATAACTCATGCTGTATCTTCAGCCCCATACAGCCCCATCATAGGGCCTGCTTTGACAGGGGCTGAACAACGCTACATTGGTTTAGACAGGCATATGGAGGAAATCAAAGAAAGAGACCCTGCTGTTATCACACTCTGTGCACTTAGACTCATTATCATTAATTAGTGCCTTGGTGAGGCACCGTTTCCACAGTTCAACATGCTCGCAAAATCAAAACATGAATCGAAATGCCAGGGAAAATCTGGCCCTCGCTGCAATCCCCAGTTAATCAGCAGTGATAATGTTTTGCTAAACTCTAATCTTGTCTGTGAATATTAATAAGGGCTCTGAGGGATCTCAGCTGAGTGATGAGAGAGTGTGCTGGTGGCTCCGGCCGAAAAAAAAAAAAAAAGAAAAACGACGGCCAAACAGATTGTTAAACCACTCAGCTCTCACTTTGGCTGTCTTTGTCTCCCTCAGTGGCTCTTCACTGTGAAAGTGACTGTTTCAGTAGCAGCACTGGGGTTTTGTCAACAAACGGCCATTTTGCATGCATCACCCACACAGCCATGAGACACACACACAAACACACACACGGCTGAACACAAAAAGATGGCATGCATGAGATTAGAGAGTACACCTCTCTGAATAGTGAAGCTTTTTGTCCTCTTGAGTGTCCCGGGATGATTAGAAGCGATATCTCTGAAGGGCATCAGGAATGTTTACAGCCCATGTAGCCTTTGAGAATCGATAATGACATGAAGACCCTGGGCAGGTTAATGGCGTGTGAAGGGACTGTTATGTATAAAATCCAGATTGTTGCTTGTAGAAATGGTGCATGCATCACATCGCGAGTACTGAAGTCTGACTGCTGCGGCTGAACCGAGCCTGGCCTGTGACCCTTGTCGAGATGCGACGTCAAAATAAGCCGAATCAATCATGGGGGGAGTGTTCGGCCATTACAGGCCAAATGAGATGACCAGCAGTCATGCCTATGGGTTTGCCTCCATTTTATAACATATTACAAACACACTGATGACAGTGGCAGCTGAGGGTGTATGTCTTCAGGAAGCACTATCCTGGGTTAGGTAACCATAACAATAAACCATAAAGGGAAAAAAAGCACCTTGAGATCTGCACCGGGGGCCAGTAGTCGCCTCTCTCTTGTGGCTAACCATCTATGGTTTGCTTTCTAGCGGGGGGCATCCTGGGCTGATGGGACATGCAACCCCTTGGAGGTGAAATTTATTGGTATGGATTTTTTTTCCTGCTACTGGTGCATTGAATCAGTGTGACCAAGCAGGCGGGCAGAAGGAAATGGGGCTGTTCTTAGAGTGAATTATACGCAGTCACACACTCAATTTAGCCCTGCAAACCTAGTTAGGGAGGGAGCAGACATGGCGGCGTACACATGCTGTGTTGTACCCCCGTATATACGCCTCTCCAAACACATTTACTCAAAAATTAGTAAACAGGATTAGGAACACTAGATTTAGACCAAAATTAAACTCAGTTTATCATTACTACATCTAATTAAATTCTTGCAGCAAGCTTCTCAAAAAGGGAAACAGACGTGTTTAGAATCAAATAAAAACGTTAAAAAACGGCATCCTCAGATAAGTCCAAACATCACTGATTCAAATGTAGGTATACGTTAGCTCATGTCATTTAATTCCAGCAGAAACAAAAGCTCCTCATGCATATTAAACCCCAACACTACACCAGCCCACCACATAATTGACCGTGTTACAGCCGGCAGCCTCGCACACAGACAGAGAAGAACTAGGTTGCCAGGCTGTTGTGTTTGATCTGGATGACTGTGTTGAAACCTCTTAATGCCAGTTTATATAAAATATTCATCTTCATTTCGCAGGCCATGAATCATCAAGGTGTTTCTGGCCCTCCGCCCCCGCTCCTGTCCTGTGGCGGAGCAGACAGCTGTTTGAAATTAGACACCAGATTGTGTTACTTAAACCGCTAGCAGGAGTGATGCTGATCGCTCTCTAACCCAGCATGCAATCTGTTAGCGTGCCGCATCGTGGGAATGTGATCATGAGTGTGCTCTTGTAGTATTTAAAGCCTGGCCTGCCTCCCAACCTACGGCTCGTATCTATACATTCATACTGAAGTGCTACTGCGTTACAGCAGATGTAAGACATACTAAATAATTCAACTGACAGTTTATACACCGCTCATTCAGTAATTGGGGACATTTTGCTAACAAAAGCCTTTATTAAAACTATCAAAATGCTCACAGTCAGTTTTACTGTAATGGATGCTGAGTTGTGTCATCTGTCTGTTTACTTATTTATCCTGGTCTGAGACATGCTGGTGCATTTTTCTCCAGGGGGGCTCCATATAAGCAGATATCACACAGGTGTACTGAGAAAGGCATTTCTTTGTATTTGATTAGCTGGATGAACATGGATTTTTCCAAATGGACCTCATGGAAGTGATTCAAATCATCCAAATCATCCTATCTCTCTGTATTTCTGCCCAACTCAGCAACAATGAGGTGGCCGTCTAACATGAGTCTGGTTCTTCCCAAGGTTTCTGCCTGTTAAAAGGAAGTTTTAGTTCATGTTAGATGAGATGGTCAAATCTGTCCCATCTCAAGGTTGGGTCTTGGTAATTCATCAAACAATGAGCGTGGTCTTGACCGCCTTTTTTTTGAAAAGCGTCTTGGGATAACAACAGTTGTGAATTGGCGGTATATGAATAAAATCTGATTTGATTTGATTTGATTTGATCAGTCATTGCTTTCTAAAACCAAACTAGGTCTGGTTTTGGTGTTTGAGACAGAATACAGAGGGGAAAGAGAATCAGCAACACTTCATGCCATAAGCCAAGCCCTCTTTGTAACCCAGTTTAGAGTAGTTTCTTCCTCTCTGTTGTTTAAACAGTCAGTGTGTTTACATGCACAGCTTAATCGGCCTAAGCTCATAATTTTTTTTTTTTTTCACCAAATCGGACTTCTCTCCTTGTCCACATGCAGCTGAGGAAATTGAATTACTGACGTGAACATGTACTCCTTCCCAAAACTAGGGGGCAATATGGGTCTTTTCAGCGGCCCTGTTTCCGACCCCATACAGCTGTCAACAACAACAGCAAGTCCATGCCAGACATCAGAAGTGGCTACAGCTGCTGCTGGGCATTTTCGAGCCAGAAGATGGAGCATCGTACAGCGTTGTTTTTGTCGTACATGATGTAAGCGCTACTTTTTCTACATAAGAGGTGCACACTACTCCTCTCTTCTGATGTTTTTGTTCTGGGGTTAAGGAGGCGTAGCACACGCGCACGTGCATTATTTGATCATATTCAGACTACGCTGGTTACATGGTAGAGAATATCGAATTCGAATTGCATTATCAGGGTGTTTTAATCGGAGTTCTCCGACTCCAATCCGAGTTCTCAAACTTCAATTATAGTCGGACTCAGGCGTTTCCATGCACTTCAGTTGTCCGGTCTTAATCAGAACAAGACAATAATTTGGTTTTCTCGAGTGTCATGTAAATGTACTGATTGTTTATTTTTGTTGTCCCAGCTCTTTAGCTCTCATCCTCTCCTGCAGTGATCTCCTTTTAAACACAGTCATTTTGGGCGACCTAACTGAAGTCCTTTTTTCAGCGTTTTGTCCGCGACTCCAGTCTCCAACTAACCCCCCAGTTTTAACAACTCACAGCTGTTCAGTGGATCAGGATTCACCCAAAGACTGTATAATAAATGGATCTGTGAAATCATCCATTTGTCTGTGCAGCAAAGTTTTGAAGCCTTTTGGAGGCGATCACCGTATTAGTGGTGCTGACTCAACCTAACTTCCGCTCAACCTACCAGAGATCAGCCTTTAGCCACAGTGCGCCTTCCTGTCAGTTTAGTCAGCTGTGCCTCTGATTCACTGATCTTTTAACTTTGATAACCTCAAAATGAACAAGGCTGTAAACAAGTTTATTTTAGCTCTGAAAAAACTGCCTTTTTGGCTAAGTGCATATGTGTTTTTTTGTGCTTCTGCAGCCAGCCTCAGTGGATCAGAAGCGTCTTTAGGAAAAAGTTAAGTTTGGCTATTTAGGAGACAGGACAGTGCTATCACTCACACACATAGAGAAATGTTTGCCAGAGTAAGACAGTGTTAAAAAGGCTTCCTTATAAAAACAGTCAGCCAGTGTTACTTGAAATACTGTAGTAGCAACTGTGGATATGTGTAATTTTTTTTTAAAGAATGTCCAATAATTTAGAAAGTTTACATTTTTCTGATATCAGGTTTACTGAGTGGTTCAGAGGACTGAATAAATACCTGCCTAGAAAAAGAAAAAACCAGAAAGAATAATAATGTTCTGATGAAAAAAATTGTACACGGATCATTTTCCAAGTAAGTCGTGACAACTGTTCATCTTCTCATTGTTGTCTCATTGATTGGTTTATTCGTATTGTAAGAAGTGAGCCTGCCAGGTGGGGAAACACCAATCTTCTTAAGTTTGTAGTCTAGCTCTTAAGGAAGATCCCACGCACCGAAATCTGTGTCTACTATGTTTTTAGCTAATTAGGTAATAACGGACTGCTGTGCTGTGTAATCCCGAGGAATATCGAGGAAGCGGGGGTGAACGTTAGTAGAAACAGTGAAAAACTCTACATTTGAGAGGATGCTAAAACACAGTTGTGTCAAAAAAAATGATGAGAATTAAGAGGGGAATTGTCTGAATGAACTGCATTACGATTAGTTTTTTCTGTTACAGACAAATGTTGGCTACAGCTGGCCTGCAAGATGGGGTTGTGTTTCACTCATAGACTGTATATACTATGGACAACTTGGCTCCGTCTTCTGCCAATATATGGATATGAAGCTGAAAAGCTCTCTGTATTTTTGCGTTTTTTCTCCATTTCCTGAAACCAACATTGTGCAGTAGCGTTGTACACTTTCGACGGAAGAGTCGCCGAGAGTCACTGTGATGATGCTCGGCTTAAACAGCATATCCCCCGGGTGAGCTACGCAAACTACGCCCATACCCTGTATTAAACGTCAATCATAGAAAACATGAACCCCCTAATAACTTTTAAAAACGGAGATGTACAGAAAAAAGAGGACTTGAGCACAAACCAGTCTTACAGTAACTACATGTCAACATCGTAAGCGGGGGGGGGAATTTATATTCTGTGTAATAAATTTCTGAAGTTTGTCCACAGCTCCATAGGGATTGCTGGAGGAGGTGGGATTTATGAGCTATACTGCAGCCCGTCACCAGAGGGTGCTGTTCTCGTGGTGGCTTTACCGAGCGAAGAGGCAGACGGCATCCATTCTATACAAGTCTATGTTTTCACTGTTGGTAAAGTGGCATGAGAAATATGTCTTATATCACCCTTAAAGCTTACAACACATTTTAAATCAAACAATGTTGCATTGATGATTGAAATGACATTTTGCATGTCTGTTACTGAATACTCCTGAATAAATGTACATTTAGTAATTCCCAAAATATATGCCCCATGTTGCTGCTGCTACTTTAATGATAATACTTATTTTAATTTTCAATTTAAAAGCTCTTTAGAAATGACACTGTTTTATAGTAAAATCTTGTAGCCCTGGTCTCTGAGTGGCATTTTAACAAACCACCTCTCATGACTGTGGCGTCGTTACCCTTTCTTTCCATACTTACTTTGACTAGAGGTTAGAGTTAGTCAATATTGTGTAATTACACGCAGGATATGATGCCCAATGACAATCCCCAGGAGCTGTCTTGTAAAATCAATCCCTGCATTTGGCCCCGGAGACAATAGTTGTGAGATGGTAAATAGTGAGGTGTAGTAAGGATGAGTGATGGCTTTGATAGATGCTCGTATTCTCTGCAGCAGGCAGGGAACAGATTGTGATTAATTTTCTTGGTTAGTTTCCTCAGAAGTAGTTACAAAAAAATGCAGCAGATTTTTTTTCCCTCTCTCTTTTTTTTTCTGCTAATGGTGTGTGTACCCAACCAAAGTATCCTCCTTAATGCATCTTTTCATTTTGTGCACATGGAGCTGAGCGGTTGTAATGCAAATCACAAAGCCCCCTCGCTCTCTGCGGTCTTCTTATCATTTTAGTGATCCTCGCATAATGACGTTTAAGACGAAAATGAATAAGTGTCCCTCGCTGACAGCCAGTTTTGGCAAGCGTTTATTCAGAACAGATGAAAGGGATTCAAATGACACATGGGCTAATCAAAACTGGATATTAAGTACTGAATTGACGCAGGGCCTCTCTCAACAGTCAATGCTTATAATGCTCTTTAATGTCTAGTTACATGAATCACAACTCACATTAACCTTCAGCCCCTTGTTTTCTCTTTCCCAGCATTCAACACTCAGGCTGATTGTCACAGAACCTGCAAGCTAGTGTTTTTTGGGACCAAATGTTTGTGTAAAAACAGACAGCGTTTTAGTATTGGTAAATGTGGCTTGTTTATCCTTCAAAAGAAACCATTAGTCAAACAAACAAAGAGCGCTATGTGAGCAGACGTTACTGGCAGAAGCATTAAAATCCTCTGCAACTCTCTGCCAGGTTAGTAATTGCTCTTTTTATGGTGGTAATTATTTCCTCTAAGGTGCGCACTGTTGCACACTGCAATTATACATGTGCTGCTATCTCTGTGTGGAAGGGAATGTGGGTGGAGAGATGTGGGACGTATTTTGAAATTTTCTACATTTCATTTGGTGTGTGTGTGTGTGTGTCGGGGGGGAGGGTGTTGGTGTGTGTGTGTGTGTGGGATGTGCAGTCAGAGAGAAAAGGCAAAATTGAAGCTGCTGATCTGACTTAAAGCGCATTTTCTACCAAGACAAAACAAAAATCAAACAACAGTCTGATGTGGCTGCATGTTTTGGATATTTTTTTGTGTATTCCTGTTTTCTGTGAAGTCCACGCTTCAGTAGCACAACCCCGCTGAAAGGCATCGCACAGGAAAGCCAGCGTGTAAGCATGATAAGGCCAATAACCATGCAATTCATAATTCTGTTTCTTTTAAACCCCCCCCCCTTGTCCTCTCTCTGCATCTCCTCCCCCGTTGTTGTTTTCCTCTGTTTGCTCCAGACAGTGTGACCCCTGCAGGATCAGGCTGCAAAACGCCATTACGCACACACACCTCTCACAGATAAGGTCTCTTTGGGGGGAAACAGTGCAGACACAGTTTCCTGATGTTTCTCAGATGCTGCAACGACGTGGCGTAGAGACTCCGAGCAGGAGGGCAAAAATTCATATGGATGATTCGGTGAAAATACAGCAGCGGCAGCAGCAGCAGCACTCCCAGGTTTCAGCTGATCTAAGGTGAAGAACTCATTTGCATATTATTCATTGAAATGTCTGTCTGCACCTTAGTCCCAGTGAGCGTGCAGTGGGATTCAGTTTTTCTCTCCAAACATTAATTTATGAATAAATCCACAAGCACAATACTTACAACTGCATGAAAAAATAAACAAAAAACGACATTGTCAAATACTTCCTACTGTTAAAGCGAATATTGGGTTGAAGTGTTCAGTTTAAATAAAGCTTTGAAAAGTAGGGCTGTCGCAATATACTGACATCGTCTTTAAAGCTCCTGTAGGGAGTTTTTTTATGTTTGTGAAATAGACAGAAATTCATATTGATGCCTTTTCATGATATTTAAAAGCACCCAAGACCATCAGGGACAAGATTGATGATTAATTTATACTAATTTGATACTCCGAAGGTTCATTACTGGAGCTTTAAAAATGATAAAATGTTGATTTACACTTAAATTAGACATATGGTGTCTATATATACCGTTACTAAACAGTCGGGGTCCTTCACACCGGCTGCTAGCCAGCCAGCTGAAGCAGCCCTCCAAGGAATGATCCAGCACTTTTTAAAAATCATTTATTGTGAATTTAAAAAACAAAACAATTGAACATTTAGTCTTTCTTCTTGTCCTTTTAACTGTTTTATAAAGTTTTGTAGTAGCTTTAACTAACAGCATCAGTCTCTCCATATTTAACACTGTTACACAGCTAGTGTTAAGCTACTAACGCTCTATTTTCATCAATGTTATAATGCTAACGTTAGTTGTAGAACTTTTTGATTCTTTCTGCTTCAATGGTTCAACCCCATAGACTGTGTAAAGAATGGACGCCATCTGCCTCCTCGCTGGGTGAAGCCACCCCAAGAACAGCACCCTCTAGTGACGGGCTGCAGTATAGGTCATAAATCCCACCTCCTCCAGCAATCCCTGTGGAGCTGTGGACAAACTTTAGAAATTTATTACACAGAATATAAATTTTTCTCCCCCCTGCTTGCAGTGTTGACATGTAGTTACAGTAAGACTGGCTTGTGCTCAAGTCCTCTTTTTTTTTGTACAGCTCTGTTTTTAAAAGTTATTGGGGGGTTCATGTTTTCTGTGATTGACACTTGATGCAGCCTATGGACATACAAAGATTGTGCAATTCACCTGAAGGATACGCTTTGAGCCGAGTGTCATCACAGTGACTTTCAGCGACTCTTCCGTCGAATGCGTACAATGCTATTTCGCAATGTTGGTTTCAAGAAGTGAAGAAAAAACCCCAGAAATAACGAGAGCTTTTTGGCGTTGGATCTGTATACTGGCGGAAGGTGGAACCAAGTTGTCCATAGTATATACAGTCTATGGTGATCACAGATAATATCGCAGTACTGTTTAGTAGCAGCACATGCCCCCATGATTACACCCTTTAAAAACTGTTGTTTGGGACTACACACTAGTGTCTAATCAGAACTGAAAAAGAGTCAGTCTGCTGTTGTGTCAGTATTCTCGCTTCCACCTGGGATGCGTCTTTTTTCCCCTTGGAAAGTCACAAAAAATTGTAATTTCGCATCGTATATTTGCGGACCTTTAACCGGGGACAGGTCATCGTCTCTGGAAATTGGGGATGTCTGGTCTCCTCACATTATCCGGCTGTTCCTGTAAATAGCGTACATACCTGTTCTTTTGTCACTGGCATTGTAACCATTTATCTGTATGTACAATTGTTGTTACTGTTGTTTGTCTCCTTCTATCTCTCCCTTACTGTATCTCTCTCCAACCCAGTCCCCATACTTTGAAAAAAACGAGACTAACTACCAACAGGATGCATCTGATGACTCAAGACTGAGTATGTATAAACTCAGTCCCTCCTCCTCCGATCTTCAACACCATCAAATAAAAGACTCCTTCATGTCAGTGACTACATGTTATGTTCACCCTTGACTTTTTGTTTTTTCTGACTGATTCTGGTGACAGCAGTCTGAGCCCACAAGGCTTTTATTAATCACTCAGCATGGTTGGATAGGAGGAGATGAGATAATTGTCCTTTCCTCTATCTAGTACAGTATCATAACCTAATTCTGAGAGATAGCATCTCTTGGGAAGACTCTCTGTCGTCACACTGCTCCACATTCCCATTCAGCTTCACTGTGATCTATATTTGTCCCATTTTTTTCCCCCCGTTAACATTTGGAGGATTTGTAATCATCATTCAACCTGAGATTTGGCTGAGCATCCGCCAATTAACCTGACTCCCCTCTCTTTGACCTCATCAGTATGCCATTAAGCTCACACAGTCACCAGGGCCCTGTGCCGGATCACACAACTGTACAGACAGAGAAAGACATGAGCGAAATCTCTGCCAAAGTTCCTCTTTTGTACAGAGGAATATGTAGGATTTGTGCCTTTTTTCAGTGAGTGTCCACCTGTGTGTGTGTGTGTGTGTGTGTGTGTGTGTGTGTGTGTGTGTGTGTGTGTGTGTGTGTGTGTGTGTGTGTGTGTGTGTGTGTGTGTGTGTGAGAGTGTGTGTGAGAGGTGGTGAAATTGAGTTGAGTGAGGTCTCAAGGTAATTCAGCCTTCACTTGACTTTATTCTTCAATGTATGTAAATTCTGTCCAACCTCCGTCCACCTCTCTGCAGCTACCTCTGTCTCTCTGATGTTCTGAATCTCATTTTTCTGTGTGCTAGTGTGTGTGGGTGTGTGTACATCTCGGTGATGCGTGCTTGCTGCATGTGTGTCCGTGGATTGTAATGCATTAGCTTGCTCCTCCCAGCGGAGTGCCAGTCTAAACTAAGCAGCGTGATGATGATGCTCTCTGTGAGCTGACACAACCCATTTGGCCAGCAGGAGTTGATCTACACCAGCGCTGCTAGTTTACAGTGTGGGAGGGGTGCGGTGAGGTGGGGAGTGGGGGGCAGAGTTGGGAGGGTCTGTCTGTGTCCACCTCACCCTCATGTCCTTGTCTGATAGAGGGAGAGAGAAAGAGAACATGTCTTGATCATAATCTGTTGAACTGTTCTTTTGTTAGCTTTTGTACACACAGACTGCAGTTTCAAAAACCATAAAGCATAATTTTCCCATCAACCAATTTAAGTCTTAAATAATGACATACATATGTATTCTTCTTACATAAAATGAGCTATCAATATAGCACTGCATGTTAAACTACCCAACAATATAAACAAATTGAAACTAGCGCCTTCCGGGGCACCAATGGGCCCAGGCTGTGTGGCACCACACCTCTGTGGACCACCTCCCCTTTTTGTTAGTCTTGGGGTCCAAAATAAGTGTTTACATAGGTTTGGGTCACACACTGGAGCAAAGCTTACATTTTTAAATTTTGTAGGGGGCGCTATGGGGCCATTTTTAGTTGGATCTCCATTTTGACATTGGAGCCCTTTTTGTCTGTCTTGGGGTCCAACATAAGTGTCCTCAATTTAGTAGGTCGGGGTCACACACAGGGGCGGGGATTACATTTTGAAATTTTGTAGGGGGCGCTATGGAGCCATTTTTCATTGGATCTCCATTTTGACATTGGAGCCCTCAAGAGGACGCCCCTCCTGATCTGCATACCAAATTTCATGTGGCTGTGCATATCTATAGCAATATCACAGATTGCTAATTTTCTTTGAGACGTTTCATATTCCACCTAGGCGCAGTTTAACAAAACAAGGGGCTGATTTTCCAGCCTATCTGGTACCCCATCATGTATGTCAGTTTAAAGCTCCTGTAGGGAGTTTTTTGACATTTTCTTTTTTTTTTTTTAACAGATTTCATTGTGATCTCTCTACATGCTAAAAAAGCAAAACAGACCACCAGTAACAAGACTGATTATTTCCATACACTTATTATTGTTTCTTGTAAGAACTGCCTCAGGGTAGGTGTCGGATTGAGTCAATTAACATCATTGAGCAACAATAAAAGACATTTTCTTCATATTTTTCACAACAGATTCACCCTAGGGCTATCGTAATGTACCGGATATATTAATGGTAACGGTCTTTGTTGAAATATGAAATATTGATTTTGTGCTGAAAAATAAGCAAACAGTAATACCGTGAGTTCATAGCTGTGGTCTATTTGTTGGTTGCTACATGTCATTAACTCAAGGAGGGACGAAGAAGAAGAAGCAGCAGACCACGTTGTGGCTCAAAAGCAGATCTCTGAGAGACGATTGGGCGTTTTTAAAATCTGTTATTCCATTATTGATTAGGGTGACCTTATGTCCGCTTTTACCCGGACATGTCCTCTTTTTTGGGGACTGTCAGGGCTGTCTGGCCTTGTCCGGGGAAGTTTATTAAAATCCTTCAAATGTCTGGGGTTTTGTATGGAAGTTTTGAGTTTGTGTCACATGGACTTACTGAGTCAGAAGCACGTAAAACCCGAAAAACTCTCAAAATTAACTTTGTTCGACTCTGTGACGCCGTGACTCCGTGACTTCGCTCCCGCATAGTCGTGTCCTCTTATTGGGGATTCAGAATATGGTCACCATATTATTGATAGTAATCCAAATGCTCTTACGGTTACGAGTTAATAGAGGGTTTTTAATTTCTAACCATTATTTCAACAGTTTTCATTTAGATTCTAACGTAGCTTCAAAATTAATTAAAAAAAAAAACCCTTCAAAATAAAAGCACCATTAAATAGTATAAGAAATATATCAACCTAAATGCAGGACAGAAAAAGTAGTCTTTCCTCAGCTTCATTTCCTACAAAATATTGTAATAATATCATTATTGTGATATTTTATGGCCACAATAATCAAAAGGTGAAAATCTGATATCATGACAGCGCTAGTTCATAGGCAATGATTTGTTACATCATCAAAACACTCAACAAAAGCATTTACAGGACAACTTCAGTGAAGACAACAGCCATGCACTTAAATCAAAACAAACCAAAAGTTCCTCACAGGAGCTTTAAAGTAGAATAATTCAGCTTTCTTCATCAGAGTGTCTTCTAACAACAAGACCACCCAGTAGTTTTCTATTTGGAGTTCATTTTATTGTTGGTTAATTTCCTCATGTGAAACACCACTATTTCATCAAATTGAGTTACAAAATTTTGTCACATTAGCCAAAGTTACTCGGGACTTCTCATTATTGAAATTACATGATGTAAATGAGGCTGACTGAAAACAAATTACTATGTGTGTGTTTTTGAGTGATTTCAGATAGATGTGCTTAACAACATGTGATCGGTTATGATCCCTAATTACTACAATTTCATCAAACTACATCTTTTGTAAATGTGTGGATTAGAGACCCCGGAGGTACAAATTTAAAATTGTACTTATCCAGATTGATTTCCTCGTTGTGAACCATGTCAGATTGGTTTGCAGAGCGTTTAGCTGTTCTTGCAAGTGAATGTCAGCATACAATGTTTAATATGCATTTCTGTGGTAGTGCAGTTACATGCCTGTTTAACCAAACACAGACACAACCCTGCCTCCATGTTCTAGGTCAATAAACTGCCCAACGTCTGTCATCTGTGCTTATTAAAACAGAAAGATAACATAGCATTATGATTAGGTTTTAACCAGAGCTACAGCCTTGCACAACCTATAACCAGCATTTCAAGCCTACAATAATTAAGGTAAATAATAAATATATGAAAGACTCATGAACTGGCTATGAATGCTGGTACAGAGGTTTAATCACTGCATATCAAAGGGGATTTAAAGGCACTATGAGGATTTTTCAACTGGTTGAAATACTACAAAAACTGATACTGATGCCGCTTTGTGACCTTCAAAAGCAAACAAGACCATCAACAACACTGATCATGTCTCTGCTGTGATTTTTAATGCCTGAAACTGTTTAGAGCAGGTTGGTTTTTAAAGCCAAAAAAGTGACAGCAGGCTGAAGAAACAAGCTTTTTAATTTAAAAACCTGTGGCAGATACTTTCAGTAGTGATACATTTCAGTGAATAGACAACAGGGTGAGGTTAAAAAATTTAACCTAAGCATGTACAGGGCGAAAGATTAACGTATCATATTGTCCACAGGGGGGCACCAGAACGAAGACAAAACAAAAGTTCTTTACTGCAGCTTTAATAACAACATTTGATTTACTTTGGGGACATCTTTAGGACAACACATTCACAGATACTGTTATTTGTGAAAAATTTTTTAATGATGTCTTTTTCTACTTTCTCATGTTTTTATAGCATGGTTTTGGTACTTTTACCCATAGATATGGTCTGTAGATACAACATGCCCTTTCGAGCTGCGTGTTTACGTTACAGCCATCTTGGTGGGGGCATCATTGCAATTAATGGCAATGCATGTACAAAAAAAATAAATTGTATCCTGCTCATTTCTCAACTGATTTTCAGGCTGTTTACTTTATTGTTAACACCAAAAATGTGCTATTGAAACAGGACTGTTGAAATAGCACATGTTTTGACGTTGGAAAATAAAGTAAACTGCATGAAAATCCATCAAGAAATGAGCAAGATATGATTTATTTTTCATGTACATCTAATGCCTTTAATGGGAATGTTGCCCCTGCCAAGGTGGCTGCCACATACGTAGGCACATCACTTAGCGGGCTGCCACTGGCTTATCTAGTCTTCTATATACACTTTATCTGTGCCTTTACCCCCACATAACAAAGAAGCTGAACTTTTCTTTACAATTGCAGATTGCTTAGATGACCTCTCATCTTACCTTTTCTGCTGCGTGTTTAAGCCCTCAGCTTGATACAGTTTAAAACCATTCTTCCCTTTACTGTGTCACAAATGAAACTTTAAATGCATCCACATGAAACCCTTGTGCTGTTAATGACTAGACTTTCATTCATGTTTCTATTTATATTAAAAGGTAACATCATAACCATGTATAGTAGATGTTTTTATCCACATTCAGCAATGGGTACAGACGCGGTACAATACGACATCCATACTAAAAAGGAATAAATTGTTCAGTTTTCGAAGAAATTAAATGTTAAATATCAAGGTCAAAGGTCACTGAGCTAGTGCTGTGTGGAACAACAGTGTATTATAAAAGGTCAGACAGGGGTTTTCATTATTTGTACATTCCCAAGGTTATAGAAAATATGTCTGATTACTGTTCTTTTTTTTAATGCATTATCAACAACAGCCAACTATGAACTTGGTGTTAAAACACAATGTAATTAACACCTTTATGACAGTGTCAACAAAGTGTGAGTGTTTTATGCATCATAAAGACTTTATGGCGGAGCTGTTGTGGACATTAGCACATCGTGAAGAGTACACAGAGTGTAAAACCATTCATCAACAAAAATAAACCTCCCCTGGGCCTCAGTAAATAAAGTCCTGCAGTATATTTTACACAGCTTTAAATATGTTTCTATTCATCTGCACATTCACAGGAATACTCCCCGATTTTGTCTCCTCTCTTTTTCCTTGAAAGAAAACCAAAACCTTCAGCTAAACTCAGCTAAAAAAAAAACCTTAAGAAAGAAGTAACAAGTAACTTAGAAAAGCAAATTAACATTTATATAGTCTGATACTTATTCGGGTTGAAAAAAATATATTAAATTCAAAGTCAAAGGTCCGTAACTTTTGGAGAGAGCAGCAAAAAACAACCATTTAAAATAAAACAAGTGAAACCGGGGTCATCATGATTTGACATTAAGGTTTGTGGAGCGTCTTAATAACTAAATCGAGTGTTTTTTATCCTGTCTGGAGCCAATAAGCTGATAAATTGAGAGGTTAAATGTATCTAAAGCTATCAACAGCCCTAGAATCAATTTACACCATTTCTTCCATTTCTTCTTTCACTTCCTCCCTTTTGCTTCGCTGTTTGAGAAACAAGATACAGAAATAGATGTCATTACATGCAGACTCTTGGTATTGGATAAAATAATGGAAATAACCCACTGAGCAATAGACGGCTATTAGACGTCTAGTTTTCTTTTAGACCTAATTTCAACCGTCTAGATTCTGTATATTTTTAGATGGAATTTAGACGTTGCACTTTAACCCATTATTGGATAATTATTTATTTCAAAAAGCAACTGAGTTGCATAACTGATATCTAAGCACTTAACCAAAATAATATGATAGCCGTTGAGCAATATATAGTGTAGTATAGTATAGCAGTCTAGTCTAAATTGGTCTAAATTTAGACGTCTAAAAAACTTTCATTTTTAGACCTGCGGTAGCCTGTTAGACGTCTGTTAGACCTCTTTTAGACCAAAAAATGCTCAGTTGGAAGAAAACTGGTGTAAACAAGAGAGCACTCTTACACTGCAGAAATCTCTATAGCATGACGTTTTTCTTTTAAGTGATGATCTTCATTAAAAAAGCAACAGACTTTCTTTATTACAGGATAAAGTAAATAATCCGTCAGTAGGAGAAAAAGCTGAATGTCAGTTTGATCGGGTATAGTCTCCTCTATAAATTGCCACCACTTTCAGCCCACAATAACAACATGAAACAGTTTGATTAAACTGAAGCTGTGTGTACACGCTGAACTGAACTGAACTGAAGTGAACGTCTCCATAGCCTGGATTAGAAGTGGCCCTATAAACTCCCACGGCAGCCACCTTTACCCAATCACCCCTCCATTGCTGCTCCATTGTGTTCATAATTGTAATCCCCTGGACCGATGAAAGGGGCGAACTATGCCGGTTAATTAAAACAGCAATCAAATTTAGCCCTTAAACTGGCTGCAGAAAGGGACCTCATTCAATTAAATCATGCATCACTTTCCTTTCAATAACACACACACACACACACAAACAAACAAACAGTGAGGGGGTTTGAGTCGTGTAAATCCATGCTCTTGTTGATTGCCTTCTTCTGCTGGGATTTTTTTTTTTAATTCAGTAAACAACAGCTGAGGTGGCTTGGAGGCAAGTCCGGGTGCAAAAGGGGGATTAAAGACCCTTCCATCGGCCTTCCATTGGCACTTGTCATGCTCTTAATTTGATGCTGTAATTAACTTTTGAAATCTCAGGGCGTTTTGCAGCCTGTGTAACCGGGGTGGTGTGCTGATAAACACAGAGTCGCTGACTTCTGCAGAAAGATTCGTCAAATAAAGAGCACGATCCTGGACTCTCTGATGACCTGATGATGGAGAACACACTGTCCGTATTTGTGTGACGGTAATTATATTGATGGAAAACATTGTGTTTGCGATGTATTCTTCTATTTTCAGCCTCACTTTGCAGAGCAGATGTTGACCACCTGCCCTTAACTATCTGCCCGCCTGGCTGGGAGAATATAAAACAGTAATGTACCTCCTCTGGGTGCAGTGGAGGGTGTAAGGTTTGTTTGGTTTTTTTCTCTTTTCTACCAGCAGACACAATAAACATTCACAAAGAAAACACACCTTTAGACACACATGCTTGCACAGTTGAATCAATTAGTTACAAATCCAGCAGGGTTTAGCGGAAAGGAGAGAGTGGGCGAGTTTTTTCACGCAGGCCAACCAATCATGTGTTAATTGCTTTGAAATTAAGTACCGTCTGTTTTTGAGTGCTAACTAACAGGTGAAAGAAAATACTCAATAAGTCATTAACACAAGCCTGAAAGAAAGAGGTGACCAAATGAATGTTTTTTTTCTTCAGAAATGTGTTGTTGTTTTTTTCATTTCAGACGGATAGATAAAAAAAAGTCAGTAATTAATTGCCATTGACTTTGATTCACAGTTACCACAGCTTCATTAAATCAATTTTACCTTGTTGTTTATTTACTATAGCAGGTTATAGATTAGATTTAGCTTACAATTTCCCATTTATCGTTACTTTAAGATCAAAATTCTGTGTATTATAACGCCTCTGGGTGGATTTTAATACATATAGAAAGAAAATTTGCCAGAGCTCTCTTTAGTTCTACAAAAGTTCAATATTTTTAGGATTAATTTCACATTTAGACCCTGCTACCCTCTGCCCCAAAACCCCAGGCCCTGCTTCTTAGCTCTCTGGGTGTCAGGCTTCCCTCTTTTTGCAGTCCTCAGATAAGAAATGTTCTGTCCACATGCTGCTTTTCCTATATGTAATATGCAATTCTTCCAAAATTGATTTAAATTCCCTCTGAGGAATATCATTCCAGTTTTAAAGATCCTAAGATGAGCTGGTTTTATTCAGACTGAAATCATCTCTATAAGCTCCAAAAGCAAACCAGGCTATCAACAACAAGGCTGAAAATGTCTGTGCTGCAGTTCTGAATGCCTGTTACTGCTATCACCAGACAATGATATTGAGAAAAAGCCTTTTTTAAACTTTTTTCCTGCAGCAAATATTCATTGCGAGTTACACATTTGAAAACCGTTGAAAAACAGCAGGATTAGATTTTGTCAGAAAACGCTGCAAGAGAAGGTGCTAATGTATATAAAGGATCCAGTTAAGCTAGTCAGATATGAAGAAAGTTACAGTCGAAGGAAAACACCTGCAGAGTTTGGTCTGTTTGGTTTGTTCATGTCAATTTATATGATTGAAAAAAAGAGTCAAGTAGCAAAAAGTGGAAAGTGAGTAGTGCATTAGAGTTATCTTGGATTATGTGCAACTTTTAATTTTACTACAATCCACTTTATAGGAATATTGACACAATTACACTCAGATTATAATGTGTAACAGACTGAAGCAGAGCTCCCCCTGATTTTTGTAAACCCCAGAAACAAAGGTGGGCATCTCTTTTTTGTGTGTAATCGGCAAAATGATTTGCTTTCATGGAGATATTTCACATGTAAAATGTAAACAAAGGCACTTCTAGTCTGTGTGCTGTAAACTGTTCTATTGAACTACATTTCCTTTAAGTGACCGCCATTAAAACTTTAAAAGAAAATAAGACACTAAAACGGGTTGTTTAATTCTTATCGGCAGAGCTTATGAGTACAGTTTCCCTTCAATCCATGCATGTGTGTATTGTCTGTGTCTGTGAGTGTGTGTGTGTCTCTGTATTTAAGATGACTGTAGCGTCCCCTCTCCGGCCCAGTCATTAACCTGGGATTAGCCTGGCAGAGATGGAGGTCAGAGGTCAGCGAGTAAGTGAGTCCCCCTGCTGCACAGTCTGCTCCCCGAGCCCTGAATTGAAACTTAATGCTTCCCTCTTCTACTTGTGACAGAATGATATTTTCTCCCCTTAACTCAAGGGAATTTGTGCAAGTGTTTATGTCGTGCGCCACTGCATCAGTTAGCTCGAGTGGATTGAAGGTATTTCTTCAAGTTGTCCGCTTCTTTTAATCTTCACCCTTTATTTGTGTGATGCTTATAAAAATAAAGGTTTAAAAACTGCTGGAGAGAAACACAGCAATCTCCAAGTTTAAACAGAGCTGTGGCTATTTGGGCAGCAGGGAGATATGGTGGAGGAGGGGTGGGGGTTGGCGGTGGAGGGCTGGTTTGGCTCGAGCTTCTGAAGGGGGCAGAATTTGTTTTATGAGGGTAATTGATGCTTTGCTGCAGGAGAAGAGGGCAAAGCAGGCATGAAATTGTGCAGAGGATCAGATCCGTATCGGAGCATACGGGAGAGCTGAGGGAGAACAACGGAGCCTGGCAGCCTCAGGGTGGCTGGATTAGGGTGCAGCACTCAGCACCAAGGTACAGTTAAGAGCCAATTTTATTCTCTAGCAACCCAATCAGTGGAAAAGCCCTGTATCCTATTAGATTCAAGTTTAGGGCGGAGAAGCAGAGCTGCTGGAGAACAGCCATCAAGACGTTCACATAGCCGCCAGAATGGAGAGAAGGAAAGGCACCGAAAAAAAGAGAGAGAGAAACTGGAAGAAATTATAGAGAGGAAATTTCACTCTATCTAAAAGTAACTGAGAGTGAAGCAGTGCTAACTTCATGCTAACACTGAGGGGGTCAACCAGCACCAAAGGCTAAGAAAATGAAGATCTAAGCAGGGGGTCAGTTCGTCATTTTACACCTGAATAAGCAGCTGATCTCTCATTGTGCTCAGGTTTACACCGCATGAGCACCAGGCAGGGTCATCGGTCCAATTCCCTCTGTGTATTCTCGCTGCTTTGCCGCGTTATTGTGTTTACAGGCGGCGCGGAGCTTGAGGTTGACAAATGCATAGAGGGCACAGCTCATCAGGATTCCCCAGCTGTCCGTCTGTGAATAAGAGGAGGGAATTGGCTGTCAATCCCTAATTAATAAACTCTGCTCCTCTCCCCCCTCTCTGCACGCACTTGTCTGATCAATAACCATTGTGCAGCGCCTCAGATGGAAGCCATTCAGATTTATCTGCTAATATCCTGGGTGATAGCCCGAGCTAGACTGGAGATGACAGTAGGCTCAAAGCCTATTACCTCCTTATTTACTGTTTTAAATTCTGCTATAGTCACAGCCCGTCGCTGTCTCTCTCCAGTAACAAATAGAGGAAAATCTCTTCGCTCTCCCTGGGACGAGTCAAGGACGAAGCAGATGGAAAACATATGAACGTCTCTTTGTTTTGCTTGTTTTCTAAGCTGTTTGTAAAAAAACAGAATGTATGCAGATGTAGACATTTCTGTTTCAATAAATGCCAAATACTTGCAAGTTAAAACTGCTGACCTTTCTTTTGTAAACTGTAAAGATTTTAAAGCACAATCACTCCTTGTCTCTTCTTCCCAACTTAAAATCGATGCCCCATTTCCTCCTAAAGTGACACTCCCCATTTTTTAAACAATCTGGTTAATTTCTAATTTCTCATCCTGTTATTCATCCTGCTGTTTCTCTTCCTTTATCTTCAGCCCAGTCAGCACCAGTTGCTGTCTTATATCCTGTTCATTTGACAGTCGGACAGATCTTCAGTTCGTCACAGTGATGTACAGTTGTTGAATAAACGGTGTCTATTTAACAGGAAACAAGCTCATAAACACATAAGAAAAGCCTCAAGTTGAAGAGTAGCATCTGGGCCTGACAACGGTGTTTACTCTGCTGTCATGTAGAGAGACTGAGAGTGGATTAACGAGTTTAAACCTCTCTCAGGTAAGTGTTTATTTGACTTAAAAAGACCAATACTTCCTGGTTCTACATGCTGAGTACTGCTGTTACTATACACAACGTATATCATTTTGTTTCTCTTCTGCTCACTTTAAAGGACTCCTAGTTTTTAGACTCTACTCAGTGTGGAAAAACATTATTAAAATGTCGACTGTCTTCCACGACTTATCAGGATGTTTCTGTTGAAGTGAAGTTGTATAAAGAACTTGTTAATAGTGTGTGTAAACACACAGGAGGAGCTTGTCCTCCTCTTGTGAACTCAATAATTGACATTTCACATTCAAGTAAAAATTTGCCCTTGTTTGTTTGGTGGGATCATCTGTCGGTTTACATAACTGTAGCATGCTGCTTAAATCTGATTGGTTTGTAGGTCTGTTCAGTCAACTCCAGAGCAGTTCCAGAGGGGAGTGTCGTACCCGACCGGACCAATTCACCAGGCTACACTTTTGCAAAAAACAGCAGAGCAGCCCGACTTTGAGGATTGGAGGTATGGACATTCTCTTATGGTGCGTCCTGGCCATGAACAACTTTCTGCCTTTGTAATTTAATCGCCAAATCCTCTCAAACACCTGTAAAGGCAATGTACTCACATAAAGTTAAAAGACCATGGACCCTGAGCGATGCTTTAAAAGCACAAGATAATCAAAGACTGTTTTGTCCACAGAGGGCGCCAAAAATGACAAAATTTGAAAGTTCCTGACAGGAGCTTAAAGCTAGGCTTTTTTAAAAAAGTATATCATTGAGGTATTTTTGCCTTAGAGGGATATTCCGGTGTAAATTTAAGTTATGGTCAAACACACTGTGACATTGAGTTAGACCATCCCTGGAGAGATGAATGTTGCAGACTGCATGCTTCTCTAGTTATACCAACTTCAGCAATGACCGCATGATAGCAATACCATGCAGTCTATGTCTCCACTCACAAACCTCAACCAAAAAGCCACTCTATAGCCACAAATAATCCTCAGAACAGCACCTAACTTCATCAGCAGTACATATAGGGTCCCAGCCATAGTACTACCCATCAAACGTCTTTTTAGCTTTGACTGATTTCTTTAGCAAAGAGACTAAACACAACTCACCTACTCTCTTTTTGTGGGGAGAGCCCTGACGAGTCGATCAGTGAGTGTCACGGAGTTTCGCAGCTCAATGAAGAACATTTATGATTTTTACTTTTTGGAAATTCAATCAAGGCGCTTGTGTATCTTGTATATACACTGCAGGCACAGTGATTCTTCTGCCTTAGCGCATCGGTCGATTGAATTTCCATGAAGTAATAATCATAAACATTCTGCTGCACTGGGTAGTCGAACCAGTGACCACTGGACGAGGAATAAAGAATCTAAATGTGGGGAAAGTAGAACTCTAGGTCACCAGCGCCCGAAGTTAGACTGCTTTAAAACTTATTGACCGTATTTGGATACACAGTTGAATATTTGACAGGTCGAGCTTAGTAACTAGAATGAGCCGCAGACAAAAGACTGATAGTGACACCCACTTAACTTTAACCCTTGAATCAGTGAGACAGATGAACATACTGAAAATTCCTGTTGCAAGAGTTTACTAAAACATGCGGCAAAAACAAACACCATTTTTGTTCATATCCAATCCAGGTGCAAATTTGCCATTTTAACACAGTTCAAGGTTTTGCTGAGTCATACTTAGGTTTAACAATGCAGCTTTGTTCTCAGAGCTAACTCGTATCATAACAGATATTCAGCTACAAAAGGACTGTGAAATGAAGTAAAATTCATAAATATATCTCAGAGCGTAACCTTTAAAGACAGACAGTCATGTATTACTTCATCTCAATTACATGCACAGTCATTTGCAGGGCAGGGGAGTGTTGACTGGCTGGAGTGTTTTGTTCATTGCAGGACATGCTTCAGGTGGCTCAGACAGAGGTATTTTTTGATAAGCACTCTTCCGCAATCATTATTCTCGTCCGATGGAGGTGAACAGCATTATCACAACATCCGAGGGGGGATTTGAATTCGAGGTGTGCCCTTGTTTATGCTCTATCACCCAATTTTCAGTGGAAAAACTTGTTGTTGCAGCCGTCCTGCAGAGTGAGTCCTCCTTGATGTTTATCTCTGCTGATCACTTGTGGATGATTACAGAGAGCTGTCTGCGATACAACGGTGTCGGCACTCAAATCCTGAGTGTGAAGGGACAATTGTGGCACCCAGGAGACGTACGAGCAGAGATGACAAGTTGGTATCCTCGGCAATAACCTTTCACATTGAAGTTGCTATTTTCTAAAAGTGTCTGCAAAATCACAGTCTGTTAAGAACTGGAGATTAATCTACATCTATGTTGAAAGTTGAAAAGGGACATTTTTAATCGGAGTGTGGAGTGTGAGATTTTTAAAAGTGGATACTAATACGTGTATCAAATTACTAACTCAAATATTAACAGCTAAATTCAAAGCATGTGTTGTTTATACAGACATATTTATTCTGTTAGATGATGTGTTGTGGTTAAAAGCACGAATTCATACGACAAAAACATACGTCAACCTATTCAACCACGCGCACACACACATCCGAACACACACAGTCCCATTAATCTGCTTTTTGATTCAGGTCTTAATCTCCTGTCTGTTACTCAGCTGGCAGGTTCCGCCTCCCAGCTTAGTAGTAACAAAAAGGGTTGGAGATTCATGAAGAGCCTCAAACAAGCCACATGCATCATAAAACCTGTTTATCTTTGTTGTAACCTTGGTGACTGGATGCGTGTAGAGGGGGCAGGGGTTTGAAATATCAGGACTGATGATCAAATAAATGAAGCAGGTACTTTGGATAATGCAAATAAATAAATAAGAGCAGCCTTTGAAGGAAAATACCTATTTAACCCATGCATTAGATAAAGACAGTTAGCCCCTATGCTACTTCATATGTCTCCAAAACTGACCATGAGGTTGACACGATAGGCTCTGTAGTCTCTTTGACATCACTTGTTGTTGTTTTTTTAAGTCCTAATATGATTTATTATTATTATAAAATCACATAACTTGTGTCATTTTCAATGGCTCTTCTTCTGCAGAGCTCCGGTAGCTCGTTAGCAGTTCACCAATGAGTCGTGGGTGGAGATGACGCTGCTCTGCACACTCCTCTTCATGCTAGCTTGCAGCCTAACATTGCAGCAGAAATGGCAGGTTTTATAAAAAACATATTTAGCTCTTGGACACTAATGTCTTTGGGGGCGTGATGAAAGTTAATATCATAATTAGCTTTCTTACGAGCATTGCAATCCGCTGCTGCACACACTTGTTCTGCGATCGTCCTCTCTACTTCTTTGAGTCTGGCCTGCAGAGCATGGACTTGTAAAATAGAAAATCTCATGATGTCTGAACCTGCTGCTTGGGTCTGCCAGAGGTTCATAGCTATTTTAATGCAGAAATACTCAGAAATGCAATTGTGCACTTAGTTTGTTCATGATATGTCCTCTTGCATCGGGAAAATGCCGTGTGTAAGTGCCACAGAAGTGTTAGCCATATTGGAAATACTGATGCAACCAAATTCTTGGTCAACTCAGAAAAGGGCAAAGAGGCAAAGTTGAAGCAAGCCTTTGGCCTCCTGGCAAACAGCTACATTGTACCAGCCTGTCAGTCAAATCAACCACAGCCCTGAATATGCCATAAAAGCTCCAAAACATATTATTTATATAAAATCGCCCAGGAAAGAGAGAAATAGGTGGTTCAGACCAAATGAACCTGCAAATGTGTTTCTTTCAGCTGTGTATCGACATTTTATGGTGGGTGTTAACAGGCTCTTAAATGAACAGTTTTGGCTTCATAATCATTAATGCTATCATCAGTCCTGCTGACTTTTACAGGTGTAACTATGAAGACTAGCCTATTATCATTAAGGTGCAACTGTTGTAAATAGTACACATACTTTTATTGAAACTGTAAACATAAGTCTATGTGAGCTGTTGTTGTCGTCTGTTTGTTATCATCTCCATCTTTCTGTAACTCCCTGTATCCCTCTTTCCAAGCCCAACATGTTCTCAACAAATGCCTGTTGAAGATCAGTCTGGTTTTTATTTGATGAAAGGAAGTTTTTCTTTGCTTACTGTAACATGCTAAATGCTGTAAAATGCTTTGCTTATGGCAGATTAAGACAGGATCAAATTGAATCTTATCTTGATGTTGGGCTTTGTAAATAAAATAAACAAAGGAAATTGTAAAAACCTGCCATGTGTGTTAAACATCTTAAGATAATGTTTGTTGTAAATTGATGCTATTTAATTAAGATTTATTGATTGATTTTTCAGTGTCAGAGGTTGCTGCTCAATTGGCAAATGCATGGAACAAATCAAGGGCTCCTGCTGTGGGCTGTGGGACCTCTCAGCACACAGAAAGTTGTGATGAATGAAGATTCGTCCGCACCAACTTTTTGAGGACATTTTATAAGTTCTTTACTTTTCTGACTCTCCTTGTCATCTTTTGAAAGGTTGTTTCTTGCCCAACATTAGAGGTGACCGGTCAAGTTTGTGTTTGGCATCGCTGGACAGCAGTTAGCCCGAAGAAAACAGAACTGGAAGTTTTCTTAACCCCTGGAGGGTTTATTTGAACATGTTGAGGCACAAATATTAGAGAGTCTGGGTATGTTAGGGTTAAAGATTTGGAACATCTAACACTTAACTTTTTTATTCTGGTGAATATTTATGCAACATTGAGTGTTGGAAATGTACCAATGGAGAAGAAATACACAAAGCTGTCATATATAATTGACAAATAATGAATTCTACTTCCTGAGGAGGCACAATTTCTTTAAGATGTGAGCTGTTATTATTCGCATAGTTATTTTAAATCTAAGCTAGCTAGTTAAATGTAAATCAAGTGATTAAATAAACCCTGTTAACACTGAAATTACACAAAGAGTCTCTCGGGTTTTAAATTAATTCAAGTCAACAAAACATACACTGCATAAAAAGGTGAATTTGCCTGAGGGGCACTCATACTGGAAAGACATCCAGGGTCACTTTTCTATATTTTATTTACTGAAGACCATCCAGAAGACATGTTTTTTTTGCATGTAAGTATGTAAAGAGCATCAAAAGGGCTTTTTGTTAATGTTCTACACATTGTAAGGGCTTTTTCCACAGAGAGAGCACAAGTGAGGGAATTTTTATTATATTTTATTTACTGTAGGTGTCTTTTTCAGACATGAGGGCACCATGAAGGGCAATTGCAATTGCACGACCACTTTAAACAATCTCTTTAGTAAATGAAGTAATATTTTAAAAAAGTCTGTAGACAGATTGTCTAAAAGTAACTGTAATTTTTATTTTTAAATCTCAACAGTTCACATCAAATTATTCATAGACACATATCATCTTAAGACCAACACATGGTTTGAGCTGGCTCACTGTTTGCTGGATGGTACTGAGCAAATGATTCAGAGTTGGATGTTGATCCAAAATATAAAAGCATTTGCTACTAATAACCAAGGAGGGATTGCTGGGGCCTGTTTACTTGTGTTCAGATGTCTTGATTACCGAGCCATTAGAGATAAGCTTCACCATGCTGCTCATAGAGCCAGGATATCCCCTGCTCAAATAATCAGTGCTTAGTGGAGTAAGGTTAATGCAACAAAGGAGAGAGGCCGGCAAAAGCAGACAGCCCAGCAGACCAGAGGCAACACCAGAGGTGAGAGAAGACACCCGCCATAAAAACTGCGGCGAATCATGTCTGCAGCCTCATGGGACCAGCGGACCATGTCCCGGCTCTGATAGTTTGACGGATGATGCATCACCATCAACTGCAAGATCTATTGTTATGACAGCAGAAAAGATGGTATCATGCTGCAGCAATATCCACAATCTGACAAACACCCAGATCTTCCCAACAAACTATCCACAAACACGCACACGCTCCGAAACAACTGATGAATTAGCTTTTTTTTTCTCTATAAAAATTGCATCCAGCAGATCAAATTAAATCAAGTTTTCTTTTCACTCTTTTAAAATACAGTAAGTCACAGCTTGTGAGCTTGAGTCCTCTCATTGTTATTGAAGTACACAGTATTTGCCACTAGATGTCTCACTGTGTGCTTGTTTTCAGGCCACGGTCCCTGTGCACACACAGGGAGTCACATGCAGGGTGCACATGGTGTGTTTAATATGACCAGCATAGCCACTCTCCACATGTGTTGCAGTCTCCTCTGGGAGGACAGGAAAGCATCTGCCTCCCCCTGTCTGTCTAACACATTTTCTGGGAAAATAGCCCAAACCTGCAACACAGGAGGAGGGAGAGAACATACACACACACATACAGAGAGAGAGAGAGAGGAAGAGAGATTCACTTCAATGCATGAACAAAAAATATAAACATTTGAGCAACTGTTTGTTTTCTCACTATTTTTTGTATATTGTAACCCTTCATTTGAAATATGTTGACAAAATGCAGATAGTCTTTACATGCTGAAAGAGATGTGATAATAGTGCTAATAACAATAACAATTTGTGCAGAAAATAAGCAACTAAACAAACCATTAGCTGTAATAAGGGAAGACAGAGCTGGCTTCATTAGGTGCTCACAAGCAGCATCTCCAATAAGAGCCTGCATGGTGCTGTTTCACCTGGTTAGTTTGTTCCTCTGTTTGTACTGACGCACATTTTTTTATTGTGGTGTGCTGTGGGGAATAAACACCCTTTAGACTGTGGAGAGCAATAGATAACGGAGAGATGTGCAGAACAGGTACAAAAGAAAAAATCATAGAAGGTAAAGTACAGCTCAGTAAAAAATACATTATGAGTCATGCTCCAGGTGTTAAAAAAAACCTGTGATTACAAGAGGTTTCTTGGAAATTCAGTTCCAGAAATCTTTGACATGCAAGGCTGAACTTCAAAATTGATTTGATGTCAATGTAAGACCTGTAACAGTGGATGAATTGATCGACAGAGGAATAATTGACAACAGTGTTGCTTATCCATTAACCATCATCTATCAGACCAAACTTGACCAGCATTCAGTGGTGTTAGATGTCACTTAGGCCCACAGAACATGTTCTTAGCCTGTCTTTTGTTTGCTGTGTTATGAGATAAATGATTTAAAAATATAATATTGAAAGTATCTCATGATATATATGTGTATATATGTGTTTATGAAACGCTTGATGTCTTAATCAATAGACATGCGGTAGGCAATGGTTGATAAATTAGCTGTATGTCTTTATATGAAGTAGTCCAATTTATCAAACCACACGACAAAATGTAATACAGCTATTGCACATATGTGTCTATGTACCACAGAATTTTTCAATATTATTGATCACTGTTGAAAAAAAAAAAGGCACATAATGTAACCTATACACGTGACTTTGGGATGTACACATCAGATATAACAAACAAAGACTTACAAGACTGCATCTTTGCGTAGGCCTACCCTACAAATAAGAATAATTTAGGCTGTTGGAGATTTAATCTTTGAATGTAAAAAAACCCCAAAACATCTTATCTCTAATCCCTACATTAGAGAGCATCTATAAGACTGCTTTCTAAGAAATAGGCTGACAATGAAAATCTCATGACCCACTAAATTTTTCAAAAGGGATAGCAATTCAGTTTATATTGACATTCATCATGTTTTAATGATTTCTCACTTTCTTACAGTTTGTGGTGGGTGTGACCAAAAATGGTATACTCCAATTATATCGATCGAGTCACAAAATATCATGACCTAGTTGTGAATTGACCTATTTGTTTGTGACGCTTTAATATTCACAGACTGTATAATAACACACACTGCAGTGAGAGAGAACCAAATATCTGGGCAGCACACCAGTCATGTCTAAATTCGGCTAAATTCGCATCGATTTTGGCCATAATCTGACAGGTAAGGCCGCGTTCAAGTTACTTCGGAAGTCAGAACGCCGAGCTGAAAATGACGTCACACTGGAGTTCCCAGCATTTCAGTTTCCAAGTCGTAAAAAAGCAAAATCTGAGGCAGGATCAAGATGGCTACATCTACATCTAAGTTATTTTAATGCTTGCCTTATATTTGGACAAGGTAAGCTGTTTCCGCCTCGGATTTTGTTCTTTTCGACTTGGTAACTGAAACTCTGAAAACTCGGCTGTGACGTCATTTTCAGCCCTGACTTCTGACTTCCGAGGTAACTCGAACGCGGCATTAACGTCACACCTACACGGAGCCTGATTGGACAGAATTCGAATCGATTGTAACCAGTCGCGCGTTCGCGTGAGTTTCTAACGTCTGCTAACGTTTTCAAGATACGTTATAAAGTAAGCTAACGGCCTGAACAACAAAACTATGTGACCCTGCGTGCTCCGTTGTTTTGTCCGCTGAAAAGTTACTCACAAGACTGTAAAATACCACAAGAATGTCACCTGTTGTCCTCAAGTAAATTGGTGGACCCATACATCAAGTGGCCAGATAGTACCAGCAACGTTTGTGAGTACGTGAAAATATAGTGTGCTATCTCCATTTAAAGATTTACTGTTAGCTTGTTTTAGTGCTGTTTAGTCACTACAGTTAACCAAAGTCAAGCTATTTGTTTGTGCTCAAGGTTAAAATAACTCTCTTAAACTTTTGACTCACAACCACATAGTTTGGATGGGTACAGACAAACTAAGGTGAAGCCCACCCAACCCTTCAGACAGTCGTTTTTATTTGACTCTAAAAACGTTACTAGGACATTACATTGTGTATTTTACATCATAGTTCAGTTGAAGGCAGCTACATGTACATTAACAGCAGGCAGAGCCACTTATTTCAGGTTTCTGCTGGGTCTTAAAAAGTCTTAAAATGTCCAAAATCCAATAATTTGAATTTTAGGCCATAAAATGTCTAAAATCTTATTAAAACCTCATAAAATGTCTTGACTACAAATTTGAGAGGTCTTAAAAATGTGTTGATGTTACTTACAAATTTGAAGTTAATTTAAAATGTTCTCATTTCCCTTCATGTCTTTTGTACTTTTTTGCCAGTTTGGATTTAAAATGTATCTTAAATTGTATTCATTATGGTCTTTAAAAAGTCTTAAATTTGACTTGTTGAAACCTGCAGAGACCCTGTATTCACAAACACACAGCTGACAGAGGCGACAGCATCTGTAGCCTTGTGATTGGGTGATCATGAGTACTTTGTAGGTGGACCCAGGTCCGGTGAGACCCGCCCGCAGCCATTCACCTTGCAGTTTTTCTGTTGCATAAGAGGAGCAACTGCTCAAATGCCAAGCTTAAACAAGTGTTGTATTGATTGGCAGAATCCAAGTTGATAAATGTACATCTGATCAATGATTTATAAATTGTGAACCCTAGAAAGTGATCACTGTCAGATTATAGA